AAAAGGGTCCGGCAATTTCTCGCCGCGAGTTTTTGCGACCAACCGCGAGGCGAAAAACCGCAGCCCCGGAAGGGGCACAACCCCCAGAATCCGCCCGGGGAGAAGTATTGCCGACAGAAAAATCTGCATTGCGGACTCGACCTCGCACCAGAGGAGAAAAAGAGGCCAAAAAGGGTCCGGCAATTTCTCGCCGCGAGTTTTTGCGACCCACCGCGAGGCGAAAAACCACAACCCCGGAAGGGGCACAACCCCCAGAATCCGCCCGGGGAGAAGTATTGCCGACAGAAAAATCGGCATTGCGGACCCGACCTCGCACCAGAGGAAAAAAAGAGGCCAAAAAGGGTCCGGCAATTTCTCGCCGCGAGTTTTTGCGGCCCGCCGCGAGGAGAAAAAACCAGCCGAAAAAGTGGCCACATCCCCAGAGTCCGCCTCGGGGAACGGGAAGGGAAGTCCTACGAGTACGACTGACTCTTGCAATACATGTATGTTGACATCATAAAAACAGACAACGCCAGCACTCAACAAAGCGCGATGGTGATGGTTCCAAAACAATAGAAAAAGAAAATGATCAACCACGGAACCATTGACGAAAAAGCATGTAAAAACGCTGAAGGAAAAGCACGAACGAAGAAACAATCATCGAAACGCGAAGCGGAACTGGATGGATCCTCATTTTCGACATACCTATAACCTTCTGTGACAAAAGTATAGTGATTGAGCGCCTCCTTCTGAGAAGGGAGATGATCCAGAAATGATTGTCCATATCGCGGCCGATCATGTGTAGTTCTAGTTCTAGACCAGCTGTGCGACTGATGGTGTTTGCATAGCAGGAACTAATATGGCACCGATCCTCCGTACGAGAGGCGTTCAATCCTATCTTCTGGCTTGTACAGTCCAAGGTGCACGATCACCGTGATGGAAGAACACCTTCTAAGGAAGTGGGTTGTTCTTCTAGCGTTTTCTGTTTTATACGCCATAATTTCACCCGGAGTCTCATATTTATTGTTCTGTCGTGAAATAATTCATCAAGCAAAAGCGCAAACAAAAGGTCTACTTCGCGAGAAGTGTCGTAGTTGGCAGCTCATGTTGTTCGTCGTAGAAAGTTCGTTCTTGTTTTGCATTGAATTATGCTGGTAGTCACGACCTGCGAGTACATTCCTGCTTGTTGTCGTGTGGTAGTCAAAGTCATTTTGGTCTACTTAAATGTCCTCTTCCCTACTGGGTCTCGTGTAACCCAACTTCGCAGGAGTTCATGTGCAGGATGAACGCAGTCCGACGACAATGCTGTCGCAAATAAACACGTTTAATCGCAAACCTCGGCCTCGCAGCACCCGGCATCGCAGGACTTTTCACTTGGCATGTTCCCCGTGAAGGCCTGCATGAGAAATCCGACTTTGTGTTGCATATCCGGGTCTTTGGCAGCGTGCATCTGAATCTGGAAGACACCTGATTTTGCATTGAAAAATCTGGGTTTCGTTTTTATTTTGCATAGCAAGCATCACAAACACAATTCCACGTACTGCATATGCATGAGAAAGCCATAAAAGATCGTCTATAATACCCATCATCAGTTCCGTTTCCTGAAATCCCAAAGCCGCCATCAAATCCCCTACGATCTCCGTGACCGCTGCTGGAAACTTCTGCATTTTTGCCATCATGGGGTTCTCCGCGTTGTTACATTCGTCGACCAAATCCGTTAACTTCTTCTTGTTTCCTGTATTGTGAAGAAAAATTCCCCTCCCCCATACCAAAACTGCTTTCTTCTGAAAATTTGTGATGCTGATTTGAGACCACAGATCGTCTCTGTATTGCAAGAAGGCAAATCCAAAAACCTCGCCGCGTCCTGCTGGCAATTTGTAATGCTGTATGGCCTACGGATGATATGCCTGCCTTGCTAGGCGCCTACACCAGAACGCTCCTCCTCCAGCATTGTATCTGCCTGCAGTCCTCTACTACAAGACAAAGCCGATTTGTGTACACAAGTCCCGCATCACAGATTTCCATTTCGATATGGGGCGGGGGGATTTTTCCTTTTGATATCCTGGCTGCTGAAACCGGTTCCAGATTTCGTCCAGGGCGGTTTTCGCCTGCTCGGGAGTGAGTTGTGGCGGCATCTTTTGGTAAAGGAAATGGTCGTGGTAGGTACGGGGAACAAGTAGGGGTTGTTCACCGTAAATTCCTAAATTTGAAGAAGCAGTACTAGAGTCTTCGTTAGAAAAAAGTTGTCCGCTGGGACGGTGAAGATCTAACTAGGAACTTTCTTGCAACTCGCTTGACTTGTCCCGCCTGAACAGAAATAGACGTAAAATCGGCCTTTCTTTTTTTGCTAGATTGCGCTAAGTATCTTCAACAGCCAGAAGTTTTGATCGTTTTTCCCACCGTGTGAGTTGTGTGGTAAGTAAAACTGTTTGGTTCGTTCGACCGTTTTAGATGGATCTCCTCGATAACTACAGATCGAAAAAGAAGTTGGATCAACTCTTGAATGAAAAGCAGGCTTCTAATTTGATTGGAACAGCAGCCGGAGAAGAAGCGTAGAAAGCAGAGGACGGACGGAGCCCCGCGGCGACGCCACCTTTTCCTTAGTCAATGTCAATTCTGGAGCTGCTGGCAACTATCATACACTCGTCTCAGTTAGTTTTGCTTCTTCAGAAAAACTTACAAGCTAGTATTAAAGTTCAATTTTTCTTGTTGTTCTGAAGCTGGTACATTAACCTATTTTGTACAAGTTTCAGCTTCCGGATCGGGAGTTTTTTACAAGTGACACTTCATTCTTTGAATTTCCAACTCACTTGTCTAGTCGGCAGACGAAACATGCGACTCCAAAGCGAGCAGGGTTCGTTGTGCTGCCGAAATAAACTCGTTCATTCTGTCTGACAAAATGTCACTACTGCTGAAGCCGCAAAACCTGACTGTTGCTCCGGCCTGCCGTTCCTGGCGTGCCACCGCGGGCATTGTTGCTGCTAGTGGTCGTTCCGGAGTGATTTGCGTTGCTGTTTATTCCACCCCCGCCCCCTGCTCTGGTACTGTTCTTGTTCACGACATTCGGACTGGTAGACAACGCGTGGAGCTTCAGCGCCGGGCTCGTTTTTATCGGAGATGACTTCAAGTTAGCACTACCTGCGTCTTGCTTTTTCTCATTCACAGAAACCGAATTATCAGAAGAGGAGGATTCCGGCGTGTAGGGATTTATCGTCCCAGTCTTTACCGGAATCGGGGTACGGGCTGAGAAAACGCCTTTGCTTTTCCTCCCAGCACCCAACCTGCCGCTGTAGGATTGTTTCGCTAGCTTCTGCTCGGTTCCGGCGACAAAGGGGTCTTCGAGCGGAGGGGAGAGACTCGGTCGCTTCTTCTTGGCGAATGTGGTTATTTGGTTTGTTTCATTCGCCGACTCGTCCTGCTTCTCTTCACTACTCTGTGTGGGTCGCTGTGGTTGCGGAACTAGTGCTGCTGCGGAGGAGGCCGAGGCGGAAGAGGAAGATAAAACAGGAGACGTCGTGTTTTTCACTTCCTGCTGTTCTTGCGCATTATTGCCAATCACCGCAGAGGTTCTACCTGCAGCTCCAGTGCCAGTAGGTGGACCATCTTCAGTACGTTGTTGTCCTATTCGGCTCGCTGACCAGACTTCTGAATCTTGTGCTATCGTAGACTTCACTTCTGATTTTCTCCGTTGTTTGTTTTGAAGATACTTGATCACAATTTCTCCCTCGTCATTGTAAATATTATCCAAAGGTGGGTAGACAGAGGAATCCTGGGTGAACAAGTAGGGTTGAGGATCAGGTACACCTCGCGACGACGACGAAGAGGACGATGTCGACGGTACTTCTAACAGAGGTCCACCCTGTTGTAGAAACTCCACCCCTTGTCCTCCTTGACCTTGTGCAATGTCCCGTAGCAGCGCTTCGCTGGTCTTGCGAAATTCCGCGAGTTTGTCCTCCGGCAAAATTTCTAAATTCGCTAGTTCTTCTTGACTCAAATTCGGCACCCAATCCTCCGACTGACTGCAATCTTCGCTGTCCGAGTTGTTCGCGCGGCCGTTGGCGCGGCCCTGGAAGTGTGTCTTTTTTTTTCAAGATTTGAATTTGTACTTCATCCTACCATCCTGGTATCAGAAAGAGATACTGCAATGCGTTGACCCGTCTCTTCGAGATGAAGAGGAAAAATCTTGGACATTGGACATGTCATGCCCAAAAAATGTCCAATCTTGGACATTGGACATTTTTGGACATGAGAAAAAATGTCCAATTTGGACATCCGAGTGTCCAACCAGATGTCAAAAAAAAACTAGCTAGAACTTGGACAACGCAAGACAAATTCAATCGTCCTACCATCCTGGTATCAGAAAGAGATACTACTTTGCGTTGCCCCGTTTCTTCGAGATGAAGAGGAAAAATCTTGGACATTGGACATGCCAAAAAAATGTCCAATCTTGGACATTGGACATTTTTGGACATGAGAAAAAATGTCCAATTTGGACATCCGCGTGCTCAACCAAATGTCCAAAAGAATCTAGCTAGAACTTGCACAACGCAAGACAAATTCAGTCATCATACCATCCTGGTACCAGAAAGAGATAGGACTATGAGTTGCCTTATCTCTTCACAATGCGGAGGAAAAATCTTGGACATTGGACATGCCCAAAAAATGTCCAATCTTGGACATTGGACATTTTTGGGCATGAGAAAAAATGTCCAATTTGGGCATCTGAGTGTCCAACCAGATGCCAAAAACAAACTAGGTAGAACTTGGACAACGCAAGACAAGTTCAATCATCCTACCATCCTGGTATCAGAAAGAGGCACTACTTTGCGCTGCCCCGTTTCTTCGAGATGAAGAGGAAAAATCTTGGACATTGGACATGCCAAAAAAATGTCCAATCTTGGACATTGGACATTTTTGAACATGAGAAAAAATGTCCAATTTGGAGATCCGCGTGTCCAACCAGATGTCAAAAAAAAACTAGCTAGAACTTGGACAACGCAAGACAAGTTCAGTCATCCCACCATCCTGGTATCAGAAAGAGATACTACTTTGCGTTGCCCCGTTTCTTCGAGATGAAGAGGAAATATCTTGGACATTGGACATGCCAAAAAAATGTCCAATCTTGGACATTGGACATTTTTGGACATGAGAAAAAATGTCCACTTTGGACATCCGCGTGCTCAACCAAATGCCCAAGAGAATCTAGCTAGAACTTGCACAACGCAAGACAAATTCAGTCATCATACCAGCCTGGTACCAGAAAGAGATAGGACTATGAGTTGCCCTATCTCTTCACAATGCGGAGGAAAAATCTTGGACATTGGACATGCCCAAAAAATGTCCAATCTTGGACATTGGACATTTTTGGGCATGAGAAAAAGTGTCCAGCTTGGGCATCCGAGTGTCCAACCAGATGCCAAAAACAAACTAGGTAGAACTTGGACAACGCAAGACAAGTTCAATCATCCTACCATCCTGGTATCAGAAAGAGGCACTACTTTGCGCTGCCCCGTTTCTTCGAGATGAAGAGGAAAAATCTTGGACATTGGACATGCCAAAAAAATGTCCTATTTGGAGATCCGCGGGTCCAACCAGATGTCAAAAAAAAACTAGCTAGAACTTGGACAACGCAAGACAAATTGAGTCATCCCACCATCCTGGTATCAGAAAGAGATACTACTTTGCGTTGCCCCGTTTCTTCGAGATGAAGAGGAAAAATCTTGGACATTGGACATGCCAAAAAAATGTCCAATCTTGGACATTGGACATTTTTGAGCATGAGAAAAAATGTCCAATTTGGACATCCGCGTGCCCAAACAGATGTCCAACAAAATCTAGCTAGGATTTGGACAACGCAAGACAAATTCAGTCACCCTACCATCCTGGTATCAGAAAGAGATACTATTTTGCGTTACCCCGTCTCTTCGAGATGAAGAGGAAAAATCTTGGACATTGGACATGCAAAAAAAATGTGAATGTCCAATCTTGGACATTGGACATTTTTGGACATGAGAAAAAATGTCCAATTTGGACATCCGCGCGTCCAACCAGACGTCCAAAAAAATCTAGCTAGAACTTGGACAACACAAGACATATGCAGTCGTCCTGCCATCCTGTTCCTGGTATCAGAAAAAGATACTATTTTGCGTTGCCCCGTTTCTTCGAGATGAAGAGGAAAAGTCTTGGACATTGGACATCCCAAAAAAATGTCCAATCTTGGACATTGGACATTTTTGGACATGAGAAAAAATGTCCAATTTGGACATCCGCGTGTCCAAGCTAGCAGATGCCCAAAAAAATCTAGCTAGAACTTGGACAACACAAGACATATTCAGTCGCCCTCCCATCATGGTATCAGAAAAAGATACTATTTTGCGTTGCCCCGTTTCTTCGAGATGAAGAGGAAAAGTCTTGGACATTGGACGTGCCAAAAAAATGTCCAATCTTGGACATTGGACATTTTTGGACATGAGAAAAAATGTCCAATTTGGGCATCCGCGTGCTCCACCAAATGTCGATGTCCAAAAAAACTCTACTAGTCATATGTTCCGGAGAACCAAGATAGCAAAATCGGGAAAATTGGGAAAACGAAAAAAGAAATCACGCAAGCGTCCTGGTGTGGCTCTAGTCATTCTCGATCATCGGACTCCGTTGGGCATATGCTGCTCGTGCTCCACCCTGTGCAGCATCGTCTCGAACCGGACAGCCGCAACACTATCTCAATACTACTCCGGATTTTAGCGTAAAAAAGGGCTTTGGAAACGCAGCCGCGCTGAAAGAAATTTGCCGCAGAAGACTCACAGCAAAATTTTCATGAGAGTCCGCGAACAAATTTTGCTCATGGAAATCGGGACAAAAGAGTCCGCTTCAAAATTTCGAAACAAAATAAAAAACAAAACCCGAAACAAAATTTCGAAACAAAATTAGAAAACAAAATCGCGAAAAAAAAATCTAAACTAATGCAACAAAATCGCGAAAACCGGAAAATAGGTGGCGCGAGCGAAAACAAAATTGCTCCGCGCCGATTTTCATTGCGATTTCAATGGGTTTTCGTGGGTCCGGCGGTTTTCGCGATTTTGTTCACAAAACTGCATTTTGAATTTTCCGCAGCGGAACGGGGACCTGAGGCTTGCTGCGGAAAAATTGGCGGCGCCCGGCGTCAAATTTTGCCCGGGGGGCGGGCAGCGTCAATTTCAGGCGGGCGCCGGGCAACGGAATTTTGGCGGGCGGCGTGCAGGAATTTGAGCGGCGGCCTGCGGCGCCGAGTTTTGTTCGCGCGACTGCCTCTGCGGTTTTGCTCGCTCTGTCACATCGATGGGCGTGCGAGTTTTGTTTCCGAAAGGACGAGCGAAACACGAGCGCAACCCGGAGCCCCACAAGGACAAGGCTTCGCATGCCGTGGGCACTTACCGCGCTCCTTCTTTTTTTCCTTCTCTCTCACAACCGTCAAAATTTAAATACCATATAATTTTTTTTCCAGATTTTGCAGATTTTGCCATCTTGGGTCTCGGAACATATGATACTAGAACTTGGACAACGCAAGAGAACTTCAATTTGTATATTCATATTGTAATTGTTTGTCATGCTCATGCAGGTTCACAATGAGCATTAACGTTCTTGCCAACATGTAGTCGGAATCAGCATTCGAGTTGGACTTCAATTTGGTCAACAAGCATAATCCGATCTTCAAAGACTTCAGCCTATATTACCTGTTGCCCCCCGCGTCCTCTGCCCGCGGGTCCGTTTCCGCCCGTGCTTCCATTTCCAGTCGCTGCAGCAGTATTGCGATTCCTATCGTGGTTTATCTCGGCGAAGGCTGCGAAGTCATCATGTCCGGATGGATACCGGTCGTAGGGATCCATCAGATCGTCCGTGGGATCGGCGTCCCACCACTGCCGCAGGGAGATCATCTTTGCTTACGAATGCTGGTGGGGTTGAGAGCGAATTGAGGTGGGTCGATTTCACCACATAGGAAATAGGATACTATCATACAAAAAACCGAAGATTGGATATCGAAATTCCTATTTCACAAAATTTAAATTATCATCAACACACTTCACTACAACCGCGGCTATTGAAGCTGATATTGCAAATTATGCGTGCTGAGATTTATTGTTCTGGTTCCCGCTTACTTTAATCCCCTCACAAGAACCCTTCGCGCGTCCAAAACGAAACCTAGGTAGCCTGCAGGAAATATTGCAGGCACTTACACTTATTCTCGGGAAGCGAGTCGAACGCGAGTACAATTTTCACGAACAGCCTAAACATATTTTAAATAAGTTTGTGTATTCACTCATTCTCTCACGATCCCACGATGAGTTTTTCAACGAACGACGACGCGAAGATATCGCTGCAATGCTGCCGATTTTTACCCTTTCGCATTCGTCAATCACCAACCTTGAGACTATGAGGCGACACGAACTATGGAGCAGGGCCCATCGAATATCAGAACACATTATCAAACACACTCACCATTGCTAGCCTAGACAGAGCCAGAGGCAGACGCGTCGAATAAAAATGAAAGTAACGCACAAGACGGCCGCCACGCGCGACTGCGCAGGCACGCCACCTTTATGCACCCCGGCAAGAGGCCTGGCCGGTACAGCACGCAGGCGCCAGCCCCTTAGCTAGTAACGAACGAAGGGCCCCGAGGGCCTGCGCGCAACGCAAGTCAACGGGCCCGCGGGGCCACAGAAACAAAGCCGCCGCGGGGGGCGCTCGCGGGCGCGCGGCGCTCTGCGCGGGGGCGGACAGCAAGCAACGCGCGGCGCGTCGGTCGCCCGCGGACGGCGCGGTAGGCGCCCCCAAAGCCGGCCCGGCGGGGCCAGCAACAACATCGCCAGGGCCCCGGGCCACCGGGGCGGGGGGGGCGAGGCGAATCACGAAACACGGCCCCCAGGCAGCGCCGCGCGCCCGCGGCTCCTCGTAATGGGCCGGCGCCGGCCCGCCCGGTGTGTCCGTATGCTGGTCGGAATACGCGCCCGGCGAGTTTTGCCCGTTCTTCTCCAGTCTTTTCTTGGACAGCTTCACGCGCGGCATGGTCGCTGCCTGTTAATTTCGACAGCTTTTGGCAGCGGGCTGGGGCGGAAATATCGCCACAAAATCGCAAAGCTTGCCGGCTGATGCGGTTGCCTGGGGGCTTTCGCTTCCGCACCACAACGCGCGCGCTCCTTTTGCAAGCACCGCGCGAACCATAGGGGCCAAAGGCGTCCGCCTCGTTCAAGTCGCACACCATAGCGACAAAGCCGCGGGGGATGCCCCGGGGGGGGCTTGCAAAGAGTCAAGGGCCCGCGGCCCGGCTCCTGCCGCGCCTCTGTTCTTCATCAATCTCGCCGGGGCCTGCAAACAACAAGCAGACGCGTGGCACCGAAGTGGTGCAGGTGAATAGCTGGCCAAACTATCGCACGCGGCCCGGCCTCGGCTACTTTTGCCCCAAACCACGCGCGTCAGATGGTTGCGGATATCAATCTTCAGGCAACAGAACCACGCGGCGACACCGGGCCGCCCCTGCGCTAGCTTTCGCACCCTCCAAACCCCCCGGGCCACCTCGCGGCGCTCATGCTCGCGGCGCCCCTGCAGCTCGGGCGCGGCTTTTTTTTTTTAAAGCCCGGGCCCGCGCCCACCGGCCGAAGATACTTACTGACCCGGGGGGGGCCCACTGCCCACGGGGGCGCAACTGCCTCGCTTCGGGCGCGCATTTCTCGCGCGCCGCCACTACATTCGGAGGGCGCGCGTCGCTGCGCGCCAGGCACGTCGACGGCATTGCGCGGGGCGGCGAAATGTGCGCCAGTGGCTCAGCCAGGCCGCGCGGGAACAAAATGCAGCCGCGCCCGACCAAAGTCGGGGCCCATGCGCCCTATCTCCCTTGCCGATATATTTCAGAAACAGAGGGGGCGCCCAACCATACGACCGCGTTTTCAGTACCCGTTGGAACACAGACTCGCAACAACTACAGGCCCCACTCTAGTGCGCGGAGGGGTGTGACTCTCAGAAGCCCAACTCTGTTGCCAAAGTGATTGCCTCCTCGGCTTGTTGTAAAAGTCAAGAAGCCTCCGGTTATCTGGGACCGTTCCCGCTTATGTAGTTCATCGAGGCTCTCGAACAGGAAAAATATAGCAGACTTGTACACAACACTAGTACAGCAGAGAGTGGGAAACTCATCAAGCACGAGCACCAAGCGATGCGCATTGTCAATTGATCATCGCCGATAGAAAAAAAACTGCGTCATCTTCCTCTTTGCTTCTTTTCTTCTATTTTGTTCTTCACCTACTTCTTCGCGTCCGCGAACAGTACGCCTCCCTGCACGACGCACAAGCTGCACACCGCCGCGGTCAGCGAAAATTCCGCACCTTCGATGAACAACAGCTCCAAAAAGTACGTCAACACGATCGCGATGGCGTACACGACGTATTTCGTCGTCGCCGACAGCTTTTTCACGACAACCGTGCTCACCCAGTTTTTCTGCAGCAGGTAGAAGACCAGGAAGAGTGTGACGAGCGACCAATTGGCGAACAGGCTGCTGAAGGAGGCGTTGTTAGAACCGGATGACTCGTCGTCTTTTTCATCATCCTTCGCAGAAGGTTTTGGGAACACCGCCTGTCCTATGGGAAACAACACCAGCGACGCGACTACCGTCCCACAGGAAATATTCGCTGCTTGTACGATGACCGACGTGTCTGCTCCTCGTTTCAGCGCCCGCTCCGCCCAAATGCTGGCTCCAACCTTGCAGACGACCGCGACGGCGAGAATGAGCGTGCCGGTGAGGGAGTCGGATTTCGATTTACTTGATGATGAATCATCGTTGTCGCCCTGTTGGTCCAACACCACGCTCTTGAACGCCAAAATGCCCGAGAGTGTGAAGAACAAAGCGTGCCACTGAACCCGCGTTGGCGCGGTGCACTCTGGGACTAAAAATTGCGCCGCCAAGCCGGTGAGCAGCAGTCGGGACTGCAGTAACACCATGTAAGTAGTCGGCGCGACGTACTGTAAGGCGTAAATACTCAAAGAATCCTCCACGGCCCGGAGCACACCGGTGGGGAGAAACTTCAAAACGTTGGAGGGAGAGATACAGGGGTAGACGGCAGCGGAGAGAATGTTACGACTTCCGGTCGTGATTGCTGTACCTGATTCAGCTTGTAAAAACGAGCTCGTCCCGCTTGTACTACTGCTCCCCGTAGAAGTTGTAGTTCTGCTACTGCTCCCGACCACCATTGCACTGACAAGACACGCGAGTAAAACCGAGCAAACCGACTCGGCCAAAATCACGGAAACAGGGTTGTAGGGAACGTGATTTGTCCCTTCCTTGGACCATTCCACGACAAAGGGTTGAAAAGCAGCGAGGAGCAAGAGGAGGAGGGAGGAGAAGAGCGCGAGATTGATGTTTTTGTAGTGCAGAGAATTGTAGATGAGGGCTGCTGGACCAAAATAATTTTGACCAACAGTACCAGGAGTCCACGAGGATTTTATTGTTTTTCCTGTTGTTTTTCCAGCGGTCCTCTCGTTTGATGCGTGGTCATCTTCTTCTTCCTCGGATGTTGAGGACAGGGTCCTTCTCACACGCGGGACGACAACGCTCGGCTTCTGTGTGCTGACATGAAGATCACCATCCAATTTCGGATAATTCACCTCCCGCAGGGCCTGCTCGATCGACAACACCTTCAACTGCTGACAAGATCTCCCCCTGTGCTTGTCAAATTTCTTCGCCGCCTTGCGCAACGCCTCGCAATTCGCATGGAGATAACGCTCCAGTTGGTGCTGCTGCTCTAGTTGGACTGTCGGGGGCAAGTCGCTGCATGATACGTGCTGAAGATCATCGTGCTCTGGTTTTTCTTTTCCATCTGGTGTCACGTGGCTTCGGTAAAGCTGCTGGTCGAGTAAATTCGAACCCTGTTCTTTGTTACTAGTAGTTCGACCTGCTTCTAGTTCCAGCTCCTTCTGTTTTTCGAACAGAAACTCCTTCGCGACCGCCACGAGCGCTGCTGACTTCGAAACCGCGTCTAGCAATGCGTGGAATTCCGCTTCCCATTTTTCAAAAAACTCGGCCTCGTTTTCGCCTTTGGAGAGCGATTTCTTTAGCTTCTTGTAGTCCACCCAGGAATTGGCTTCCAGTAACGGCTCCAACTCCTGTTCTAGCTCCGCACGGAGAGCGGTCAGGCGCTTTTGGTATTTCATTTCTTTGATTGCACTTACTTATGGGTTTGGCAGTGGCAGAAGACAATCTTCGTGGAAGTATTTTGTACCGTAAAAAAACAAAAAGCGAAAAAGCAAGAATGTCGAAGCACGAAAAAAACGGAGAGTGTACTTGAGAGAGTTGTGGCAGTGACTCACTTGGTTTTATTTACGCAAATTTCAATCAAACAAAAATTTCAAAACAAATGGGTCGATAACCTGACTGTAGTACGACTCGATTGGTGGGAAAATAGATGCAACGATGAGCGTGTGAGCGGAACCCGCTGTTTCTACTTACTGATACGAACACTCAACGTTAGACGTAAAGAATCTGAACGGCTGCAAACGCGGCTAAAGCAAGGGAAGCTACACCGACCAGAATATGAGAGTTTTATCTTGTGCAACCGAGGCGGAGCGAGACAGACAACACCGATGGAGTTTGCAATGAATAATGTTAAACCGAGGTGAACTCCACAACGACGACGCCATGTGCGATCCTATCATTGGCCCTTAAAATAGAAATGGCAAACTTAATCTATCACGTATGTTGGCGAACCGAACGTCACTTTTGAGGCAAATACGAGACGGAGTCCGAATGTTCACAAACGCGAGCGATGCGCTGGGACCGAATCACATCCGACGACGAAAAGGATAGTGCCAAAGGTGGCTGAAAATGAGATAGGACATTTCGTCAGGAAGAAGGGCTTGATGAACCCGGTCCCGGGTCGAACAACGCCAACACTAATGCGAAATCGTCAAGGGCTTGGCGAGAACCGTTCCAGTTTCCTTTCCTTTCGAACCGCTCCGCCTGTCTGTCTGACAGGTACCGACCGACGCTTGCTTACCACCCAACAGGAGCAGGGCCTGTCCAGTCGAAATCTTTTTGGGCCGCCCGGATGGCACATTCACGCAGGGGAATACACGCTCGCCACGCCGCAAGACCGGCGCCCGGGGAAGCAATCCGCAGGGCCGCTACTCGGTCCGGAGGATGAAGCGGCAATGAAGCCGGGCGAAGCCTGCCACCCCCGCCCCGTGGGCGTCAAGATCGAGGCAGCAATGCAGCGGCCCCACCCCGAGCGAAAAGAGCGAGGGCACAAGGCAAAGCGAGAAGCTAACCCTGCAGCCCACCAGGGAGGAGCGCCACGAGGTTGGCCGGCCGGGGCGCGGGGCGTGGCGGGCGGGGGCGCTACTTGCGTGGCCGGGGCACAACGGGCCGCGCAAGCTACCGGGCGAACCCGAGGCGCCCTTCCAGGTAGCCCCCGAGCGGGCGGCAGCAATGTCATCCCAAAGAAAGAAGGGGGCGGGCCGGCCCGGTCTGTACGTCAGCGATTTTTGGTCGCGGGCCTCATCCGGCTCTTACTTCCGGCGCGTGCGCCGGCCGACTGACCACGAGGCGCGCTTTCGCGCCGCCAAATTCACGCACCACGCGCCGCGCTGACGCGCGAGCCGCTGCCCCCTGGCCTTGGCCACGCCCTCGCCTCGGGGCGCCTGGCGCGCACGAACCGCTGGCGGGCCTGGTCGCTCGGCGTTTCCCACCGGGGCCGGGGCCTTGCGGCGCCGCGACTTGCGGGGGCGCGAACACTGCACGCCGGCCGGCCGCTGCCGCGCCGCGGCGCAACGGGCGCCCGAATCCTTGGCCCTGAATCGCCTGCGCTCGAAATTGCAGGCCGCGGGACTACGCCCGACGAACCTAGCAGCCCCCGCACGCTCTTGGGCCTGCGCACCCTATTTCTCAATTGCCTTGCTCACTGTTCAATGATCTTCGCTCGCTCTGAAAAGGCAAACACGTTCGAACAACAGCTGTCCGCTTCTAAACTTCATCCAGCGATAAATTTTCCTTCACCAGGCATTCTTCTGAATCTGACTGGTCGCTTGCCGGTAATAGCCAACTGAAAGGAAAAACTTTTGTTGCGTCTTTATCAACAGGTCGCAATTTGTGCACTCTGTATTCCTGGTGCCACTCATTCATCAAATTCACGATGCTATAATCGAAGTTCTCGGAAACAAAAAAAGTCGAAAAGCTCAAGGGGCCCAGCGGCCGCTACTAGAATCTATCTTCTTCATAAACATTAGTTTTAGGGTAAAGCGCCAGAAGTTCTGGAAACAATCAGTGTCAGAACTATCGGCGGAGGAAACAAAGAAAAGCTCTCGCTAACGATAATAGTGCTCTTGCGTTGTATTATCAGGTACTGAAATAACAGAAAACCAAAACTAGAAAAAGCTCAAGTGTTCGCAGGGAACAGCAGATTTTCGAAGGAAATCTGCTTTGATCTCTAGAGAAACAGAAACCCATGCCTCGACTGCAACATGGCGGAAAAATTGGTGCTGAAAAGCTACTGTAGAAGAAAGGTATAGACAAAGTCAACACCAAAATCGAAGTTCTCAATGGAAAAATTCATAAGTTCTGAAAAAGTTCTCAAGTTTGAGACGAGATGAGGGACTGTGAAACAATAACGCAGAAAGCGCGTTGCTGTCAACCAAAATCTTATCAAAGCTATAGGGAAAGAAACAGCGGAGCAGGTAGCTCTTCACGCTTACGCTACCTGTGCTGCTCACGCATCAAACATTTTCCAAAAGGTTTTTCAACATTGTTAGTGTAGAAGTAGCAGCTTCAAATTCATTATTTTTCAGTCCAGTAGTGGTAGTACTAGATGATCTAGATCTGTTGTAATTTTCATTTTCAGTGTTTCTTCTTACTCTTAGTCCTAGGATTTTACTTATTACTTTGACTTTTGTTCATTGAGCTCAAAAATTTTCAATGAATCCATTTACCTTACAAACCCTCCGACCCTTCTTCAATCGCACTGCTTCGGTAACAAATCCGCAAACGACAGCGACGTGAATTTCAAATTTCCATTCGCCCCTCCTGCTGCGCTACTACTGCTGCTGCTGCTCCCATTCCCCGCACGACCAGAACCTCCCGCATGATTTCCAACCATCTTCTTCCCGCATTTCGGGCATTTCGCCTCCGCTTCCCTTCCGACGTAAAACTGGTAAAACTTCCCGCAGTTCTTATTCTCGCACTTGTGCACCCGGGCGGTGTGTTTCACGTACACCGTTTCGCCCCGGAGCTGGAACGGGTTGTTGTATCTCGTGCTGGTCGGTGTTAAGCAAGAAGTTAAAGGGTTATTTTGCTGACCATTACTCGTCGGAAAGATCCCAATCGCGGAGTTCAGCTTCTGGTTCACTTTCTGCACCACGTTGGAGAAGAATTGGGAAACGGAACTTTCCGTAGAAGTGGCAGAAGAGGAAACAGCGGAGGTGTTCAAAATGTGGCTTTCTTGGTCGAGTCCGGAGGCATCATTGTTGCGGTTCTCACTGTCAAACACATGATCCGCTTCCCCGGTCCGAATCAGATTCAGATCTCTCTCCGGCGTGAAACAACCTATCGAGCTGCTGTCACTAGAGGACGTGGAAATGTCAATCACACTGTTCACCACAGCGGTGGGCGCAAAAGACGTGCTGCTACGCTTCACGTGAATTGGCAATGTGTGCTTCACGAATCGTTTTACTTCACGTCGGGATTTGCGATCAGGGTCAGCACGACGAGATGAAGCAGCGGCCGGTTGATGAACATCTTCAGCTTCTTGGTTTCCTTCATACAGCTTCGATTGCTCGGATTGCTCCACTGGTTTGTTTTCAAAAACGACTTGTTCATCCGAAGAGTTGTGACTGCTGCCCACCTTGTCTGCTTTGTCATCTTTCTCCGGCGAACTGAGGCGTAAGAACGCGGTGTCCACCACCTGATCCTCATCGTCTTCGTTATCAAATGCAAAAATGTCTGGGTCCTCTGGAAACTTCTTGTGATGCGAGTTTGTAAATGGTGGGCGCATTGCAATACGCAGACGCGCATGACAAGTTTTCGAGCTGCTCCTGTGTGTTTCGCTTTCCACATGACAAACTGCATACTTGCATGACAGTCAGAAGAGAGCGTTTTTATTTTTTCCTGCTCATGCATTACAGATTTAAGAGTCATGTGAGACAAGCATGACAAACTTTCATTCTTCCAGACCCAGACATATTTGCAACGCATATTCGTCAATCGGCTCCAACGCCTCTCCCTTAGCAACAGACGTGTTCGAACACATCGAAATCTGTTCCTGCAGCTTCATTGTCATTCCCATTTCCGCATGACAACTACTACTCTCCCCGACTGCAGCTCCCATATCAACCGCGTGCTCAACACCGATCAACCGTGGCGAGTACTGCGGCAGGACCGGGGAGATGGTGAGAGCCGAAATCCCGCCGAAGTTTGTCATGTAGTTGTCTACTTCCATAGTTGCAACAGGTGGCGGCTGCAGCTTCTTTTCCGCCCCAGATTTCAACATGGAATCTTCCTTCTTGATGTTCGCATCATCTTGCTGTAGTTGTTCTCCTAGTTGCTGCTCTTCCGACTCCGCATTATGAACTGCAGAAGTATCGCACTCGTATAAATCGCATGACAAATTAGCTCAGCATGACAAATGAAATTTGTCATGCTGTTTTACCTTGGGATGAAGATTTGTAAATGCATGACTGCGATTACTACGAGTACGATACTTTTGCACAGGATACGCATCGGACAGGGACAACGGGCTCAAATTTCCCTCAATAAACTTCGAGGAAGAATTCAGAATCCGGGAACAGTTCTGCTCCAACATCGCGGAATTGAGGAAGACAGATCCCGATCCGTAGTTGCTTTCATAATTTTTTTCTTCCTTGTTCATCATCACCGTCTCTTCCTGCACCTTCGCAGCGGCTGCCGCGACTTGCAATCCCGAGTCGTCCTTATTGTAATCCACTAGTAAAGACGAAGATTTCTCGTTATTTTCCTCCTCTTCCTATGGAGAGAAAAAAGTTTGTCACAGTCATTAAGTTGCAGGCTTTGCATTACAAATTTTTTTTGCATCACAACTTCTCCTTGTATTGCAGAAACACGACTAGGGAAATTCCTTATGAGTTGTGGCTGTGATGCATTTTTACGCATGACAGACAGTTTTGTCTTGCAAAAATGCCCATGAGTGATCGTGACGAACTTCTTTCTTTTGATACTTCCTCCGGATAGTGCAGTAACGGCGACTCCCCCAATTTCGACAAATTGAATTTCCCCCCGCCCAAATCAGACCCGCTGGAGTAACCATCTTCATCGTCCACCCCACTTTGATTCAACATAGATTCATCCACCGGGCGGGTGGCAGTGGTCGGGAGCTTGGAAACACCGGTGCCGGTGGTTTCATCTGCCGGCTTCGACGCTGCAAGAGCGGTTGCTTTCAACTCACCCATGACGCCGCCAGTGAAGGCAATCTGCTTCTTCCCGACACTTCCCTTCGAACCGCTGACTACACCTGCGCGCAATCGTTGTCCCGCAACCGTCTGCCGCATCATCACGTCGTCATCCGGAGACGCAGCACCAAAGTCTTCTGCAAGAAGTGCTAGTGGTGCTGATGAAGCCGTGTCTGGTTTTTGCTGGGACGACGCAACTAAGATCTGTTCTTCGGATATGACTTGTTCAACGTACCCAAGCGATATCGTACCCAAAAATTTTTCAAAAAGGAATAACTACCCATACAGTATACTAATAAACTAGCTAGTTACTTTCGCTAGAAAGATAATGTAGCTAGTTAAGCTCTATATAGTTGAAGCATCCACCGCTGGAGAGTACGACCCAGTCGCTCTACGGCTTCGCCTCGGGACATAACGTATGGGCAACAACTGACGCGCCGGGATTTTTTCGGCAACATTCGTCGCCTGCCCGGGATATGTTCGAACCATGAAAGAAGACCAGCACAGCGAGAAGCTCGGGCAGGCGGCTTTTCCAGCGCTTGCAGGGGCCCGGCTGCAAGCTTCTACGCCTCCGGCCAACCAGCCGCGCGACCATCCCTCTCCCCCAATGGCACAACGGGCGCCGGCTATGCACACATCAGGGGGGGCGGGGATGCCCCGCTACGATCCCCTGCCAAAGGCACTCGTGGGCGCTTTCCTTTTTAGCGCAATCCCGGCGTTGTGGTCAGTTTTTCACTCCCCGCTACAGGGGGATGTCCAGGGGGGTAGGTGATCCCCCTCCTGCCAAGGAAGGCCGCAAGCTGCCAGACGAGAGACGGATATGCAGTGGGGCTATCCTGTGGCAGTGCCCCTGCAGGAAATCAGAACACGCACAAGAATGGGCAGCGGCGGCCCAAAAGCCTGCGCGCGCTAGATGAGGGCGCGAAGCATTTCCACGCCCTTCGGCTTTTGAATTATACACGGCCCCGCCCGCCGGTAAGGCTACGAAATTGCTACGGTTTGACAAGCGTCCCCGGCTCCGATTCGAGGCGAAGCCGTAGAGCGACTGGGTCGTACTCTCCGGCGGTGGATGCTTATTATAGCTGCATTAACTACATATGCCTTAAGTAACTACCTTAACAAAATAGTTAGCTTCTGCACTAGATAGTTTGAGTTTTTATACTAAAAAAATTTTTTTTGGGTACGATATCGTTTGGGTACGTTGAACAAGTCATATCGGACGAGGTGGAGTTATGCTCCTGCACAATCGACTTCGATAGGGTTGAATTGGGGTTAAACGAGCTGTTGAAGATTGTTCCCTTGTTGAGCCTTGATTTGCTCTCGTCGTCGCACGAAGACAAAAAATCGCCGGAAATGTTGTCTTGATTTTCCTTTTTGCTAGAAGAGGAGTAGCAGAGATCTTCGGCACTGTTGGCGGAAGAGAGCAGGTGGTTCGGGGGAGAGGCGTAGTTGACTAGGGTGGCCTGAAGATCGATTATGTTATCCTCTTTCAAGTACGGGTCTCGGAGGGGAGTGAACTTCTTTGCGACGTTTTCTACCTTGGAATCCAGCGTATTGTCATCTTTCACGACATCTTCTGGTAAAACTTCCTCGTTTTGGTTGACAAAATTCAAGATCTCTTCACCACTGCCCCGCCGCTTTTCCTGCTTCATTTTCATCAACATTTCCGCAGCTTTGTCCTGCACCAAACTGAGCGCCAGGTTGCTCTGCGAAATAGGGAAGCCGTACGCGGTTTGGAAAGATTGAAAGCGCTCAAAGCTGCTGTTGTTCTTGACCAGTTTCTGCTGTTTGTTCAACTCAGTGAGGGTCAAGTTGTTGCTTTGGTGATTTTCTTTCTTCTCAACGGTTTTCTCTTGTTCCTGTCTCCGCGTCTCGTTCTCAAATGTTGCTGCAAGAGCATGACCAGCACCTTGACCGGTAAGCGGCCCGGTGAATTTCCTCTCAACAGCTTCGTCGTCCGCTACGAGAAAATCACCCCGGAAAACCGTGGACCGCTTCTTATTCTTATTTCCCGTCAAACCATTAACATTCTCGCTGAAGAGATTCCCAGTATCCAAAGCGTTCAAAAACGAGTCGTGCAAGTTGTCACCCTCCAACAAATCGCACCGGAACGCGGACTTCATCGCCTTGGCGGTTTTGATCACGGAACTCAAGCGGCCGCTATTCACATCCGGAAACAAACCAAGCGTGCTAGAACAGTCCTCCGAAGCAGCTTTCTCCTCTTCAAACAACTCGCCTTCCGTATGCGCATCGGGATTCGTTTCTTCCTCATCCGCTTCTGCTTCCTCGAGGAACAACTGGCTGCTCTTCTCATCTACATTCACGGCTCCGTAGTTGTCTTGCTGTTGAAAGGAGAACTCCTTCTCGGAACAGAACTCCAAGATGTTGCTTTCGTCGTTCAGTGCACCAAGTTGCGAAAAACCGACTGCATATCCAGTGCAAATATGTCTGGGTGTGGAAGGTTGCATCAAAGACAAAGTTATCACACTGCATGAAAATCATGCAAGTAAGCAAGTCCGCGCTGCATCGAGCAGGCATGTGCCAAATGATTACCGAACAGCCGCCCCCTTTGTTTTGCAAGGATTCTCGGGAAAAAAGGACGGCACGAAAATCATCGGGCGCGGGTCTGGAGGTAGCTGAAGCCCAGGAGCCTGCGCCACAATCGCGAGAATCTGCCAAGGCTCGCCCCCTTCCCTCTGGAAGAAGCTGCCCGCGCCAAGCTGAAAGACGCAACCCGGAGGGAGAATTTTTGCGAACTTTCGCGCGACACCAAAACCATCAGAGGCGGTTTTGGACGTGGCTGAAACTCAGAAGTCTGCGCCAAAATCGCGAGAATCTGCCAAGTTTCGCCCCCCTCCCTCTAGAAGAAGCTGCGCCAAGCTGAAAGGCGCAACCCGGAAAGCAAATTTGTGCGATTTTTTGCGCGGCACGAAAATCATCAGCGGCGCTTTTCGACGTGGCTGAAGCCCAGAAGTCTGCGCCAAAATCGCGAGAATCTGCCAAGTTTCGCCCCCCCCCCTCTAGAAGAATCTTTCTGCGCCAAGCTGAAAGGCGCAACCCGGAAAGCAAATTTGTGCGAATTTTTGCGCGGCACGAAAATCATCAGAGGCGGTTTTGGACGTGGCTGAAGCTCAGAAGTCTGCGCCAAAATCGCGAGAATCTGCCAAGTTTCGCCCCCCTCCCTCTAGAAGAAGCTGCGCCAAGCTGAAAGGCGCAACCCGGAAAATGAATTTGCGCGAATTTTTGCGCGGCACGAAAATCATCAGAGGCGGTTTTGGACGTGGCTGAAGCTCAGAAGTCTGCGCCAAAATCGCGAGAATCTGTCAAGTTTCGCCCCCCTCCCTCTAGAAGAAGCTGCGCCAAGCTGAAAGGCGCAACCCGGAAAATGAATTTGCGCGAATTTTTGCGCGGCACGAAAATCATCAGAGGCGGTTTTGGACGTGGCTGAAGCTCAGAAGTCTGCGCCAAAATCGCGAGAATCTGTCAAGTTTCGCCCCCCTCCCTCTAGAAGAAGCTGCGCCAAGCTGAAAGGCGCAACCCGGAAAATGAATTTGCGCGAATTTTTGCGCGGCACGAAAATCATCAGAGGCGGTTTTGGACGTGGCTGAAGCTCAGAAGTCTGCGCCAAAATCGCGAGAATCTGTCAAGTTTCGCCCCCCTCCCTCTAGAAGAAGCTGCGCCAAGCTGAAAGGCGCAACCCGGAAAATGAATTTGCGCGAATTTTTGCGCGGCACGAAAATCATCAGAGGCGGTTTTGGACGTGGCTGAAGCTCAGAAGTCTGCGCCAAAATCGCGAGAATCTGTCAAGTTTCGCCCCCCTCCCTCTAGAAGAAGCTGCGCCAAGCTGAAAGGCGCAACCCGGAAAATGAATTTGCGCGAATTTTTGCGCGGCACGAAAATCATCAGAGGCGGTTTTGGACGTGGCTGAAGCTCAGAAGTCTGCGCCAAAATCGCGAGAATCTGTCAAGTTTCGCCCCCCTCCCTCTAGAAGAAGCTGCGCCAAGCTGAAAGGCGCAACCCGGAAAATGAATTTGCGCGAATTTTTGCGCGGCACGAAAATCATCAGAGGCGGTTTTGGACGTGGCTGAAGCTCAGAAGTCTGCGCCAAAATCGCGAGAATCTGTCAAGTTTCGCCCCCCTCCCTCTAGAAGAAGCTGCGCCAAGCTGAAAGGCGCAACCCGGAAAATGAATTTGCGCGAATTTTTGCGCGGCACGAAAATCATCAGAGGCGGTTTTGGACGTGGCTGAAGCTCAGAAGTCTGCGCCAAAATCGCGAGAATCTGTCAAGTTTCGCCCCCCTCCCTCTAGAAGAAGCTGCGCCAAGCTGAAAGGCGCAACCCGGAAAATGAATTTGCGCGAATTTTTGCGCGGCACGAAAATCATCAGAGGCGGTTTTGGACGTGGCTGAAGCTCAGAAGTCTGCGCCAAAATCGCGAGAATCTGTCAAGTTTCGCCCCCCTCCGTCTAGAAGAAGCTGCGCCAAGCTGAAAGGCGCAACCCGGAAAGCAAATTTGTGCGAATTTTTGCGCGGCACGAAAATCATCAGAGGCGGTTTTGGACGTGGCTGAAACTCAGAAGTCTGCGCCAAAATCGCGAGAATCTGTCAAGTTTCGCCCTCCTCCCTCTAGAAGAAGCTGCGCCAAGCTGGAAGGCGCAACCCGGAAAGCAAACTCTTGCGAACTTTTGCGCGGCACGCGCGTCATCTATCGGAGGCGGTTTTGGACGTGGCTGAAGCTCAGAAGTCTGCGCCAAAATCGCGAGAATCTGGCAAGTTTCGCCCCCCTCCCTCTAGAAGAAGCTGCGCCAAGCTGAAAGGCGCAACCCGGAAGGCAAATTTTTGCGAACTTTCGCGCGGCGCGAAAATTATGGGCGGCGTTTTTGGAGGTGGCTGAAGCTCAGGAGTCTGCGCCAAAATCGCGAGAATCTGCCAAGTCTGCGCTGCTCCTTTACCGACTTCTTGAAGAAGTTGAGAAGAATTCCTTATGCAGGATAGGCATGACAGAGATCCCACAAAATTTGTCATGCTAGGCGCTGCAGTCCAGACCTCATGTCATGGGTCACGAAAAACCTAGATGACAAACCCTGCACTCTTCCCGACCCAGACATATTTGCTTTCGATACGGCAAGAGCATTCGCGATTTCACCTATGTCGGAGGAAGCGTTCGAAATTGCGTCGAACTGGTGTTCTTCTTCATCTCCTTCTCCTTCTCCCAACGTGGCGGCCAACATTACGCTCTTCCACCCTGCAAACGCCTTACCCACAGTACCTCCTCGCAATAGGAGTAAAGAAACCTTGAACAACTCCGCCCGACGTAATCTCTCCTCGGACAGCGACGCCGGCCTTGTTGCAGCCTTCAGCTGATGACAATGCACTGGACTTCTTGCCAAGCCTTGTAGTTTTTGCTCCATTTGCAACATCCGCTGTTCCCGGCGTTTCTGCTGTTCCCGATGGTAAGCAGCGAATGAATTCTCGTCATTATCTCCGCTTCCCGGCGATTCAGTCGCAGCAACTAGCTCGGTCCTCCGGTCGAGCGCGAATCCTTTGATCGTATCTGCAGTGGTGTCATTATCCGTGTGGGAATGAGCTTCTTCCTCGGTTTTGTGGGACAAAGTCAAGGCTTTTTCCGGCACCGGCCTTCGGTGAAGAGAAGTTGGAGGGTTCAACATTCGCGTGCTGCCCGTTTGTTCATCACCAACTGTAGCAGATTTGCCTCCGGGTACAACCTGCTTTATCAGGTCGCGGACAGAGGAGATCATCGGTCGTGCGGAGAAAGAGAGAGACGCGTTGGCTCCTTCCCCTTGCAGAGGACCTCCATCGTGATGTCCATCTTCGGTATTGAGAGTTCCTCGCGAGGGGTCCTCGTTGAGCGTACGCGAGATCGAGACGCCGCTCTCGGCCTGATATCAGTGTGAAGATTTTTTCAGGATTTTGGTATACAAACTCTGTCATTCCAGATAAGCAAAAGATCGAAGCTTTGTCATGCTGAATAACGATAAAAAGGTTCTATGTATCTGTACCTCCGCCTGCAACTGTTTCTTCAACTCCATGACCGTGAAATTCTCCTCCAACATCTTCAGCGCCATGCTCTGCTGGCGCTGCTGCCGTTCCTGCATCAGAAACTGACTTTCCGATTGCTCGTTCCGGATCTTCACAAAGTCCCGCTTTATTTCCATCTCCTCTTCCATATCGAACCGCCTTGCTTTCTTTTTCCCCGCAGACCCCGGCGGGGTGCTGATGGTGAAGTGTTCCACCGGACTCGAGCTGTTTGGAATGTTGTCCACTGCAGAAGCAAACACTGGCGTTGCTGGGGAAAATGCGCCCGTCTTTTCCAGATCCCGCTTCACATTGATCCTTTCGACCTTGTTGATCCTCATCTTCTCTAAATCGTGCCCAACAGTCTGAAGCCGCTCCTTGATCGTAGATGGCGGATCTTCGCTGTGGGAAGAAGTTGTGCTGTTGTTCAAGTAAGGTTCAGTTCGAGAAGTTATTCCCACACCAGTAAAAGTCCGCTTCATCTTGGCCGGTCGTCCCGGAGCAGCAGGAGCATCTACAATTTTCTCGATGGAAATCAGGTTCTTGATTTTTTCCCTTTCAACAACAACATCGTCCGCAAAGTAGACTGCGCTTTCCGGAATAGACGCTCCTGCCGGGTGCACAGGTGTGATGTAATTCTTCTCATTTTCCTTTTCTTGGGCCAGACCCGCGAAGAGTTTCTCGAAATTCTTGTCGTAGAGGTTCTCCAACGCGTTGTCGTGATCACTAGTGTATCAACTGTAAAAAATGTCTGGGTCTGGAAGAATCCAACTTGTCATGCTGATTTTGGATTCTAAAAAAATCTGTATTGCATGAGCAGCAAAGAGCGTCCAAGTTTTGCTACACGCACAGAGCATTTGTCATGCGGTATAGGCATCAGGAAGCGCTCACAAAATCTGTGATGATAGGGCATGCATCACAGACATCAGGAGTCATGCAAAATGTGCATGACAAACCTGGCAATCTTCAGACCCAGACATTTTTACATTTGGTATGGTTAATTCAGCAGAAAAGTCTGCGCTGTTTTGTTCAGCTTTCTCCGCACTCGGCTTGCAGCTGTCCGGGGAAGAGGAAATAAAACCGCTGCTGTTGACTACACTCTGGTCGTGCAGATGCGCGCCTCCTGACTCTTGATGCTCACCGCCATTTTTGTCCACCACGTCAATGAAAGATCGCTTCGAGAGAATTTTCACGTGCGCCGCCTTGTGGAAGTAACTGGATTTGTTGTTCTTCGCAGACGCGTCGGACAACCCGGCGAAGGAAACAGTAGAGAAGTTGTTGGGGTTCTTTTCTTGCGTGTAGTCCGACGACCCGTGCAGTTTATTCTTCAAATTCTGCTGCAACACCGCCATCACTTTACTCTTCTTCGTCTTTTTCAACACCCGCGGCGCTTCCGGCGTGGAGAAAACGGAGTCGTTTTGCTTCTGGTCCTCTAAATCGACGCTTTCATCAACCCAATCATCTTCCGGAGGGGACTTGTGCTGGTCCTTCGGAATGTTCGTAGCCGCAGTTTTTGGTTTATTCTTGTGCTCGTCGAGCTTGCCGTCGGCACCAGTAGCTCCAAAGAAACCGCCAAAAACCGACGTGTCGATTTTCCCAACTAAAGGGGTTCTTGTTGCAGTCGCCCCAATAAATAAACCGCCTTGAAAAACCGTGTCGATTTTGCCAACATCTAGAGAAGACTGCTCGTCCAAGGTTTCGGAGAGAGGGTGGACCACAATTGCTGCTTCCTTGTCATTTGTTCCCTCCGTAGTTTGTGCATGAGATGAACTTTGCTCTCTTTCCTGTTTCTTCTTGTCAACAACAGCCTTCACAACTTCCAAAAAGTCCGCTCCGGAATAGGACGACGCCCGCGGCCGCTTCTTCCTGTTGTTCTCCTCGTCAGAGGAAATTATCGGTGAGGAAGTAGCTTTGTGTAGCAGTTCGGCGATCGAGGCGGACGAACTGCGCGGTCGCTTGTACAGAATTAGGTTCTTTTTCGACTTGTTCGTTATGTCCTCGCCTTGGTCGTTTTCAACCACGACCGCAACCGGAGCCGGCGGCGGCGCCAACAGAGATGACGCGGGTGCACGGTTTTTCGAATTCAAAGGGTTGAATTTCTTCACCGGGGCGTGTTTTTCGAAGTCGGAATCGGAATCTTCGGGCACGACTACCTTCGGTGGCGCTAAAGCCCTCGCCAAGGTGCGATTTTTCGTGCTTTCCGGGTTGAACTTTTTCACCGGGGCGGAATCGGAATCGGAATCCTCATCTGTCATTGTTTTGCCAGTTGTTCCGTCTGCCCGGGCAGCTGAAATTCCTCCTGCTTTTTCACAAGAAGTAGAGCCGGTTCTTTCTTCATTGCTAGTTCCGCGGACCGGCGTCTCTCCAATAATTTTCGGTGGCGCCAAGTCTTTCGCCAGAGTTCTGGTCGTACTGTTCTTGGGGTTGAACTTCTTCACCGGTTCGTCCTGTTCTATTCCGGACTCCTCCTGCTGAGCAGATTCAGTGCTGGCACCTTCTGCTTCATTCCCCAGCAGTACCTTCGGTGGCGCCAGATCTTTCGCCAAGGTCCTCGTCGTGGAAGAAGCAGGATTGAACTTTTTCACAGGCTCTTGTTGCACGACATCGTCCTTCTCGACGTCCATTTCTGTTTCATCTTCACCCACTGTAACCTTCGAAACTTTCGGCGGCACCAGGTCTTTCGCGAGGGTTCTGTTCTTGGAACGGCCTTGGTCAAACTTCTTCACCGGTTCCTCGTTTTCGCTTCGCTGATCAGCGTCTCCGGTCTCGCTTCCCGCAGAACAGCCTTCTTTTTGATTTTCTCCCGCAGCGCTAGCAGCCGTGTTCTTCTTCGGCAGACTCGGCGGCACCAAATCCTTCGCCGCCACACGCGGAGCACATGACTTCACACTTGGTTTCTTCTCTGGATCACCGAACGCCGACATCTCGGTGTCCACTCTGTTGTGCTGATCTCCCGACTGTTCTTCATTTTGCTCTCCTTTCCTCGCCAAAATGCTCCCTAACGTCGGTGGCACCAAAGCACTCGCTTTGACCTTCGCGTATCCACCGCCGCCATCCGCACCACTTTTCTTCTCCGGACTGCAAAACCGGTTTCCCTCGGCATCGTATGGCGTTCTCAAACGTTACACTCTCAACTGTTACATGAATTTGTCATGCAAGACAACCTTAAGCCGCCAGATGATCAAGCTGCTTCGCATGACAAATAATCGAAAGGCCAGACAGAACCTAAATCCATGCAAAATTTGTGATGTAAGACTTGCAAGCTTGCCCCTTGCCCTATTGCTGTTTTTGCATGTTGACAAATTCATGTAACAGTTGAGAATGTAACAGTTGAGAACGCCATACATCGTGGTAACACGTTGTTCCTGCGTCGGCTCCAACGTTCGCATACAGCTTCGCGTAGATGTCGGCTAGCGAGGCAGGCGGCGTCGGCACGAACACCTTCGGGGGGACGGTTTCGGACGCTGTCTGCTTTTTGTTCTCCTTGCAGCCTGCAGTTCGGTTCAGAAACTTCTTCACCGGACCCTCGTTGTCGGAGGAGGAATCGCTCTGGTTTTGTTCCGTATTGTCGCCAGTTTTGCTGTTCGACTGTTGAACACGATCGCCAGCGGGAGAAGAAAGCTCCTTTGGAGTGCCAGGAGCGTGATCCTCCGTTTTCTTCTCCACTGCAGAATCTTTATTCCTACCGTTGGAAGTAGTTTTGTGCTCCATCACACTGCTATCTGCCATACCGTTCAGAACCGGACTCACCCCCCGTTCGATGATCGGATGCACCATTCTTGTCGCGCTGATCGACCGTCGCGCCCCACCGCCTAACACCGGCGGCTTGCCCAGCTTCGGGGAGGGGCCGCGGGAAGTGGAAGCAGTCGTGGTTGGAACGCCAGTCGGAACAGATTTAATTTTCGACGCGTCTTCTTCTTTGGTATTCAACTTCGGAGTAGAGGTGGAGGTCGCTGTTGTGACATTAAAAGCCGCACGCTTCATCTTGTCAACACCAGCGCCAACAGTTGGCGTATTCGGTGCCGATGCCGAGGCGGTGATTCCGACAAAAGCCTTTGTACTCTTCTCCGCGGGTCGGAAACCTCCAGAAGCAGCACCGCTTGCCGGCGTTCCAAAACCAGATCCACCAAAACCACACCCTCTTGCACCAGAACTACCAAGACCCAAACCAATTCCAGCAACACGACTGCCAGGTGTGCGATTGTTCTGCTTCAACCGGTCAAACCGCACGTTCCGTAGCAACTCGCCAAATTTCAAAGTCTCCTTCGTATCCGGATCCAACCATTGATTCCCGATCCCATCGGCAATGGTCGTCGGAATCGTCGTTAAAATAAACAAGGACGGGGTCCAGTCAAAAACAGCAGCAGAAGTCGCGGACGCGCCTGGTCCTGCAGTTATCTCCTTCTGCAGCAGCGGCTTCAGAAACAACGTTAATTTCGAGTTCCGAAAGGGGATGTAGCTGACGGAGGAACTTTTTGTGCTCTGGCGCGCCGCGTGCCCCTGAATGTGGCGGGTGGTCGCGGTTAATAAACCAGAGTCCTTTGTGCAGGTACTGGCGGCGGTGCTCAGGGTGGAAGCGTTCAACAAGTTGCTGTTATTTACTCCCAATAAAGATGAAGATGTTGGCGTGCTTGCAGCAGCACCATGATCTCCTCGTGGCGAGTTGTGGAACTCCTTCGCTTTCACCTTGGATAACTTCTCCACGACCTCCCGCAAGGCGTTCAAACTCAGGTTCTTCCGGGTCGGGGAGGGGGTATGCTGTCGGTTCTTCCCGCCCTTCATCTTCATCACCACTCTCCCCCCGTTCTATGCAAGAAAAAAGCTGCGTGAGTGTAAATCTGTAATGCAGAACACGCAACAGAGTCACGCCTGTCATGCCAGACAGCCATGAAGTTCTCTTTTCGTGTGTGTTTTCCCTTACAAGCCACGCATGATAGGTTTTCTCTGTCATGTGGAGCAAATTTGTGATGCTGTCAGCCAAAGATAGTTACACGAACACAATTTTTTTTCTTGGATACGTTCTGCAGGAAGTTCAAACTCGGGCGGGACAATGGGGAACGGGAACTTGCGGTGGGGGAAGAATCAAGGATGGTCGAGGAATTGTGCGTCGAATGGTAGTAATCTTGGTTTTTCACGTTCATCTTGTTGCCATGTTTACCGGCCGTAGTTGTAGTTCCGGTCGGCAACAAATTCCGTTGCCAACTCCCCAGGTCGACGAAATGGAGTACCGCGGTTGTCGTGTTTGTTGAAGAGAAAGTTGCAGTAGATGAACTACCATTGCTAGTAATTACATCCGGCTTCCCAACATCATCCGACGGCGTCTCCTGCAAAACCGGGGAGTTTTGGTGGATGGAGAAAACCGCGTGTTGCCCCGGAAATTTCGGTTTGTCGAGTTTGCTGTCCCACAAGAGCGACAAAGCCTGCTTGATCTTCTCGCAGATGATGGAAGAAGAAGTGGGGGCTGTGGCTGAAATCGTGTTTGCATCCTCCTCCCCAACTAAAGGCACGTGCCGGGCGTTCTCGAATCGCGAGATTGTTTGGAGTTCCGGGGGTAAAACCGCTTTCGGTTTGTACACGTCGATTTTCTCCTTTATCCTGTGCAAAAGTATCGTACTCGTAGTAATCGCGTTTATGCATGACAAATCTCTTTTTCAAAGTAAGTATAGCATGAGAAATTCCATTTGTGATGCTGAGCAAATTTGTAATGCGATTGCTACTAGTACGATGCTTTTGCATTTCATATCCTTCAAGCTTGTCTGATGTTTCTCCGCGAACAAATCGCAAATCTTTTCGTCCGGCAGGAAGGAGACAAAGGTGCAGGTGAAAGATGAGGTCGTGGGGGCGAACGAGAAGTCGTGTTGTAGTTGCAGTTTATCGCCATCCGCAGATGAAGCCAGCAGCTCTTCTAACTGTTTTAACACCCGCGGGATGATTCCGGAGGAGAAGAATTCCGGGCGGACCGCAGAAGAAGAACCCGAATCCGCATCGGTCGGCATAACAACTTCCTCTGTGCAGGAGTTCGTCCTGGAGCCACGGACTTCATTGCCCGTCGAAAGTAGTAGACTTTCCTCTCCGAACATCAACTTCGTCTTCCCGGTGTGTTCAGCGCCGTAGAGCACAACACCGCTGGACTTTTTCCCCGCGACGAAATCTTGGATATAGGAGGAAATAGCGGCTTCGATGTGGTGGTTCTGTTGCTGTTGTGTGTGACCTGACGGTACAACTCTTTGCACTGTCTCGTCCTCCTGCTCTTCGGCAGCGCTTTTCCCGCCATTCGGGACGGCGGAAAGCACGATGGTGCGGAGAAAATTCTCGTCGAAAGCAGGTAGTTGATCGGCGGGTGGTTGCGATGAGGTGCTGCCGGGTACGGGTTCAGCAGGAGACGCTGCTATTTTTGCGTCCCCGTGCGGCACTCCGACCTTCATGTCGTTGTCCGGCAGAGGCGACCCTTCTGGCGGCGCGGTGGAATTGGTCGTCAAGGACGGCATCATACAGATTGAGACTTAATTTTGTCCAGGTCTGTTGTATCAAGCTGATGCAGCTGAATCAATACCAGACGTCGTTTTAACTTCTAGTAGCAATCAACATAGTATTACCTTTTTTATTTCGCGTTCAACAGGGGAAATCTAAATTTCGTTTGCTTGCCAGAAGTGGTGATAATACTCCAAGGCCTCGTGATGCTTCGAGAGAGCAAAAACGAAGAGCTTGCACTGTTTTACGAGGTGAATAATCACAAGAAGTTTGATTCTCGATTTCCATTCGGTGCCATTTTTCTCTCGATCTAGACTGTCGACCCGCACACCACATCGCTCTCGCGCATTCTAAGACGAAAATCAAAATGCTGCTTCTGGAGACCCTACTTACGCCACGCTTCCAAATTGAAAACGAAGACAAACAATTTTCTTCTCATTTGCAGCTGCTCGTCACTCGTTCCACCCATTTTTTAACACTCTCTCACGAACAGATAACAAAAAGAACAGAAAACCGAGCTTCTGGCTTTGACGCGTGCGTACTGAGCACCAACGATGGGTGGTCCTGTGAAGAAATTGCCAATTTATACATGTCGTGGGAATTGGTGCCCAGAAAGAGCGCGCAGCCATCAAAGCAGCACGGCTGGCAACGATTGCCGCTCGTGCGCAATCTCCCATCATGGTGCCAACCATTGGGCGAGATTAGCAACACACGGACATCGCGATAGCGAGCTAAAGACGTCGGCGGCCTTCCCGACCTGCGCCCGATCGATAGTGGGCGCCGCGTTCCTTCCGCGGCAACAGGGGGCGCGCCAAAGCACCCACACCACGAGCGGACCAGCCCGGCAGCGCGCTTCCTCCGATGGCGGCCGGCTGACCTGAAGGGGGCCCCGCCCCACACAATGGCCGAACGGGCGGCGCTTGGCGGGGCGGCAAAGGCCGGCCCGGCTCGGCAGTGGCGCAACCAAGCGCCGCGGGGGCGTTCGCAATCGCGGGGGCGCCTTCATCGCTCGCACAATTTGAGCAACCAACTGAACATCTTGGCGGCCAAGCTTTTTTGGTTGCGCCTTGCGCCCGGCCGAAGGCGCGCGCGCCCCCCGTCCGTCCTCGCGGCGGGCCGTCTCGTCCCCGCGCAGCGAGGGACGCTGCAACAGGAATGGCGCACGGAAGGCGCTGGGACGAGTCGCGCCCATACTGAGTTGCAGCTGCTGCCTTCTGGCTTTCTTCTTCCTACGAAAAATTCGGCAGCAACGAAAATTATAATGATACTCTGTTCTCCGAAAATTATAATACATGGAGATTTATATGAGGCAACTTTCTTTCGTGGCCAACACTGCTCCACTCGGGCGGAATGCTCGGAAGGACACATCACTCTGAAGCAAACGCCACTACCTCGTAAGGAATACCCAATCCTTGTAAATTTGGTGGCGCTGCTGATTGCAATACAACCCCTCGAGCTCTCTCCTTTTGGAAACACTTTGCCGCCCTCCGAACATGAAGATACAGACGCACGTCGAAGACAGCGAAACACCACTTCTATCTTCTTTAATATTTCCGTGCGTCGTTTATTGCAACTGACGCTTCAATCTCATCTCGTCACCATCACTCGTTTTATCCTTATTTCTGGAACAGAAAAAGAACACCAGAACGAACTGGCCCCGGAAAGGACTGCAAGAGAAAAAACGACCCTGATCAACAGATCAGTAGAAAAAGTGTTAACGACCTAAACCTGCTCGTGGGTATCTTTACTAAATGCTTACATACGCAATACACACACAGGTAAGACACGCGCACGAAGGTGCGCAGCGAGCGCGTGCGGCCAGAAACACTCGGTCGAGCGCAACGTCACGACGGCTAGAGGCGCGGGCGGCGCGGGCCAACGCGGCCGTCGGACAGGGCGTAGGCCAGCCCCACGGGATCGCCCGGGCTGCGCACTGTGACTTCCCACTGGGCAGTATCACTGCGCCCTCTCACAACACACCAAGAGCGGGCTCTGGGCCGAACGAAACAGAGCCCACCCCTACCGGCGGAAAGGTAGGCGGACCGCGACCACAGCCGGCCCAGGGGGGAGTTAGTCGCAACCGCCGCAACGCTGCTGGAAACCCCACCAGAGCCAGCGAGGGGCGCCACGCCATTGCTCTGGCTTTCGGTAGCAGAGCCCGGCAAGCCAGCCGCGCCTTTCTTTGCTCATGACTTCGGCGGGCCCCATACTCGTCTACGGTGTCTTCGCCATGCTTCTTCTAGGTGTCGGGGGCGGGCAGGCCGCGCTCGCCCACTCTGCCTGGCTCCTTGCCGGCGAGCAGGCCGCGTGGCGAAGAGCCAACGGAAACAAGGAAGGGCCACAAAGGAAAGCCCACGCAGACGCTCGCAATCGCGCGCGCAATATAAAAGCGCCACCGCTTCGCCCTTCCGCTCCTGTGTGTTTTGCAGCTTCTGGGCCCCCACAGGCGACCGGGCCGCGTTCGTCGAAGACGTCTGTGAGCACTCGCAACGCGCTCCGCGGAGCCCTCGCATTGTCCGGCCCTCCCATACACAATGCCGAGGCCAGGCGGGGCGCTGCGGTGTGGCGAGCGGACTACGCCACGCACTTCATTGCGTCGCTCGTCCACAGAGGATGGATTCATTGGATCGCTCGTCCGTTGTAGTGTTGCGCCTTGTGTTCACACGATAAAACCAAGATCTCGACCCTCGCCTCAATATGCCACATCCATGACCAAGCACAACTCCCTAAGTAGTTGCGGACAACGCCACTCTTACTCTCATCTCCGCTCCCAGAAAAAACTACTCAAATCTAGAACACTCCGGTGAACAAGAGTGGAGGTCACCGCTTCGCTGAAATCTTGATGCTGCGCAGCAGCTTTGCCGAGAATCAGACTGACAACTACGTAAGTGTTCATTTTACACACACATCAAACAGATGGCTCAACATGTCTCATGCGCACTATTATATCAATCTGGGTTTTCATCTTACAGGCTTTGAGTCTCATCAACTCGCACTGCCGTTCCGCTCCAGGCTGACGAATAAGTAGCAGTTTTGGTCGGTTGATCCTCCAGAAAGTGTACCTAAAACATCAATCACGACAAGGACGCCACACCCACACCATAATTCGATTATGAATTTTACACATGTAATATCCATCGTGCGTAAATACTACTTCCTTCACGTCCTTCTCCTATTATGTTCCTTTTCCCAGAACCCAACCGGCTCGCGATACCGTATCCTCATCCCATCGTCGAAACCCATGTGTGAAGATGCTACGTCGGTAAGTCTTCGAACCCCCGTCCCTCCATGATCGCCACCCACTCGTTTAACTTCCGCAACTGCTCCGTTTTGTGAACTATGCTCTGCAATAAAAGGTCGTGGAATTTATATCGGATGAAGGATTTTTAGGATTGCAATGCTCGCCATGCAAAAGTCTTTAAGTAGAGTTTGATGTCGTGGAACGGGAAGATAGAAGAAGTAAGTACGACCATCAAACAAGCACATCTGTCATGCCGAAGGTGTCATGCAATTCCGATGTCAACCACTCCTGCGTCTACCGCACATGAAGATTCTACGCCTTTTGCAAAAATGCGTATGAAGATCACACACCACATAGTAGTCGTCGAATTCGCGCAGGCGGTGGGTAGCGTCCTCCTCTTCGCTCTCCGTGTTGAATAATTTCAAAAAATCCCTCTCCCCCCGCTGCAACTGCTGATGTATCGCCGGTGTTGCGGCACTGGAGGTTCCCAGTTGTGCTGAGTTGTCTCTGAAAGGATTTGGCGCCCGGTTTTCAACCGATGACTCGTAGGCTGTGCTGTTAAAAAGCGTCGACCTGCTAGAATCTGCGGGCAGGTCGAAGTTGTGCCTCCGAAACGCCATTCTTTGCGTGCTTTCGACGTTCGAGAAGATTTATGCATTGCAAAAATGTCTGGGTCTGGATGATTCCGGGATTTGTCATGCACTTTTTCCAAGCTCCCGGAAGTCTGGAATGCGGCACCTAACATCGCAGGCTCTGCCGCCCTTTCGTGATGCCTATTCTGCATGAGAAATACCCTGTCAGCATGGCCAGAAGGCAGCACCTTTTGCCAGTCATGCAACACAGATCTGTGTACGATCCGCAACTCGCATCACAAGTTCGGATCCTTCCAGACCCAGACATTTTTGCATTTGATAAGATTGTAGCCATGGCATCCACAGGAAAAAAAAAACCAAACACAGCATGACCATCATTCGCAGTCGCATTTGCAGGTTGTAAGTATGACGAGAACCTATAATTGCATCATTATCAATTCATCTACGATCAAACATATTCCACGCTTTCTTGCGGCTGACATCTTGGGTCAACAACTACACAGGATGGTTTTTGATTTTTTCCCAGAACGATAAATGGAGCTCAGCGGCCTGCGTCGCTTATCCAGATACCACTCTTTCCGGTTGATGCGATAGTGGTTTCTATCAAATGCAAATATGTCTCGGTCTGGAAGGATGCAAGGTTTGTCATGCACAGTTTTCATGACTCCTGACGTCTGTGATGCATGCCCTAGCATCACAAGTTTTGTGAGGGCTTCCTGATGCCTATACCGCATGAGAAATGCCCTCTCGCCGTGGCAAAACCCGTACCGCTTTTGCTGTCCATGCAATACAGATTTTTGTATTATTCAAATGCAGCATCACAAGTTGCAACCTTCAGACCCAGACATATTTGCATTTGATAGTTTCCCGGGCCGCGCAAAAACGTGCCATCTTCAGCAGAATGTGGAACGTGATCTCCGGACGGCGTCGTCGTCGTGGATTCCGGTTGTATTTGTGGACCAGTTCCTGATGTTCCTGCTGTCCCTGATGTGCTCGCAGTAGAACCACCGCCGGCAAAACTGGAAATAAAGCTTCTCTCCGAAGCTGTCCGTAACGCATCCATGGCCAACTCGACAGGAGATCTTCTAGAAGTTCGGCTTTGATGTGACTCTGACTGTGAGGAAGCACCAGCTGCAACCGTACTAGCAGTGCTGTCCTGCGTTGTACTATCGGGAAGGAACATCGCAGACCTGATCCACTCCGGATCGGCAAACGGGTTTGGTGTTCCCGAAGTAGTAGAAAGAAGAATTGTGCTCGGTGCTGGTTTGGACAAAAAATTTTGCAACCAGTCTTCGAGATGACCAACATTGTTGCTACTCGTGGTCCCTGCGCCCGTAGAAGTTCTTGATGTTCTTCTGTCAGCGGCTGAGTCATCTTGTGTTTCTTGTGCCACGCCTTGGACACCTGATTCTGCTTGCGCTTCTTGCGCTGTCACTCCTTGCACTTCACCTTCAACCTCCTCCTGGTCGATGAAATTATCAACCAAAGGCAGCTCCGTTAACTGAAGAGACACCGCCTGCTGGGCGAGGATGTAGTCGCGACTGGGTTCATATCAAATGCAAATATGTCTGGGTCTGGAAGATTGCCAGGTTTGTCATGCATATTCTGCATGAGCCACGAAGCCTGTAATGCATGATCTAGCATCACAGATTTTTTTTAGAGAGCTTCCTAATGCCTACTCCGCATGAGAAATGCCCCCTCCGCATAACACAAACTTGACTCTTGTTGCTGGTCATGCAATACAGTTTTTTTGGAATCCAAAGACAGCATTACAAGTTGCACTCTTCCAGACCCAGACATATTTTCACTCCATAGTTCAGCAAACCCCTGCGGTGGGAGGGCGCCGTCTTCGTACTCGAGCAGCTTGACCAAGTTTGTGCCTCGGCGCTCGCGCCGGTATTCCTGCAGTGGCGGCTTGTTGCGTTCCCGGCAGGTCAACGCGTCGGACTTCCTAAGCAAAAACGCCCCACCCCAGAGCTGTCATGGAAATGCGCAATGACAGGAACATTTGCAATGCGCATCTCCATGAGAGACATTTCCAGTCGTGTTCTGGAATTTGTAATGCTGTAAACAGGATGACAAACTGGATTTCTCATATGGCTGCCGCCCTTGCTAACCAGCACTGCGCTGCAGATAGAAACTTGTCATGCACAACTCCCAAAACTTGCAGATTTGTGCTGCAGATTTACCAACTTCACTATGGGGTGGGGATGTTTTTGCTCAGGATACCCGGAGCACCGTGAGCTGCGGCCACGTTGCCCCACCAATATTGCTCTTTGTCGTTCAGGTCTCCTCCTTCTTTGCGAATAGTAAAGTCGCTCGTCACGAGTATGTATCCACTTGGAGAAAGCGATGATCTGGGTCTAGCCTATTTTTCAGAACCTTGTGCTGCTGCTGAGTCGTGGGTGCGTGAAGTACAACTAGAGACGCTTGATTTATTGCAAGCACAGCACCACTCAAGGAGCATGAAAAGCTTTTCAACGTTGTCTCAGTCTCACGACACACAGCACGCATGACAAACGAAACACAAACGGCGTTTTTGCATGAGAGAAGAACAAGTGCCGCTTTGTCGGTCATGCAACACAGATTGAGATTCGAGGTACCGTTCTGGAGCACATGAAAATGCAACACAAGCAAGCGTTTTTGTTTGACAAGTTCAGCTTTTATTACAGACCCATTCCTCTGTCTTCATGTGTCCAATGCCATAGCATGCACACGTCTGTGACCCGGTCCCCGGATGCCTCCTCCTCCCCCGCAGCTTCTTGCCCCCGCTCCACCTCCTGCGCTACTTGACTATCACGACCCGTCTTCAGGACGTGGCCGAGGTCCGATGTCCTCACCGCTTTCGGCCATGCCGCGGACAGCCTCGCCCGTTTCCCCACGGCAAAATTTTTGATCAGCCTCTCCCGCTTCGCATCCCTTTCCCACCCGTTGAAGACGGGTCCGGGGGGGCGTTCAGCCGTAGCAGTTGTGCCCAACAGCCGGCGCATGACCATGCGGTTTGGCAACCAAAATCTCCCTCGTGGCCCCGCCTTCCAAAAGTCCCTGCTCGGAAACACCTGACGCAGCGGCAAGTGGGCCGCGGGGTAGCCACCCTTATGCACTGCAAAAGTATCGCACTCGTAGTGATTATCGCAGTCATGCATTAAATAATCTATCAAGGTAAAGGCGCATTACAAATGGCATTTGTAATGCTGAGCAAATTTGTGATGTCCTTTATACTAGTAAGCTACTTTTGCAGTTCATACCCCTTCCCGACTGGTAAGTCTTCCACGAAACGGTCGAGATAGAAGCCGCGAGAGGCCAAGTATCATGTGTAAAAACGTCCCCACCCCAGAACAACTCTGCATGCTGGAAATGTTTCTCTTTCTCATGCGGAGCCCCATGAGATGCATCCTCTAGCGGTGTTTTGGAATTTGTCATGCTCCAATCAGCATGATATCCTAGATCTGTGATGCTGCTTAGTTAGATCAAACAGCCCTACACTACGAGTCCAAATTTGTCATGCAAAAAAGCCAAAGCCTGTAGAATTGTCTAGCCGATTCTCCATCTTGACTATGGGGTGGGGACGTTTTTACAGAGGATACCAAGGAGTCCGTGTTCAGGGCAACCACGCACCTATCCCCGTTGCTCTCGCGGTATCAAATGCAGAAATGTCTGAGTCTGGAAGAATGCATGTTTGTCATGCTTGTCTGGCTTAGCTCTTAAATCTGTCACGCACGTTACCCAAGAGCTCCATTTTTCTGTGATGCAGAAGCGCAGTTTGTCATGCAGAATAGGCAACACCTAGAAGCTCAGAAACTTGTCATGCTGAGCCAGCATTTGTGGCCTCATCATGAGACGCCACCCAGCATCACAAGTTTCCTGACCCAGACATTTTTACATTTGATACGCGGTACTCCGTGCCAATTTCGGTCCGGGCAATCGGGAACGTGCGAAAACGAAAATCTGAGAGAGTGACAGATTCTGAGTACGCCCGGAAAACCGCTCCGCCGTGCAGGAGGTCCGACGAGTTTTTTCCATCGGTCCCCGGGGCGTTCTCCTGGTGCACTTGGCTTTCGAAAACCGTTTTCAGGAAGGCCCGCATTTGCTCATCGTACGACAGTTCGAGTTCCTCGTACGAGTGTTCGAGTGCCGCATTTTGCACCTCGTTGTACTTGTCCTCGACGACAGCCGAATTCTCTATGCAGTGCAAAGACCGCTGGGTCTTCTACAAGGATCCAAACTTGTCGTGCTGTGTCTCAATCGCACAAAAAGAAAAATCTGTGTTGCATTCATATACAGCAAAAATTACAACCCACTTGCCACACATAGGGCCAATTTCTGATGCGGAATAGTGATCGAGAAGCCCTTGTCGCGCATTCTGTGATGCTTCAGGTTGCATTCCAGACCGTCTTTCGTCGTGGTGTACGCGTAGTTTTACACGATGCATGCCAAACCTTACACTCTTCCAGACCCAGAGATGTACATGAATTTCATATTCTCATCCACAAACCGATTCCCGAACAGCCCCGCTTGCATGTGCGTGGATACTATGGAAGCGACAGAAGAAGAAATCTTCAGCTATAAGATTTATACGTTTTGATAAGGTCGGATCTTGTTCACGCGGGGGCACACGCGGTGGGTCTGATCATAAACGACGAGAGGAAACATCAAAAAGTCAAGTTTAAGACCTATGTAGTGCATCCTGAATGAGGGTTATTTCAAATCGAATGCATGTATGCAGACGTTTGCGGTGGGTTTCTGAAAATCAGACTGTTGTATGCAGTAGCAGTTTTGCGTCGTCCTATATTAGCACCAAACTCCAGTCAAATTGAAAGTTTCCTGTTCAATCATCGCTTCCATACTATACAAGCCTGGTCCCTCGAAATTGGCGCCGTGGTATGCCTCGGCCGGGAGCGTTGGGAGCTGTTGAGATGTGAGCGCAGTATCGAAGAAAATTGCGTCGTGGATGCGTTGGGCGTCGCGCGTATAGTAGTAAACCACCTTGGGGTGCGCAAGTGCGGTCCGTGGAAAAAATCGGAGGCTGGTTGTCAATTCAAGAGACATCAATTCAGCGTCGTGGTCCAAATCGCTAGTGCTTGTTTCAGCAATCGCATTTCCGAGCGCGATTCGGCGCAGTAACAGTGTCCAAAACATGGTATCCAGCATGGCCCTGGCTTTCTCCTCGGTAAACGTGTAAGTCCGCTGGAACTCTGGCTCGATGGAACTCATCCTTTCCAGGTCGAGATCGAAAAAAAGGAAAAATGCGTCCAGGTCCCAGGGATGAACGCGGACTTGCAAAAGGTCTTCAAACATCTTCGCCGTCCGGAACTTCCACGCTAGCAGTTCTTTCACCGACCAATTTGGATTTGCACTGACCCACTGTTTTTTCATAGTCCACCTCTTGGACACGTCCCCGCCAAATCCCCGGTGTACGCGCCACATGGCCGGCCGCACGGTCTCGTCCAGGAAGTCGCTTGTCAGGTAGTCGTTCGACATATTGATCGTCTCATCTGCCGACGTTGTCGTGGAGGTGAACGTGCTAAAGTTCGTCAGCATTCTATCAAATGGAAAAATCGCCCCGCTTCATATTGAAAAGAACGTTTCTGATGCTGGATTTGGATACACAAATCACATCTGTGTTACAGTAGAGGAATGCACGCAGATCCTGAGCCTAGGCGGGGGCCTTTTGGTGTAGGTGCGTAGCATGCTAGACGGCTACCCTGTAAGCCTTACAGCATCACGCATCGCTTCCATAACGTGGCGGACTGCCTGCGTGTGCCTTCTTGCAAGACAGGTCCGACTTGTGGCCACAAATCTGCATCGCAAATTTTCAGATGGATGCGTTTTTAATATAGGGAGGGGGGTGGATTTTTCCTCACAATACATTCGCATCTGAAGGTAATCCCGAACGGAATTTTGGGAAAAGCCGCCAGGCTGGAGGTTGCCGGCCTCTATCAAACGCAAATCTGTGTGGGTTTGGAAGATTGCGAGATTTGTCATGCGGGTCCGGCATGACTCTGCCCTCTGTATTGCGGGGCCGCAAAGAGCTCCTTTTCCCTGTCATTCTTCAAAAACGCACTTTCTCATGCGCAACAAACAACTCACGACCACGGAAAAGACTGGCCATGCTTGGCAGCGCATTAGTACAGTGTGCTCATAATTATTCCCTAACTTGCATCACAACCTCCCAGAGGACCCAGACATATTTGCAGTGCATATCCGCGTCGTAAAGAAGTCTCGGATTTTCCACGCTCTCCACGTAGGGCCCGTACACAATTTCCTTCGGAAACGGGGGCCGCGGCTTCAACCTCGCGTAGGAAAGGTGAATTTTGTCGTCGCGAATGTTTTCGAGAAAATGATGCTGGAGGGTCAGGTTTTTTAGCGCCGTTGGAAGAAGTTGATTGTTCTGCGCAGCTGGGACAGCGGGAGGAGCAGTAGAGCCATCAGCATGCTGAAGATTCTCATTGTCATGCGCTGGTGGACTTCTAACAGGGGGCGTGCTTGCTGGTGTTAATATGCTTCTCCGATTTATTGTCAGCTGCATTTGAAGGAAAGACATGTCGGATTGGATTGCCGCGCCACGCCGTGAAGAACGGTCCGGAAGAACATGGTCTTCATCGTGGACACCGTCATCCCCATTCACCTTCGCATGGTGCACTTTTTCTTCCGCAAGCTCGTCCTGCAGCCCCGTCGAGAGAAAAGAAGCTCGTCCAGCAGGAGCTCCAGCTTGGGCAGAACCAGGCGATGGCGTCTGGGTCTGAAAAACTTCCGGAAGTGTCGGGCCCTCTATCCCAAACTCACTCAAGTCATACCTCTCCGCCAGCAGACTGGCGACCAATACCTCGTCCCCGCGAAACCGGTTCCACCGCAGCTCCTTTTTCAGTTCCTCTGTCAGCCGCTGCGACTCCCCGGACCGCATCGGCGCGGGACGCTCCCCTTGGGTTTTCCCACTGGGTGGGACCCACTTCGCGGGAATTTTGGCGCGGACAGTCGGGGGGATGGCTTTCGGTTTCGGCGGGGCTATAATCTGCGGCGCTTGTTGAGGTGGACTACCTGATGGGGGGGTAGTAGAACTACTACTACCTGGATCATTCGCCCCACCATCTGGTGCCGGTCGTGCTCCTCCATCTCCTCGCTGCGGACCAATCAAAAGCTCGACATCGGGAACAATGCGCCGACTCGGTATTCCTCCACGAGCTCCCCCGGGTCCTGCGCCGCCTGTCGTTCCTCCAAGCGGCTGACCTGGTGCGGGCGCGCCGCCTGGAGCAGAAGCAGGTCCTCCCAGCGCCGGTGCTGGTTCTTGCTGCATACTACCACCCCCGCCGGCCGCGGTACCACCTCCGGGATGAAGAAGAGTTTGCTCCTCCTCGTGAGTCGTGGACGACGTCTCTTTTTTCTCGTCATTTTTCTGTTCCTTCGGTACCGAAAAGACCAACACTAACGTGATCGTCAGTGCAACGACGATCACAGAAACCACGACGGCTCCGACCGTCCAGACCTTCCAGTTTTTTGCGAGCGCAGATGTGGCAGTGGCATGACCTTCCTCGTCGCTGTGATCCTTAAGAACGCGATCCGTTTGGAGATCGTGATACTGGGAGTTATCATAGTCTGCAAGCCGTTTCAGAAAGTCGTCAGAGCGTTTTGCTTCATCATCCGGTTGTAGAACAAGTTCTTGTTCCTGTATAAGATCTTGCTCGTCACCAGCATCGGCGTTCTGCAGTTGCTGCTGTTGCAACAGCAGCATCTGCGCCATAGCCAATCCCTGCGGGTTCTGCCGCTGATCGTGCACCGCCTTTAGGGTGGATAGATTTGGAACGAGAAATCTGGATTTTATTTTCTCCCGGGGGCCACGAGCTGACTCTGGGTCACGACCATCTTGATCTTGCCCCTCGCCGTCCTCCTGCTCCGTGCTTTCTTCCTCCCTCACAAAAATCTTCTCGACCACTTCCGGCCTGATTTTTGCTTTCCTGCAAGTCTTCCAGGAGAAGTCAGAGCCACTCATCTCCTCCAAGGCGGTTTTGATCTCTTCCGCGGATATCCGCTTTTTCGGGTCTTTCACGAGACAGTGCTGCAGAATACCGTTCAAGTGCTCGAACTGCAACTGACTTTCCTCGGGCAAATAAACTGTAGTTGTTGTGTCGGCTTTTGATTGTGCTGTTGGGGTTGTATGATCTGATCGTCCTCTTGCTGGTCCATCTGCGACGGCATCAGGCGCGACGAAGTTTTTGTGTTCTCGAAGTAGGTCATCAGCGTCGTCGTCCTTCGACGTCTTTCGGTTATTTGTGCGTGACATTTTCTCTAGTACTTCTAGAGGTTCAACGTGTGAAGAGAACTGTATTAACTTGGATGGCGGGGAAGTGTAACTTTGCTTTTCTCTGCCACCTGGTGCCGTTTTTGCCGCGGAATCTCGCTGGGACCCTCGGGAACGCGAAGATGGTATGCAGAAAAACAAAATAAAACCTTCGTCAATGATGAGATGAAGTACACGCACTCTTTAGAAGTGCAGCCTGTACTTACACCAGAAATATATAACGCGCCGTTCTCCTAGACGTAACAGGTTCTTCCTGGATCTTCATACACAATCGTAAGAAACGATGAATATGAACCAAGCAAAAAAACGGACACTCATCTCCTGGGATTTATGCGTACTGTAATGTCACATCAAACATTCATGCCTCGGTCGTGCACGTGTCGCAGAAACTGCATCTACACAGTAATCGTCATGACGAAAGTAGATTTTCTCGTGCGGATAGATGACGCATGATCTACTTCAGCCCCAATGCCAGAAGTCGTCCCCACGTTCTTCGAGGGGGGTATCAAAGTGCTGGCCGTGCTCTGGAATTCCAAGTGCTGCTCGTTCTCTATAATAGTGGCCGGGTAAAAATCTTCTTCTTGTTTATCGGAGTTCTTTTTGCTATTTGATTTCGACAGCAATCCCGCCTGGCCGCTTGAAGAAAGTGTAGGCCTCTTATGTTCCTCGTCTAGTACCCGTTCCACTTCTTCTATGGGAAATCGCTTGACCTGCGGAAACTGAATCACCAAGTCCGGATCTATCACCGCAAACATAACCCGATTATACCCCCCTCCGGCGGCTCCGCCCGCCTTGGAACTCAATCGCATCAGGTGCTCGAACGGCGTTCGTAAATGGATCAATTGGTACAGAATGATCCCCAACGCCCAGCAGTCCGTATCAAATGCGAAAATGTCTGGGTCTGGAAGAAGCCGCATTTTTGCCATGCTGTTTTCGCATGACACAAGAGGTTCGGCATGGAAGCCCCTAGCATCACAGGTTTCTACATCAAGGTTCCGCAATGCCTAATCTGCATGATAAATCCCTCATTTTCTTGGTGACAGGAAAGGGGCAGCTTTTGCCTCCTATGCATGAGAGATTTTTCTGTGTTCTGAAATGCGCATCACAAGTTTGCATTCTCCCAGACCCCGACATATTTGCAATTCATAGTCCGCCGCGGGTCGCATTTTCAACAGCTGGTCCGCGTTTTCCAAGTTTTCCGTATCAAAATGAAGAATCCCCCCTCCCCATATCAAAGCGGAAACCTGTGACGCGGGATTTGTGTACACAAATCACATTTGTCTTGCAGGAAAGCACTGCTCGCAGATCGCAAGCCTAAGGGGGGGCCTTTTGGTGTAGGGGCCTAGCATGGCAGACGTCTGCCCTGCAGGCCTTGCAGCATTACAAACGGCCTGCATATCGCGGCGGACTCTCTGGCCTTGCAAGACAAACAGGACTTGTGGTCACAAATCTGCATCACAAATTTGCGGAAAGACATGTTTTCAATATGGGGAGGGGGGATTTTTCATTTTGATATTCCGGCTGGTAAAAGCACTCCGGCGCCATGTACAACAGCGTCCCCGCGTGGTTTTGCCGAGTCACATACGACTTCTCCTCTGCAAACTGCTTCGCGAGCCCAAAATCGGACAGTTTTATCTTCACATGGAAATAAGACCGCTTCATATGATTTTCGAACGTCGGTGAACCTCCTTGATCGTCCACTAGAGGTTGCTGCACGTAGTCCGCCTCCACGTTGGAGTGGAAAACGAGGAAGTTCGCGGGCTTCAAGTCAAAATGAGCGACCTGCACGCTGTGGATGAAGGCGACGGCGTCCACCATCTGGGTCCAACAATGGAGTAGAAGTGGCAGCGACATCCCCCCGTCTGGAATGTTCATGCTGTGATAAAGCGCTTCGATGGTCCTCTCCGTCTTCTCTGAAGTGAAGTTATCGACTTCTTCCAGCGGTGTTGACGGTGAGGTTTTCGTGTTACTGCTTTTACGTCCCACCTCAGAATTTTTCATCATCGTCTTGCTTCCCTTCTTCGTCTTCGTGTATTTCAGAAACCTTTTCTGGTATTTCGCGAAGTCGCAGTCGGCGAGCTCGAGCAAGAGAAACATTTTCAAATTCTCCGGCTCGTAGTTGGCGCCGTAACTCTGGATGATGCAGTCGAGCTTTTTCGCGTTTAATTTTTCCAGGATTTCAATTTCCTTCACATACGCGTTGTACTGCCGCTTATCCTGCGCGGAGACCGCCTTCAGCGCGAATTCCCTTTTGCCTATCAAATGTAAAAATGTCTGGGTCTGGAATATTCTGAGACTTGTCACGCAGGTTTTCCATGGCCCATGATGTCTGTGATGCATGCCCTAGCATCACATATTTTTTGAGGGCATCTTGATGCCTAGTCCGCATGACAAATGTCCTCTCTGCGTGGCAAAAATTACATTCTCTTTGCTGCTCATGCAATACAAGTTTTTTTGGAATCCAAATGCAGCATCACAAGTTGCAACCTTCCAGACCCAGACATTTTTGCATTTGATATTGCCCCGGGTCGCGCGAAAAACCTCCGCGCTGCCGCCTCGCCCGAGAAACTCTTGGACGAGGAAGCTGCCCTGAGAGATGTGAAACGAGCTGTTGGTGGTGATCAGAGTCGGTGGTGATAGTTGTTGTACAACGGGTTCAAGAACTCGTTCATCCAAAATAGCAGGAGGAGGCGCAGCTCGCGCTTGATTACTCCCGAGAACACCTGTAGACACTGAGGCTTTCCATTCTTCATTTTTCCTGTTGAGTGATAAGCCAGAAGAGGTCCGCGACTTCTGCCCTGTCGAAGTGGTAGACTTCTCAAATTTGTAACTAGGCGGAGGTGGAGTGCCAGTCGTGGTTCTCCCTTTCGTTCGGTTGGTTGCTGTGCTGGAGTTATTTCTCGTCGTCGACGTCGATTCATAATTTGTTGATGTCGCTGGAGGTCGGTCACTAAAAACTTCATCACGGTCGCTCCGTCTTTGTTCTGCTTTTTCCCTTCCTCCAGCCCGTTGTCCCCCCGGCGTGTTCCTCGGAGATAAAGTTGTTCCTGTCGTGTAGTGGTACAGATCCCCCACGCGCTCGCCATTCTCATCGCTGCTGCTGGTGCTGAGCAAGGTCGGAAACTGCTCGTAGTTGACGATCATGTTGTTGGAACTGTGGGTAGTTGTTACACGGGGGCTGGAGTTCCTTCTGGGATCGCTGTTGTAGCTGTCGTTTTTACCTTCCTCGTGCTGGTCCGGAGGAGGTTGTAGTGGAACCTGAGCCACTCGCTCTGGTGGTAAGAACTCTTCTCTCCCGCGCCCATGCTGTCGTTGCTCTGGACCTTGAGCCGATGCACCAGGTCGTGATGACGAAAATAACCGTCCTTGCGGAGCGGGAGGAAGTTGCGAAGAGTCGTCTGTCGCCCAATCCTTCTTCCGCGGTGCCTCGTAGTGATGGTCTTTTTCTTCACCCCCCTGGTGACTCATCACTTTCCAAACCCGATTCTTGCGTTCCGCCTTTGCTGGTAGTGGTGGTGGTGCAGCTGCTCGGGGGTTCTCCTACATTCGCGAGCAGTAGCTGGCTGCTTGATTATAGCCGGTCCGAACCTCTTAAAAAGAAAACATTTTAGTGGCGGATATAGTACTACCTGGTATAGAACCAGTACTCAAAGTGTTTTTGACTTCACCCTATATGGACAAGGACTTGTGATCATGAAGAGGGGGGCACAGGCCCAGCGGCAGGTGCTTCTCTTGTTGAGTTTTGTCATTTCGATCATGTCTACCTACAACGACTCCGATTGATCATCTAAACGAGAAAAGCAAAAGCCATCTTCACGACCAAGTGGCTAGAGATATTCTGATGTCTGAACTAAAACTATGAGTAGGAGCCAAAGTCAGAAAGACTGTATGATAGCAAGGGTCCTCGTGAGAGGTTGGCTGCAAATACAGTGTGGACAAGTCATGATTTAGATTCTTGTCGCCGATAGATAATAATCACCACAACTAGAAGTTGCCCAGGAACTACATCAACTAACTTTTTTTTTGTTTTTATCATCATCAGTAGAACTTTCTAGACAAAAACGTTGATGTGGTAGTCGTAGAGGTAGTGAATGAATAGTACCAAAGAAAACCGTTTCGCAACCGAAGTGGAAAATAGCAAAAGTGAGAAGTTAAATCACTACGTACCGTCGATTGTGAGCGATGACAGACACGATTGCGCGGTCGGTTCCGGTTGTGAAAATTCATATGTGCCGACAGCGAACTTCTCACAGCGAGTGGCCGCCCGATGAATCATGTTCCGAATCTTGCAGACCGAAGGGGAATCTTCGTGTAACTACCGACACCACGATGTATTCATGATGAGTTGGTCCGAGCACTTCTACCTCGAATAGGTGACCACTAGTACATAACTCAGCATCCGATCTTTTGCGACGTAGGACGATATGATCTAGCACTACTCAGTCCGCACAAGCAACTTCTTCCTCCTCATTTTGGCTTGCTGTTTCGCAGATGCGACTCAGCGCAACGTGCGGATTGGCAGCGCTTCCTTTCCAAAAGGCGTTTTTTGGTCAGTCTTTCGCGCCCGACATCTTTTGGCTTGTGCCAGAAAGCTGTCGGATAAGAACATAGACAGTCACACGCCGGACTCCGAAAGGCAAAATTCAGAATCCGCAGGGATATGCGACTTTGTGACGCCACGATCGCCTGTCCCGCGACTTGGAAATGTCTAGACATTTCCAGGAAATGTCTAGACATTTCCAGGAAAAGATGGAACTTTTCCGCCTCATCTTGGATTGCTGTTTCGCAGATGCAACTCAGCGCACCGTGCGGATTGGCAGCGCTTCCTTTCCAAAAGGCGCTTTTTGGTCCGCATTTCGCACCCGACATCTTTTGGCTTGTGCCAGAAAGCTGTGGGATGCGAAGGCAAACAGCCAAGCGCCGGACTCTGAAAGGGAAAGCTCCGAATCCGCACGGGACTACGACTTTGTGACGCCACGATCCCCTGTCCCGCGACTTGGAAATGTCTAGACATTTCCAGGAAATGTCTAGACATTTCCAGGAAAAGATGGAACTTTTCTGACTCATTTTGCACTTCTGTTTCGCAGATGCGACTCAGCGCACCACGCGGATTAGCAGCGCTTCCTTTCCAAAAGGCGCTTTTTGGTCCGCCTTTCGCACCCGACCTCTTTTGGCTTGTGCCAGAAAGCTGTCGGACGCGAAGACAAACAGCCAAACGCCGGACTCCGAAAGGGAAAGTTCCGAATCCGCACGGGACTACGACTGTGTGGCGCCACGATCCCCTGCCCCGCGACTTGGAAATGTCTAGACATTTCCAGGAAATGTCTAGACATTTCCAGGAAAAGATGGAACTTTTCCGACTCATTTTGCACTTCTGTTTCGCAGATGCGACTCAGCGCACCGTGCGGATTAGCAGCGCTTCCTTTCCAAAAGGCGCTTTTTGGTCCGCCTTTCGCACCCGACCTCTTTTGGCTTGTGCCAGAAAGCTGTCGGACGCGAAGACAAACAGCCAAACGCCGGACTCCGAAAGGGAAAGTTCCGAATCCGCACGGGACTACGACTGTGTGGCGCCACGATCCCCTGCCCCGCGACTTGGAAATGTCTAGACATTTCCAGGAAATGTCTAGACATTTCCAGGAAAAGATGGAACTTTTCCGACTCATTTTGCACTTCTGTTTCGCAGATGCGACTCAGCGCACCGTGCGGATTAGCAGCGCTTCCTTTCCAAAAGGCGCTTTTTGGTCCGCCTTTCGCACCCGACCTCTTTTGGCTTGTGCCAGAAAGCTGTCGGACGCGAAGACAAACAGCCAAACGCCGGACTCCGAAAGGGAAAGTTCCGAATCCGCACGGGACTACGACTGTGTGGCGCCACGATCCCCTGCCCCGCGACTTGGAAATGTCTAGACATTTCCAGGAAATGTCTAGACATTTCCAGGAAAAGATGGAACTTTTCCGACTCATTTTGCACTTCTGTTTCGCAGATGCGACTCAGCGCACCGTGCGGATTAGCAGCGCTTCCTTTCCAAAAGGCGCTTTTTGGTCCGCCTTTCGCACCCGACCTCTTTTGGCTTGTGCCAGAAAGCTGTCGGACGCGAAGACAAACAGCCAAACGCCGGACTCCGAAAGGGAAAGTTCCGAATCCGCACGGGACTACGACTGTGTGGCGCCACGATCCCCTGCCCCGCGACTTGGAAATGTCTAGACATTTCCAGGAAATGTCTAGACATTTCCAGGAAAAGATGGAACTTTTCCGACTCATTTTGCACTTCTGTTTCGCAGATGCGACTCAGCGCACCGTGCGGATTAGCAGCGCTTCCTTTCCAAAAGGCGCTTTTTGGTCCGCCTTTCGCACCCGACCTCTTTTGGCTTGTGCCAGAAAGCTGTCGGACGCGAAGACAAACAGCCAAACGCCGGACTCCGAAAGGGAAAGTTCCGAATCCGCACGGGACTACGACTGTGTGGCGCCACGATCCCCTGCCCCGCGACTTGGAAATGTCTAGACATTTCCAGGAAATGTCTAGACATATCCAGGAAAAGATGGAACTTTTCCGCCTCATTTTGCACTTCTGTTTCGCAGATGCGACTCAGCGCACCGTGCGGATTAGCAGCACTTCCTTTCCAAAAGGCGCTTTTTGGTCCGTCTTTCGCACCCGACATCTTTTGGCTTGTGCCAGAAAGCTGTCGGACGCGAAGACAAACAGCCAAACGCCGGACTCCGAAAGGGAAAGTTCCGAATCCGAGCACTGCAACTTCAGGTGATCACTAGTATATGATCCAGCATCCGATCTACTCCTGCAACATTCATAGGACGATATGATCATCTAGTGCTCAGTGAGCGCAGTTTTGGATCGCTGTACAGAACGCAGCTTTGGACACGATATGCTGTAGATATGAACATCCAGCATCTTTTTGTTTCGCTCCTTGACACCAGTAACCAAATTGCACCGACCTGCTCGTCACTCGTGGCTAGGAATAGGGACGCGGCCGCGCAAAAGACACCAGATATCGCAATCGCTCGCCTTTGGGCTACAAAAAAATTGGCTGCGACCAGCTATGTTGCAAATTTTCCTTTCACTCGTCCACTCGAGACACTCCAAATGCTTGCAACAATAAGTGGATCCGCAGTCTCCCTTCGAGGTCGTACCAGAAAGTCCTAAAAACGAAGCAGAGCACAATCAATGTAGGTGAAGCAACAGCTTTCTTGCAGTGGAAACGTTCACGTTCCCAGATTGCCACGCGATTGTTGCACTCTTGATGTGCTGCCCCAGCCGACTGGGTTAGCCCCAGCCGACTTGGCGTTCATTCCCGTTCATACACCGGCGTCAAATCAATCGATCTAAGTCTCGGCTTCGGTGGTTATCAATCTGATCTTTCTTACAGGTTTTGGCTTTCATCAATTTTCCAAACCCAATCGGATGTAGCAGTTCAGGCGAAAGAGTTAGTTATATATATATTTTCAGTTCAATCAAGTGTAAAACGCGTAACCAGGTTCAGGTACTCTCCTTACTACTTTCATTTTTCAGTTGAGTTTTCATTCATTAATTTTGTTCTATAGCATTTCGGATCATTGCCATCCGATCGTACAGCATTCAATTCTCCGCCCACTCGCAGTGCGATCTTGGACGCACAGCTCCGTTCGTTCTTGTACGTCCGCTCTTGTTCCTTCAGACCACATCCACAGTATGACTAAACAGTTGTTCTTGTTTACTATTCTTCCGTTGAAGTAAATAAATGATCTGCAGTTCACCATTTCCTCGAGAGTGGTTTGGGTAGCCGTCGTGAAGACCGTCGTCGCGCCCGTACTAAACGGCTCTGCGCCCGTCGTCGTGACGGTGGAATTCCCTCTTCATCAACTGTTCAATCCAAAACCCGGAGCGCTGGATGTTCAGCTTTTTTTCCAGCTTTTTTCCGATCTGCAGGTAGGATTCCGACGGTCTAGCCAGGATGAACACCTCGGGATCCGCCAATCCCGCCATGTCGAAAAGGAAAGTCTGGAACTCCGTCCCGTGCATGTCGCGTAATTCCCGGTACTGCTCCGCGACGGCCTGCTTTTGCTCTACTTATCATATGAAAAACTGTCCAACCAGCAGATTTTTACCGGAAGTGTCTTGCTCCTGTTATTTCATTCTTCCGTGCGACCACGCAGACACTATCACTTATTGTTTTAGTTTTTTCCTTTGCTTCATAGAAAATCAAGAACATCAAGACCACTGCACCTTATGTCTTCTGCTGCATTGCGACAGGTGGCACATGCCATACAGCGGGGCAAGCATTCCATGCACCGGTGGTCAGGTACGTCTCCACCACACGCGCCCCGCGATGGAAGTCGTCAGCGAGTTTCTTCAGAAAGTCCAGCTGCAGTGCGTGCGTATAGCGGTGCTGCGCCGTCTTCTCCCACGTCGCGTATCCAATCTCCTCCACATTGACATGGCATATAGCACAGAAAGACACTAGCACAGTAGCGTTGTACTTCATTGATTTATTCACGGTTTCTTTCGATTCCGCGTGTAATAAGCACCAGTGGTTCACTGCGGAAGAGGCTCAACAGCGCAGAACCCTCCTTCTGGATTTTTGCATGAGTTTTTTCTGTGTTGATAAAGCGCATGACATTGATTGTTTTTCTGTCTACCACCTGATAAAAAATCAATAAAAACGCAGTGCTAGAAAGATTTATTTCTGTGCCAACATAGCGTCCATGCGGTAGAGATATGCGCGGAAGGTCTTGCGCAGCGACTCGACCTCCGCGAGGGTATCGTCCAAGGCCTTGATCAACACCCTGGTCTCGGACAAAGCAGCGGCCGCATCGATCTTGTTTTCTTCTCGCAAGGAGACGCTAAGGCTGTCGAGCCACGCTCGAGAGGCCTCCGAAAACCACTTGTTCGTCAGGGTCATAAGTCGCTCCCGGAAGAGACCGCCAGTCGTCGAGTCGACGACAAGGGGCGGCGGTTCGGCAACACCGGTATTGTTCGCATTTGCTCGCGCAAACATGTTTTTTCCTTTGTGCACCATCCCGACGAATGAAGTGCACTGCTTGGCGAAATTGACAAGACGAAAACCTATGAAGAGCCACCAGCTGCTTGTGCTTGGAAGAACGTTTTTTCGCGTTTGTTACCGCTAGGCGATTTTTGTTTCTCGGCTCTGAAACTTCTCGAAGTTGCTTTGTTGCCATAGGAACGGTCAAGTGAAAGGGACTCGTCCGAGAAGATGACAACTTTACTTTGGCAATTCCCGTTGTTTGATCACCATTCAAAATCGAGAACCGACTCATCGAAAAGAACTAACGAACCCGCAATCCTACGTATTTTTATTTTCGACGACAAAACTTCCGAAATTTTCTCTCCTTGCGTTTATTTCTGTCTTTTGTCGCCGAGCTAGTAAGCATTGTGGTACTCTCCATCTCCGAACAAAACTGAGAAGGCAACAAAACTGAGAAGAGTCAATTATATTCATTTCAGAACAAGTTCAATTGTAAAACGCGTAACCAGGTCCTTATTACTTTCATTTTTGTTATTCAGTTCTTGAGTATCATTTTTTTTAGCATGCGAGAGCGTTCAATCAGGCTGCGTCGTGCAGCAAACTATTCCGCGCGGGGGTGGGAATCTCCTCCAGCATGACCTCCATCTCCCAGGCGAAAACAGCTTCGTCATCTTCTCCATCCCCGTCCTCGTCAAGGCCAGCTTCTATCGGCATGTTCTCCAGGATTCGACGTTGTTGCAGTCGGCGTTTCCACAATGTTCGGGGGCAAAGAAAGCTCTGCGACAGCCAGTCCTCGGAGACAACGTTAAGGTCGACAAGAAGGAGAAGCCCGACGTCGTACGCAGTCACCAGCCTGCCGACGATGAAAAAGCCGTACTGCTGGAAATCCTTGGCGAGACCGAGACACACTGCAATCCAAATACTAAGGGGAAAAATGGCGATGCGCAAGTCGAATGCTGTTTGTTCTGCTTCTGCATCGGGAAAAAAGATCCATGTGATACTGTAGAGGGAAGACCAATATGACGCATACATCTCCACCGAAGCATTGGGGTAGAGCAGAAACAAGACGACAGACAGGTCGTCGAACGCGAGGCGCCCAGCAGCGGTGCACAGGAACGTTTTTCCGAAGCGACTGGTTGGTATGTGATGAAGGGTGAGGGGGAGAATGCAAATCCCCAAAATCAAGTCAACAAGAGGAAGATGATGTCGTGATGGGCCACAACTAGAGGAAGGCCGCGGACGCAACAGGCATACCGGCAACGACTTGTCGCTTCGGCTCGTCGGCGGCGGAAACCCCCACATCGCCGTGTAGGCCACGTCATGCACTTTGCGATACGCCTCCACCAGCTCGCCCACAAAGGGATTGAAAAACACGTTGTTCTGGAGGTAGTGCACGGGATCCCTCCATCGGTCATAAACCTCTGTTACTACCCAACCCCGCTCGGAACCGTACAGGGCGAAAGAGGGCCACGCGCCAAATATCTGCTCCCGGATCACCATTTCGTGCACCAAGTACAGGCCCGCTACCATGCAAGCGAACTTTTTGGCGGCTCGTGGAGCAGCTCGGTGAAATGAGGGGTACAGTACGAAGAAGATGAAGCAAACCGTTGCAAATACCGCACAGTTGAACAGTCTAAACTTCCACCATTCGTCTCCGGCGAAGTGCTTGTCAACGATTCTTGCTGCATGCATGTGGGACCGAGCGATGAGCTGCTGCTTTCTCCAGCACGTCTGGGTCTTGTCTTCGAGCTCAGCTTTGTAAATCTCAGACAGGTGCTCGACTGCTACGAAATACAGCGGGTTTTGGAGGCGGTCGTACTCTTCAGCTGCTCCATCGTTGAGTTGTAACTCCTCCACATTCCCTGTGAGTAGCAACCTAAATTTTTCGAGCTTCTTGTTCTTCGTCCCAAACACGATGGCATAGTCTTTGCTCAAAAGGTGATGCTCGATCGCAACGGCAAGGGACAGCACCCGATGCTCCACACGAACAGGCGCGGAGTCTTCTCGGACGAGGAAGAAAGGATCGCGGTAGTGGTGTTCTAGGTACAGATCGCTCCGGTCCGGGACTATGGTGGAGTCGCAGGTTTGGCGGTGCAACAACACCAGCAATCGCAGTGGGTTCACCATGGATGTTCGGTCGCGCCGTCGAGAAGGTGTTGTCGCGTTTTGCTCACGTTGGTAGTGTTGGCGTGCTCAGACCGGTCGTCAGGGAAAACATGAATTAATACCATTAGAACATCTATGGACTTCGAATATGCGTCTGTGGCTGTGCCAATCGATCAGAAACACAAAGAGACGGCACTGCGCTGCGTCTGCGTGAGAATCTACCTAGCTTCAATACACAGGATTGCTACTACAATTCTAAAACATATTTGCATTTTTTATCCGCTACCGCGCACGTGCAGCTGCAGGCAAAACATTTCTGCAGAAAGTGCTTTTTCGCGATATGTGTGCAGCTTCCGGCGCTGAGACGCCTTGCAGCTGTAGTTTCCGGGGAGAAACAGATGAAACTGTGTCTTGCGATTTGCGAGAAACAGAAAGTCTTGCCTGTTCCAATTTGCTCTCGATACAATTCTCGTCTCGATCTCGACTGACGACTACGACGCTCTCCTCATCTCAATATACGAAAATCGGAGCATCGCTGAAAACTGTAGCGTTGCTGCTCTCCTACGATGAAGACAAAAAAATCAAGCTGACCTTTTCCATTTCCTTCCATATCCATTTGCAAGCGGAAGAATAACTCTTCTCACTTCTCGCTTCAACCTTCTGTACTCGATGTCAGGGAAAAAAAAAACCTTTTCCTGCCTTTGTGTTTTCTCCCTTTGTTTTGTCGCTGACTTGTGTTCTCAGCCTTGGAACAAAACCCAGAAGGAAATAAAGCAACGAACTGAAGGGCCCGTCACCCAGCGGCCTCAGAAAGAGTGGTCATTTCATCCGGATTTGTGTATCTCCATCAAATTTCTATTAGACCTTGAACTTCTGGTATCGACTCCATCAAAACTTCCACAAAATCGATTTTACATCCAGTCAGTAAATCTGACGTCTGAGCGGTCCATCTTTCACTGGCACTCGTTGATGATGATTAGTTCACGGGCATTCGTTCAGAAAAGCAAAACTACGTAGAAACAAATAGAGTTGTCGAGGAGGCGGGTATAGAGTATCGAACAAGTGATTCATTCCAGGGGCAAACGCAACAACTAGTTGCTTCCAGAAGTGAAGCCCTCTCAAAAACGCAAAATTTAGTGTGGTCAGCGAACGTAGTGCTGCGAGCACTCCACCTACTTACGTACTAAACACGACGCTCATCGTCGGGCAGCCTGCTGAACGGTATTCCGTGCGGCGGTGGGAATTTCGTCCAACTCCCAGGCGAACAATTCGTCTTCTACCCCATCTTCGGCTCGCATCTGATCTATCATTCCGAATATGCGGTCAAGTTGAACATTCTCATAACGCCGAAGGAGAGGTCCGATGTCGTACAGGGTCATGATCCTGCCGAAGAAGAAACAGCAAAAGAACAGGTCATCAGCATCTCCGGCTCCGCGAACAAAGCCGTGCATTGCCCAGCAGAAAAAGCAGAGGCTTGTCGCAGTGAAAATCCCAACGAAAAGAAAATCGAAGTAGTGATATAAAGAATCTTGACGCCGGCGCCGTCCGCATAGCATCTCGTTCGCGCAGTCGAAGGCAATGACCCAATACGCCCTGTAAATCTCCACCATTGCGTTGGGGTAGAGCAGAAAGAAGACGACAGAAAGGTCGTCGAACGCGATGCGCCCCGCCGCGGTGCACGACAGAATGCTGGCTTTGCCGGAACACTCGGCTGGGAGGTGGTGGAGAATGAGCGGCAGGAAGAAAATCCATAAAATCCAGTCGAAAAGACAACAAGACCACCTGAAGGAAGTAGATCGCCACGGATGCAAGAGGCTTTCCGGCAGTGACATGTCGCTCCGGGTCGGCGGCGGCGGGATTCCCCACATCGTGTAGGCCGCATCATGGGCTTCGCGATACGCCTCCTCCAACTCGCCCACAAAGGGATTGAAAAACACGTTGTTCTGGTAGTTAGCGGGCTTCCTCCATCGTTCGTACACCTCTGCTACCACCCAACCCCGCTCGGAACCGTAGAGAACGAAGGAGGGCCACGGGCCGAAAACTTGTTCTCGGATCACCAGTTCGTGCAGAAAGTACACGGCAGCGAAAACGCACGAAATTTGTTTCGCGGGCCGCGGCTTAGCCCGGTGAAGATACGGGTACAACACGAACATGATGAAACAGACCACCGCGAGCACTGCACTGTTGAACAGTTGAAATTTCCACCGCTTTTTCATCTCGAAGTTCCTGTAAATGGCTTGTTTTGCGTGCAGGTGGGACCGAGCGATGAACTGCCGCTTCCTCCAGCACGTTCCGGTTTTGTTTTCTAAGCGGGCTTTGCGAGTCTCGGATACGTGCTCGACGTCAAAAAAGACGAAAACGCCAAGTCCACTTTTCAGCGTCCTTTTGGCTTGGCTGATTCGCGACTGGCACTGCTCCATCCCAAAGACTTCAGCACAGTCTTCGTTCAGCAACTCATGCTCCATAGCCGCGGCGAGCGAGAGTACTCGGTCTCGAGTCCCATGGACGAATTGGTACTGTTCGATCAGGTCGCTCAATTCCGGAACTAAACTTGAGTCGCAGGTTTGGCGGTGCGAGAGTACAAGCAACCGCAGGGGGTTCATCATTTTGAGGCAGGAGTAGTGAACGACGTTGGGCTGCGTCGAGGAGTTTCTGTTGTGTTCGGCTCAAGTAGGTAGTTGCGTGCTCGAACCAGCTGTCAGCGGACACACCAGATCACTTTTCTTGTGGCTCTGCCAATGAATAAGAAACAGAAACAGTGACGTCGTGTGGCAATATAGATTCAAAAAGGGTTGCTAAAGTGAACATTAATACTTACTCAATAACACATTACCCGTTTGCTTGCACATATAGCTGCGGGCAAAAATTTCTGCAAAAACTACTTCTTCGGGAATGTGTGCTGTTTGTGACGATGAGACGCCTTTTTGTACTACTTACCGCGCTGCCTTTGTTTAAAGATGCAGGATCACGATCAGTCTGCGAGAAATAGAAGCTGTGTTTTCCATTTGTCTCTCGATACCACGTTCGTCTGGATCTCGATTGACGACTACGACGCTCTCACATTTCTTAATTACAAACGAAAATCGGAGCTCTCTGTGCCTCTGCTGCTCTCCGATGAAGACGAAGTCAAGTTCCACTTTTTCATGCATCCATTTGCAAGCGGAAAAAAAAGGAACACCACGACACCGAACTGTCTTCGAGGACACGATCGTGCTCAGTCCAAAACGGGACTGCGGCACGCTGAGTGGCCGGAGTGGTTACGAAAATATAAGCAGGCGACATCAACGCCAAGGAAAGAGGTAGAAAAGGTGACGCGGCGCGGCCAAAAACACAACATACACTTGTGCGCGCGTATCATGGGACCGGCCATTCGCGTAATTCCCTCGGACCGCCGCGCGCGCGCGGGCAAGGTCGGGCGGCCGAAAAAAAACGAGCGCCGCCGCCGCAGCGGCGGGCGTACCGAACACAGGTCCCGGATTAATGGGCCAGCCCGAAAATGCGGACTGTGGGGCTGCTCCACGACGGGGGCAGGCGCTACCGCGCGCCCGCCTTGCGCGGGAGGGCTGGCGCGCCGCTCGGGACAGCGGCGGGGCGGGCGCAGCAAGGCCCTTCCATCCTTGCCGGCGCCCCTAGCATCGACACAGTTAGGGCCCCCAAGAACTAGCCGCCGCCGCTTGCTCTTCCATAGAAGTAACAGAAGCAACACCCTCTCTATCGTTACTTGTTGGAGCACAGAACGAACAGGGCCGACCCAGGCTCCGAGCGCAAGAGCCGCGCTACCCCGGCAATGTTTGCAACCCATACGCGGCGCCACACCGAACCGCATCGGACGGCTTTCGTGTTGGCAGCTGTGCTGGTGCTTATGCGAATGAAATGCGCGTCCATCCGTTTCCGCTGCGCATCGGCTTCATGCATTCTTTTCTGGGAGGGGAGTTGGCCGACTCTCAGCAGCAAACGCATTCCGATTTGGCTGCGTTTGGTTCTAGTTTCTTTTCATCTTCAACATGCAAGGCGTTGAACTACGACGCTCGATGCGCATCCAGTCGAAAATGGCGGGCCCGTCACGCATTTTGATAGCGCGCACACGAGGAACAGCAGGAGGGCCCGCTCGGGCACCGCTTGACGAGGATCTTCCACACCAGATCGGACATGCCTACGCGCCCCCGCGCCATCATGTATATTACCCTCTGCTCAGGGGAGCCAGAGACGGAGTTTTCACTCATGATTGAGTGTGGCATCGACCGCAGTGCTCTATTCAAAAATTGCACGTATAATTTCAACGATGTGAAGCTGCTGCAGATCTTTCTATTTCATAACAAGCCACGACTTGTCATTCCCTCGCTTGATTTCCTCTCCCACCACTACCCAGGCTTCTTTCCTCCCATCTCTGGAACCATCCTTCCGGCCCCAACTCATTCACCGACCTTCCTCGGTTTCTTCTAACCACGTTCTTCACTGATGACGCGCTGCTCTTCTTTCATCGATGACGGTGTCGTCGCTCCAGTGTTCTTGAGATAACAAATAACTTAATATCCACAACACGGCTGGTCGACTCGCCACCAAAGAGAACAGTAAAAACTGGCATCAAGCAAGCACCCTGATAATGCTCAGCTCGCGGGCACGACCACGCACGAGCCCGAGCGGGCGGCTTGGGGCCTTCATTAGTTTCTTCGACACGCCGCTAGCGGCACAGTAGTGCGTAGTAACTAGCTCCAGCCATGTGTAGTAACCGGCTATTGCGGTAGCTGTGGCGGCCTCGAGCGCGCGGCAGCGCAGACAAAAGCGCCAGCAGGCCAGCTACACCCTGGCCGCCGCGGGTGCGCCACCTTCATCACAGCCAGACAGTGAGTCAGTGGCCCTCACATTCCTTGAAGCGCAGAGTGAGACAAGCCTGGGGGCGCAGTCGGGCGGCAGCAGAGAGCCCGGCCCCGGCCCGGCCGAAGGCGAGGCATAAGGCGCGCCACGGGCAGCACGTATCACCGTGCCACACTATAACCGGGGCCCGGGCAACAATTGCCGCCGGGTGCGCCCGGTCCCCCAACGAAGACTGGCAGCCGGCAGAACAGGCCGGGCCGGCTGACTCCGCCCGGGGAGCACAGGGCGAGCGCGCTCCCTGGCCCACGTGAGAGGACTCCGGGGCGGGCAGGCAAAACACTGCGGCGACCCCCGCAGAACGCGAAGCATCTGGCTGCCGCCCCCACTCCCGTGCCTTGCTCTCGGCAAGCATTCGGAAGAGCATGGCGGACGCTGTGCGCTCGCGTGCTTTTTTCTGCGGGGAGGGGCTCTTGGCGCGATGCATTTTGATAATAGCCGCCCGAGGTTACGGCGTGCGCAGGGATGTAACGCCTCGGGCTTTATCGAATAAGACGCCACATCTTGCCCTGCTTCGTCCACCTCCAAAAAACGACTACTTCTGTCGTCGTCGTGGGTGATAACGTTAACAAGAAAGAAAACTCGCACACCTGTACTATGGCCATGAGCCCCTACGAGCGCTCGGACAAGGAAGAACAAGAAAAAAAGGCCCATAACTCATCTGTTTCTCTGGGTATCAATCAACTCGCATCACTCGTAGGAATTGTCCCATCAAAAAACTCCGACTCATCGTTGCTGAACTCCCGAACAGCGGGAAAAAGCCACGCGCGCGCCAGCAAACCTCGTCTGTTGCGTTTCACAATCGTACTTCCAAATGATCGACAGGGTATTTGCAGTGTCGTGACTGTTATGTATTGATTCAGATTCTATAGAAAAACTCAGCTCGTCTTGTTGCTATTTCCAGCTCGTTCATCGATGTCACAGTCGTGGATTCATCCATTCCTTAAAAAATTTCTTTTCGAACGATCATCTTTACGCCTCATTCACATATGAAGGGATTCAATATTCGTATTCCTGTCCTTCCTAGAAAAAAATATCGAATCTTGTCTGGGACATTTCAAAAGTGGGAAGTTTCAAAAATGCTATGTGGCCATAGATAGAAAGAATCGCGAGGGACCAACACGGCCAATTTCTGGTTTCGTTCCGTTAGGGACAGACTAGCTTCCTCGAGAAAAGATATTGAACTGCTGAAGGTGCGTCCAAAGACACCACTCCTTATTTCTCTCCCAACCGTATAATTTCTTTCCTTTACATCAGCTCCCCCGTCTTTCCGCTCCCACCACTGGCCAAACGCCTTTCTTCTCAGCGTTGAAACCATTCCGCCGGCCCCAACTCGTCCGTATCCGCCCTGTTCCTACTTCCTCCCCCGACTCCGCTGGTATCCGTATCTTTATCGGCAGCACTCGCGGCGGCTCTTTCGCGGGAGGCTTTGTGGGAATCCTCGAACGGCTGTTGCACTTCGTCGTTGACCTCCTCAACTACTGCGGGATGAGCTTTTGATGCCGCTTCAACACCCGGCCGTAAATCCCTCTCCTGATATTCGGCTCCTTCTGCCCGATGCAGGCTGTCGTTGGCATTATTTCTCTGGTTTGAACTACACTGCTGCTTCGATTTTATTTCCCGACCACGTCCCCTCGGGAGCCTGTTCGACGCAATGGGCATACCCATGCCGAGGCAGACGCTCATTGCGGTTCGCTCCTGAAGCATCACGGGAAGGAGAAACCGGTCCAGCACTTGCTGTTTCTTCCTCGCTATCAACTGCAAAAATGTCTGGGTCTGGAAGGACGGAACTTGTGATGCGCATCTTACACCACACAAAAATTCCTCATGCATAGACAGCAAGAGTTGCCCACTTTTGTCATCGAAAAATAGGCGATTTGTCATGCGGATTAGGCATCGACGCAGCTTCTCAAAACTTGTAATGCTAGTGAGACCTTGCTTGCCAGAACTTCCGGGTCATGGAAAAACAGCATGACAAAAATGTCCATCCTTCCAGACCCAGACACTTTTGCATTTGATACTCGCTTGCTCAGACGAGGAACACAACTCTCGGTCTGGCTTGACGTGGTTGGATGATGAGCTGCTTGACGAGGATGAACTGTTGGAAAAGGATGAAGAGGAATTGGTTTTCTTGTTCTTTTTGCGACGACGGCCGTTCATTTCATCTTGAAAAGCTTGCTCGTCTTCTTTCGCGGTGTCTACTAGTTGTACATTATCCTCGCAGAAGGCTTTATTCTTGCTCCCAGCGCTCCTGCAAGAGTCGTGATCTTTTCTTTCCCAAGAAAGCCAACTCGAAGCGGATGCTGCCGTAGGTGCAGGGTCAAGAGCCGGAGCTTGTTGCTGTTCCAATCCGTGTAAAAAGTCATTTCCTCGTGTCGTGGTTTGCTTGTTCGTCCGGTAATCAAAATCCCGGGAAGTAGTCGACGTAGCAGCTTGGTGAGGCAGGCTAGACGAGCCAATGTAGTTGTTGTTTTTGATCATGATGTCATGGTCGCTGTTATTCGTCATCTTCATGTCAGTATTGTCACTACCTTCGTACGTGTCCACTAAATCCCGCCAATACGCGTCTTCGTCCTCTGCCGCGAGGGAGGGAAAGGATTTCCAGGAGGAGTATGGATTGCAAAAATGTCTGGGTCTGGAGCAGAAGTTTGTCATGCAGATTTTGCATCATCCATGAGGTCTGTGATGCATGCCCGAGCATCAGAGATTTTGCGACGGCTTTCTGATGCTCATACCGCATGAGAAATGCCCTCTCCGCGGAGCACAAATTACACCTCTTTTGCTGTTCATGCAATACAGATTTTATGTAGATTCCAAAAGTAGCATCACGAGTTTGTACTCTTCCAGACCCAGACATTTTTGCATTTGATAAAGAGTAGTTCGAATCGATTGGAGGCTCGTGGTCGATTTCCACGTGCATTTCATCTTCATCACCAGCACCGTCGCCATCAACAGTGTGGAAAAATGCAGCATGCTGTGGGTTCTCTGCCGAGTCGGACACTATCCACTTTCCTTCACTAATCCTACCGTCGGGATTTTCCTTCGCAGTCGAGGATCCGACTAGAAGCAATTCCTCCACTTCCGTAGACGATTTAGAAGACTTCCGCGAGGAAGAGGAAAATCCGCTCGAAGAACCCTGAAGCAAAGCCCCCCGCAGGTTCGCTTCCGGACCAGGAACCAAAAGATCATGCGACGACAGAACATCGTGATCATTTTTTCCGTCACGATTTTTTCCCGCCTGCGGACACTGGTGGAAGTCGCGAGTAGTAGAGATGAAAGTTGGCTGCTCATCCAGTTGTTCGTCCACGTCCTGCTGTTCAACTACAAAATCTGTAGTTTCTACAAGCGACCGCTGCTCCGCCGATGCGGACTCCTTCGTCGAGCAAGAACTGGCAGAAGGGGCGGCTTGGCGAGTAGTTTTGATCTTTGTTCCTTCTCCTGCACTTTTGAGCTCACCTGGAAGAACACTGATGTTGCTTCTGCTCTCCACCTCCATGTCCACCTCTTCCACCTCTAACGCCACTTTGTGTCTGCTCGCCGACCAGTTCGACCTGTCTTGCATCATTTGCTCCTCGCCGTGCTGTAGCTGGTTCTGGCTCTTGTGATGAAAAGTAGAGATTTCCGACTCCAATTGCGTCAGCCGGAGCAAGATTTCCTGTTCTTCTACAGAAAAGTCTGCTAAATCTGCATGATCGTCCTCTAGGACCTCCGCGACCGGATGAAACTGATCTTGCTGCTGTGACACGGCGGGGCGGAGCATGTTGGTGTTTTCCGCAGCGGGATGATCATGAACACCCGTACTACCACTACTAGTACTTCCACTTCCTGGAAGCTGCGCGTGATTTTGATTATCCGCCTGATGACAGGAACGCGACGATTTCGATTTGTCATGCGACATGGGCGCGTTGTAACTTGAACTTCTGCTTGTACCTCCGGTAGTCTCTGCTTCTTGCGGTCGTGGTACTACACCGCCGCGGTCTCTCTCGCTCGCAGTTGTCGAAATCTCATCGACGGAAAAATTTCTGGCTTTATTGAGTACTACTTCACTTGACGCGCCAGGAGCTCGTGCACCTCCGTGATCGACGAATTTTATATCCGTCTGATTATCATACACCCATGTTGATTCAGAGATGGCTATACCTGCTCCACCAGCTCCGAGAACTTGAGAACTACGGTGGTCGTTGTTTCCTTCATGCTCCTGCGCGGAGGTCTTTGTCGACTTTGTCTTGCTAGAAGAGGAAGAGGAGGAGGATGCAGACGCTTTCGTCTTTCCACGACCGCCCGCTGCACTCCCTAAGTTCATCTCTTCCAGAAGTTTCTCCAATTTCGCCTCATCGTCCCCTTCTTTCCCGGTGGTCAAAAACTCGAAGGTGCTAAGGTTAAGGGCTTCTAACGTCCGGAACTGCCGTGTGACATCACGGTCATAGTTCTCCAGCAAATCCAGATGATCCATATCATCTTCCGGGTCCGGTTGTTGTGCTTCACCTTTTGATAATTTCAACATTTTGATTTTGCAAATGCACAACACAAATAAGCCTACAATTCTGTCTTGCAGCAATCGGCATGAAGCATACGTGTTCTTTGTCAAGCCAAAATCCTATACCATCAATTGTTTATTGTCATGCCAAAATCCTATAGTACCATCTTCGCCGCCGACCACCAGCACTACTCGCCTTCCTTGGTTCGTTTTCACCGGGAAATCGAACCCGCTTTTTGGCAAGTCGATCATCACCGCTTGAGAGCCCATCCGGCCTTGCCGCAGACTCGGACCAGGGATGGCTGTTTTTGGTTGTATGTAAGGCTTTTTTTGTCTTTGTCATGCTGAATGACAAAAAAGAAAAACTCTTGGTCTAGAAGGTGAGAAGTCAAGCATGTTCTATGTTCTTGCTCCTCAACAACACAGACAACTTTGTTCAGCAAATTAAACTCAATACTTTTCTTCGGAGTCCACTCTCTTTCCTGCTGGGAACCTCCAGAGTGGTCTCCATTTCCTCTATTTCCCGATCCTGTCCCATCATTCGTTCCCGCTAGCCGGTCCAAAAACACGCGTATCCCGTCCCCACGCTGGTGCCCAGGTGCGTCGTTTCCCCTCCCACGACGCGGCTGGCGTTGGCGGTTTTCCTCGTCCATATCATCCGTGTCTCGCAACGTGTAGCCCCCCGTGTCCGACAGAATCCACCGCTCCAGCAACCTTTTGTCTACCTCCTGCAGCGGGCTCTCGTTGTCGCTGTCGTGCGAGAGCAGCTCCCGCGCGTCCCGGTTTCTCAGCGGAGATGGGGGCGGTTCGGAGGAGAAAGAGCTGCTGCTGGAACAGCTGGGGCTCCTACTGCTGCAACTGTTGAATTCTTGCGAGGAATCATTTAACGAGGAGGCGGAGGAAGAAGCACTGGAAGTCGCGTTCGTCGTTGTGCCCTTCTGCAACAGAAACGAACGGGAGGCTCTAGTGTTCGTTCTGCTCGTCGTTCTAGTTCTACCGCTGGTGGATATGATTTTGGGGATAGGAAGCAAGCGATTCTTGCTTTTTTTGCCGGGACCTCCATCAACAGGAGCGGCGCTTGTGGTTGAAGAACAACCCCCGGGTGGTGCAATCCACGCCGAGGATGAACTTGAGCTCGTCCCAAAGGTGCTGCTACTACTTGTTTCGTCCCTTCTTGTAGTGGTTCCAGGAAGATGTTGATCAGTATAGTGGTCTTGCTCGAGCGCAACGGAACAATCCATCGAAGCAGTCGCCGAAGCACTGCTCGCAGAAGAAGATGAAGAAGCGTCGTGTCTGTCCCTTGTAGAACCGCCCGGCCGGGCTTTTCGTGACTTCTGTGCTCCGCGATCGAAATTTTTACCGCTTGCGGCCCTTCTAGAAGCGGCGGAAGACTATCAAGTGTAAAAGTGTCTGGGTCTGGAAGATTACTAGATTTGTCATGCATATTTTCCATGACCCATGATGTGTGTCTGTGATGCATGCCGTAGCATCACAGATTTTTAGAGCGCTTCCTCATACCTATTCCGCATGACAAATGCCATCCCCGCGGAGCACAAAGTCTACTCCTCTTACTGATCACGCAATACAAATCTTTTTCGCATCCAAAGACAGCATCACAAGTTTAGATTCTTCCAGACCCAGACACTTTTACATTTGATAAAGACGAAGCCGTGACCATGTCCACATCGGAGTCCGAAGATGTGCTGAATATCACGTGGCTGTTGATTTTCGGTACCTTTTTTCCTCCAATGCCTATTTGCTTCCTCTCCACTCCCCTACTCCCCCGTCTAGACATGGTACTTCTAGACGAAGCTGCAGTGTTTGTGTTTTCCTCCAGTTGTGGTAAGGGAAACGGGGGAGGGAAGAAGCGGGTGGTCGTAGTAGTCGTGTTGGACGAGGAGCGGCTCTGTGCCCGGTTTTGCTTGGCTTTTTGCTCTTTTTCCTGCAAATTAGCAGGAGGCAAAAACATTTCCTCATTCTCGAGTTCGTCATCCAGTTCAGAATCAACTTGCATGTGATCCGATGGTGCGTCTTCGCTTTTATCGCGGTGCTGGATGCCGCCGCGCCTCTGGTTTCGGCCGTAATTTCGGGTTATTTCAGCATCTTCCCGCTGTTCTTGGGCGTCATGCTGCTGCTCCTGGTCCCGATCTCCATCGTGTGCATTCCATCTTCCTCCTATCACAAGCGCATTTGCATTACCTTCCTCGTTCGTCATCCTCGTCTCTGCCATACCCGCAGAAGATAAACCCGCACTGCTAGCCGATGAACCACTGGCACTGTTGCCGAAGACATGACTACCCACATCATCGTCGCAACAGCAAATCTCCTATCCTGTGCAAAAGTATCGTACTCGTACCAATCGCATTCATGCAGTACAAATTTCGTTCTCAAGTTAAATCCGCATTACAAATTTTCTTTCTCATGCTGAGGAAATTTGTCATGCGATTTATACTAGTACGGTGCTTTCGCATTTCATATCTCCTTGATCTTTTCTTCCACCTCGGTTACGATTTCCACACTGGCCAGACTCGGCGCTTATCAAATGCAAAAATGTCTGGATCTGGAAGATTCTGAGACTTGTCATGCACGGTTTGCATGGCCCATGATGTCTGTGACGCATGCCCTAGCATCACAGGTTTTTCGAGGGATTCTTGATACCTATTCCGCATGACAAATGCCCTCCCCGCGTAGCAAAAATCAGAATGCTTTTGCTGCTCATGCAACACAATCTTTTTAGACATCCAAATGCAGCATCACAAGTTGCAGTCTTCCAGACCCACACATTTTTGCACTTGATAGCGCACCACCAAAAACAATGATCCGGTCATCTACGGTGCACACCGCGGCGGTTATCCTAGAGAAAAAAGCTGGCAGGGCATTTGTAATGCAAAAATAAATACACAGAAAAACAAAAACTTGTCATGGGCGGCCCCATAGCATGCTGCTTCGGATTTTTTTGTGTATTTATTTTTGCATTACAAATGCTGGCAGTAAGTATGACCTGGCAGCTTTTTTCTCTGGGATAGCGGTGGTTCTGGGCTCGCGGAGAGAGACGTCTAAATAGCTCCAGGTTAGCTGGTTGTTCACGTTGGAGTCTAACAACTGGTTGCCGTAGTTGATTTGATTGTTCATCGGATTGTATGCATTTTTGCAACAAGAGTATCGCACAAGTACATAAGTAGACACTGCATCACAAATTTTTCGAAGAAGGAACCGAAATATTAATATTTGTCATGCTCTATGTATTCGCGAACTGCTCCATGCACAGACACGCAAAAAGAGAAGCAAGCAACAACTAAGCAGTACGCCTCCTGTGCGCCTCCTGTGCGCCTCCTGTGCGCCTCCTGTGCGCCTCCTGTGCGCCTCCTGTGCGCCTCCTGTGCGCCTCCTGTGCGCCTCCTGTGCGCCTCCTGTGCGCCTCCTGTGCGCCTCCTGTGCGCCTCCTGTGCGCCTCCTGTGCGCCTCCTGTGCGCCTCCTGTGCGCCTCCTGTGCGCCTCCTGTGCGCCTCCTGTGCGCCTCCTGTGCGCCTCCTGTGCGCCTCCTGTGCGCCTCCTGTGCGCCTCCTGTGCGCCTCCTGTGCGCCTCCTGTGCGCCTCCTGTGCGCCTCCTGTGCGCCTCCTGTGCGCCTCCTGTGCGCCTCCTGTGCGCCTCCTGTGCGCCTCCTGTGCGCCTCCTGTGCGCCTCCTGTGCGCCTCCTGTGCGCCTCCTGTGCGCCTCCTGTGCGCCTCCTGTGCGCCTCCTGTGCGCCTCCTGTGCGCCTCCTGTGCGCCTCCTGTGCGCCTCCTGTGCGCCTCCTGTGCGCCTCCTGTGCGCCTCCTGTGCGCCTCCTGTGCGCCTCCTGTGCGCCTCCTGTGCGCCTCCTGTGCGCCTCCTGTGCGCCTCCTGTGCGCCTCCTGTGCGCCTCCTGTGCGCCTCCTGTGCGCCTCCTGTGCGCCTCCTGTGCGCCTCCTGTGCGCCTCCTGTGCGCCGCCTGTGCGCCGCCTGTGCGCCGCCTGTGCGCCGCCTGTGCGCCGCCTGTGCGCCGCCTGTGCGCCGCCTGTGCGCCGCCTGTGCGCCTCTTGTGGGCCTCTTGTGGGCCTCTTGCGCGCCTCTTGTGGGCCTCTTGCGCGCCTCTTGTGAACAATCCCTTGTGCGGGCGAACAATAGGGGTGGCGCAGAATAGCCATGCTAAATACGGTCCTGCGAAAAATATCTCCTTGGCCAGGTAGACTTTGCAGCAGCCGATGGTGGCCCGCCTCCTGATATTATCAGCTAGAAAGAAGGCTACGAGATTTGTCATGCATGGATATTCGTCGTATTACGAGTGCGATATTACTTTTGCAGAGGATAGATTCCCAGTGTGGACATTCATCATGTTGTGAGGATGCTGTCCACCACCTAAATGTTGGTTGAACCCTCCCGCTCTTGCAGGAGCTCCGAGGTTGTTGTGTTGTTGATACCCTGTCGACCCTCCGCCCCCACCACCATTCACCGATTCCATGGTCGGGAAGATCATTTCCGTGTCCAAAATTTCCATGGTCGTCAACATTTCCGCCCGGCCGAAGACGTCGTCACACCCGCCAACCACGATGATGTACCGCCCGGAGACACAGGTCACCCGTCCCCCCGCCCGCCCGGTTTGCAACTGCGGCGCCGGGTACCACTTGTCGACTATTGGGTCGTAAATTTCGCAGCTGCGGAGCACTTATGGTTTGCAAATATGTCCGGGTCGGGAAGGATCTTCCAAACTTGTCATGCTAAATGTGAATGAATCGTGCAAAAATCTCTACAATTTTTGCATGAAAGACACACAAAAGGTATATCCTATGGCACGCAAAAGACAAACTTCTCATGCAGATTAGGTCCAAGTAGGCTCGTGAATGAAAATTTGTGATGCCCCTGGGTACAAGACTTTTGTTTTTTGGTCCGCGAGAAGATGCATGGCAAACTGCCAGACCCAGACATATTCGCATTTGATAGCGTTTCCATGAAATTTTCCTCCTCTGGGGCGTTGGGGTGAAGAGAGTATTGAGAGGAAAAATTCCCCCTCCCCATATTGAAAAGGTATGTTTCCGAAAATTTGCGTTGCTGATTTGAGGTCACAAATCACGTCTGTCTTGCAAGAAGACAAGGGCAGAAGCTTCCGTCCCATTATGGAAGCGATTTGTCATGCTGTTGGTCCTAAAGGCCAGCCGTTTGCAATGCTGAACGACTAGACTCAAACGCCCCTACCTAGCCTGGGGATCTGGCCGATATGCCTCCCTGCAACACAAATCTGATTTGTGTACGTGAATCCAGCATCAGAAGTTTTGTTTTGATATGGGGAGGGGGGATTTTTCCTTTTGATAGAGAGCAGCCGCCGACCACGTAGACAAAGTTGCGAGTGGAGGAAGATAAGTGTGATTGTCCTTGTCCTGTCCTTGGGGTTTGCGCATGACAAACTTGGGTACAACTTACGTCTGAATAATTGTGGTTGGAAGTAGTACTGTGGTAGAAAGATGAACTGCTTTCTCCCCCACCCGTCCCGCTGTTCGTCACCGTCACCGCTCCGTGGCCCCACCGTTTTCGGAGCAAATTCGCGCGAAGCGTCCACTGGTTTGAGAGTGGATTGTAGGATTCGCAGGTAGACAACAGCCCCTCGACAATCCCCCTTTCGTCGTAGCCGCCGGTTACCAGGATTTCTTCGGTGGTGATTAAGTCGCCCGAGGAGGTGGTGCGTGTGCGCCGGAGGGACGGATTTAGACTGTTATGGTTTTCTTCGTGCAGTTGTCCGGAGGTGTAATTAACAGTCCGATTGGCATGGGACGAAATCGTCATGATGTCGCTCCAGTAGGCGGGCACGCGGCTGGCGGCGCAACCGGCACGTCGGTAGTGCATGTCGGGAAGCCACGTCTGTTGTGAGTAGAGGGTTGTTTTTAAATACACGTAGAAGTAGTCGTGCCTCGTTTCCTTTTTCGCATCAGAAACTCATCGCATTAGACCTGCAAAGTAAGTAACTTCTTTGCGGTTCTTTCCGCAGGACATCAAGTACTGACTCCTCATGATGTTGTTGGTGTTGATTATTTCTGTGCCTGTCGTATGGGACCACAACAGGATGCGCAGAAATTGTAATCAGCCCCGGGGAAAGGAATCAACACAAAAGCTTGCTTCTGAGCAACACAAGTTGTTGATTTTTTTCCCAGGAGGGGTATCGAATTTCTGCGCCTCCTGCGACAACACCGCAGCAGAAGCGCAGAAATTGTAATCAGCCCCGGGGAAAGGAATCAACACAAAAAGTCGCTTCTGAGCAATACAAGTTGTTTATTTCTTTCCCAGGAGCGGAGTCGGTATTTCTGCGCCTTCTACTACAACAGCGCAGCAGACGCGCAGAAATTGTAATCAGCTCCGTGGAAAGGAATCAACACAAAAGCTTGCTTCTGAGCAACACAAGTTGTTGATTTCTTTCCCAGGAGCGGTCTCGAATTTCTGCGCCTTCTACTACAACAGCGCAGCAGAGGCGCAGAAATTGTAATCAGCTCCGTGGAAAGGAATCAACACAAAAGCTTGCTTCTAAGCAACACAAGTTGTTGATTTCTTTCCCAGGATCACTATCGAATTTCTGCGCCTCCTTCTACGGAAGGAAACAGTTGGCGCAGAGATTCGAATTCGCTCGAGGAGATTACTCAATCAGCGCCGAAATTTTCTATATCCTTTCATTTTCGTCTCTCTGCAAATGTACCTCCAATCTTACGTATAACAAAACTAGAGCGTCATAAGTACCCACTTCCCGTGCCAAATGTCGAACATCTCTGCCGATTTCAGTGCCCCATCTTTCACATTCCGCCCACCGCACACGTATATCCTGAGCGAAAACGTCCCCACCCCAGAGCTGTCTTTGTCATGCAAATCTGCCTGCTTAAAATGCTCCTCATGCAGATACCCATGAGATGCGACATCTAGTCGTGTTTTGGAATTTGTGATGCTCGGGTGAGCATTATGTGCTAGATCTATGATGCTGCTTAAGTAGCCGAGCAGGATCACACCACAAGGCCAAATTTGTCATGCGAAACCGCCAGAGCTGGTTGATTTGTCTAGCAGATTTCCCATCTTGACTCTCGAAAGGGGACGTTTTTACATGTGATAACGTAGATCATCGAGTCGATCGGTTTCGTGAACTGGAGAAAAGAGGCGATGTGCATCCACAGCGGAGTTGGTAAATGTGGTAAGTTGTAAAAACCACTTGCGCAGCTCGTGCTGCTCGCGGTACAAGCATTCATCGTGCTCAGGGCCATGGACGTAGTAGAGGTGTTAGTGCTTGTCCTCCCGTGATGAATAAAGCTGCCGGTCAAGTTTGTCTTGACCGAGCAAAAACTCGAACTTCTGCTAGATAAAGAAGTGGAACTGGAGGAGGAACCTGAAGCCGAGCTAAATCCCTGTCGTGGTGGTCCTGCAGCAGCATTTGAACTGGAAGAAGACGACGAAGACGAGCCAGCACCATTGGTACTACTACTACTGCACCCAGAAGTACTAGCTGTTGTGGCTTGATTCTGGTAAGAACAGGATCCGAACATGGAATGCAAGCTGTTGCTCTTGACCAAACTGTTCCTCGCATCCTCCTCCTTTGTCACGCGGTTTTCCTGGCACAGCAAGAGAAAAACCCCCTCCTTCGCGTATTCGTCGACCCAGATGGAGTCCTTTTCCACTTGATCATGGCGTTGTGGTTGATTCGCAACTTGTTCTTGACCCGGCGTTGCCTCCGCTCCGGCGGAGGTGGTGGGACCAGAGATTTGCATTTCTGACGACCCGCCCGCCATCCTGGGAGACGAAGCTGTGCTACTTCGTGGCGAGGTTGTGTTCGCCCTTCGTGGTCCTCTCTGCGGATGTTGTTGCTCTAATGTAATTTCTGGTGCTGCTGTTGGCCGGTTCGGTGGAAAGATGAGATGAACGCCCTCGTAGCTGTCCTCGACGCCGGCGAAACTTGTAAAACTGCCAGGCGTGCTTGTGTTCAAAAGGTATTGTTCCGGACGAACTTGGAAACTGTCGCAAAGCAAGTGCGACAACTTCTCTTCACAGCAGTAGTCTCTTGTGCGACCACCACTAGCCGAGGCCGCGCTTGTTGTGGCAAGCGGAGGTTGACCAAAAGGCAAAGAACCTGTTCTAAGCATGGTTGGTTTTTGTGATGATGTGATGACAATTTTGTTGCAAAAATTCAAAACAAACAAGACAATTTTGGTCGACGAAATAGAAAACTGTCGCGACCACTGGATTTCTTTTCCCTCCGCTCAAAGCGCTCGTCTGACGCAAAGGACTAAAGCCTCGACGAAGAGATGTTAAGCTTCCTAGTCAACATTCGCTGCACTTCACTTCGCTAGGTCAGGTTTTGTGCTCGTTCTTTCTCAGGTCTCAGATCAACAACATTTTTCAGACGAAACAACACATAGGCGAAAGATAAAGATAAGCCAGCTGCACAAAAAAAGGCTTCACGCTGCGACGATGTTTCTTTTGGTTTCCTGTGACACTAAAATGGAAATCGTGGTATCATGTGTGGTGCATCTAATACACGGAACGAATACAAGACTTTAACGCCAACACTGCAAAAACACCCAAGAACGCAAGATAAGTACGCAACCGAAACAATGCAAAAGTGGACACACACTTTGATATTCAGTGGCTGTTTTCATACAAAATACGCTTCGTCTTCGGTGAACCGAGCCAGGAAACTAAATTATGGGAGTGACGCTTCACCGCAAGAAGGTTTTACCGTGAGACGGAACTGAAGGTTGATAGAACACGACATTTCGGAGGAAGTACCTGCATCGTAAGCGGCCCTTCAATAGAAACTCCAGAAGGTGGGCGCCCCAGAATAAAAACACATGCCGATTGTGGTTTATGGTCGCGTTCAAAAAATCTTTGGAAAACGAAAACTTCATTTCATTGAGAGCAAAGCGTCATAATCGTTTTTCTCATCTACTTCTTCGGCGCCGGCGCCGGTCCTACCGCAGGAGCTTGTGCCCCCTCCGCTTCCTTCTCGGCCACCAACTTTTTCTTTTCTTCCATTCTGTCCATCATGTAGCCCTTTACGTGTTTCAGCAACGTCGTGTTATCCATAAGACTTTCGTCCTCACACCACGTTTTTTCCTCTTCAAACCCGTCAAAATCCTCGTCATTCAATCCGATGTTCAAGGAGTCCAGATGCTGTTTCCTCAACTCCAACCAGTCCAACTGGACAAATCGCGGGTATTCGATCGTGATCTTCTTACACTTTTTCTCCTCCTCATTCAAATCGAACTCAAATTTCGTGTTTTTGTTCACAACCGAGGATGAGTTATTGCCTTGCTTGTCGTCAGAAGAAGGTGCATTATCGCCGTTGTCGTTGTTTTCATCTCCTTCCACTTGCATCTTGTCGTCTGAAGAACTGGAGGATTTGTTGTTGGGTTTCAAAACGATCTTCGGCTGCTGGTCCTTCTTCTTCGGACTGCTGGAATTACCTGTTTTTGGCTTCGCCGGGGGGAGAAGCAGGGCTTTGGAGGAGGAAGAGGACATTTTTTTAGGCGGTGTTGGTTTTGGTTTTTTGGGTCGTGGGAGTAGTTACTACAAGAAAACTAAAGCAGAGCAGAAAAACTAGTGGTTCTCGGAACTTCTTTCTACATCAAGCCTCTTATCTACTACGCAAGGACCAATAGTGGTTGACTGTGATAAAAGTGAAACTAGATACGTGCGGTCGCTTGATGTCAAATGTTGTTCTTCAAGCCGTAAATCTAAATTCATATCGCGCCGGCCTCGTTGTGGTCTGATGCTTCTACGGTGCGAAGATTACATTCAAATTCTGTGAGAATATTCGTAGGATACCTAGACAAATTACCAATGCTAACATCAGTGTCATGATCTGCTTCTGCAGTGCGTAACAAGGCGGATCGCGATTTTTAATTGCCTTCGCTTAAAGTAGATGATCTTCAGGGTTCCTGATGCAGTCTATCGAAGCCACAAGGCTCGTGCCTTGTTACGTAAGAACAGAATCATGGTAGATTTACGCCAGTAGATGTAGAGCTCAGTAGGTTTGGTATTTCTCGGCGCAGCTGTCACCAGTTGCAGCAGTGCGCTTGTGAATTTTTTCGGATCGAAATCTAGTACAAGTTGTGTGAAGATCTAACTCAATTCACCCTGCGTATATATCGTTGAAAAGTCTTTTTGTCGTGCCAACAAACAATAACTTGTTTTTCTACTAATCTAAAAAACATCTTCCCCAAATCAAGCATAAAAAACGTACGCATAGCGGCCGCAGCACGCGCACGCTAATATTAGCTCGCACTACACTTTACTTTTGCGTCACTTCCTCAGTGTTACTTTAGCGAAAAAAAACTCAGAAAGACCTACAAAATTATGCAATAGAAATTGTATCTATATCAGAGCGGAAGAAACAAAAAGCCAAAATGTGATCTGTTTATGCGGTTTAGACAAACAACGAATCGCGCGCACGACGCGCTTCTTGAAAAAGTAAAAAAACTTTTGCGGAGAATGATTGAAAATTGTTCAAAAAAATACGGGTACGATTTCCTCCTTGTGAAAACAAGTTTAACGTTAAAGAATTTTTGCTTTGTACATTTTAGTAAGTAGATTAAGTCAGATTTTTCAACTTGCCGAGAGGAATAAAAGCTGGCAAACACAGAGGCTTTATCGGCACACAGAAGTAGAATGAGCGGCTCTGCTTCAGAATGCGCTGAAGCAGATGAAGTACTAAACGGACTGCAATCTTTTCATACCCCCTCTACCACCTCACCGCTACTTCACGTCATCTGCCGTCCCTTCGTCTCGGGGATGTTCAGCATGAGTAACCCGCTCATGAAGCTCACTACCACCAGCAACAAGATCGTGTTTTCCGTTTTTACATTCGTCGGAAAGTCCGCACTCACCATTTCCGGCAGCTGCGGCGCAAGAAAACTTCCGACCCGGCCGACAAAGTTGCTCATGGCGAACGCGGTGCCCCGGATTTTCGACGGGAAGAGCTCTCCGGTGACAATGAAGATCACCCCGAAAATATCCTGTGTAAAAGCGTCCCCACCAAATAGTTGTCTTGCAGACTTGCAATTACATGAGCATTTGTAATGCGCATCTTCCCCATGAGAGCCATTTCCAAACGTGTTCCGGAACTTGTAATGCTGTAAACAGGTAAAAAGGAGATGGATTTCCTATGCAGCTTCCCTTGCTAAACAGCACTACACTACAGCCTACAACTTGTCATGCGTAACTCCCAAAGCTTTTGGATTTGTGTTGCAAAGTGCCCATCTTGACTATGGGGTGGGGAGGTTTTTGCTCAGGATAAAAAGCAGTGGCGTTGGCGATAACGTTGAAGAGGATTAAGGATGTGGTGGTGATCAACTCCGGGTAGTTGATACTCGAAATCCTTGTCGTGGTTACTCCGCTCATTTCCTCCCTCCCGAGAGAATCAATGGTAAACACAGTCGTGGTGACCACGGCGTTGTGTCCGCCTCCGCGAGGAGGTTGTTGTGATATTCTCTGCCCGGTAGAAGTAGAAGGCGTGCCTGATCCAGTTGTACTCCTGCCCGCGCCGTCTACTTCGGTTGTACGATCATGATTTCCACCATCACCGACTAGAAAACCAAGTAAGCCTCCACTACCGTGAAAAATCTCCCCACCGATGTTCACGTCGATTGCGCACACGTACAAAAGCATGCAGCAGCTGTTCAGCATGTACATGGCGATCATCAGGGTTTTGCGTCCGAAAAAATCTGCTAAAGGGCCGCAACTCCCGTAGCCGATCAGCTTTCCCAAACCAATCGCCGTGAAGTTCGCGAAGAGGTTGCCGGGGAGGCGGGGCGTCATGAACTGGAAGCTCCAGTTGACCAAAGCGGTGGTAAGCCAGAGGACGGAAATGACGACGAGCTGTTTCTTTGTATTCGAATCTAAGGTGTTTAAAGTCGTGAGCAGGGACGGAGACGACGCGGCTTTAATATTTGCGCTGTTCTCATTTTCAACAGGCGCGGAAGCTTCTTGCTGTGGTAGTTCACCAGGTGAACTACTTTCTCTTCCCGATGTCGTTGGCACTATTCCTGAGGAGGGACAGGAGGTCGAACTGGTTCGCGGGTGGTCGAGCTGGTGACCTTCTGCCATCTTCACTTGATGTTCCGCTGCAAGAATGACCTCCGCTTCGAACACGTACCCCGCTGCTGCTATCGTCTCGTCCTTCTGCCCCAACTCGGCAATTACGCGGTCAAAAGGTGCAGCGTCTTGTTGTCGATGTTGGGAAGATAGTAGTACCGAACAAGGAATATTAGCTTCATGCGGCACTCGGGACGAAGAAGAAGATGATGATGAACAGAAAGAATTTCTGATCCCATAGTGCTGCAGCTGCTCGTCCGCAGATGGTGCTAGTGCGCCAACCTTGCTGGACGATGAAGATGAGGCTGACGAACCTGTCCGCGTAGTACCTGTGTACTCCACCGGTGAATGGGGCAGTAGAGTCTTCAGTGACTGCCGTGCAGTTCTTGGTGGATCCTGACAGCTAGACGAGGCTGATGTTCCCCCTCCTATCAACGGCTTTTCTTCACTGTTTATCCTGGACTTCCTTGGTGCAGCCTGGCTCTTGTGCTCTCCTGGCTCTGGAAGATGGACTTGGTCGAAGCTGCTATTGCTCCTCCCGGATTTGTATGCATTGGATGAAGAGTACTATCACAGTACTAGAAGTTGCCCAATTTTTTTTTTTTTCAAATTGAAATATACAATGCAATTTGTAATTCGAAAAACGGGGTAGGACGCGAGTTCTGTCATACAACGTTGCAACTTGCTCGACAGTGCGATACTTTTTCACCACGGCATACGTTGCCATTCATTCCGTCGTAAGTGCATCCGCTTGTGGGCGCCGAAGTGGTTTCGGTTTCGCCGCCAGTATTAGCTCCTCCTGGTCCTGTCCTGCTCCGCAACATAATTGGCGCGAGCTGCTCTTCCTTGTTTAATGTTTCCTCCTGCACGACAAGATCTTGTTTGCGCTCGCTCATGTTCTGAAACTGCCCGGGATCCTCTTTGGTCGAGGTGGTTGCCTCAACAAATGTTCCCTCCGCAGACGAGGAGGAGGCTGAAGTAGACTTGCTCGCGCTTGCTGCCGTGCTGGGAACATCAACGGCAATCATAGCACCATTCTGCAGACGAGATAAGTCTGGATGATCGCACGTACTACTAGAGAAGTCAACAAGTAAATTTTCTCTCAGAGGAGCGGCCTTAGCTTCAGTTCTTCTTGCTGCGCCGATTGGAGAGGACGATGATGTTGTGCCGCTGGGTTCTTTTGTCTGTTCGCCCCCGTCTGCACGACCTGTCGATCCGATGAAAGTTGACGATCTCGAAGAAGTCTGAGCAGTAGTACTGTCGAAAGTTGCTGTGCCACAGGAGGGACCGGTCGTCGTAGAGCTGGTCGTGGTCGTGTCAAAAGAATTTCTAGGCTGTGGCAGAGAGTCAACATCTTCTTCGCCACCTGTAGGACGACCTGCAGATGAGACTCTTTTCGGTCGTTCTCCGCCACTGCCAAGGTCTAATGGTCGTGTTGCACCTGATGTGGAAGAGCCGGCGACAAGTAGCCCCTGTTCTGGCCGTGTAGAATTACCATTCTTGTTGACGTTTTCGATCTCCAGAAAAACTTTCCTCGCGCTTTTGAACTCCTTTTTCGTCAAGAAATAGGACGGAGACTCCGGCGTCAAGAAATAAACCGACAAAAACGCCTATCAAATGTAAAAATGTCTGGGTCTGGAGGAGTCGGAGCTTGTCTTGCACATTTTGCGTGACCCGTGAGGTCTGTGATGCTGGTGCTAGCATCACTGATTTTTTGAGAGCTTCTTGATGCTAATTACGCATGAGAAATGCCCTCTCCGCGTGCCAAAAACTGACTCCTCTTGCTGCTCATGCAACGCAGATATTTTCAGAATCCGCAGACAGCATTACAAGTTCCACTCTTCCAGACCCAGACATATTTGCAATGCATAACGCGACGACCCGCCAGCTCGCCAGAAGTAAGAACCAGAATTGCAGCCCGAGCTGACCGTTGTTGTAGAAGTCGGGGGAGGGTGAAGAACTACTTCTTCTTTCGCCGTGGCCGTGCACAAAGCCGATGTTTCCGTTGCTACTTCCAGAAGATGAATTAGGATGAAAAACCCCGGCGGCCGCTCCTGGGTGCTTATCGAACAGCTTCAGAAAGGAGTAGAACCACACACAGCAGATGTAATAGTCCGAGTTTTCGCACACAAAAATCAAGCTGCTGGCCGTGCCCCGCAACTTCCCGTCACAGAGTTCCGACGCGTGCACAAAAGCCACGAGGTAGTGGCCCGGAATCAGTAGACCATAGAAGAAAAGAGTGGTGAGCAGAATGGTGTACGCAGTTTGGGAATTGAGGGAGAAGAAAACCGTGGATAGTAGTTCTGCTGATGAAGAACTGGTCGAGGATGCTGCGTCGCCTGTTGTTTCATCCCTTGATGCACCAGAACCGACATTTCCAGCCGTAGCCCACGACCCTCCACTGGATTTAGTACTTGTGTTGCAGTTCGACACGAGAAGGAGGGAGAAAACCAGGACTATGCAGCAGAAGTTCGTCACCAGATTGATCCGCTTTCGCCCATACACATCCGCTAGCGTCGGCAGCAGCAACGCGCCCCACATGAAGCCGAAAAAGTACGCCTGTCCGAAATATCCTAAACAAAAACACCCCCACCCCCTAGTTGTCATGCAAATTCGCAAGCGTAAAATGTCTCTCATGCGCAGGCCCATGACAGCCATTTTCTAATGCTATCTGGGAGTTTGTCATGCTGGGCTCAGGTTAAGGCAGTTAATTTGTCATGCTGCTGCACTAGCTAAACAGGATTACACTAAGAGCCCAAACTTGTCATGCTCGACAGCCAAAACTAGGGGATTTGTGTTGCAAATTTGCCAACTTGACTATGGGGTTGGGGCACTTTCGCTCAGGATACGAAACTCCCCGCCTTCACTTCCGCCTGCGGATCGCATTCCAAGTTGAGGTATCAAATGCAAATATGTCTGGGTCTGGAAATTTGTGATGCAAATCTACGAATTGTGGGCGCACTTTACAATACGCAGCCCAGCATGACAAGTTTTTGTTCTGCTGTGTGTTTCGTTTTTCGCATGACAAACTGCGTTTTTGCGTGACAGGCAAGAGGTGGGCCTTTTCCTGCTCAAGCATCACAGATTTAAGAGTCATGCTCATGCCAGACAAGCATGACAAACTCGCATTCTTCCAGACCCAGACATATTATTTGCATTTGATATGAGGAGTTGCAGCCACCCGTAGTTCGAGGTGATGCGGTACTCGATTTCAGGTCTAGTTGTACTCGACGCAAATGGAGCGGCGCTGCGTGTTGATCCTAATAAACTTTGCTGGTCAAGAGCAGCATCTTCTTCCTCCTCCTCGTGTCCATCGTGTAATTCGTTTATCAATCCGCAGGCCTCCTGGCGGGAGCACGAATACCAATTCGACTCGTAGAGAAGGTCGTAGTAATATCGCAAGAAAAAAGTGTTACAGTTACACATTGTCATGCAAGACTGGCAACAGAGACAACCTTTCTCATGCAGGAAATGCTTCGAAGCCTCGTTTCCTTCCTGTTTTCGCTTATGATCTTCGCATTACAAGTTTTCTCTGCCTCATAGAGAAAATTTGTGTTGCAGAAACTCCAACAAATGTGTAACTGTAACACTTTTTTCTCGTGATAAGTAATGGCTCGTCTTTAATAATATCTGATCGTCCCTTGATTTACTTTCCACCACATCTTCTCTTGCTGAATTCATTGGCGTGTCAACATTGTCGTGTGGTTCTTCAAGCGGTTGTTCCTCGACACCATGCACATAGTCCTCCTCGTCGTCGTCCGGCTCGCTTTTATCTTCTACCAGCAGGTCGCCCTTCCTTCTCGGAGTCACAGCCCGAGTCAGCTGTCGCTCTTGTTGCTCAAAGCCCCGAGGACCCCGGGATGCTCCTCCTGTCGAATAAATCATGCCCGTAGAGGCCGCGGCTGCAGTTGATGAGATCATTCTCGTGTTTGTTACTTTACTTCCCACAGAAGACGAGACCGAGGACGAAGCTGCAAGTGTTGGCCCATTTCGGGAGGAACTCAGCCTTCGGTCCTCGCTCTCCTTCTCCGCGCCGGGAGTGGCTGAGAGCGTTGTGTAGTAGGGAAAAGAGGAAGATAAGGACGATCCGATCACTTTTGAGTAATCGACAAGATCGGCAAAGTACAGCCCGTTTTGGTCTTGTTCAGGTACTTCGTCATTCTCATTGTCCGATGCGCTCTCAGAAGCATCAACATCATCCAACTGCAAGTCCTGAAGTTTATTGTTGTAGTTCAACCTAGAACTTCTTGCGGTGGACGCGGCGGTAGAAGTCCTGCTGTTCTTCAGAAGTGCTGCTGCTTTGCCGTTATTTCCGTTGCTGCTGCTGTGCTGTGCCAGGCTGTGGTCCTTGTCATTGAAGAAGATCCACATCTTCTTCGCGTTGGTTGAGAGCCGCTGGGTATTTTTGCTGTCTACTTTATTATCCGGAGGTGGCCGCGATAAAGCAAGGTCCTGCTCAACGTTTAGAAGCGCTGTGGACGTCAGAGGCCCTGCCACATTTTCACGCTTGGTGCTTCTAGACGACGAAATAATGGCCCGACGAAGGGATGGGGAGGGAAAAGGACTTCGCATCCCATGTCTTGAGGTCGCTGCCCACACAATATTACGGGACCCGCCCCCTGCAGCTCCTGGGATTGCTTTTGCTCTAGCACCAGTTTCCTCTCTCGACGCAGCCGATGCAGTTCCGGGGGCCGGCGACTGCGTCAGCGGCGATGGCAACCTAGTACTCGCTTCGGACGAGCTCCGAGAGGTCTTGCTCGAAACAGGGACGCCTGTGCTCAGTTCGCTTAATGTTCTTGTTTCCGTTGCATCTTCTTGATATTCTCCAGAGGTGGGCAATCTTAGTTCTCCGAGATTTTTCATTTCGACAGAAGACGCTGCAATAGGGCGGCTATGAGAACTTGTTTTCACCTTCGTCCTCGGGGACACCTCGGGTGCTAGCTGTAGCTCTCGTCCCGACGGCGCTTGACCAGCTGGTGCTGGCGCAGAAGAAGTTTTACTAGAAGTTGTGGGCTTCGACGGGATAGAGGTGGCCAGAATCCTTCGCAGTTCCTCTTCTTTACGCTTCGAAGCAGCTGACTTTGATAGAGAGTCCAGGCCTGCTGTCTGGCCGCTGTGCTGTGCATCTCCTGCAGCAGTAGACATAATCGCGGAGGCAGAGGCAGAATCGCCTGGGGGCATGAAAAAAGCACTTCCACTAGCGCTTGTTCCCGATGCGGAACTTGCTGGCGAGGAAATTTCGGCTGAACTTGCAATGCCACTGAGAACGGAGCCTGCTGTTCTACTTGAAGACGTTTCTTTACTCGGATTTCGCTCATCTTCTGCAGCACCAGCAGCAGCAGTAGTACCAGAACTCCTGACCAACAGTAGAGGTTCTTCGACATCGTCGTCACGCGCCTGATTCCCATCATGTTCCTGGTTCCTCGTCCTGGCGTTCGAATTTATTTCTACTGCCGGTGGAGGGTCTTTCGGCTTGAGCCTTGCCCTCTTAGAACTTGTACTTCGACTGGCATGCACTCGGAAAACCTTCTTTCGGCATTCAAAGGACGGGACGGCGGCGATGAAGGTAAAGGAATAGACCACCATAGAAACCGCCATGTAGGTGATTCCAAGCGGCAGTATCACTCGCCAGTATTGAAACCTCGCATTGCCACCGTTCGCTTTCTCCAACGCAGCCTCGGCAGTGGGAAGGATTTCAATAGCCAGCATCTTGTTCATCGCGGAGGTTGTTGTAGCTTCTTGGTGCGAGGTAGATCGTCGAGCAAATGATTGGACGGCGGCCCTGGTAGGGCTTGTTGTCATGCTGGAATTATTGTCCTCGTGCGAGGAGAGCGGTACTGCATGGGAAGAATTAGGCCACGACGCGTCGATCGTCCCGTCCGGTGCCGAAGTGCTCGCCCGTGGGCGAGACGGCGAGGACGGGCTACAAGAGCTGGTGGCAGACATAGGCTTCGACTTTGTCGTCGTCGCCGTCGTTCGTCGTGTGGTAGAGGTAGTGGTCCCTGCTTATTTCTCGCGAAGAAAGATAGGCTCTCCTGTTCTGCGCTTGTCCCCAGAAGAACGCGGCCCCTAGAAATTAATAGGGCGAGGACAAGGTAGGTACTGCTCGGTGCTCGTTTTCTCCGTCGGTTCCGACGTTCAGAATCCAGCCTACATTTGTTCAATTCGTCGGCTTTTGAACCTAACCTATCATCTTCACAATCACGTAGGGCCTATTTTTACAATGTTTTTTGCCTTCATCAATCTTGAAAAGTTGCACCAAGTTCGTGGTGCAGGAAATAGATCGATATTGATCGTGAAAATTAACACCTTTATTCATATTGAGGTGATGAACCACACGGACTTGCTTCAGGAAACACCATCTTCGCACGAAGTCAACATTCTTCAATATTAATTGGCCGCGAAACTAGATCGACTGCCCGAGGTGGACATCATCTTCAAAGATGAAACGTTATTCACCAGCACCAAAAAGGGCGGAACAAACGCAGCGCAACAGAGCAGTGCTCATGCTCAGACTACTGTAGACGTGAACAACATCAAACGCGCGATCTCGCACTTTCCACAAGTCGCTTCGAGCAGGGTTTCTTTTCGGATCTTATGCGCATCAAAAGAGTACGTAGCACCATCGTGGAAAGTGCGTCCCAAGCGCAAAACTTGAGCTTATAGTGGTTCCGATTATTTTTCTCCGACCCCAGGAGACAAAAAGCCCTTGAAGAGCAGAAGCCGCTCCGGTTTTGCATCGACATGTCCTACCCGTCTGTGCATTCGAAGAAAGAAACTTGCCTTCCGAGAGGCAAAAACACCACAAAAAAAAGTCGGCACTTTCACCGTGGAAAGTGCGTCCTAAGCGCAAAATTTGCGCTTCTAGCACTTCCGACTATTTTTCTCCAACCCCAGGAGGCAAAAAGACCTTGAAGAGCAGAGACCGCTCCTGTTTGGCATTGAAATGTCCTACCCGTCTGTGCATTTCAAGAAAGAAACTTGCCTTCCAAGAGGCCAAAACGGAACAAAAAAAAGTCGGCACTCCCGCCGTGAATAGTGCGTCCTAAGCACAAAATTTGCGCTTCTAGCGGCTCCGACTATTTTTCTCCAACCCCAGGAGACAAAAAACCCTTGAGGAGCAGAAGCCGCTCCTGTTTGGCGTTGACATGTCCTACCCGTCTGTGCATTTCAAGAAAGAAACTTGCCTTCCGAGAGGCCAAAACGGCACAAAAAAAAGTCGGCACTCCCACCGTGGAAAGTGCGTCCTAAGCGCAACATTTGCGCTTCTAGCGGTCCCGACTATTTTTCTCCAACTCCAGGAGAAAAAAAGCCCTTGAAGAGCAGAGACCGCTCCTGTTTGGCGTTGACATGTCCTACCCGTCTGTGCATTTCAAGAAAGAAACTTTCCTTCCAAGAGAACAAAACGGCACAAAAAAAAGTCGGCACTCCCACCGCGGAAAGTGCGTCCTAAGCGCAAAGTTTGCGCTTCTAGCGGTCCCGACTATTTTTCTCCAACCCCAGGAGACAAAAAGCCCTTGAAGAGAACAAGCCGCTCCTGTTTGGCGTTGACATGTCCTACCCGTCTGTGCATTTCAAGAAAGAAACTTGCCTTCCGAGAGGCAAAAACGGCACAAAAAAAAGTTGGCACTCCCACCGTGGAAAGTGCGTCCTAAGCGCAAACTTTGCGCTTCTAGCGGTCCCGACTATTTTTCTCCAACCCCAGGAGACAAAAAGCCCTTGAAGAGCAGAGGCCGCTCCTGTTTGGCGTTGACATGTCCTACCCGTCTGTGCATTTCAAGAAGGAAACTTGCCTTCCGAGAGGCCAAAACGGCACAAAAAAAAGTCGGCACTCCCACCGTGGAACGTGCGTCCTAAGCGCAAAGTTTGCGCTTCTAGCGGTCCCGACTATTTTTCTCCATCCCCAGGTGACAAAAAGCCCTTGAAGAGCAGACGCCGCTCCTGTTTGGCGTTGACATGTCCTACCCGTCTGTGCATTTCAAGGAAGAAACTTGCCTTCCGAGAGGCAAAAACGGCACAAAAAAAAGTCGGCACTCCCACCGTGGAAAGTGCGTCCTAAGCGCAAAATTTGCGCTTCTAGCGCTTCCGACTATTTTTCTCCAACCCCAGGAGACAAAAAGCCCTTGAAGGGCAGAAACCGCTCCTGTCTGGCGTTGACATGTCCTACCCGTCTGCGCATTTCAAGAAAGAAACTTGCCTTCCGAGAGGCAAAAACGACACAAAAAAAGTCGGCACTGCCACCGTGGAAAGTGCGTCCTAAGCGCAAAATTTGCGCTTCTAGCGGGTCCGACTATTTTTCTCCAGCCCCAAGAGACAAAAAGCCCCTGAAGAGCAGAAGCCGCTCCTGTTTGGCCTTGACATGTCCTACCCGTCTATCCATTCGAAGAAAGAAACCTGCCTTCCGAGAGGCCAAAACGGCACAAAAAAAAGTCGGCACTCCCACCGTGGAAAGTGCGTCCTAAGCGCAAAATTTGTGCTTCTAGCGGTCCCGACTATTTTTCTCCAACCCCAGGAGACAAAAAGCCCTTGAAGAGCAGAAGCCGCTCCTGTTTGGCGTTGACATGTCCTACCCGTCTGTGCATTTCAAGAAGGAAACTTGCCTTCCGAGAGGCCAAAACGGCACAAAAAAAAGTCGGCACTCCCACCGTGGAACGTGCGTCCTAAGCGCAAAGTTTGCGCTTCTAGCGGTCCTGACTATTTTTCTCCATCCCCAGGTGACAAAAAGATCTTGAAAGGCAGAAACCACTCCTGTTTGGCATTGACATGCCCTACCCGTCTATCCATTCGAAGAAAGAAACCTGCCCTCCGAGAGGCAAAAACGGCACAAAAAAAAGTCGGCTCTCCCGCCGTGGAAAGTGCATCCTAAGCGCAAAGTTTGCGCTTCTAGCGGTCCCGACTATTTTTCTCCAACCCCAGGAGACAAAAAGCCCCTGAAGAGCAGAAGCCGCTCCTGTTTGGCGTTGACATGTCCTACCCGTCTGTGCATTTCAAGAAAGAAACTTGCCTTCCAAGAGGCAAAAACGGCACAAAAAAAAGTCGGCACTCCCACCGTGGAACGTGCGTCCTAAGCACAAAATTTGCGCTTCTAGTGGGTCCGACTATTTTTCTCCATCCCCAGGAGACAAAAAACCCTTGAAGAGCAGAAACCGCTCCTGCTTGGCGTTGACATGTCCTACCCGTCTATCCATTCGAAGAAAGAAACCTGCCCTCCGAGAGGCAAAAACGGCACAAAAAAAAGTCGGCACTCCCGCCGTGGAAAGTGCGTCCTAAGCGCAAAATTTGCGCTTCTAGCGGACCCGACTATTTTTCTCCAACCCCAGGAGACAAAAAGTCCTTGAAGAGCAGAAACCGCTCCTGTTTGGCGTTGACATGTCCTACCCGTCTGTGCATTTGACGAAAGAAACTTGCCTTCCGAGAGGCAAAGACGCCAGGAAAAAAGTCTGTAGTGACATCGTGAAAAGAGCGTCCTAAGCGCAAAATTTGTGGTTGTGACGCCTGCGACTATTTTCGTCACCCCCAGAAGACAAAAAGCCCTTGAAGAGCAGAAACCACTCCTGTTTCGCTTTGACATTTCCTGCCCGTCTGTGCATTTGAAGGAAGAAACTTGCCTTCCGAGGGGCAAAAACACCAAAAAAAAGTCTGTAGGATTGGACCGAAATCCGATCTGTGTGGAAACTGTGAAGAGAACCAAAAGTTGTGCTGGCTCAGATTCAGGTGAACGACGGTGCCGATGGATTCAAAAAAAAAAAGAGTGACGAAATTTTTGGAAAGTAGTTGCCTCTTCTTTCGCAATTATGAGGAAGAACTAGAAATGAATTTCTATCTGCAGATGTAGATCGCATCTCCTTTATTACACAGCGCGGAGGACGCAGACGATGACGAGAAAGCTAAAAGCATTCTTGCAGAACATCATTATACTTTGCACCGTCGCACAAGCATTGCTGTGCAGCTCCTTCGGTCTAATTCCTGCGTATTGGAATAAAGTTTTTCTTTTGCGTTCACACAAAACCAATCTTCAACAGCGAGCATTCGCATTGAAGACTTTTTTATCATTTGTTCGTTTTTTCATGTAGCATGGTTAATTTTTCTCGTATTCTTGTCTCGGAAGCGGTGACCTCGAGGTCCAGAATCTTTTACTATGGGAGTGCACAACTCCCTCTCCCCCTCATTTGTAATGCAAGAATGCCAAATCCAAGTGCTTCCCTGTGACACTGTTCTTTGCATGACAGATTCCGGAAGCCCAGACAGTACTACACTAGGCGCATGAATTTGTCATGCACAGGCTCCACGTGTGCTGGTGTTTGTATTGCTGTTCATGCAATACAAATGAGGGGGCGGGGGAGTTGTGCACTCTCATATTTGCAGCTCCGGTGGTATTGGCTCGTCGTCTTGCGGTATGGGGAGGAAAACCAAAACGAAAGTCTCTTTATTGATGCTTGTGACATTTTTCTACCTTGCTTGACCATGTGATGCCGCGAAGGTGAGCACGAGAAGAACAAAACTCTTATGCAGTTTGGCATGACAAATCGTCCACAAATGCAAAAAAAGAACAACTTATCGTCGGTTTCTGTTTCATATCTACTGGCGCTCCTTGATCCCCGGTCTGCCCCTCGGGCGGCCCTGTGCTTCCAGCTTCGCCGGCAGCGCCTGTGTAGTTATTCGTGTTGTATTCGTAGCTCTTGCATCACAAATTGAAATTCCTTCTCCTGAAATACATAGGTACTACTTCTACACAAGTTGTCATGCAAAACCGCATGGAAAAATCTTTGTGTCATGCACACATTCCAAGACAACAACCACGACCGATAGAAATCTTTATACCTGCATTCTCTGCAGCCTGTTGCTCCTGCAACGCTTTCTCTTTTTCGGTTATGTTCTATCACAGGAAAAAACTGTTTCACTGTGGTGATTTTCTGCATCACAAGTTTGACACACATGACACTGAAAATCTGCCATGCGCGCTTCCCAAGGGAAAACACGCTTGAAAATCCAATGTCTTGCAGGTGTAGCAAGACGAATAGTTCTGTGTTCCATTTTCTGCACGACAAGTTCACAGTGAACCAGTTTTTTCTTCCGATATGTTCTCCGCGCCGACAAGCGTTGGGGGTGGGAACGACGGTTCCTCGAGAGCGACTTCGCACTGTTTTACAAGTATTTATTGTCCCCGTCGCACGCCGCACTGCGAGAAACCACACGACTGAACTGCCGTCTGTCATGCGCAATGTTTATGCAACAACAAAAAAACTTTAATGGACAATCTATCCGGAACGATGGAGCAGCATTCATTTTAGTACCATGAATCTCCTGGCGGGCTTCTGTACGAAGTCGAGGCACATGTGTCAACTGTAAAAATGTCTGGGTCTGGAAGAATCCAACTTGTCATGCTGATTTTGGATTCTAAAAAAATCTGTATTGCATGAGCAGCAAAGAGAGTCCAAGCTTTGCTACACGGAAAGAGCATTTGTCATGCGGTATAGGCATCAGGAAGCCCTCAGAAAATCTGTGATGCTAGGGCATGCATCATAGACATCAGGAGTCATGCAAAATGTGCATGACAAACCTGGCAATCTTCCAGACCCAGACACTTTTACATTTGATAACATGCGGTAGAGCACGAAATGCTTGAAAAACGTGCCCACCGCGTAATCTACCATGAGTTTGCACTCTGCTGGGGAAAAGTACCTTTGAGTGCGTTGTGTACTATGTTTTACATTCGTTCCCGCATGAAAGAGGGCTTTTTTCATGGCAGAAGCGAATACAACACGACATGATACCAATCGCAACCGAAAGTAGACCATTATCTGTCATGCAGAATTCCATATGCATTATCAAACCAGCATGTTTATACCCTGCGTGTTTGTGCGCTTTTATCCCGTCGCTGAACCGTTTAAAGAGCAGATCGAAGGTCGTATCCCGCTCTGTTATTGACAGTGCGCAGGATTCCAGAAGTGTGCAAAAAATCGCCGTGCCCTTCGTGTTCAAGACGATGCTGCGGCAGTGCATCAAGTTGTAAAAGGCGAAGTCGCACAGTATTTCGTCGCGGAACTGCAACGCGTTTAGCTGCTTGAGCTCAAGAATACCTGGGTCGTGTTTGTCGTTCGATTGTTGTTTGAAATGGGGAATTTGTCATGCGAACAAGGACATCAGAAAGGCCTTTTGTCATGCATATTAAGTAAGATCAACATCCAAAAAAAAACATCAACATACTTGCTTCCGACGGGCTTTTGTTCCATTCTGAGACCCACTCTTCTGTGTACGTGAGGACCAATCCGGTTTCTGGTATGACATTTTCGTCCGCCGCGGGGGGCTCTTCCTCCTCGGCCATGATGGTATTTTCCGCTTGTCGTGGTGCTACGAGTAGTCACTGCGCTTTTGTTGTCTTTGTGCCTGCTTTTCTAACAGCGAGCGACTTCCTGAAATTTACAAGCTGGACAACGCTCAATCTTCTTGTTATAGACGACGATACGATAGATTAAATTCCTGCTCTCGACGCAAGTAGCAAGTGACCCGACCAAGCAGTGGCGGTTCTCGATTCTCTCTCGCAACAAGCTGTACAGGCGATATTTTTCACGAGGATTATCAACAAATCACCTCTAGCTGTGCCCTCTGCACTGTAATTCAGCTGCGCTCGTCGGCATGATGGATGTTGCACAAACACAGTTTCGTCCGTCGCATCAAGGCGTGGCGCCTGTGGTTGCAATTGGAAATGGGTGACGATGCTCAACAAAACACTGATCCGGATGCAGTGCGGCCCAAGCATGCGCAGCGGCGCAACGGCCGGGCTAGAGCCGAGCGCGCCGGCGCTGCAGGTTGCCCTCCTTCACACATGGGCAACCGAAGGAAGCGGGCCACCCATAGGCCCGCACGCGGGCCGACCGAGTAAAACCGGGGAACTAGCCCTAGCAACATGTAGTGGGGCCATTCTGAACGGCGCGGGCACGGACGAGAGTAGCCAGGCTGGCCGCCCATCTTGTGGGCAACGCCCGCGGCGCGAGGCGCAGGCAGGCGCCCACGCCGGGCGTCCCTGCCAGCCCGGGGGGCGGGGCCGGCCCGGATCGATGGACGCGACGCCGCCGCGGCGCCATAAATCTGGGGCGCAGCAACGAAAGGCGGCCCCCACCCAAGGGCGGACGGGCTTCCCGGGCTAGGCCCCCTCGCACTGGCCCGGCGTGCCCCGGCCCCTTCCTTTTATTTTCCGGCGCGGCGGGCTAGCTTCCTCGCGGAATAGCGCAAACGCCGGAAATTCAAGGCGCTTAGTGAAGGAGGGGCTGAAGTCCGGGGCCAGCGCGCTCTGCCCCCGACTGCCCCGCGGTCGGAATCGGCTCCGGCCCCTATTTGCGCCCCCTGCCGATAGTCATCGGGCGCGCCCTCGGTGAATAGATTCCGGCAATACACAAAGAAGCGCCAAGGACCAACCGAATGGCCCAAGCCAGACAGCACCGCTTTGGCCCCCCGCGCCGTTCTATCATCGAGCACCTAAACAAACCATAACATTAGCAGTGAAATTCGCACGGGCACGCTCCTCTGACGTTCACTGCGCAGCACTGCTCCTACTCAAGTCGTCACATCACTCTGCAAGCGGTCCCACGCAGAGTTTTCTGCTGTTTTCCTCAGTTTCACTGGTCACTGTAGCTTCCCTCCCTCCTATCACTCCAAAGCGACGTCGAGAGCGGATGTATAATTCACGAACACCAGCCTCGGCGGCCGTCGCGTTTTGCAAGAGTCCGTCGCGCTCTTTTTCCGTGTTCAACTTCACTGAACCCATTGCGCTAAGCAAAGGCCCACGCCCCTGCCCTTTACAGGATTTGGCACAGGAAGCAGGGGCCGGCGTCGGGGGCGGCACAAACTCAGGCGCGGTGGCAGATCTTTGCCTAAGGCGCATAATACGAAGCGCGCGCGCGAGAAGCCTAGCGCGGCCCGGGTGCGCTGTCGTCGCCTCAATGCGAGCGTGTGCGGCATAAATAAGAAGCCAGGTCGGACCTGGAGTCGCCCGCCACAGAAACAGGCAGGGGAGGGGGCATACGCACGCGGGCCCTGTTCAATGGCGGGCCGGGCATCGTGCCCGGCCACTCACGTGCCAGGGCGACGGCCGCCCCGCATATGCGCCTAGCCCGGGCCGCCAGGGCGGGCCAGCGAAAGGGGTGGCCACCCACCCGGCAGGCCTGCGGCCGCGCCAATGGCACGCACTGGCGTTATCTGGCGGGCCAGGCCTTTGCGCCGTCGCCTCGCCGAGTCTCTGCGTGGGGGGATGCTTCGCCTCCCTCTCTGCGACCTCGCTGGGCGCTCCGCGCTTGTGTCCGTCATCTGCTGCAGGCCGTCCGTTTTCTCATTGTAATCGGACGACCCGACGGGGCCTTGGCTGGCATCAACATCTTCGAGGCCGGGCTTCCTAAACAATACAGCGCTCAACAAGCGGCGCTATGAAAAAGAACCAAAAGCCACTCCTTCCCTGATACTCCGAAACACTTTTGCCACGCCAAAAGCCTGACCAGTCTCACTCTGCTCAACTACTTACTCATTGACAAACTTCCCTCAGTGCTGTTGTTCTACGACCTCGCGTTGCTTCCGCTCGTCCTGCTCACGGCTCTCTTGCTGATTTCCCTCAGTTCAGGTTCGAGATGAGGGGAAACATGAAGCCTCGGACTCTGCTGTACACGCACGAAGACAAAAGAAAACCACGTACAGAACAGCAGCAAAATCAGGAGGCTCGCCACGTCACGTGCTTATTTAAAAGCATGACTCTCTGTCTACTGGTCAAATTTCTTCTGTGTGTAGTTCGATGCCTCTTTTTGAAGGAACTCACGTGCGACTACTTGTACTTATCTACACCCGCAACAAGAAGCGTCAAGTTCAACATCAATTATCCTTCTTGGAAGAACTCGTCGCGTTTACCTCCCCAAAGTACTCTTCATCATTGTCATAACTATATCTTTCCCGATCCGCTGCAGGCTGCCACTTCAACGGGTCCTGCATGTACCACGGCCAGGACGGGAGACAGGCGACGGTGGCGAGCGCGCAGCCGATGAGTGTTGCGTAGAAGCAGTAGATGAAGGACTGTTCCCAGAAGCCGTAGAGAAAGCCGAGCGTGGAAAAACCGTAGATGAGCATACTCTGGAGGTCGTATCTGTTGATGGGACGAGATAGGGAAGTTTGGTTGGATTATTGATGGACTTTGTCTTGTTGCACGACTTGCTCAGCTACAAGCATCAGAAACGACCATTGTCATGATGGGGGTCATGCAGAATCAACGAAGCATGCTTCGAACGATCATGAATATGAAAGCAAAAATAATCTAAACGGTATTTTCAAAATTATACGCGTTCTTCTGTCCGACGAAGTCCATTTCGTCGCTCGTGAGCGCATCGTAGTACTTTTGGAAACTCATTTTGTCGCTTGTTGTCCTGCGGTGCTTCTCGGGTCACTGGTATATTTGTCGTTGCTGTCGCTTTATTTTTCCCTGTCGTGCTGCTCTTGACTCACCACAGTGCGATGCTCGAACTGTGCTATCTTTCTATCTTGTTGCTTTTCAGACGTCGCTGCAACGGTTGTTCTGACGTGAGGTTGTATTTGTGAAGATGTTGAAATTGCTTGTCAAGGCTGACTGCCACTGCTGTCTTTGTAGTTGTTGTGTTCCGCAGCAGCAGGTGTTTCTCTTTCTGCTTGTACTCGTACTTCTTTTGTCGCCAGTTTTTACTCAAAATGAAACTGTATCGGCCCGTGTCTTGTCGGCGAGGAGTCCTATTTCGCACTCCAGCTACAACTGCGGTTTCATTCGTATCAGGAAAGCCACCACCACAACGTAAGGTCTCACTGATGTTTGTTCGCTAGATTTGTTTCTACTTGTTGCAGATATTTGTGTGTTGAACAAAAATTTAAACTTCGACTCACATCATAGTACAGCATCAAAAACTCAATATGTTGTTGGAACCATCGCAATACTGCTCTGAGTCAAATCTTTGATGTTATGGAAAGGTTGCAACAGAAAATGTCGAAAAGTTCGTTCCGAGAAAGTAGATCCTCTATTACCATGTATGACCCGGAGTAGTAGAGCAGGTGGAACAAGTCTTCAAGCATGAAGATCGTGATTGTGCCGTGTGCCCGATAGACTTTTCGAGTTTCAAGTATAGCCTCCTCTTGAGGGCGTGCAGCGTGCAGCAAAAGTGATCCTTTCTACGGCTTGCTGTCACTCGTGAACACGAATAGGGTTTCATCATGCGAATCTCACATTTCTATTTCTTGCGCGCCGCAGCGTGTATGTTACAACGTAAAACTCTCACTGTAGTACAACGCTGAAGTACTAACTCATCTTCTTTTTTGTTCGAACTTCTCTTCCACTTCGAAACGTCAGTTGGACCGTGCTCTTTTACAGACCCATCATGTACTAGTACTCGTCAGATCACTAATTTTTGTTTTGCACAAAAACGAGCATGTATTCATATGATTTTCAAAAAACCTGAGACTCATCCCTCTCCACCTTCCCATCGACAAACCATCCCTCTCCTCCTACGGAAACGTTTTTTTCGTCAAAACGGAGTAAAAATCTTCAAATGAAATCTCGCCGCCACTCCCCGACGAACTTCCATTGTTCTCGTTTCCGCTGTTGCTGGCCGCCCGTCGCACGATCTCCCGGATCTCTTCCATGGAGAGTCTCTCGCCTAATTCCCGGCACACCCGGTGGACGTCCTTCTCCGTGATCACATTTTTCCCCTCGATGTCGAAAAGCTGGAAAATTTTCGACACTTCCTCCTTGCTGATGGTCGAGGAATTTGGAATCAACTGCCCGTTCGCGCCCGTTATGCATCGCAAATATGTCCTAGTCTGGGGCTCGAACAACGATGCAGACTTGTGATGCTGCGTCTGGAACAGACATAAACTACATCTGTGTTGCGTAGCGAGCAAGAGGTGCGCTCTGTTTCTTTGATGATTTAGAGCGTTTCTCATGCGGTCTATGTGAGGAGATGAACCCTCCCTAGATGAAGAACTTGTGATGCTCCAGTAGAGCATGTCAGATGACCTTCTGTAATGTGCAAAAACTGCAAGACAAACACACATATTTGCATGCGGTACCCGTTGCATTCGGCTGTACTTGAAAGGAGTCCTCCCGCATCAGATCGAGAAATTCTTCAAAATCCAAGCTCGCGGACCCGTCGCGGTCCAGCTCCTGGAGCATCGTGAAAACGGCTTCGTTTTTGGACTCGTATCCAAGAGACTGCATCGCATTGCGGAGCTCCTTCAGGTCGATCTGGAAGTGGGTTTGAAAGGGTGTAGCTTAAGTAGCTAGGTGTTTGCTTTTCGTGCATGAGAAACTCTTAACTCATGGGCATAAAGTTGTTGTTCCTCTGCATCACTAAACATCCAGCAGTCTCTTGCTTCGCAATAGCAGCTGCAACAACAAATGTAAAATTTGTGGATGAAACTACTGTTCAAACCTGTCCGCTCTGGTCCGTGTCAAACAGATCGAACGCTTCCCATCCTGTGCAAAAGTATCGCGCTCGTAGTAATTGCAATCATGCATTACAAATTTTTTTTCATTGCAAATTTTATTTCTCATGCTGAGGAAATTTGTAATGCATTTGTACGAGTACGATACTTTCGCGTTGCATACTTCTTTTATCTCCTCGATCTCGTCCTGCTTCAACCCCGGTCTTTCGTACTGTCGCGGGTTCCAGGTGCTGTTCGGGTTGTTGCCGCCGGCGGTGGCGGCATTGTAGTTTCCGTGGCGGACGGAAGAGGACATGACTTAGTGTTCTTGTCGGAACGGAAGTAGTTCTTGCAAGAAGGGGACGGACTGAAATGAAGCGCAGCTTTGGAGAGTGGTTTGTGTATTGAATCCTCCTCGCCCTCAACAAAGCGCTACTGTTCTCTTATGAAGATACTTTCCCTCGAAGCCGCTCACTGCACGCAACAAAAGCTTGGTGGGAAGTGCGACTCTCGTTGTCCACGTTCTCGCCAGTGCGACGCTCAGTCGTTGGGAGAAAAGAACGATGATGACGAAAGTCAGGCGGTCAAGCGTGTTTGCCACGAAGAGCTGCTGGCGGGTAGAGTGATACTCCGGCATTTCAATCGCCCACGGGAGGCAGCCTTGAAGCTCAGTTAGCAGGTGCCAGCCAGCCACCCCACACTGCGGCAGGCAAGAGCCCGCGCGGCCTGCGTGCAGCGGCAAACCTGCGCAACAGCCGGACCGGCCAGTCTGTCATCCCGGGCCGTCGCCGGGCGGCATCGCCACAGCAGCTGTGCCGCGCCAAGAAAAACAAAATGCCGCCGAACCCACGCCCGGCCGGGGCGGTGGGGCAAAAGCAGACGCCCACGCCCTCATTTGGCACAGGCGGCCCACGCGCCCGCTTGGCCCACACGGGGGCGATTACCGCCGCGAGCTATGAGGGGGCGGCCCGCCTGCGGTACGCGAGCGGGCGCGGACCCTGCGCAGCGGGCGCGCTAACAAAGAAGCGAGGCCCGGGGCGGGCGCGCACGCGTATGGATGGGGGGCAAGGCAAGGGCGGGCGCAACCACGGGCGGCCCGGCTCTGCTTCGGGGCCATCGTGCTCGATCCGTGGCCTCATTGTTGATTGTGCGCGGACGCCCGGCATTCTAGATCGGCCTCGGTGGTTTTTTCTTGTGCCGGCCATGCTCGCCGGCAATGCTCGCCGGCTTGTGCGGACGGCTTCGCCCCCGCTCGCCCGAGCCCGTGCGTGGCCAAGACGCTGCGGCCGGCTCCCCTCAGCGCGTGCCGCCGACGGCAACAGCACGGGCGGGGGAACGCGGCACGCCGCGGGCAAAGGCGCGCAGCTGCGCCATTCCTTTACTTAGCGCCAGCCAGGCCGCCCCCTGGCGGCGAAAACAGATTCGCTCGGACTATCTAAGAGACCGCAAGCGGCGAATCAGAAGCGCGGGGCGTGAGAAGTTGGGAGCACGCGCGCCCCTTCCTCTGTCTCGCGTCCCTTTCTCTCTCCCTCCTGTCTCTCCTCCTCCGCAGCTGCGCAATCCCACGGAATCACTCAGCCTCCAAAAATCATCTTCGTCAGCACTGGTTCTGGAAAAAAATCTCTATCTGTACGAAATCAAGAACGCACACGCCTATTCGCAGTCAAAGTGTCTGCAGTTCTTCAGCTTTCAAGTTTTGAACCCAAACTTCACAATCTTCAGCCAGCATTTTCCCTTGCCTGTTCCTCCTGAATCACCCACCAATCATCATCAGTCAATATTCCTTTCGTCTCTTCCACCAACGAGATAAAGTTGCTTTCTCTATACTGCTTGCGAACTGCCTCATCCACGGGAAGAACCCCACTACCATCCTCGTTTTCAACCTCTTCACTCCCCTTCTCCTCACTTCTCCTCTCCAGTTCCTGCAGTAACCTCCTGCCGTACCGCAGCTTCGCCTGTTGCAAAGCGGAAAAAAACCGGATTTCCCCATCAGAAAGCTCCGGGTGCCAGATGTCGACAATCAGGACTAGTCTCGTCGTTCTCCCGAAGTTCCAAGCCGAGTGGTAATACGAGTGGTCCCAGATGAAAGGTTCTCCATTCCTTGGCTGGATAATCTTGTTGCCCACCTGCAACGCGATAGGGAAGAGCTGCTTCTCCCTCTCCTCGATGTCGCATAGAGATTTGTTCTCTACTGCACCATCTTCACCAGCAGTGGTACCAGTTGCAGTTGTGGAAGAAGTTGACGCTGATACTGTTGATGTTCCAACTTTCCTACCATTCTTCGACCTCCACACCTTCGTGCCCAGAGCACGTGTTTCCTCCAACACATACTCGTCTCCTTCCTCCACTTCCCTTGCTGCGCTATCGGCTTGAGGCTCAACCTCTGGATCCAAATTGCACCCGTCGAGCGGTAGCCAAACGCGCAACATCCGATTGCTGGGGCCGAAGTGCGGGATGATCTTCGTCCCGGGCACCAACGCCGAGACGAACGCGTGGCTGTAGTGGTTCGGAAAAATGGTTTCGATTGCCTTTTTCGTTACTGGCAGTTTTTCTAAATTCTCCTCAAAGGCTTTGTGGTTCAGGTAAAGGTAAAAAACGTTCCACTGTCCGGAAGAAGTCGCGGTAATGCCGGGGAGTTTGGTTTTAGTTTCTGGCTCGACTTGATGTTCTCCTGCGGATGGTGCAGCACTGCTTGCTGTTTCTACTTCACTGATCTCTTTCGGGTCTCGGTAGGGCTGCCAGCCGGTCGTGGATTTTGAATCGGAAGATCTACCACTGCTACATCTTAACTGCAACACCTCTTCCCGGATTTTCGGGTAGATGTCCTGCAAATCTTGGTGTAATTTCTTCAGCTTCATCTCTGATATCGAGTCAGCAGCAGGTCCAGAAGATTCATTTCCGCTGGTAGCTGTTGTGTTTTCCATTTCAGCATGTTGAGAACTTGGCTCTTCCACGAGCCGTCGACGATCAATCTCCTCATCAAATGTTGGCCACACCTCAAAGTTTCTCTCCACCGGGAGCATATCGGAAGACAAAACCCGGCTTTCACAGCCGTGTCGCCAAATTTGGTTGTTCACCCGGAGTAGAAACCATTTCCGTAGAATTTTCGCGCACTCCGTTTCGCAGTGCAGTTTTTTCTCCAGGAACTTCAAACAGCCAAGCTTCACGATGTTCGTCACGTAGTGCTCGTCTAGGATTTCGTTTGCTTTCTTCATCACCTTCTTCTGCAGGAGCAGTTTGGCTTTCGACAATTCTTCGTCATCATCGTCGACGTCGTGTTTTGGTTTCTGTTCTGCTTGTCCTGAATGCAAGTGTTTGTACCGAGGGTTTGGGATCCAGGTGCTAGCAAGGTGGGCGCTACTTGTCCCTAGCTTACTCCCCGCTGCTCTTCCCCTGCTGCTCTTATCCTTCAATCTAACGAAAAACGGGTAGAAAAACGTCGTGTAGCTCAGATTCAGTGGTTTCTCCTTGTCAGCTGTGCTGCTGTGGTTGTCTTCGTGGTTAATGCGACTATCCGCATCACAAGTAGACGCTGGATTCCATGCCACCGCTTCGATCTCGTGCCACCAGCCCACGGGAATGTAGAGAAGCTCGCCCGGGTTTAGGTAGATGTCTTCGTACTGCCGAAGCTTTGCTATTCTGGTTTTTTCCTCCGATGTGATTGATGTAGTTGTAGTTTCTCCTGTTGCAGTAGTTCCTGCTCCCTCGTAGTCGAACGTCGCGTAGTTCGTCGTGATTATCGGATCTGCCGCCTCATCATGCACGTCGTCGCGCTGGAATTGATAATTTTTGTCATGCTGATGTTTTGCAACCACTGCTTCCCCTGCTTCATCTGGAGCTGCCTGATCTGGAGCTTCGACCATTTTATAAAACTTCTTCACCAAAATCACATCGTCTTCCACCAAATTCGCCGCGTCCAACGGTGGAAACAAGCGTATCCTTTTCCGCCCGCTCAATTGTAAAAAGAAATTCTCCTGGTTATCGTAGTGGAGTCGAGATTTAGTTCCTTGTCCAAGCTATGAACTGCAAATATGTCTGGGTCTGGAAACTTGTAATGCTAAAAATTAAATGATATTCGCACTGCAATACGCAGCCAAGCATGACAAGTTTTGCGGGCTGCTAGGTGTTGCATGTTCCGCATGACAAACTGAGTTTTGCATGACATGCAAGAGAGCCTCTTCGTGCTCACGCAACACAGATTTGAGAGTCATGCCAGACAAGCATGACAAACTTGCATTCTTCCAGACCCAGACATATTTGCATTTGATACAAGCCAAATATCGTGATTTTTCACGTCAAGTGGGACATTGTTCAGGAGCTGTTTTTCCAAAACGTGAGAAAGCGGTCGTGATGCTGGTGATGTAGATGTTGCTGCACCCGCTGGTCTTCTTGGTCTTCCTGCATCACAAGTTCTTACCACAAGTTCTTCATCCTCCAGCTCATTCGCCTTCAGAAACCCAAAACACCGGTCCAAACAGCCAGCCCCGTCGGCGTAGAAGTGCGGAAGGCTGTTCAGGAAATCGGCGAAACTCATTTCTGTTCTTCTCGCAGCGACGGCAAGGACTTTTATCCGTTTTTTGCAGTTTTCGTTTTGGTTTTGTTCCTGATCTGCGTTATAATTGCACCCTGCTTGTTTCTCCAACACTTCCTCTACATCTACAGACTTCCAGTCTTCAACCCGTTCCAGCCACTTGTCAACACCATGGGCTTTCACTTGCTGCGGAGCTATAACCCGCTCAGGTGTTACAATCTCAAACGTTACAATAGAATCTGAGATTTGTCTTGCCTGATGAACATGACAGACTCGGACAGCATTCCACTTTCCGCAATACAAATTTCGCCAGATTGTAGTGCGGATTGGGACTCCAGAACTTGTCATGCGCAATCCTATGAGAGTTAGGTAGATCATGCACTCTTGCATCACAGATTTCCATAGTCTATTGTAACGCTTGAGATAGTAACACCTGAGCTGGTTATAGGCGCAACCTGGATTTTTTCCGCTCCGTACTTGTGTTTTAAAGTCTTTTTGTTGAATTTGTCTTTCAGTAGTTGCTCGTCGATCGGAAGGTTTGTGATCTTCACCGGCGTGTTTTCCATGATAAAAGACTCGAAGAAGGAAACTTTCGGCTTATTTGATGGTGCCGAGTCTTTGTCGTCTGCTGTAGCAGGATCAGCAACAGCATGAGAACAATCTACAAAGTCCGCGAAGTCCATGCAGGCGACCGTGGGTTTCTTCTGCGGAGCTACGGGCTGTGCTTGTTCATCTGCAACTTCTTCTTTCGCAACTGCTCCCTCCGCGCTAGAGGACGGCAGCGATTTCATTTCTCCGACAGGAGAAGTGTCAGGGTGGGCCGTCATTGTGTCAAAGTGAAAAACGAAAGGATGAAGGTAACTACTGAACAAGACCTGTACACTTCTTATTTCGACAAGAACCTCAATAGGAAAGCGACTTGTGAGGACAAAAATCTCCTGACAAAAGAAAAGTGTGATTCGAAAGCATGAATGAAAAACCAGGGAGCCGTTTGCTCTGCTTCTGCATTGCAAAGGAGCTACTGTATCCGCCGCGAACATTAGAGTCGTGTAATCATACTAGACACGTCGCTTGACAGCTGCAAAAGCAGGTCAATGTTCTTCAATCTTGTCTTCCTTCTCTACTTCGCTTTCCGCGGAAGTGAAATTTGTGTTGTGAATAGAAGAAGTCTACAGTTTTTGTCGTGCTAGAGCTACTTCTCCACTTGTGAGTTCCGCCTTCGCAGTCCATTCAGAAAATTTCATTCAGCAGGTCGTCATCCAGCAAGCTGCTGCTATGCAATGTAAATTTCCCGTACATGTACAAAATGCATTACAAATTTCGCTAACTTGCAGTGTCCAACTTGTCATGCTAGACTAGGATTGAAGGCAAGTTTCATCATGCAGAGACTGCATTTGTACGTGTCGGGGAAATTTACTGTGGATAGCTGCCCTCCTCGTTCACCAACTCCGGCTGCACCACCGCTTATTGTGAGGAAAAATCCCCCCAGCACATATCAAAACGAAGTTTGTGATGCTGGATTTGCGTACACAAATCAGCTTTCTCTTGCAGGAAGTACTTGGCGGCATTTCCTAAGGCTGTTCGGGTATGCAGAAGGCTAGCAATAACGCATGGCAGACAGGTTTGCCGTAGTCGAAAGCGCATGACAGATTGGCTTTGGAATGCGCCACATGGCTCCTATTCGCCTATAGGCAAGACAAAGATGATTTGTGACCACAAATTAGCATCACAAATTTTTATTTTCATATGGGGAGGGGGGATTTTTCGTGTTGATACCGGTATTCTAATCTCCATTACTTTCTCCCCGGCGTCCCACTCGCACACGGCTTGCGAACTGCAGAATCCTTTCGCTAATGGAAACCACATCACCAGCGGCATGTACTTTGCTTCCTTGGATAAAAACATCAGCCGAAATCCCTCGTCGCTGATGGTCAAATAGCACTGTTTCGCGATGTTCCACCTCTTCAGTTTCGGGAGAAAAATCCGGCACACGAAAAACGGGAACTGGGTTTGTAACAACTGCTCCAGCATCTTTTCCCCTGTGGCTGTTTCCGAGTCCTCCTCATTTTTCACCCAGCCTTGTTTTTTCCGAAAATTCTCCGCAAAGGACTCTTTCGTGTTGTAACAGGGGAGATCGAAACCGTTTAGTCGGGTTTTTTTTGATGTAGTTGTTGATGTTGTGTCGTCTTGCTCGATCTCCATACTTCTATTTGTTTCTTCATCAATGTCCTCTTCCCGCGCGTAGTACCAAACTTCGAATTCTGGGCGTTCTATCACCTCGACTTTTTCTTTCGGTTTATTGTTCTCCGTTACTGCATCGCCGTCCCCGCCTATGCAAGAAAAAAACTGCGAGTACAACTCTGTAAAAATGCAGAACATGCAAAAGAGTTACAGCTGTCATGCCAGACAGCCATGAAGTCCTCTTTCCGTGCTGTGTATGTTCCCTTACAAGCCACGCATGACAGGTTTTCTCTATCATGTAGAGCAAAGCTGTAATGCTGTCAGCCGAAGAAAGTATACACTGTAACACAGTTTTTTTCTTGGATACCGCCCACCCCGGAACTGGAGCTCCCTTCTTCTTGGATCTGCGACTTCTTGGTGACGCGGATTCTTTGGTACTGCAACGGGCCCTATCAAATGCAAATGTGTCTGGGTCTGGAAGAATGAAAGTTAGTTTGTCATGCTTGTCTGACATGACTCTCAAGTCTGTCATGCACATTACCCAAGAGCCCCACTTTTCTGTCATGCAGAAGCTCACTCTGTCATGCAGAAAGGCCAAGACTGTAGGACCTCCAAAACTTGTCATACTTGCCACCCAATTGAGGCGCCCTCGTCTTTCTCAACCAGCATCACAAGTTTCCAGACCCAGACATATTTGCATTTGATAGGCCCTTGTACTTGATCTTCGGGTATTTGACGTTCTGCGTGTCTAATGCGCACTTATACTTCTGCTGGATGGCGTTGATCGCGAACTCTTGGACCATTAGCTTCGATATTACAATGAAAAACGCCCCCACCCCAGCACTTGGCAGTATTTGTATTGCAAACCTTTCCAATGGAAACGTTCCCCGTCTTGCATATCTCAGCATCACAAATTTTTCATGCTGAAGAGCCCAAGTCTGTGTTGCAGAGGAGCCCAACAGCAGCCGCATCTGTTATGCAAAAGACACCTCACGCACCTAGATTCTGCATCAGAAAAGCTCGCAGTCCTTTCATGCAAGACAAAAGCCTTTCATTATCATTTGGAAACTTTGCATGACAAACTTTTGCAAATTCGGGGTTGGGGGCATTTTTCATTGTAGTAATCGATTCCGCTTCCTTTTCGCAATTTTCCACCACCATGGGGTGCACAAGCACGTCGATCACGATGCAGGCTTCCTAGTGGGTTTGATCATTTTTGTGAAGTGCATATCAGATGAAGAACAACAAGGTTACCACGCATGACAGAGCAAGTTTTTCATGTAAAAAATTGCATGACAGAGTCCAGCCAAGTCTAAGCGTACCTTCTTCTTATCGAAATCTTCTATGGGCGGCCCCACAGACACGGGTATTCTCAACCCCTGCTCTATCACAAGAAAAAAGTGTTACAGTTACCCATTTGTTGGAGTTTCTGCATCACAAATTTTCTCTATGTGGCAGAGAAAACTTGCAATGCGAATATCATAAGGGAAAACAGGAAGGAAACGAAGCCCCCAAGCATTTCCTGCATGAGAGAGGTTGTCTGTGTTGCCGGTCTTGCATAGACTATGTGTGTAACAACTGTAACACTTTTCTCTTGCGATATGCTCCTCTTCCGCACTCCCGGTTTGCTCTGCCATCAGGGACTGCATGTGCTATGCATTGCAAACATGTCTAAGCCTGAAAATTTGTAATGCGAGGCTGGGAATAGTGAATGTTCTGTAATGCATAAGCAACCACGAGAAAAATTTGCGCGGTCGAGTCCAAGTATTGCGTTTTTCGCATGACAAAATGCAGGGCTGCATGACAAGCAAAAAAATCTCTTCTTGGACACGCATCACAAAGACAAACGAAGATTTCTCTTCAGTCATGCCAGACAAGCATGACAAACTTGCATTCTGCTTCCAGAACCAGACATCTTTGCAATGCATATGTGCGGTTTCTCTACCATTTCGTGACTGCAAATGTTGATGAACAGCTTCGTCTGCGCTATCCTGTGCAAAAGTATCGCATTCGTCTTCGTAGTGCAAACGTGCATTACAAATCTTTTTGTTAAGTCAAGTCCGCATTACAGATTTCATTTCTCATGCTGAGGAAATTTGTAATGCATTTACACCAGTACGACATTTTTGCAGTTCATATGCGCGTTGGATTTCTGATTCGCCCCGCTCCCCTGGATCAGGTTCGGCGCGCCCTGCCGGTAGGCAGTTTTCAGGACGAAACCTTTTGATGGTATGTAATACAGGTATAGATTTTCTACGCAATTTTGTCATGCAACTTCAACACGCATGGAACTATTCAGAGTTGCGTAGGTATGTAATGCAAAACCACAGCTGCAACAAAAATCTCTTTTTGTACCTGGCACCGGCTCCACCACTGCCGCGCCCTCGCTGTCTATCTTTCCCAGCATGGATTTGTTCATTTGCTCCGACCGGTTTTTCGTGATCAACTTCTCGTACCTTTTCAAGTACTCATCCAACTGTTCTGGCGACCACTGAGCCATCTCCTCCGGCGACGCTCCGCCCATCAGCTGCTCGACCTCCTCTTTCGACAAGCCTGCGAAGCCGCCGCTGGGAACGCCCGACGCGCTGGGCGGCATCCCGCCGGGCGTCGGGAGGTTTTGTTCCATGGTTTTCCCTATCCTGTGCAAAAGTATCGTAGTCGTACTAATTGCAAATATACATGACAAATCTCCTTCCTAGGCCTAGGGTAAAACAGCATTACAAATTCCACTTTTCTTCTTGCCAAAATTTGTGATGCAATTTATACTAGTAAGTACGATACTATTTGCAATGCATATTCCCATTCAGGATGTCGAACGGGTTGCGGTTCGCCTCCGGATTCGCACCCAGCGGGTTCTCCGCGGTGGACATCCGCTCGTGCACGCGGAGCAGCTCGTCCATCGTGCTGGTTCGTTGTTGTTGTGGTTCTGCTTGATTGGTAGAGATGTAGTCTTTTGAAAATGCAGGGCAACGAGGGAACTGGAGCGTCCGGCTAGACTCTGCAGCTGATCAACACATTAGAGCACTCGGATGGGATCCCACCTAACTCGACTATTAAAACACACACGACTGGATCTCCTTTGCAAGACATCCAAGCTTGCATCTCACGCTCACAACGTTGTCACACGCCGGTCCTGGACGCCTCATGCGGTCTCTCCTTACCAACTCGCCTCCAGCGGCTCTACTACCAGTTCAGTTTGTATTCGCCCCCACCCTAGGTGTTTGGTTTATTAGGATAATTTTTCGCACTCTCGCCCTCCTACCTCCTGAAAGCTCTATTGACACGCTCCATCTTCCGCATTCTACCGGCCCCAGCCGTCTGTGCTCCACGAAAGGAGAACACGGTGACTGCTCCTGCAGCTTGCATTGCCCACACGACGGTAGCTCGCTTCGCTCGAAGTCCAGAAACCAATCTGGTCGATACGCCGGGCTCTAAGTTCTACAGCGACAAAGAAAACACCCTCTCCCGGGGGGCAAATCAAAAGCACGGCGGGCCGAGCGATCCGCTGCCGGCGGCCAGCGAGCACGCGAAGCTAACCGGACGGCACCCGCCTCCGGCCAAGCTGGCCCTCTAGCCACAGAGATGGCGGGCCGATGGAAACAAAGGCGGCGCGGCGAGGGCCGGGAGGCAGGCGTAAGTCCCTCCGGCCCTTACCTGCGGCTGCTTCGGATGCATGGATGAGCGCACGACCCCGGCAAAGCCAAACATCGCAAGGAACCGAAACGGGCCACGGCACTTCGGCGGGCCCTTGCGAGCGGGCCCGCTGGCGCGGCTACCGGCGGGGGCTTCCGCGCGCCCGCGGGGGCATGCCACGCAAGTAAAATAATGAACCGGAGGCGCAGCCCCGCGCGATAGCGGCTTTGTTTTAGGGCCTCTTCCGCTTGGGCGGTGAACCGCTTGCCGAGGTCCGACGCCTCCGCCGAAACACCTGGCCCATCGCGCGCCATGCTCCCGCGGTTTTCGAGCAAGCTAACATGGGGCGCGGCCGCGGGCGCGCGAAAAGAGCAGGGGCGCCCGCGCGCCGCCAGGGTGGCGGGCGACGTTGCGGCGCTTTTTTTGTTTTTCTGGCCGCTACGCCTATTCCCTGAAGCTGAACGAAGAATGGCTTCGGGCAGTCGCCCCCGCCCGCGCTGCGCCATTCGGCGGCCGCACCCCCGCCATTGACGCGCCGAAACAACGACAGGCGGCGCCCGCACTGCGAGCGGCTGGCGCATGGCTCCAAGGTAGGCCAGAAGACACAGCGGCCATGCTCGCAAAGATGCTGCACGCGGCGCGGGGCGTCTGGGTCGCTGTTTTTGTCTCGTCCGGTTCTTCACGCCACCGAGCCCAGACCCTTCCATCTCAGGAAAGCCAGGCACCCATCTTTCGTTTCTACTGGAGCTGATCCACAAATAACAAAGAATGCCTACTTTAGCGAATCCGGAAAGAATTTGAAAGGTTGTACTTACGTACATACACACGGAGGGATCACTCTCATCGGGGGCGCTCAATGTTGTGACTGAGCCACCACTCTCTAGACATCCGCTCGTGCACGCGGAGCAGCTCGTACATCGTGCTGCTCACTCTGAAGAGCTCGTTTTTTTTTTGCAAACCACGCTCGCATAAACTTTGTTCTAGTGGCTTTGCCACTTCAGATTTCTCTGACTTTCTCCTCAGCCTGGTGTTTAATTTGGTCGCGGTCCTCTAGCTGCAAGCCCTTCTAACACGACACTCGCTTCTCCGCACTCCAACGGCCTCCCACTTCCCCGGCTTTGGTCAAAGAAAAATAACAAACTACAGACGCTGCCTTCACAGCTAGCAATCCCCACGATCCGGTGGCCCCCTTCGCCCGGGGCGCAACAATAAAAGCCGATCGGCAAGGCCACACTGCGACGCAGAAGACGCCCGCGGGCGCATGAGAAGCTATAGCACGGCGGGCCGCCCGTCCGAGGCACTGCAGGCGGCCTGCGAACACCCGGGCTGCGCGGGGAAATTCGCGGCAAGCCCACACACTCACACAGACAAGCTGGAACAGCTGCGGCCGGGGCCGGGGGCGATTCATTCGCGCTGCGGCTGCCCGGGCCGGGCCGGGCGGCCGCCGGCCAGACGCAACTCAGGGAAGCCGCGCGGGGCCCGCTCGCGCGCTTTCGCGGAAAAGGCTGCGCGCGGCGCACCCCGGGCGCGCGCGCGCGGCATAACAGTAAGGCGCGCCCCTCCGGGTGGGCGTAGGCAGTTCCTTCAGAGCTTGGCCCGCGGCAAGGCGCCGGCCTCTGCCAACAAACCGCGGGCCCGTCGTACTTGCTACCGTCCGAATCAGTCCGCGCAAACCCGCAGAGAGGGCCGCGCTGCCACCCTGCGAGAACCCGGCGAGATCGCTCGGACGGCGCTCCGCCAATCGGACGGCCGGCGCCCCGTATTGTAGGCCCGCATCGTCACGGCCTGCGGCGCTGCAGGCATTCTGGCCCGCCTAAGTGCTTGCGCGGCAGGCGTTTGGCGCCGGCCTACCGCAGGGCGGGCCCCGCCCCAATGAGGTCCGCCGCACTGCGGGTTCCGAGCTTGTCAACGCCACGGGCCTAATGCATCCCCTTCCAGCAGAGGGGCGGGGACAGCGCAACCGTGGCCCGCGCGCTGCGCTGCGCGATCCAAGACCAAGACGGCGCCCAGATAAGTTTGCTACGCACGCAGCAAGGCTAGCGCGACACTGCCTAGTCCTTTTCGTGTGATGGTCTCCGTAGATGGTAATGGCGCAGAGTGGAGAGGGAGACCCTTCGATCTCACAAAAACGAGCACAATGCCGGTCCTTCTAATCTCCCGCTCCGCAAAAAAGCTACCTCATGCTGTTGCTTTTGCGCTCACACAACCTAGTACAACTCAGCCAAGAGCTCTTCTCTCGCCCACACATCCACTCGACTTTGGTCCAGCTTGCGCTCCACCTTCACTAACAGTGAGAAAAAACACCGGCGGAATGAAACCCGAAAAGAAGGCGCCACGCTTGGGACTAGGACCAAGTTGCGCCAAGCAGCCCAGCAAACGGTCCCGCGGTGTGTGCCATTAATAATTTAGACAATGACCCACATCGACGCCAACGACACCCGAATCGGGATGCGCACTAACGAAACAGCCCGGCAGCTGCCGGGGATGGGCAGGCCGCCCGCCGCCCGGGGAAGGGCCGGTAGGAATGCGGCGCCCCACATAGTGGCCGCTCGGGAGGAGGCAGCCCGGCGCCCTGCGAGCAACGGGCTGCCCTTGCATTGAATTGCCTGGCGGGCGGCGAGCTGGCATTGAATTGCCTGGCGGCGCGGCGTCATTCGATTCAAACAAAGGCGCCACGCGGCTGCCTACTACACCCGCGCGCCCCCACGCTGCGCCATTCCGGCGGGCGCGCCGCGAAAAAAACGAAAACGCGCCGCAGGGTTGGGGGGAGGGCCGAGGGCTGGAAGGCAGGGGGCGCGCGGCTCTTATCGGCGTAAATCCGTGGCGGGTTTGGCCGGTGGGCCATTGCTTTCCGGTCTGCATTTCGGAGTCCCGCCCGCCATCGGCCGCGCGCGAGCAGGCAGCCCGCCGCGGCTCGATTTGTAGCGGGCGGGGCCAATGCCGTGCCCCCGTGGGCGACATTCTGCGCCGTCTTGGCGTCCTGCCCCTGGTCGCGCATTGCCCCAAGCAGGTGACACCGTAGCCGCCCCACGTCGAAAGGCCGGCCCCGCTCGCCAGAGAAGAAACCACACACAAGGCGCGGACCCGCTGTCTGAGGTAGGCGCCCGCTGTTACTCAAGGGACTGCCATCTTTACAATTTCCTTCCTGTGCGCCGCACTGTGCCAGAGCCTCACTCCCGCGCCCGCTCTGCTCCCTCTGATAGATGAATTGTGTGTCTCGAGCCCCATTTGGCTTGCGTTTGCTCTCATCCTCTTCCTCAATTACTCATCCGTGCTGTCCCTCATAAGTACCAGGCTGACCAAGAAAAGACCCCTTCTCCGTAGCATCGCAATGGCCGTGAGTCGACCAAAAAGTGCCAGCTTTTGGCTGTGTGGCTATGAAACATTTGAATAACACTTTTTTCAGTGAAACTAGGAGACGTAGAATCAATGATACAGGACTGCTGGTGGGCTCGGTCCCAAAAAATTGTTCAAGTTTTGCATTTTCAATGTGTTCATTTGTATTTTTTACAAGTAGTGTCTTTTCTTTTCACACGAGCAATGATGCAACAGATCACGCTCGACGAAGTCTAATATTCAAAACGATAAATCAAGGGCGATGGACTAACCTCTTGTAACTGTAGATTAGCCTGCTCTTATCTGCGTATAACTGGTATAAGTGTTTGATGGCGTTGTATTGCTTAGTGTGTCACCTTGTGTGCAAAGTGCGACGCCGCCCTTGTGCAATGTAAACTTTATTCGGGTTTGTGACAAAGATAAAAGAATCTTTCTGTGTCGGTAAAAAAATCTTCGGTTTCATCTTGTTCTCCCGCCGGAAAATGGAATTCGAGTAGGAGCGTGAGGACGTCTTCTACTTGTGCAGCAGAGCCAGCCCCAGCTTCTTCCACTTTCTTACTTAAAGATGCTCTCGATCAGCTGGACACAGCCACCTGTGCAAGTTTTTTGTTGAATTCCAGTTTGTCATGCGGTGTACGTTACGGCAACAGCAAAATAGTTTCCATCTCATGCATGACAGATTCAAAAATTATCAAATAGACCAGCAGCATCCCCTGCGGCGTCGCCAATTTGATCCGAATTTTCCCCAATCACATGCGCCAAGCAGAAGCAGCACGGCAAGACCGCTAAAGCCCCACAGATCCTGTTTTATTTCATTTGAATCATATGTGATGAGTTTGTCATGCAGCAAGAGCAAGCATGATGGAATTACTTACTTGCTCCACGTGCATCAATGCAGTTCATGCAACACAAAAAATCTGTAGTTCCTCCTGTACCCCATGCACATTCCTTGCTGTCTGGCATGCGCATGCGCATTCGCCTTGTCCTTTTCTTCCTGTTCCTTCCTCCTCTTTTCCTCTTCCGGATCCACTGCTGGAAGCTTATGCATGAGAAATCTTCTTTTTGAACCACATCAGATTTGTCATGCATTTTCGCGTTTACACTAGAACTGTGTCATGCCGAATCAGAATCTGCAACATGATTATTATATCGATCTAGTTGATTCCTACTCACCGGGGAATTTTCCACGAAGTTTCTCATGCGTAAGCGCCAACCTGTTGTGGACCGCCCGCCATCTGGATCTGCACCGGTTGCACCGGCTGCACCATTTGGACAAACTGCTGGGGCAGTGGTGGCGCGTTCCAGGGGTTCATTCCCATTTTTGATGACATCGTTCCGCGGAGCAGGGCGTCCTGGAATCATGGATTTTTTTTTCATTTGCGGATGTGAACAAACTTGTGTTGCGTATAGACCGAAGAAAAACCGTCTTTGTCATGCACGCATCATCGCGCATGCTGCAGCCCAGAGATCTTTGTAAAAGTACCTTCATTCCCATCAGGTCCGTAGCATAGATGAAGGTTGGTGGCCCGCGGCAATTTTGCATCATTGCCTGTGCACTTGGCCCGTCCCCTGGACCCCAGCACTGGACTTGGTGTAGTGCGTGGTTGATCCAACCTGATAGTCTTATTTAAATGAATCATTCAATTTCGTAATGCGTAACAGCATGCTTTTACCACAATGAACGTTGATCTCATACTCATGCGCCGCAATACAAGTTCCAACAGCGACAGCAACTATCAACTGCCCCAAAATCTTCAATATTACCGGTTGCCAGCTGCTGGAACTGAATCTTGATAAACCGGCACTGCATGGGTGTTGGCCAAGACAAGCACAGCGCCGATTTTCCTTCCTGATGTATGTTTGCTTCGTACTTCATGCCCGTCGTGTCCCCACCGGCGGCAAGTTGCTGCCATGCTAACCCGTCGCTGGAACTCAAGACGACAAACTGGAGCGCGGCGTTCCTTGCTACGCCGTCTTCTGCGCCGAAGGCGACAAAGACGTGGTCAATGAGTCTGACGGTCTGGAAGTCGAGTTGGAAATCAACGAGCGGTACGTTGGCCGCGGAACCCCACCTGATAGTTGTGTAAGTGCTTGATATTGGCTTTTTATGCATCACAAAGAAGTGTGTGTTTGCTGTTTCTGCATGGCAAAGTCTTCAGTGTTTGACTTTGACACTGTTCGTCGATTTGTCATGCAAGAAGCCGTACTAGCATTTTTGTGCGAACAATGATTTAATACCAGCTGAAATTTCCGCCATCCAACACGTTATGCGGATCGTCTTCCTGATTCCCGTAGAACCTGGAGGAAGAGGAGCACAGGGTTGACTGCGCGCGGGCCCAGTTCACGCTGACGCGACCTGTGGTCATCGTCATGGTGGTCGCGGTGTCTTCTTGACCTGCTTCGAGAGAACAAGTGTGATGTTTTTTTAGAAGAATGAAACTTTGGGTTTGGAGAAACAAATGACAACGACAAACTGCTGGGAATAGAGTGCAATTTGCGTAGACTCACTCGGCCTCTTGCTCCCTCCTTCTCATATGAAAATATACGCTACGCACAAAATGAAAAAAACAAAGCTTCTTCTGCAGAAGCAGCTGCAATAGAGGGCAATCAAACAGGAGTCCTGTTGTGTGTGGTTGGAATCATTTCGCCCCGACAAAACCAAATAAAGCTTTCGCAAATATATCATCTCTGGACCCTTCGATAGGGGGAGACTGGGCAATATATGGCCATAGACGTTTAGTACACATCGGCAACCCCCAACTCGCCCAGTCAGATTTTTCGCAGAGGCGGCGCCCCACAATGTATGGAACCATGCGGAGACTAGACAAAAACGCGACAGAGGGCTGTGACCCGACGGGGCCGCAACCCCTGCGCGCGATTCTGGCGGGCAAGAGCTGCAAGCCGCCACAGCAGGGAACCCAACCAACAGCGCGCACACCATGCCCGAGGGCAGCCGGCACACAGCAGCACCGGCCGGCGAACATAATGCAGCCGGCAGAGTTTGGACTTGCATGGGCCCCCGCGGGCCAATGCTCGCGCCCGCCCTGGTAATGGCCCGCCAGGGCGCGCGGCTGCATAGGGTGGCCGCGTTATCCGGCCGATGGCCAGGTCGCAGGAGAGTACGGCGGCGGGCCATGCGCCCGGCGAGCGCCGCGGTGCGGCGGCGGCAAACGCGAAGGGGGTAGGTTGGTAGCGGGCTGGAGGGAGCAGGCGCGGCCCGGCGCTCTTTCTTCAAGTCTTCCGGGCCGAGCTCCGGCATGCGGCTTCGGAGTTTCTCCATCTAGCCGCACACCCGCAAAAGGGCACTAGCGCCAAGCCCCGGCGGGCACCATACACGCGCCGCATTAATGGGCGGCGCTCCCCCACTTCGCGGCCCTACCCTTCTCGCTGGGTGGCCAACCGGACGCACGGCCCAAACTATCAATCAGTGGCGCAGCGCACCAGAGTGATGACTGACGGACTGCGGTAAGCTACTTAACTAGAGTCGCGCATGGTGCTGATCTTTGGAAAATGCCTGCGCCTCTCTGAATTCTGCGCCCCACTCCTTTCGTCTCTCTCTCTCTCTGTCTTTGTCTCTCTGTAACATGCCTGTCCGCTCACAACTCATCTCTCCTGAAGCAGTGAAAAACACAGGTGCTGGCCTAGGATCGTTTTTTCAATGAAAGTCGCTTCGCGTGCCTCTAGAGCTTTCCCATTTATTGTGAAGCCGTTGCCGGATTAAAATCCGCGTGATGCCACAGAAGATGCGGTTCTTGCAGTTGTTGCAAAACGTCAACGTCTTTTGATGCCGCTTCATAAAATGGGCTCCAAAAGTTGTCCGCTCTTGTGTGTGGTAAGTTGTAGTGCGAAACGGGGGTCATATAGGGTAAAGCTTGTTCTTCATTCATGAAATATGGTTCGTGAAACTAGCTGCGCTTGTCGCAAGCAAAAAAATCATAAAAAACATGAGAGAAGCCTTTGCATTTTTCGAGAGTGGATTCGTTGTTGCACATAAAACGCCTCGTCTTTTGGATATGATTGGAAAACATGTTTTTCTGTGGACAAGTTTGTTCGAAACTTTTCGTGTAAGCCTGTGGAGCGATGACAGTAGACAACAGTACTTGCTACTGCTGAATCTAAGTAATGCGACCAAAATGTTAGATTTCGAGGTGAGTTTATCACTTTACTCATCCAATTTTTGTTCTCCACCAACGATTCCGTTTAGAAGTTCCACCAAACATCAAAATCATTTCGTTCTCCCGGAGCACTTCTACCACCCGCTTCACTTGAAAAAGTTCTCCACGAGGGCCGCGCAGCTGCCTGAAAAGTTGTGTTTTTGGGCTAGTAATGTCGTCCATGCAAAGTCTCCTCACAAAATTTTCTCATCGGCATCCATGCATCAGAAAAACTTTTTGTCATGCACTTTTTCCACGAAATCAAACGTCAAATCGTATACTCGCAGCCTGCCCGCACACGCCCACAGCTTCTCCCGCACCCTCCGCAATTTCCGCACCATTCTCGCTGACCACGTTTGCCAAGCAGAAACAGCACGGCAGGACCGCGAGGGAACCCAGGATCCTGATAGAAGTGAGTTTGTCATGCATAAACCTTCATTTCCAGAGTCGTCTCATTCGTACGACCCGCATCACAAATGATGATGATAATGTTGAAAAGACAAAACCTAAATAGCAGCTTGTAAGAAGTACCCCACAAACATTCCCTGCTGCCGGGCATGTGTATAACCCGCTCAGGTGTTACAATCACAAACGTTACAATAGAATCTGGGATTTGTCTTGCATCATGAGCATTACAGACTCGTAGACCGTTCCACTTTCTGCAATACAAATTTCGCCAGATTGTAGTGCGGTTTGGGACTCCGGAACTTGTCATGCGCAGTCTTATGAGAGTTGGCTAGATCATGCATTTCTTGCATCACAGATTTCCAGATTCTATTGTAACGTTTGAGATTGTAACGTTTGAGCAAGTCATAATGTGCCTGTTCATTTTCCTTGTCCATTTTCTCCTTGTGTAGCTCCTCCGCGGTTTTTTCCTTCTCCTCCATCCAGGTGGAAAAAACTGTGTTCAGTGCTGCAACTTTCTTGGAATAGGAATGATGAAAAGCATTACAAATCATGGCCCACAGGGATGCGTATGCTTAATGTAGTTCCTGCATCTTCACAAACTTGCACTCGACACCATTCTTTTCCTCCTGGATACTCTTCGCACCCATGGTCTTCGGCTGCGGGGACTGCAGCAAAACCACCACCTGCGGCTGCGGGGACTGCACCAGCTGCGGGGACTGCACAACAACCTGCTGCGGCACCATATTCACCGACGGCACCACCACTGGGTTGACGTTCACATTCGCGGGCGAGACGAACTGCGGCGACGGGTACGAAACCGCTCCGGCGGTCGTGTACTATCCTAGGGAAGAAACGCTCTGCATTGCAACTACGCATATGTAAAACGTACTCTATCACTTGTCATGCTGGACATGCGTCAGTGGCTGGCTTCGTCCGTCGTACGCGTTCACGTACTCCTACCTGCGCATGACAAGTTGTCCTTGCTGTCATGCTAGACAGATTTGTCATGCTGATTCCAAAAAAAGAGTTCTCACGACTATCACTGTTTCTTCCCTGGATACTGCGGTGGGCAAGGTCGGCGGGCTCCACGCATTCACAGTAGATTTGCTCGCCATGGTACCGCGGAGCAACGCGTCCTGTATAGGTGCGTTTGGAAAGATGTGGCACATGAATTTAAAATTGAATTCGGCTGTAACACCAACAAACATAACTACATTTCACGAATCGATTTCCTACTGGTGCACGACAAAATGTATCATGACAAAACCTCACAGTACCTGCATCCCCGCCTCATCCACAGCGTAGATAAACGTCGGCTGTCCCCGGCAACTCTGCATCATTCCCTGCGCGCTCGCGAGATCGCCGGGACCCCAGCACTGCACCTGGTGCAAACCGTGGTGCATCCAACCTGATAATTAGGTTTTCGACATTAGCGTCAAGTGGTAGGGATTTCATATGCCAAAATCCTATAACCCCAACAACAATTTTCTGTTTCTCGACGCAGCTCCGCAACGAGGAAAATTTTCATACCCACTGGCAGCTGGTGGAACTCGATCTTAATGAAGCGGCACTCCACCGGCTTGCCCGGAGACACGACCACCGGCGGGCACAGGGCGGAAACGTGCAGCTTGTGTCCATTGTTCACCCCCTCGTACTTATCATTCACCGTAGCGGCCTCCCGCGCTCCAATTTTGCCCCAGGCTCCGTTCCAGTTGACACCATCGGTGGAACTGGAAACCGTCATGTCGACCGACGCATTCCGCGCCACCCCGTCCTCACCGCCGAAAGCGAGATAGAGGTGCTCGATGTAGCGGTTCGTTTGAAAGTCGAGCTTGAATTCCACAGCCGTTTGAAACACGTTGGCGGCGGAGCCCCACCTGTGGTGTTCGTCTTTGTCATGCGGGTTTTTGCATGACAGAGGATGTCCATGACTAAGTAGGTTTTTTGCATGACAAAAACATGATCATGTGCGAGGAATAATTTCCATACCAGCTGAAGTTGCTCCCATCGAGCACGTTGTTCGGCTCGTCGTCTTTGCCCAAGTGTTCCAGCAAAATTCCGCGGTCCAGCCAGTTCTCGAACTCCCCCCGTTGGATAATCCCATCGTCCCGGTCTTTCTCCAGACTCATAGCCGCAACCACCATATCCAGCTGCTCCTCGGACAGACTCACATCTGATTCATTTAGTGATTTTTCATTCCGGAAAAAACATCTATTTCACGAGAATCTGCCATGCGTCAAGAACGACTAACATCATACGGAAAAATTGTCATGCTGCACAGGTTTCTTGAGCTGTACCGCTGTACAGCTACAGCTACAGTACCGATCAGCGATTTCGTCAAGTCGTGGAATTGTTTTTTAGTCAGTCCCATATCCTGAGTAAAAACGTACCCACACCAGAGTCGGGATGGGGATTTTGCAACACAAACCTAGGAGCTTTGTGAGTCACGCATGACAAGTTTCAGTCCGTAAGGTAGTGCAAGTTAGCAAGGAAAGCCGCATCACAAATCGATCTGCTGATCCTGTTTACAGCATTACAAGTTCCCAAACACGATTGAAAATGCCTGTCATGGGGTTGCGCATCACAAATGGAAATGTTCCTGTCATGGCAAATCTGCATGACAACTCTGGTGTGGGTACGTTTTTACTCAGGATATCCCATCGGAGGAACATAGGCGCTCCAATGCGGCTGCTCACGCACTTTCGTCCGCAGTTTCTCCATGTTGTTCGCTATCAACTGTAAAAGTGTCTGGGTCTGGAAGAATCCAACTTGTCATGCTGATTTTGGATTCTAAAAAAAATCTGTATTGCATGAGCAGCAGCAAAGAGAGTCCGAGTTTTGCTACACGGAAAGAGCATTTGTCATACGGTATAGGCATCAGGAAGCCCTCACAAAATCTGCGATGCTATGGCATGCATCACAGACATCAGGAGTCATGCAAAATGTGCATGACAAACCTGGAAATCTTCCATACCCAGACATTTTTACATTTGATATTCGCCAACTCCGGACAATTCCCGTAAAAGCGAGACGTCGCGGTACACACGGTGGATTGCGCACGCGCTATCAAATGCAAAAGTGTCTGGGTCTGACAAAGTGGAACTTGTCATGGTAAATCAGAATCATGCAGAAATCTGTGTTGCATGGTGACCAAAAGCTGTCGACTTTCGACCAAGTTGAGAAGCAATTTCTGATGCGGGACAGGCATGATGGAGACCTCACAGAATCCGTCATGCTAGGTTCTGCATTCCAAACCTCCTTGGCCATGCAAAATGTGCATGACAGGTCTTGCATTCTTCCAGACCCAGACATTTTTGCATTTGATACGCGCCCAGTTGATGTGAAATCGCGCAGGGGCTTGCTGCTGCTGCACTACAGCAGCGCCGACCATAGTCGGAGAGGCGGTGGTGGCGATCATGGTGGGCTGCATGGTTTTTATTTGCAGGGTTTTGATCGTTCACGAGTCTTAACGACACCACGCACGAAAGGCAGATGAAGTGTTCTTCTAAGAGTTGGATGACCACACTCAAAAAGGTTGAATAATACTTTTCTTCTCTCCAAGTTGTACAGTCCTTTTTGATGACAGAGTACTCGCTCAAATTTCAAGGCATGTAGACAAGATTTCGTTTTGACAAAGCACATTTGAAATAGAAGTACTCAGCAAAAACTTCCTGATTGGCTTGGTGAACGCCTCAACGCGAGAACGCAACCTGCGACAAAACTGCAACATTGCTTGCAGAATGCGCTCTTCACACGTAAATGAAAGTGGAAGTGCGATAGACAACTTTGAAAGTTCTGATCCATGAAGAAAAGCCGTTTTTCCGCAACAAAAGAAATGGTGCCAAATCTTCTTCACTCAAAATATGAGACATAAGTTCGGGGTCGAATCGAAGCTGTTCTCTACTTCTTGAAACAGTCTACAAATATTAAATGAAACTGTGAATTCTGTTTCTGGACGAAACTGCTCCCGCTTGTCCAAAATAAACCCGTCTATCATACAAAAGTTTCCTCCAAATCTTCCATCGTTTTGGACCCTAACCTTCCCAAGGTCGTTTTCCGTAGCACCTGATTCGACACTGGGGCAATGCTATCGTCTTCCTCATTTTGAAGTCCCTCGTGCATATTATTACCAGCCCCGTCCTCCTCTGGCAGCGGCGGCGTTTCGCCCGAGGCCGGCATAGACGAAAACCCAAGGTTGGCGGTACTACTTGCGTATGGACTGCAAAAATGTCTGGGTCTGGAAGAGTGCAGGAGTTTGTCACGCAGATTTTGCATGACCCATGAGGTCTGTGATGCATGCCCTAGCATTAGAGATTTTGCGAGGGCTTTCTGATGCTCATACCGCATGAGAAATGCCCTCTCCGCGTAGCACAAATTACACCTCTTTTGCTGTTCATGCAATACAGTTTTTATGTAGATTCCAAAAGTAGCATCACAAGTTGTATCCTTCCAGACCCAGACATTTTTACATTTGATATTGAATCTGGGGGCGTCCCCGAACCCTCTTCGCCATACAGCCCCGCACCAGAGGACTCTGGATGCACTGCAGCGAGAGATTATGCTGAGTAAAAACATCCCCACCCCAGAGTTGTCATGCAAATCAGCATGCCAAAAAAGTTTCTCATGCGAAGCCCCATGAGAAGCATACTCTAGTTCTGTTTTGGAGTTTGTGTTGCTAGAATCAGCATCATATGCTAGATCTGTGATGCTGCTGAACTAGCGAAACAGGATCACACTATGAGGGCAGACTTGTCATGCGAAACAGCGAAGGCTAGTCGATTTGTCTAGCAGATATCCCATCTTGACTCTGGTGTGGGGACATTTTTAATCAGGATAGAGATGAACTTGAGGGTATGAAACTACTGGTGCTACTGGAACTTTGCTCAAGGTTGACCGCCATGTGCGACCGAAGGTTCAGATCTCCCTGATCTAAACTGGACAGATTGAGTTTACTATTGTTCATCATCATCCCAGCTGATTTACTGTTGTTGGTTGCGAGTTGATTCATTGGCATCATACTATTCATCGTACCAGCAACCGCCTGTTGCGCGGAAATGCGGTTTTGCTCCTGGATGAGCTCTTTGGACCATCTATCCTGAGTAAAAACGTACCCATACCAGAGTCAGGATGGGGATTTTGCAACACAAACCTAGGAGTTTTAGGAGTCACGCATGACAAGTTTCAGTCCGTAAGGTAGTGCAAGTTAGCAAGGAAAGCCGCATCACAAATCGACCTTCTGATCCTGTTTACAGCATTGCAAGTTCCCAAACACGATTGAAAATGCCTGTCATGGGGTTGCGCATCACAAATGTTCCTGTCATGGCAAATCTGCATGACAACTCTGGGGTGGGGANCAAGTTCCCAAACACGATTGAAAATGCCTGTCATGGGGTTGCGCATCACAAATGTTCCTGTCATGGCAAATCTGCATGACAACTCTGGGGTGGGGACGTTTTTACACAGGATACCATCTCTGCCGAAGAATGGATTCCTTCCGTTTATACTCCTGTTTCAAAATCTCGAGTTGCTGCGCGTATTCATTCCCGTGCTGCACATACTCCTCGTACAATAACTCCTCTATCTCTGAAATTCGGTCCAATTTCAGCTTCGACTGCGTCGTCGTTGTGTTCGCCGGGGTGGAAGTAGCAGTATTACCTGTAGTGTCTCCTCCGACTTCGTGAGAAGAGGAGACCACACCTCCTCCTGTTCCAGCGTTGTAATTCCTGTCCGCTTCCATACCAGTTCCTCCCCGGAGTTGCACAGACATAGAGCCACCCGGGACCAAATTCGAGGAGCTGCTGGAGGATGAACCTGTTACTCCCGCGGAAAAAGAACCTCCACCGTGAACACCGTCTATGACCCCGTCGTCCCTCTGATGTCCTCCTAATCCTGCTAAATTCGACGATTTGTTCATAGTCGCCTTGTCCTGCTGCACCACCGATTCCGTTTCTGATTGCGAGCCGCCGGAGATCGTGTGCTGCATTGCGGAAATTCCGTCCAAGGATCTTCTCAAATCCTTCATTTTTTCCTGCTCTTTCACCATTTCCTCGGATTCCAGCATCTCCAGCTTCATCACGTTGCTACTGCTCGACTGATTCGATATTGTAGGCAGTATCACGTTGGCTGCGATATTTGTACCAGCTGCTGTAGCAGCACCACTTGGTGCATTGTTCTCGTCGCTGTTCGCCCCCGCGCCAGCGAGGATTTCTTTCGAATTCGTCTGATTCCTCTGCAACAGATTCAGCGGCGAAGACACAGAGTGGTGAATGTTCAACGGAAGATGATGTTGCGAAGAGCCACCGGGTAATTGAGCTGTTTGTACTAAACCGTAATGTAGAAGCTCCCCCCCTGGCTTATTCATCGACCGCGTCAACCCACCAACCGCTGGGTTCATCTGTGCCGCGTCGGCTACTCGTAGTGACATGGTTCTCTCCTTCTGTAGCGACCACCGCAGCATGTCTCTTTCCAATTCCAACCGCGCGATGATCGCTTGGCACTTTTTCTCCCGTTCTAACAGGATTTCCTCCGTCTCCGACAAAGGTTCTAATTTCATGGAAACCCCGGTCTGCATCAACGGCAGCATTCCAATCGACTCGAATTGCTCCCGGTTTGTCATACTGGAATCAGACTGATATCCACCGGTAAAAATATTACTGGCAGTGCTGTACCCCAATTGCTCGCCACGCCTGGATCGGGGCGTCTCAATCCTATCCAACGCATCCATCACCTGCCGATTCTTTTCCGGCCCGGCGCGGACCACGTGCTCCTCTTCCAGCACCTCCAAGCTCGGCTTGTCGATCCGATTGGACTCCATCGTGGAGCCGGTCGAGTGATAGGTCGCGGTGGGGGTGAGAACCGAAGGAGCGGGATTTTGGTTATTAGTGTGCATGGGGGAGGGTTGGCGCTGTGGTATAATATTCCGATTCGAGGAAGAAGAGGAACCAGCATTGTCCAGATTCAAAACCGTGTTGATGTCGAGTTGTTGGCCACCACTGCGGTTAGATCTGGTAGCCGGAATCGGGCTGTCGGTGCGAAGGTTCTGGAAAGGGTGCTGTTGTAGTTATAAATTTCGAGTGTACTTTCCTGTGCGCCTTCAGCCGAGGGGGCGCTTCATGCAGGAAAAACGAAACATATGAAAAAGATGAAAACCGACAAGCACTTTTAAAGTCCAACACACCATGCGCGTCGGCAAAAAAAACGCGCGCGCAAGAAAAAATCGCACCCCGGAGCCCTTTAGCCGACCTAACGCCTGACGTTACAAACATGGGGCATATCAGAAAGAAATTGGACGACTCAGTGCGAAATCCGCCATACCGCGCAGTCCGGCAAGAAAGAAGCCGCCCTTTTGCAGGAAAAAATCGCACCCCGGAGCCCTTTAGCCGACCTAACGCTTGATGTTACAAAAATGAGGCCTATGAGAAAGAAAACAGAGCGACAAACTCCAAAGCTAGCATACCGTCCCCGTCCGCAGACAAGAGAGCTCCCTTCTGCAATCAAACAACACAACCCGGAGCCCTTTAGCCGACGGAACGCTTGACGTCGCGAAAATGGGGCACATGAGAAAGAAAACGGAGAAGCAAACTCCAAAGGCAGCATACCGTCCCCGTCCGCAGACAAGAGAGCTCCCTTCTGCAATCAAACAACACAACCCGGAGCCCTTTAGCCGACGGAACGCTTGACGTCGCGAAAATGGGGCACATGAGAAAGAAAACGGAGAAGCAAACTCCAAAGGCAGCATACCGTCCCCGTCCGCAGACAAGAGAGCTCCCTTCTGCAATCAAACAACACAACCCGGAGCCCTTTAGCCGACGGAACGCTTGACGTCGCGAAAATGGGGCACATGCAAACTCCAAAGGCAGCATACCGTCCCCGTCCGCAGAAAAGAGAGCTCCCTTTTGCAGTCAAAAAACCACACCCCGGAGCCCTTTAGCCGGGGGCACGCTTGATACAGTAAAAATGGGACTCTTGCAAAGGAAAACCGATAGGCAAACTGGAAAGTCAGCATGCCGCCCCGGTCTTCAGGAAGCAGCGCTTTCTACTGCAATCCAAAAAACACACCCCGGAGCCCTTTAGCCGGGGGCACGCTTGATGCAGTAAAAATGGGACTCTTGCAAAGGAAAACCGATAGGCAAACTGGAAAGTCAGCATGCCGCCCCGGTCTTCAGGAAGCAGCGCTTTCTACTGCAATCCAAAAAACACACCCCGGAGCCCTTTAGCCGGGGGCACGCTTGATGCAGTAAAAATGGGACTCTTGCAAAGGAAAACCGATAGGCAAACTGGAAAGTCAGCATGCCGCCCCGGTCTTCAGGAAGCAGTGCTTTCTACTGCAATCCAAAAAACACACCCCGGAGCCCTTTAGCCGGGGGCACGCTTGATGCAGTAAAAATGGGACTCTTGCAAAGGAAAACCGATAGGCAAACTGGAAAGTCAGCATGCCGCACCGGTCTGCAGGAAACAGTGCTTTCTACTGCATACCAAAAAACGCACCCCGGAGCCCTTTAGCCGGGGGGACGCTTGACGCAGTAAAAATGGGACTCTTGCAAAGGAAAACCGATAGGCAAACTGGAAAGTCAGCATGCCGCCCCGGTCTTCAGGAAGCAGTGCTTTCTACTGCAATAAAAAACCACACCCCGGAGCCCTTTAGCCGGGGGGACGCTCGACGCAGGAAAACTGGAGAAGTCCTTGAAGAAGATGAAGAAAACAGAAAGGCAATTTCGAAAGCCAGAGCACACCATGCGCGTCAGCATAAAAGATGACGCACCTTTCCAAGCAAAGACCCCATCTCAGGGCCCTTTAGCCGACGAGGGAATGCTGTTTAGAAGCACCGCAACATTTATTCATTTTCTAGTGGGAAGATGACCGACCAAACAACCTTGAATAAAAAGCAAGTACTTACCATGCTCAAGTTGCTTTCCTTCGACGCCTGCGCCATGCCCCCAGTCCCGGCCGCGTCGCCCGCGTTTCTAAATTGATTCGGCTATCAAAAGGAAAAATCCCCCCTCCCCATATCGAAAACGAAATTTGTGATGCTGTATTTGAGTACACAAATCGACTTGTCATGCTAGAAGGCCAAGAGACGCAGCTGCGGCCCCCTTTGCAGACAATTTGTCATGCTGTTTCCCACTTCCAGCTGCCCCCTGTAATGCTGAAGATGCAAGGCTTTCCCACGCCAACCAGCACTACAGTCCGCATCTTTTCCCTTCTAGCATGACAAAGCTGATTTGTGACCACAAATCTGCATCACAAATTTCTAGTTTGAGTATGGGGTGGGGAGATTTGTCACTTTCATATCGGCGGAATCGTGTTCATATTCCAGAGCAAGTTCTCCGTCAACCCCCTGCCGCGTTCCGGTGCCAGCTCAGCAGTGACTATTGGCGTTCGCGCGACATCATCTGTTATGGTTGTCTCTCCGCTTTCGGCCGGCCCGCTCTGAAGACTGAAGTTATTACCAGTACCGTTGTTGCCCACCCTGACCCCGCTTTGTTCCGCATCCAACTCCAGTTCCTCGGTGGTTTCTACCCCATTCAAATGAAACGTGGACATCGGGCCTTTCGAATACGCTCGCTTCCCCCGCAGCACCGGCGACTCCGGGGAGTCGATGCTGATATCCCGCACCATCGGACTATTGGACGATGTTGTATTCATCTTCGCGAAGGTCACGGTAGCAGGACTGGGAGTTGTGGTACTAGTTGTTTTCATTTCGGGATGGTTTTGCAGCAACGCTGTTGTGTGTATCGTTGTTGCCGTGCTCGTCCCGGCGTTGAGAACTGGCGCCGCGGAACTAGTAATACCGTGGTGCAGCTGCGACTTCCCCACAGCATCTACTGTTTTACCCCCCGAAGTGGTTCTCGTCACTCCAGAAAGTTGTTGTGCCATTTGATGTTCTACTTGCCCGAGTTGTAGTTCAGAACTCGGGTCCGGACTCGTCCCAGTTTCCGTCAGTAAATGTTCACTCGAAGTGGAGGACACCGATTCGATCCCGGGGTTATTGTAATATACCCCCTGCTGCCCATCGACACCAAACGCGAAACTCTCGTCCAGAGCGTTTAGCAGAAACCCGCTTGGGCCTTGTGTGGAGAGCAGGATTTTATTTTGCAGTAGTTTCAATCTTTTTTTCTCCTTCGAAAAGAGTTTTTGCGTCTTCTCAATGTCATTGAAAATCTGCTGGAGAAATTTCTGCACTTTGGTCTTCTCGTTGCTCATGTCGCTGTGCACCTGCTCGAGGTGCTGTTGGAGCTCCTCTTCTAGGAGAACCGTCATATTCTGCACGACGGAGTTCAACCGCACGCCCAAGTTGTTCGTCGTGGCATTACTGGCAGTGGTGTTCCTGTTCAAATTGTTCTGGAGCATAAGATTCTGTTGATGCTGTTGCAACATCTCCTGTACACCCCCTTGTGCGCCGGAAGTAAAGTTTTGAAGATCGTTTACCTGTTCTGCTGCGCCGACCACAATTTCTCCGGTCGCTCTGGAATTCAGATCCATAAAATCCATATCTGGCGTGTTGCACGGCGGCGCGATTATATCATGGTGGTGATGATAGTGGGGTTTCTTGCTGCGAAGATGTTGACGGTTATTCAACACATGATTGTTGTTGTTCCCAAGTAGCATGTTCATCGGGGAGCTGTTTGGCGAAGGTGGCTGATTCAACATCTCGAAATTGGATGTGACTATCCCATTATCAAACCCGGCAGTTGTTGTGCTATAGGCATGATTCTCATTTTTGAGCGAGTTGAAGCTCCCTCTTGACACCCGATTTCCGTACAGCGACCCTGGCGAGAACTGCCTCAAATACTCCGGACGTGGCGGTGGCTCGGAAAGAGGCGGAGAAAACCCTCTAGCTTGATGTTCTCGTCGACCTACTTGCCAGCCTACGTGGTCGTTAGGCGACGTGCTTCTTGATCTTCTGGGAAAAGAACTGCTAGACGTGACGTGCAGCGCATCGACATACCGCAAGTTATCGCCTAAACCAGGATTTGACGACGTGAGAGACGCCTTCCGTTTGTCTTTAAAGCCTGTTTTCATACTACCATGGTTAATTTTGTGCCGTTCTCTGCTTGTTTTCCTCCTGGATTTCTTTTCATCTGGACGGCGGTCGCCTTTTCTTCGCGAGGAAGCAGACCTCGTAAGATCATGTTCTTGGCTGCCTTTTGTGGTCTCCTCTTTCGATCTGCTTCCCAATCTTCCCGGCGCGAACAAAATATCTGGTGCAACGTAGTTCGCCGCTCGCTGCAAGGTCACCCGAATTTGGATTTTCGGTTCCGTTTGCCCGGCCGTCGCAGTTGTACCACGATCCGATCCCGGATCGAGGATCCAGTTTGTATTGTTCCCTACCGCAGCAACTGATCCCCGGGTCGGTGTCGCATTCCCCGGTACCACCCGCAAGGCCTCGTACTGCTCCAAACATTCATCATACGACCAGTCCTGCAGCAAGTCCGCTAGCGGCTCGGGAAGATAGAAAGTGAGCTCCTTTTCCAGCTTTTTTCCGATAATCGAATCGTCCTCAGTGATGCTTTTTCTGGTGTAGCCAAAAATGTCCGAGATCGGTAGTGGAATGACACAGATGTGACTGCCGGCGATGGCCTTATCACTTCCCCCATACTGCACTTGTGGTTGAAACAGAATCCAAATGACAAATTTGGAATCTTTGTTTTCCTTCACGGTGTTGTCATAAGTAAACGACCTCCCGCGCCAGGTGAGGAGGGAGTCCAGGACTTTTGACGTGAGAATCGGCGCGTCAGAAACCGATTCGTTGCCGTCTTGGTTCGCCCAGGAAGTTTGAAACATCACCTTGGTTCCTTCCTGGACTTGCAGGTCGACGTTTTGAACTTGAAGGAGGTCCAGGGTGATGGTAGTGGTCTTGGCGGATTTGGTGTTTGGCTGGTGCTCTGAAATAGAGCTGGGAAGCGGGTCGGGGGATGTGCTCGTCATTTTGTGTGTGTGTGTGTGGGGACGTGGGGTTGATGTTGTTTTACTGCTTGTGATGGTGGTGCTTCAGTTCGCGTCAGGGAATTGGAAAAAAAAAACAGAAAGTCCTTCCCTCAAGGAAGCAAAACGAGGCTGATGGGAGGGGAGGGTCAAAAATACAGGGGGGGAATATGTTCGTCAGAGTACCATTCTCACCGGGGGTAATTCTTACAAACCGAAAAAGCTCAAACTCATAGCAACTTACTGCTGCAGCGCAATTTTTGAGATCAATTTCAGGCTTATCTGCATTTGAGAGCGTCTGTTTCCGAAAAAAGGCGTTTTCTACCAGCGGACAGACATGATTGTAGACTCTTTGCCAAGAACGCACGACACAACGAGCGAAAAGAACGATTGCAACGAACGGACAAAATGTGAACGACAACGAAGACCACGCTGCGAAAAGTAGTACGATAGATTATTTATTTGTAGTAGAGTACGTATTTGTGACGAAGACAGTGCGTGCGAGCGTCTTGTCAAAAGCAAATCGCTTTCGCCACACACGAACTGCTTCGGTGAGCAAGAGTATGCCGCTCGATTGGCGCCTTTCAACGCGTTCACTGGTCTGACTTTTCATGAAATCAGAGGGAAAATTATCGAAATTGTTCACGCACGCAACGATTCGCACCAATTTGTCACTGGCTTTTCTTCTGATACGGGTCAATATGTCCAAGAAAGGAGATGGCCCCTCATCTGATTCGATCACGAACTTTACGCACTTACGTTGAACTAGAAAGCTCCTGTTAGCTCTGAGTAGATACACAGTCAAACTTTAGATAGAGTTCTAAACGATAGGTTGGAGAAAAAGCAAAGCTCGGGTCCTTTCACAAAAGGAACGACGACCTTTACGGAAAATAGTGATCGGTCTAATTGGACGCACCACTGGAGCAATACATAACGGGTGTCGTCGAATAAGGAACAGCACACAGTGCAGACGGAATATTACCATCATCTTCTTTCTGGAACTGTGATCGCGTCTTGAAATCGACGTTGGAAAGATCTGCTAAGCGGCGAAATTCAACATTCGTAGTTCAGCTGGCCGAGTTCAGCGGGTCGGCGACCGGAAGATGATCTGGCTACCTCGAATAAATTGGTTTGCGAAGCTACTGTGGGAAAAATGCAAAAATCGGGGGAATTTCACAAAAGTCCAGCATCCAGTGCACCCGCACGCAGCGCCTCCAACTCATTGTTCCTACTGGACAGTTCCCGGCGCAGACTCTGCACTATCTCCTGGTCTATGGTCTTCTTCGGGTAGACCACTTGCGTCGCGACAAGACCCCGGATTCCCTTCGGCGGCTGGTTCACATCTACTTCCCATTCTCGCAAGCCCTCCTCCATCTTCATCCGCCACGTTTTCTGATGCTGCGCCAGCGCGAGGATCTTCCGTTCCCTCTGCCGGGTTTCGCCATCCGGGAGTGTCGCGATGTGGAGGAAAATTTCTACGGTTCTCTCGTTCGCGGGCAAGGAGGCGTGCGAATCAACTCTAACCGGCCGGCCGACGATTTGGCAGTATTGCGCAGCGAAAGAGGGTACATCGATCACGTGCATCTCCCTTACCGCACGAAACTCGATTCCTGTTCGTTGGAGGGGATGAAGATGAATCACGCATGAACATGCACAATGGTGCACTTTTTCAGCAACTACATTCGTCATCACCACACTCACACAACACAAAACCTTCAACAATGGATTTTATACCCTCCTGGCACTCCTCTCGTGTACAGAGAAGGACAAGTTTTTTCTCCCCTCGCAAATTTTTTTTGTCACAATTGAAACCCGCTATGTCTTTAAAAGTCGCAACTTTGGGACCAAGCCGGTGTTTCAAGAGTTCGTGCGCAGCCAGGTAACCGGTCTTCCTTGCTACCATAATGACCGTCTTTCTCGGAGCCTGTCCGCACAGCCGGCCTATGACCTAATTTTGTTTTTAAGCGAAATCAAGTATCGAGGATGAGGGGTGGGGTTCCGACTGTTGGCTTTCGAAGGTTTCCTTCAATCATGTTTTAGTTTCTGCACTTCAAAAATCTGTTTGGGCCATTTTCGGCATATACGCGTTGGTTTGGAACTTGATCCCCTGCAGGTGGGTTGACGTATTCACGGAACTCGGCGGGACGGCGCACGTCGTAGTGTATCCTAGCAAAATTTTGAGACGAGTCAACCTCCAACTTGCAAATGCAAAAATCATTCACAAACACGGCATCGATTCTCAACTGCATCTGCATGCAAGACGTGACTCATCTGCATGCAAGACGTGACCCCTCAACTGCACCTGACGTGACTAATCTTTCAAACTTTCCTTCGGATACATAAGTTATGAGCTTGTCTGCCCTCCGCGGATCATTTGCTGCCACTTCACTCGCATGCCGGTGCGTGTAGCGTCCCCAAATGAAGCCCTGCAGCTTGGAGTTCAGCGCGCCGCTCAATTGGAGGCCCGTTCCTATATGGTTGCCACTGCAGAGGCGGTTTACCAGGACAGTTGGGTACTGGGACGTAATCGTGTGGAAAGAGCTTACAAAGCCCTCGTTGTTGAGGTTTCCTCCGTTGCTTCCTTTCACGACATGTAGTATTCTGGTGAAATTTCTACATGTTCCAACGTAAGCATAAAACAAAATTGCTCTACAACTTGCAGTCATGTTTGCGATGCCAGTACTACAGAGATGAATCGTGCAGGAGAAAAGTGGCGCTACTGTTCCTGCTCATCCTGATTCTTCGAAGTGGACTGTTTTATGCAAGGTTGGTCCAGGTAGAATTGTTTCCTTCAGATACCTACGAGCATTTGTGCTGCCACTTGCGGTTGCTTGGGCGTCGCGGTCATCAGCACCACCGTAGTCCCCTCTTTCCCCGTCGCCGGCGTCTTCTGCACCGCCTCCCGCAGCCGCTTCAATGGCTCCCGGAACCGCTCCTCGACGTCCTTTCTGATCATGTTGTGGCACTCGTCCATCACCAAAAACTTCCCCGCGTACGGACTCACCGCCGACAACTTGAACTTCAAACACGGGTCAACCGATTTCGTCTTTACCCCCTCGCGGTCAAATCCGAGCGCGGAGCCCCCCGCAGTCACGTACTTGAAGACGCGGAGCGGCGCCCGTGGTGCGTCGATGCCGGTTGCTTCGCGGAATTCTTTCCTCCACCCCGCTTTCAGCTTCCCGTTGATGATCTTGCCCTTCAAAGCGACGACGTCGCGGATCTGTCCGTAGGTGTCTTTCGTGATTTTCGGTAGCAATTTCGTCCAATCCCGGTCCCACTCGTTGTGCCAATTCGGGTTCAAGACCGGCAAACTGGCACAGACGAAATCCCGCCAGCGGGAAGGCCACCGCACGAGTTCTTTGAACAGATTTTGTACGTGAACTTCTTTTGGAAGAATCAGTACTTTGGTGCGTTGCTTGTAGAAATCGTCGTTCAGTAGCTCCAGTTGTACGTCGCATGATCGACGAGAAGTCGTCTGCAAAAGTTATTTTCGAAAAGGTGCTTCACTAGAAACTGGTGCTTCAAAAGCGGTTTCACAGCGTTCCGACCACCCGGAGCTTTCTTCTGCTGCTCCTCCCTGTCAAATTTCTGGAGCGCTGTTTGCAATTTGGGTCGTAGCCAGTTGTTGAACCCCGGCTCCCCTTGCTGCGGCCGGCCGACGATATTGGAGTCCATTTCATCCTCTCCTTCCTCCGACAACTCTCCTTCCGAATCCTGGTCCAACCCCTCCTCATGGTCCATATCGGCTTCGTCGTCGCTTTCCAAAAACTGGTCCGCAGACTCGACGAGCTTCTTCAAAACCTTTTTCTTGTGCAGCAACTCTCGCCAATTTTTCACGCCGCCATTTTCTTCTATCGACTTCAGCATCTCCTTCACAAGTTCTGCGTTGTCAAGAAGTTCGGCGGGCAGCGTTGGCTTCTCTGCAGCAGGTGACTGTAGTTGCCCTCCTGCCGCGGCGAAGTGATTGCTGACTGGCATGGGAGGTACTTCTTCTCTGGGAGACGAGAGGGGCATGTCGACTTTTAGCGAGTCCGCCGCCATAGTGGTCTCTTCGCGCAAAATCTCATAGTTGTTCTTTTTTTGGGCCCACTTCGGCGCGGAAGACGAGGAAGCGGATCCCGATCCGGACCCGGCCGACGGTTGCAAAGGTTGTTTCCCAGAAGACGGCTGCGACTTATGCGCTTGTCGTGCCGGCTGAACGTAGTTCGATTCGTTCCAGGTAGCGTTACTCCAGTTCCCAATCCCATCATACTGATTGCTCCAGTTCTGATTCTGTCCATTCCAGTTCTGATTATTGTTCCAGTGGTGATTCGCGCTCGAAGACGAAGACGATGAAGACGCTCCCTGTTTATTCGAGCCACAGCTTTCCTGCTGCACTGACGTGCTCAGCGGGTAGATGCCTTTACTGTTGAGGAAAGCTCGAAAACCCGGCGAATCCTGCGGCACTGCGGATGACGCAGAAGGCGCTCCCCCGCGGTACGGACTTCTGCTCCTGTCCTCTGGCATGGTTTTTTATCAACGTACTTTACTGAGTTAACACCCGAATCTACGAGGAACAAGCTGCTACTAGTACACTTCGCCGCACGACTACTATCACGTGTCAAAAAGACTATCGAACCCGAGGCTGTGCTGGTCCAGAACGCGGACCTAAAACAACTTCCTAACTGCTTACTTACACGATAAAAAAAGCCAAAATAGATTATCCTCCCCACCACTTGACAAAACCAAACTTTCTTTCTTTCAAATATGTCTGGGCGTGGCGTCAAATGTTCGAGGCCCGAAAAAGATCCTTTGCAAATTCTTGTTCAAACTGCAATAACAATCTAAACCGACCGAAACTTTCTAGAAACATAGATCAAATAAACGGAAAGTGATGAACTTGATCCAAACAAAGCGCAGCAACTTAGCGATTTATTTTGTAACTGCCGAAGCGATTGCGTTTTCAAGACATCACAGCACGATTCTACCATTGCCCAAAAACGATTTTTTCTCCCCTTTGCTGTCCCTCGGATCATTGCTCCTTTCATCTCTCATTGCTGACGACACGACGAACAGGCGACTCCGACATTCTTTTCCCTCTCGGTCCCATTCTTGCGAGGGCAACACGCTTCGGGTGGATCATGTATAAAATAGTCGTCGAAAGGAGTGGTTGTCGAACGGATTGCCGATCAGTTTCATCGTTATTTTTGTCGTTGCTGAAGTAGTGGAGGTCGGAGGTACGAAATAATCGTCCTACAGCCAGTACTAGTCAATGAGCAACTTTGTTCCGAAAGCGTCGTAATCAGTTGCTCAGATGGAACTACAACGTAGTCGCAGAGCCAGTGTCGCATAAGTTCTCAAAATAGACTCTTGATCCTCCAGTCGTTTGGTGTGGTAAAAAAGGTTTCCGCCATATATTTTGCGTTCTTCTGATCCTCCCCATACTCCCCAATCCTCCCCGCTCAAAACTTCGGCACCGGCTGCAGCGCGTTCTCGCATCTCGTCAAAGACTGCAAGATGTCGTTTTTCATTTCCCTCACTTTTTCCCCCTGCACGTCCACCTCTCTCCGCGAAAAATCGATCCTGACGACGGATTTATCGGTTTGAAAGTTCACTAACCGGTTTTTCTCGTCGATCTTGATCTCCTCGCCGTACGTCTGCCGTAAGTAACTCGTCCACACAGACCACAACTTGTTTTCGACCGAGCCGGTATTTCCACTCGGGTAGATCATGTTCGAACTCGCGGATGAATCCATGATCTGCGCGGTCAACGCTTGCACGGCGATCGGCGATCTCGTGATTTCCAGCGCGCTATCAAATGCAAAAGTGTCTGGGTCTGGAAGAGTGGAAGACTTGTCATGCAGGTTTTCCATGACCCGTGAGGTCTGTAATGCATGGTCTAGCATCACAGATTTTGAGAGGGCTTCCTGATGCCTGTTCCGCATGAGAAATGCCCTCTCGCCGTGGCAAAAACTGGACTCCTCTTGCTGGTCATGCATTACAGATTTTTTTCGAATCCGAAGACAGCATCACAAGTTACAACCTTCCAGACCCAGACATTTTTGCATTTGATACGCGACCAGAACGATGCTGTCGGCCACCATATCCGCGACGGGACTCGCTTTCCAGGAGAGCTCCAAAATCTGGTTTTTCAGCTTCAATCTCACGCAGTTCTGCACCAGCATTTCGTCATCCTCGACCAAAGCGACGTCCTGATAAATCCCCTCGATCGCCTTGGCGAGAACCGCGAGATTGTTTCGGAACTGGAATTTCTGCGTTTGCTCGAAGGAACAAACCTCTAATTTCGTGAAAGTTGCTAATTCGTGCGGGGAAATCAAAGACCGGTCACCAAACGCGTCTTCGACCAGAATACCAGAAATGGTCTTGCTGTTGGAATCGGTTTTGTTCAAAGTAGTGTTGTCTGTTGTAGTGTTCCCTTTATGCCTCTTCGCGATGGGGGAAACAGTGCCGGACTCCGGTGATAAAGCGAGTTCATTGGTGGTAGCAAGCTGATCCCCACCTCCGGTCTGCAGTGCGTTGACTGAAGAACTCGGGTTATTCACCGCCGCGTTATAAGCGTTAATCGCTAATTTTCCCGCGATTGTCACCCCCAAATCCGGTCGGAAGGTTATCGCGACAGACTGCGTGTTCGCGGGGGTGTAGACTTTCAAGGAGTCACCGTGGTCCGTTCTTAATTTGTTCCGCATCCTGGTCATGTTGGTCTCTTCCCCGTGGACGAGAATCACGTGGTTCGTGCGGATTTCCCGGATAAACGCGGACGTTTGCGTGTAATCCGAGTGAGCGGAAAAGGAGATGTTGTCAATCGTGCAACGCACGTGGACGATCCGACCATCCGGTAGGTTCAACTGGTCTGGCTGTTTCTCCAGGTCCTTCGCAATGGTTCCGTCAACCGAATACCCCGTCATGATCACGGCGTTTTCCCGTCCGCCGGCCCACAGTTCGAACAACTCACGAGAAAAACCGTTCTGCAACATCCCCGGCGCGGCTAACACCACACACGCGGATCTGGTGTTCACGACTTCAATCGTTTTTTCCCGGTTTTCCGTCCCGATCGATTTGACAAACCGCAGCTGCCAAGGATTTTGACCACCCGACTCCATCCCGCGCGCTAAATGCGTAAACGTCTCGAAAATCCGGCTGCACTTCAACGCCATAGGACTATTGTAGTAAATCGGCACGTGCTGTAGTTCCGGCGACTTTTGCCAGTGCTCTTCCAACATGAGTAACAACTCCTGCGCCCGGCCCAGGGCAAAGGACGGTAGGAGAACTTTCCCACCGTTTTTCACCACGGAAACCACCTTCGCCAAAAACCGCGTCTCCCGGATTTTCCGGTCTTCGTGGGATTGCGTGCCATAGGTCGACTCCACAATCAGAACGTGAATCCGCATCGGCGGGATTTCGGCCGGCATCAAATGGCGGTCCTCCTCCCGGGAATAATCCCCCGTGTACAACACCCGGATTCCCGCGATCTCCACCAAAAACATCGCCGCACCCAGCACGTGGCCGGCGGAAAAACACGTGATCCGCATCCCATCAATGTCAATCACCTGCCGCAGGTCGATTAGTTCGATCTTCTGGCAGGTCCGCTCGATGTCCTTGAAGGTGTAGATTAAGTCGTCGTTGTTGATTTTGTTGATCTTACTGTGGTCCTGCCACAGCATCTTGCAAATCGATTTTGTCGGATGGGTCATCAAGACTCTGCCCCGGAAATCGGTCCGGTTGACAAAGTATGGCACGGCGCCGGAGTGGTCCATGTGAAAGTGGGTGATGAGGCACAAATCAATCCGCTTTTTCTCCTCCTGCAGCTTGTCAAAGTAGGGAAGTTGCGCCATACCGGATAAACCCGGGTGAACTCCGCAGTCGAACATGACAGATTTCCCTTTAAAGCTCATGACGACACAGGACCGGCCGACCTCCTGGCCGGAGCCAAGCGGCGTGATTTCGAGGGTGTCACCGGCGATTTCGATGGTGCGCTTCCCGGTTTGGCCACCACCGGTGACCACCGTGGGTGGCGCGGCGTTCGCAGCGGAGGAAGCCATCTTGTCTTGTGGTTTTTTGTCGTTTCTGGTTTATGCGAGTTGTAATTCGAGTTTAGTGTAAAAACTGCTTCAACATCAAGAGGGTCTCGTCGTCAATAAAGCAGAGCTGGATTTCTTGTTGAAATTCGGCGTGTCGTACTGAAGAATCTGAAAATTCGTTGGAGTCGTCCGTACCTTGCTATCTACTTTCTTTGAATCAATATCTGATGTGTTTTCTATTTGAAAAACGTGGCGAAATAAGAGCCCACGGACCGCTGAAGTAGAGAAAAAAAGCAGCTTTCAATGGAAGACTTCAGAAACAAAAAGTGATAGCTTCAGAACAGAGAACTGTGCTGATCTGTAACGCTAATCGGCGACCGCGAAAAACACTTCGTACTTTGGATCCTATGCTGTGCCTGCACTAATAGAACTCGGGCTGGCCTCACTGACTAGAGATCTTTCATCGGGTAAAACTGTCAGCAAATAAATAGTAACTGCCATAATATGCTGCAATAGAACACCTTTCCAAAAAATTCTGTTGCCAGAGAGAAGCGTATGATAGTTCTGCTTCTGTCGTCTATCGACGCTGCTCGTGCCACTGCTTGGATTTTTACAGAGATTTAAGCTTCTCAACTTCTGATCCTGCGAGTGGAGTCTTTTTCAAATTCAGATGGTGTGGCAGGATATTGTTTCTCTTGTTGTCGAAAGCGCATAAAGGGTGGTGGATACGACAGAACTGCTCTCATGCGGATCCTATAGTTTGTTGTTCTGTGAAAACTTTCACAATAACATTTTTGATACAAAACAGACTCAAAGGGCGTCGAAGTGTATTAAGCGACAGTCCCAGAAGGTCGGCCTAATTGTGATAACAAGGCCCCATGAAAGGTACGTGGTCCGATTATGAGAAACGTTGTATCCAATAATGCAAAACAAGAAGTACAATGCTCAGTGTGAAATTATATCATGGAAAATAGGTTTGAGAAGCTACGGGTTTGGTAGGGGAGAAAGACGAATGAGAACGAGAAATCATACACCTCCAGCCCTTACTTCGACGTCATTTTGGTCAGCACCAAATGCCCCGGGCTTTTGTTCCTCGCAAACGGCGTCTGCGAACCGCCTATTGCGGACGGGGTGGACGTGTTGTTCGTTATTCGCAACTCCTGCGGCACCGCGTAGCTGCTGGTCTATGAACTGTAAAAGTATCGTACTCGTATATATAAATGCATGACAAATCTCCTCAGCATGAGAAATAAAATTTGTCATGCAGATTTACCTTAAGGAAAAAATTTGTAATGCATCGCTGCGATTACTACGAGTACGATACTTTTGCACAGGATATGGTCGGTGAACCTGCAACGTCTACGTCCTTTGCTCCTGAAAGGTTAAACTCGAGGTCATCGAGGTTATGCATTGTAAAAGTGTCTGGGTCTGGAAGAGTCATGCTGTTTTTGCATGACACAGGAGGTCTGGCATGGAAGCTCTAGCATCACAGGTTTCGAGAACCTTCCGCAATGCCGAATCCGCATGACAAGTCGTCTCCTATTTTGCTGACAAAAAGTAGGAGCTTTTGCTAAGTATGCATGAGGGACTTTTCTGTGTTCTGAAATACACATCACAAGTTGCATTCTTCCAGACCCAGACATTTTTGCATTTGATAGAGGTATAAACCAGACAAATCCGTCTGGCCTCTGTCTCGTCCGGATAAATCTGACATCAACGACTTCTTCTCCCCGCTGCCCTGCGACTGCAGCATGTCGCTGGATTTCGACCGGGAGGCCATGCGCGCTATGGTAATGGACTGCTGCGATTGCAGCATCATATTTTCGCTATTGTTGTTCCCTTGCAGAATCGGGGCTGAGTCGCCCTCCGAATAATTCATAGTTCCTTTACTGCTCTCTCCTTCCGCCTGTTTCTTCTTCATCTTTTCGCTTTTTCTCCTGGCTCGTTCCTCCCGCAGCCTCATAATCTCCTCCGGGTCATCCTCTTGCAAACAGCAAAACACAATTCGCCTCCCTCGCCGTCTGAAATCTTTTTTCGTGCTATCCAGATTCGACGCAGACCTTCTTAATTGCACCTTCACGATATGAGTGTGCACAACTCGCTCTCCCCCTCATTTGTAATGCAAAATACCGAATCCACATCCTGCTTTGAGGCTCTGCCTGCATGCCAAATTTTGGAATCTCAAACAGTACTACAATCGATCCGTGTTCAGATTTGTCATGCGGAAGCGGCATTTCTGCTGTTGTTTGTGTTGTTGTTCATGCCACACAAATGAGGGGGAGGGGGAGTTGCGCACTTTCATACACGAGTTCTACACCCGCGAAGGTGGTGGCGGTTTGCCCTGTGTTAGTTGGCGTCGCTGGTGATTGTGCGCCGCTGTCATTTTTCGTCCCATTCGCACTTATTGTTCCCGCTGTGGCGCCCGTTATTCCACCCGTTGTTGCCCCGCTGGCACTACCAGAACTCGTCGTTGCCCCGGAAGTGGTAAAGCCATTTACCTTATCGGTGGTGCTTCCGCCGGAACTGCTTTCTGCGTCAGGAAGATGAGGAACGGACTCGTCCTTGGAGAGAACCTTGTTTTCCAGGTTAATAGTCGGCTTTCGCGGCTTCGAGGGATTGTTAGCGTCCGAGCTTTTAGCATCCTGCTCGCGGGGGGACAGCTGCGCTCTGGTGATTTGGATCATCTAGAAGTACAACAGGAGGAAATGGAAAATGGGTTCAAAATGTAAATCAAATGCGAATGAAGTCGTGGTTTACCGAAAATGAGTCCAAATTTACATCAAAACAGTCAAACTTGTATAAATTTTATCATCATGGTACAACAATCTGTATCAGCACCGGGGAGATAGTAGATGGTTCTTGTTTGTGAATGCACGCTATGCATTATTGGAGTGGGCGAAGAACCCTGTGGCGAAGATTTTTGTTGTAAAGATTTTGCTTATTTTGCACGACACTGCATCTTCCAGGACATCTTCTGTGGCTTACTGATGGATAAAACTTCGGTCCACCGAGAAGTGCCTTTGTTGCTGGTGCTGTCCTGTGCGTTTGATTACCGAGTGCAGCAGGACGACTAGCCGAGGTAGTTGGAACCGTAGCAGGTGTGTAGTTTTATATACCGACGGGACGTTGCTAAATCAGTCGCGTCAGATTACAACTTGATGCTCAACCGATCTGATGCCAAAGCATTTGCCTCTTGCTCAAAACACCGACTAACATCTAACACGATCTAATAAACCGACAATTATGAAGCCAGAAATTGTGCCAGAACACGTTCAAATCTGTTCTCTTCGCACATTCACAGTCGAGCTTTCATAGGAGCTTTTACGGTATTTCATTTCCTCCTCGAGTACAGCGTTACATAATCAAGACGGTCAAGAAACTCTTTGCAATTTTGATGACGAATTTGAAAGGTTTTTCAATCAATACGTAAAGACTTTTTTTAGGAAACGGCACTTACCAGGAAGAACTACTTATAGGGATGGATCTACAAAAGGGTATAAAATTCTTGAAACTGAAAATACGTAGCTCAAATGCAAGAACTGCATTTTTGAAATGTTACAAAATTCCATCGCGAAACAAGTCGTGCTGTTTGCCTCCGCGCCACAGCTTGTTCTGCAAGATGAAGACCTTCAGAAATAATCAACGCTTCCTACTTCTTCTTCTTTCCCCCAGAACCTCCCCCTTTCGCCGCTTGCTCCTCCCGCCGTTGCCTCAGTTTCGCCTCTAATTTCGATTCCGTCGCTTTCAATTCCTTTTTCACGTGCTGCGTCACTTCCGTTGGCTTCCGGATGGTACGTTTTTTCGCGGCCCCGGCGAACGTGTCATCAAATGCGTTCATTTTCGGGATCATTTTGAATTTTTGCCTTTTCGTCAAGGGGGCCGGACGTTTCGGCGCGAGAACTTTGCGATCGTCGTAGTCATCCACTGCCACGATGGCGGTATGAGGGTCGTAGTTTTCAACATCGTCTTCATTATCGCTCTCACGAGCAGCGTCTTCGTCTTCCACCTCGTGGTCCGCCCCGCCTTCAAATTCATTATCATCCGGGTTTTCATTTTCTTCTGAATCTTCGTCCCCACTAGATTCCTGATGATCATCCTCTGACTCAGAGTCAGACTCAGAATTTTCCTGTTCCTCCATTCCGTCCTCAAGCGCCGCATTTTCTTCTTGTTCGTCCAGCTTCCTCTTCACAACACTCACCCCACTCGCGTGATGCGTGACCTGCGTGGTCAACTGCGTGAACAGATTCCTCTTTTCCCTCCCGTGCCTCGATACCCGGAAATCGCCAATTCCGATCTGGTCGTGAATACTTTTCCCGATTTGCAAGTCCACCGTCCCGGTTTCTGGATTTTTCGCGTTTGCGGCACGGTAGTTGAAATCTTTCACCCGCGACCACTTCTTGTAACCGTCGTGAGCTGCGACGACCTGGTCGTTGGCGGGATTCATTTTGTCGTTTGCGAGGACAAGATGTTGGTTTTTGGAGGAACTGGAAATTGCGGAACTGGAAGAGACACGACCTTTGCTCTGCTGCTTGGATGAGGAGGCGGAAGTACCACCACGGAGATTATGATTGCTCGACTTTTTTTCCATCACGTCAAGATCTTCCTCCGCACTATCCTCTTCTTCTGGCGGGAGCAGGTACTCCTTTTTCGCTTTCTTCCGCGGCGGGGAGGAGATTTTTTTCTCTTCTTTTGCATCAAATTCCAGAACTTCTTCCTCCTCTTTTATTGTTTCTAGATTCGGATTGAAACTCGAGCTTTTGCTGGTTTGCTTCTGCAGGGAGGTCGTCGTGCTGAACAATTTGTTTTTAGCACTTTGCTCCTGCAACTCGATTCCTTTAATATCTTCGTCGCTGTTTATTTCTCCGTCGATCTTCTCGTTAAAAAACTCGTCCAACTCCTCGCCAAACTGGATATTTTCATTATTTTCATTCTGACTCTGTTGCTCCTGTTCCCGGGCAAACTTTGTTTCGAAATCCTCCTCATCCTCTTGTTCGGCGAGATGATGAAACCCAGCACTATTATTCCCAAGAAAGCCGCTGTTGTCTTCGAAGCTCGCGAGGTCGTTGTCATAAATCTCATGATTCTCATCAACCTCCATCTCGTTCTCCTCGTCACTGTAGTTAAAGTTATCGTTATCCGCGTCGTCCTCTTTAGCATTATCTTCTACTTCCGAAAAAGCAGTACCACCATCTTCCTCCCCAGCATTCGCCTCCTTTTCCATCTGCCTCAAGGCGGCGAAAAGCGCGTTTTTCTTTTTCTTCTGCCCGCGCGTCACTATCGTCCCGTCCTTCTTTCGCCACACGCCCTTCCCGATCTTCCCCCGACCTTTAATCGGGCCTTTTTTCCCTTTTCCCTTCCCGGTGAACAGGAAGAGATTTCGCGCTTCCACCTTATCGGAGTTGCAGCTTTCCTTCGACGATTGGCGGCTGGAATTCGTTGTGTTCCGCGATTTCCGTCTCTATCCTATGTAAAAACGTCATCATCCCGTAGCTGTAATGCAAATGCGCAATGACAGGAGCATTTGTAATGCACATCTCCATGGGAGGCATTTATTCCAGTTGTGTTTTGGATTTTGTAATGCTGTAAACAGGATGAGAAAGTGGCTTTCTCATGCGGCTCCCCTTGCTAACAAGCACCACCCTGCAAATGGAAACTTGTCATGCACAACTCCCTAAGCCTGGAGATTTGTCTAGCAGACTTCCCATCTTGACTATGGGGTGGGGACGTTTTTCCTCACAATAGCCTCCCGGCGACCTTCAACGGGTCAAAATCGTGAATCCGCTGCAGCATGTATTCTGAATAAAAACATCCCCACCCCAGAGTTGTGTCATGCAAATCTGCATGCCAAAAAAGTTTCTCATGCGAAGCCACATGAGAAGCGTTTTTTAGTTGTGTTTTGGGATAATTTGTGATGCTACAAGTAGCATGATAAGCTAGATCTGTGATGCTGACAAACTAATCTAAACAGGATTACACCACGAGGGCAAGAAACTTGTCATGCGAAACAACCAAAGTTGCCTGATTTGTCTAGCAGATTTTCCATGCTGACTCTGGTATATGGGGACGTTTTTACTCAGGATAGCATGTAAACTTTCTCAATCGCCTTCTCCCTCGCGTCCGCAAGCTCGGTAACCGTGAACCCGCCGTGCTTTAGGTAGGCGTATTTAATCGAAATTTTGTCACTGAGTTCTCCCTTCGTGGTGGTCGTCGTGTGGTTATCATTATTTTCCGCCGCGGCTAGACACTCCTTCTCGTAGTTCAACCGCTCACTATCCAATTCATTCTTCACCGGGTACACTTTTTCATCCAGGAAACAAACCCCAGAATCGATAAACCGCGCCCACCAGTAGCCGGGGGATATGCATTGCAAATATGTCTGGGTCTGGTCATGCTTGCCTGGCATGACTGAAGAGTTTGTCATGCGTGTCCAAGAAGAGGCCCTTTTGCTTGTCATGCAAAAGTAGAACGCAGTTTGTTATGCGGAAAGCGCAACACCAAGCAGCGCAAATATTTCTCATGCTTCGCTGTGCATTACAGACAACTCACTACTCACAACTCAGCATTACAAGTTTCCAGACACAGACATAGTTGCACTTGATATGGGACAGCGGTAAGCAAGTGCCCGCAGCCGTGGTCCGCACGGAGGTCTTCTTCGGATCCGACCAAATCCACCGCACGCCGTGTCCCTTGCCGGTGAGTTGCGGCTGGTAGGCAAAGGAAGCAGCGATTTCTTCCTCTTTCGCTTGTAGCTGTTTCGCGAATTCCGCTTTTTTCTCCTTCAATGCGAACACGTTCGCAATGCGCTGGTCCGCTTTCGTTTCGACGTGTGCTTCATTATTTTCGCTATCATTTTCTTTTTCCTCATCATCGCTGTTTTGAAAATCTTCCTGGTCATCTTCGCTGGCGTTGTGGTCTTGCTGACCATCGTCACTCCCCCCTTCACCCCCCTCGTTCTTATACCTCCCTTCCCTCCACCGTTTCGTCCCGCCGACGTTCTTGCTGACAAACAGCTTCCCGTGCTTCATTTCATTCTGATTCGCCGGTTTTCTCTTTCGTTTTTTCTTCAATTTCTCCTGTTCTTCCAGCTCCTTTTCCCCTTTTAACTTCAACTCCTCCGCCTTCTTAATCTTCGCTTTTTCTTTATCGGTGCAGTACACGTAGCAGAGGTGTTTCTTCTCCTGTTGAATTCTCCACTCAATTGCCTTCTGCTTCGTCCGCTCTACCTCCTCCTCAATCTTGTCCTGATCGTACTCCCAGTTGGAAATCTGCGGCACAAACAATTTCCGCAGGGTCTTCTTTTTCGAAACGGTCAATTGCGCGATCCAGCAGGGAGGACGGAACTGCTGCTGTTTTGCTTTTCGTTTTGTACTATTTTCGTTTTCGTTCATATCATTTTTGTCATCATCATCCTCAACATCGGAGTTATGATTCTCATCCTGCTCACCGATGAAGACCTTGTTGTTCGGCCGTCCGTCGGCGAAGTCATCGTCCGAAAAATTCAGGGGGTTGTCGTCCAACACTAACTTTCCGTACGCCGCATTGTATTTCGTGCCCATCAAGCTGCCCTTGCTGTTGGAGCGGGAATTGTTCTTCAACGCGGAGAATGGGTTGGGATCTTCACTAGTACAACCATTGTGTAGTAGTTCTTGTTCCTTTTCCTTGTCCTTCTCTTTCTTCGCATTGTTCCCTCCATCCCCAAACCTATCAAATGCAAAAGTGTCTGGGTCTGGAATGTTGCCGGGTTTGTCATGCATATTTTCCATGGCCCAGGATGTCTGTAATGCACGGCCTAGCATCACACATTTTTAGAGGGCTTCCCGATGCCTATCCCGCATGACAAATGCCCTCCCCGCTTAGCACAAACTGGGCTTCTATTGCTGGTCATGCAATACAGATTTTTTTAGAGTTCAAAGTTAGCATCACAAGTTCCAACCTTCCAGACCCAGACATTTTTACATTTGATAAAACCACCCTTTCCGCCACGTCACGCCGGGGTAGCCAGATTGTCGAAACGTATGACAGTGCACAGCTCCGCCTCCCCCTCCTTTGTCATGCAAAATACACAAAATCCAGGGTGTGCCTCTTGGCACTGTTTGCATGACAAGAAGCTACTCCGGAAGAAGCCCAAACGCTACTACACTCCTGCGCAAATTTGTCATGCGAAACCCGCATTCTAGCTGGCGCTTCTATTGCCGCTGATGCTACATGAATGAGGGCAAGGGGAGTTGTGCGCTCTCATAAAACGCCGGCACCTTGTATTTTCGTCTCCACATCGGGTACTGCCCGGTCTTCTTGTGCATGATTGCGATCGCCTTGATGTGCTCCGCGCGGAGGGTGATCAGCGATTTTTTGTACTCCAACGCGTCGTCTAACGCACGGGATTTCGCGCGTTCAAATTTCTCCTCTGCTGGGTCGTCTGGGTGGATGTAGGGGAGGATGGGGTAGTCTTGAACAACTTTGAGGAGTTCGCTTCTGTTCTGCTTTATTTCTGGCGCGCTTTCTGTGTCTGCTTGGAAGAGGTTTTTCTTTTTAGTCTTCGTTCCCTCGGGGAAATAATCGTCTTCGTCATCGGACAGAACTTTCTCGTCCATGAAACTATCCGTCGTCTCCTTATCCTTGAACGGATTACTCACCGCCTGGTGGTATGCATTGCAAAAGTCTCGCACTCGTGCTAATTGCGGGTATGCATGGCAAATCTAGCTCTCCAAGATAAACCAGGATGACAAACTCCATGTGGCATGCCCAGAAAATTTGTAATGCAGTTTGTACTTGAGTACGCTACTTTTGCAGTGGATAGGTGGTGACACACTCGCCAGTAGCTGTAATTGATGTTTTTCGGCTCATATTTGAACTGGACTCCCCGGAGGCCGGAGAAATCCGTCGCGTTTTCCCCCGTGAAGTCCTTGATTTTCCGGATGCGCTTCTTCAGCAGCGGCTTTACTTTCTTAGATGTTCGTGCGTGGTGCCTGTTTCTTTCAGATTTATGCTGCTCATCCCATTCGTCATCTTGCTCTTCGTCGCCGTTTTGGTCTTCGTCAGATGCAGCGAAATCATCGCCATCTTCATGAAACTTGCGGCGTCGTCGATGTTTTTCCTTCTTCTTTCGTACAAAATCATCATACTCTTCCTCCGAATCATCCTCACTCGAAGCCGGACCTTCTGATTGTTCCGAAGAACTACTACTGTTACTGCTGCTGCTGCTACCCATCAATTCTTTCAGCTCCGGTAAATTCTCGCCTAACTTGTTTAAGCCCAGAATATCCTCCTTCTTTTTCTTACCCTGTTTATTTTTCCCTCCTGCTTGTTTATTGCTTCTGTTGTTCTTTCCCAAAACCACATCTGACGGCAACGCGTGCAGCACTTCCTGCCCGTACGCAGTGGGGTCGAAGTTGATTTTGCCGAGAAAATTCACCTTCTCCATGTCTTCTCTTATCAAAACATTCCCACCGCTCGCAGAGATGAGAGCTCCTGTGTGGTTTATTTCGTCGTTGTTCTCCTCTTCGACAAGCAAGTCACGACCGTCTTTCAGATCGACGAGTTGGAACTGTTTTTCGTAGTCTCTTTCCAACTTCTTCAATAGTTGCTTCTTCTCCTTCGTGGAATAGGACTTGACTAGTAACTCCTGTTGGAGTTGGAAACTCACCGCGTCTCTTTTAATTTTCTCATGCTCCCTCTTCCGCTTCTTCCGCTCCACAAGCTGCTCATCGAGTGGCTCATCGTCATCCCGCTTTTTCTTTTTCACAGCGACTACTTTGTCACTTTTGCTCTTCATCAAATTATCCCCACCGGATGATGCCCGGGAATTCTTCGAACTGCAGCCGCTGTTCTTGGAGTGTACACGACCTCTCTCGTCAAGATTAAAAAACGCGGGCGTGGCCGAAGGGTTGATGTCGATGACCGCGGGGGTGGCGGAGGGGTTGAAGTCAGCCGCTCTTTGGTGTGCATAAGGATCAACATCCTCGTACAACTTTGCACTTCTTTTTTTGCTCTTCTTCTTCCCAGCACCGCGCGCTGCGTTCTTGTTTCCTTTCGCGGTGCCAAGAGGCTGGTCGTACTGCAGGTGCGAAATGAAATTTTTCGTTATCCCGGTCACCGGGTCGCACGGCGTCATACCGGCGTAGTTTTCCTCATCCCGTTCTACTTCCGAATCTGGATCGTTCAACAAATCATACACTGTCGTCTCCCCACCATAATTGATGTGCCGGAAGTTTTTGTTATTTTTCGACCCCCTGTGGTTGTGGCTTTGACCAGCTGGTGCGCCGGCGCTGCTTTTGGAAACTGATCTGGAAGATTTGGAAAACATCCGGTTTAAGACCGTCTCGTTTTCTTCTAGCACTTTGCTCACTTGCTCTGGGTCGGAGGGGTCGATGGATGAACACTTGATGTTCCCTTTTGTTCCCTTATTCATCGCGGAGGAACAACCGGCTGCAGCTCGTGCACTAGCTGCTTTAGTATCAGCAACACTTCTGCGGGAAGAAGTTTTCTGCGCCTTTTTCTCCTTCTTGTCCGCATAGGTGTCAATTTCCGCGTATGCTGCGCAAAAGTATCGCACTCGTGTCGTAGTAATTGCAGTTATGCATTACAGATCTTTGCCTTAAGGCAAATCCGCATTACGAATTTCATTTCTCATGCTGAGAAAATTTGTAATGCATTTATACGAGTACTGCGATACTTTTGCAGTGCATACCGCGTCCAGGTCGGCGATTTCCTTTCCCAGCTTCGTGTTCAAAGCCAGCATGAACGCCATGGGGTCGCTTTTATTCGTTTGCAGCAGGAGGTGTTGAAGAGAAGAAGAGGAAGAGGCAGGTGGCACGATTTCAGGCTGCTTGTCGTAGTTCTTCCCGGCTGTAATGATTTTCGATTTAGATGAAGAACCGTTGCTCTCCACAACATCCGCATTTATTTTCGGCTCTTCCTGCTTCTTCACCTTCCGTCGCTTTGGTTCTGGGGATGATCCTCGTGGGAGTTCATGATTTTCATCTGCCTCGTTGTCATCCACGTGATCCGGTTCGTGTTTTACAACTTGTTCCAGCTCCTTCTTCACTTTAGAAGTCCCAGCAGCAGCTTTAGAAGTCGCAGCATTTGCTCTTTTGGGAGCTTGTTCAGGTTTGATCTTAATATTCCTCGTCGCGGTACTAGTACCTGACGCTTCTTTTCGCTTCGTCCCAGTTCTGGAAGATGCTGGCTTAGAACTTGTCGTGGCCGCAGACTTTTGTTGGGTGGATTTGCCGTTTTTATGAGGCTTCGACGACGAAGACGCAGCGGTCGAGCCGGTCAGCCGGGTTTTGGAGGAAGTAGCAGGCATTTTGATGCTCGTCGTGATAGATTCACATGCAGCTACGGCTTTAGTTCCTAGAAGTTGGCGGTGCTTAGTAGTAGTGCGTCCTTCTTTTTATTTCTCGCTGCGCTAGAATTGCTGGAAGATGGAAATCAGAAACATGACATAAGCACAACTCCGTGTCGTCTCCTCGCTCGACGCCAGCTATTGACGAGAATCGAGACAGATGTGAAGACCCTCGCTCTGAGCGACCCTGCGCTTGCCTCTCAATCCGCACTCAAGATTTCCATTTCCGCTCCGAATTCCGGCGCATGAACACGAACGAAGAACGAATAGATAGTACAAGGTGGCGACGATTGTTTGTGTGAGAATATACATGAGGAGCAACCGGTGTGCTTGCCGTCCATGTGCGATCGGAGGCGCACGAACCTCCCGGAAATCGCAGTCCGCCGGCCGCGGGCCGGGGTTCGCATGCCGCGCCACTGCATGCGCCGAAAAAAACACTGCGGCCGCCACGGCATGCGCCGAAGGCGAAGAAATTGCCTGCGTGCGGGGGCCCAAGAAAATATAACGGCGGCAGGCACATACAGAGGCAGCGACACAGCAAAAACACCAGGCCCCGGAGGGGGGGGGCGGCGCGCGTGCGAAACAGGCTACAGCCTGAACCTGCCGCGCGCCAGCTAGGCGGAACCCGCGGCCGGCGCGGGCTGCATGCAATCGGGGCAAGGCGGCGAAGGACCACGAGGGACCCAAGAGTAGAGCGGGCGCGCTACTACAAGCCGCACCCTTGTACTCTTGCGCCAGAACTAGGCGCATGCGCGTAACGTCTGGCATTCCTGCTGTGTACACTGTCGCCGTAGATCGCGCCCTGATTGGAGTCTTGCGTCCCAGGCGAGTGCTCTACGCCACAAGCAGGGAAGCCACACGGGGGCGCCGCCCTGATGAAGTAGGCCGGCCGCCGGCCGGCGGGCGTCGTCAGTCTGCCTCCCTTTAAACGACGCCGGCTCTCGCAAGCACTGCAGGCCGCCCGGTTCTCGCAAGCACTGCAGGCCGTCGCCCGACTGCCTGCGTTTCTTGGTGGGCCCCCCCGCTAGCGGCCCGGCGCCGCCGGGAGGCCGGAGCGAACAGAGGCACGCGCAGGGCCCCGGGCCGGCCCATCAGATGCGCCGACGGCGCCACTGCCCCACCCGGCCCCGTTTTTCGGGACGGGCGCACCTTGGGGGCCTTGTCTCCGGGGCCGCATCATGGTCCCGCCCGCACTCCCTTCCGGCAAACCACGCGGGGCGGGACGGGCTTCCTCGCTTGGGCCGCTCGGGACATCTCGCCGCGGCGCTTGTTCGAGTTGCTCTCGAGGGTCTTGTCGACGGGCGTCGGGCGCTACGGCTCCGCGGCAAGGAGGGCCGCTGCCTCGGCGGCAAGCGCCGGCCTCCCTTCGCGCCCTGCCACATGCGCCGAACCCGGACGACGTCCCGCGCGTTGCGGGGCAAAAGGGCCGAAGCGCGTGCGGCAACCACCCCAGTCTGAACAGAAAGGGGACCAGTCTCGTCATCGTTGGCTACAATGAACGAACGCTATGTAAATGACAAAGCCGGGTGCAAGGCGAACACGTGAAAAAATCAACTTCACCACATTCTTACTTCCGCGGCAAAAACACCACTGCTCTTGCTCTCTTTTATTTCCCAGCTCAAAGTGGTCAAGTCGTTGTTCAATTGTCGAATTATTCAAGGTTTGTAATGCGGAATATTCATTACAGTGTCGCGTCAAACTTATGTACAATGTGTCGCTTGATAATCATGTCGAGTTCATCTCAAGAACTTCGCGGTCCGATCCGAAGCCCTTCTGGCAGCGCCTTCGAGCAGCCTGATCCTGTGCAAGAACTTTTTCATTGAAAAATTCTCCATCGTTCTTCTTTGATGTAAAACAAAGTGCTTTTTCCGTTGATAAACTTTTGCGATTCAGAGCCCTTCTACTTCCGTAGCACAGCGCCTCTCGTCCTGTCGGAAGCAATTGTTGTAGGTTGTTAAACTTTTGATAAACTTTTGCGATTGATACTTTCTACCGGCCGTAATCATGCCTCACGCCCTCGCAGCAAACCGACTAACAGGAGAAACCCGTTGCGGACATGCTCGCAAAGAACGTCGACGCCTGTAGAAGTTCTAGCTGCTGTTAAACTTTTGCGATTGATAAACTGTTGACACGAATTCGAGTGTAAGTACGGGTAGAGTTTCCAATTCTTCTCTTCCAGTGGTTCCACCTCCGGCACTGAAGATTTGCTCCATTTTTACCACTTGTAAACAATCCCGGATCCACTGATACTTGGTTGCCCCACCGTACTCTTCCACGGTTTCTTGTTGGGGTTGGAGATTTTGTGTAACTGCTGCGAGATTTTTCCCGTGACGCTGCTGTATCAAATGTAAAAATGTCTGGGTCTGGAATGTCATGCTAAATCTGAATCAGGCAAAAAACTGTGTTGCATGATTGCCAAAAGTTGTGCAGTTTTGACCTAAGTAATCAAGAGGCAGGTTCTCATGCAGGATAGACATTAAAAAGGTTTTGCAGAATCTGTCATGCTATGTCCTACATACCAGACCTCATGGGTTATGGAAAACCTGCATGACAAGTCTGGCAATTTTCCAGACCCAGACATTTCTACAATCCATATGCTGGGGTCTTCCCGCATTTTGCGTTTTGCGGGTGCGTTGGAAACCGGGAGGTCTTGGAGGGAAAACACCTGATAGATAGTTGGGTTTCAATTTATTCGCAAATGCGCATGACAAACTCACTGCATCAAGCGGATTTCTAGATAGTTTCACTGACCCTCATACTTACTCCTGTATGGAAAAAACCCCATGAGAAACTACTTACACCCCTAAATAACCTATTTCGGCATGACAAAAAACTACACATGAAGTAGAAGATCCAAAACAATCTAAATACTGGTTTCTCCATGGGCATGACCGCGTGTCTCATTTTCGCCCGCTCTGCGTGCACGAGCTCATCTTCCTTCGACGGTGCCCATATTGCGTTCAACTCGCGCTCGGTTTTTTGCCTTTTCCCCGCAAATTCGTCCACGTTCCCGGATTGGACTAGGGCGAGTTGCTGTGCGCTCGACGGCAAAGTACCGTTGTGTAACTCCGGATTCACCGCTGCGCCGTCCATTATCTGGGCGGTTTTTGCGACTCTTCTGCCGTTGGCGTCTACCTCCAGCGCTTCGTCTATCCAAGAAAAAAACCGTGTTAGTGTAAGTCTTTTGGGAAAACAGCATCACAAGTTTGTCTGCCATGACAGGAAAAACTTGTTATGCGCAGATAGGAAGGGGAACACATAGGAACCGAGCCGATCATGCATGTCGAGCATGACAAGTGCAACTGTTTGGCATTTTCTGCATCACAAATTTACACTTACACGGTTTTTTCTTGCATATCGTCCTGCAGAGCGTTATTGTCCTCATCATCCCGGGCGCGCTTCCCCGGGGCGCCGGTGACGTACTGGACCCAGGTATCAAATGCAAATGTGTCTGGGTCTTCTGGAGGACTGCAAGCCTTCTCATGCAGGTTTTCCATGACCCATACGGTCAGCAATGCAGGATCTGGCATGACAGATTCTGCAAGATCTCTATGATCATGCATATCCTGCAAGAGAGATTCATTCCCGATCAACTTGGTCAAAAGAGGGCAACTTTTGGTTGTAATCATGCAACACAGATTTTTGCATCATCCAGTTCTGGCATGACAAGTTGGAGCTCTTCCAGGAGACCCAGACAAATTTGCAATGCATACCAGGACATCATCAGCGCTTGTGCCTTCGACCGCACTTGATTCGGGTACTTGCGTATGCAGTGCAAAAATGTCTGGGTCTGGAAAATTGTGATGCTGTTTGGCAAATCATGTGGACGCCTTCATTGACAGCCAAGCATGACAAGTTTTGGAGTTGCTAGAGTGTTGCCTATCTGCATGACAAACTGCGTTTCTGCATGACAGAGAAATGTGGCTTTTGTGTGGCGCGCATGACAGACTTGAAAGCCATGCTAGGTGTGCATGACAAACCCGGCACTCTTCTAGACCCAGACATATTTGCAGTTGATATTCCGGTCTTTCGCGATGCGGCGCATGGTCACGCCTGTCATAGTGTAGTTCAAGTTTATTTCGTTTTACGCAGGAGCTGACGCGTGTCATAGAAGTTGAGTTTCAATAGTCTAGTTTTGACTTTGAGAACAATCTCAAGCTACCATGCATCACAAATAAGCAAAACTTCATCTAATACCTATTCCGCTATCCACAATATCTTCCTTCTCCACATGCGTTCCCAACTGTTCCAAACAGTACAAGACCCCTTATCCACTGCAAAAATGTCTGGGTTTGGAAAGTTCTGATGCAGGTCAGTGAATAGTACGCACTCTGGAATGCAGCGCCAAGCACGACAGATTTTTCCTCGGTGGCGTTGTGTTGCGTATTCCGCATGAAAGACAGCGTTCTTGCATGACAGACCAGAGGAGCTGTTGCTCGCTACGCAATACAAAGCTCAGGGTCATGCCAGACTAGCATGACAGGTCCCGCATTCATCTTCCAGAGGACCCAGACATATTTGCAATGGATACCCCTTCTATGACGCTCATTGGCGGCTCTGCCCGGTCGTCATCTTTGTAACCCTCGCCGCGGACCGGATTTATCCAGTCATTGAGCACTTCGACGCCTGTGGTTTTGATATTTGAGAAGATGTTGTAATGACTCTTTGCAACAACGAACCCGAAAGAACTTGTCATGCGGATTCTCCTCGCATGTGCAAATTGATATGTCATGCGAACAGCATCTTCGTATATCAAAAATCGTATACCTCTCTCAGTGACGAAGTAACTCTTAAAGCCCTGCCGGTTGATTAATTTTTTCACATTGTCCATTGCTCTGGCCTTGTGCAGTGCCGGTCTGCCGTTCGCGATTTCGCGGATTATCGTAAGGAAAAATCCCCCCTCCCCATATTGAAAACGTATCCGTCTGAAAAATTGTGATGTGCATTTGTGACCTCAAATCCTGTCTGTCTTGCAAGAAGGCAAGTCCAGAGAGCGCCCCGCATTTTGCAGGCCGTTTGTGATGCTGTTGGGCTTAGAGCATGCACGTTTGTCATGCTAGGCGCCTACGTCAAAACCTCTCGACTGAGGCTTGGCATATGCCTGCAGTCCTCTACTGCAAGACAAATCTGATTTGTGTACGGAAATCCAGCATCAGAAGCTTCGTTTCGATATGGGGGCGGGGGATTTTTCTTTTCAATACGGATGTCGTTTTCGTGATAAGTCTCCATGTATTGGACCTGAGACGGAAATTGTAATAGATATGGAACGATAAAACTCAAATTGCAACACAAAGAGCGTTGCTTTCGTCTTCATGCGCCAGAAGGAGAAATCTGTCATGCAAAAACTGAAAAAAATGTCGACAACCACATTATCACAAAACAACTTCTATACCAGCATGCTCGCCTGTTTTCTGCTATCTTTGTCCTTAATTTTCATCCCGGCTCTGGCCACCTTTTTCGACTTCGCTATCCTATCCAACGCCTCTTCAAACGCGTTTTTTGGCTTTTCCGCCTCCTGCTCTTCTTCCCCCTCGAGGTACTCCCCCTGGTGTCCCATCGCCTGGTACTCCTTAACTCTCTGCCCAAATTCGTCATTGTCATCAAACACGGGCGCTGCCTGCTGGGCCAAGCCGTCAATGTCGCCGAAAATGTCCTCCTCGATATTTGCAGCGTCGGAGGTCGAAGTATGCTCAGCAAAAATATCGCACTCGTAGTAATTGCATTTATGCATTACAAATCTCGTTGCCAAAGCAAACCAGCATGACAAACTCCATTTGTCATGCTGAGCGAATTTGTATTGCAATTACTACTATATACGATAGACTTTTGCAATTCATACGTGGGGGGTTGGGGAATCGCTTCGTCGAAGAATTCGTCGAGCTCGTCACGTGGCGCTTCTTCGGCCATCTTGGAAGAGGGTGGAATGCGAATGTGTTCGAGGATAGAAGTACTGAAGGAAAAACAAGTGTAGTCGTGAAGCTAATTTCTACCTTTGGTACGGTCAAATCATTTCTAGCGGATGATAAGGGTAAATAAAAATTTCTACTTGTGTAAAAAAAATTTCACTCAGTGGTTTTGTTTTGACCTGCACAACGACATTTATTTTGGAATAAAAGATGTGCTACAACTCAAGAACAATACTGTCAGCTTGACTGCTATTTTCCAGCTTGTCCCTCGTCTCAGCGTGAGTAGATCAACCATCCTCAGCGAGATAAAATAGTAGAAGATTCAATTTGAGCTCGGCAAGAAATCATAGCTTTTTCGAACTGGCAGAAATTTGGTGACCGCACTTCCGATCCACCTATCAGCTTGACCGAGAACTATCTGTGGAAACAGCTTTACCTGTTTCCAGAGAAGAACAGATACCATTTTACTCGATCAACCAAGTTTTTAGGTGCTTTGGTGAGCAGATGCGACCTTGCATTTGTCAAGGGCGATGATTCTATTAGCGCTGCTTCTGCGGTTTCATTTCATCGTGCGAGTAAAAGGACTCACCAACTTCGAAGGCGACGAACTTGCCGCAGTTTTGCCACATTTGCCATTACCATCTTCTGCAACACGAAGAACCTTGGATCTACAGTGTCATTCAGGCGTATTTATTCTGTTACTATCCATTCTCGATCATAACTGAGAAAAGTGTATACTTTATCATTCAAGAAAACCCCGTTCGCTGTCGGAAAGAGAAAACTTCCGAGTGCGGACCAGATTTTCGATTTCATCATATCATTCCATGCGAGGACGACTCTACTTCTACTATGCGGGACAGCAAGCAGGAAGATGTTGATGATCACAGAGCAGCACGCCTGCGGAACCTGCACCAGCAGAGCGGAGCCATCCCTACTAGAGTTCTTCCTCTTCGAGCAAAAACGCCCGCTCCTCGTCATCCGCTTCGTGAAAACGATTCTCTGTCGTGGCTCCAGAACTACGAAGAACATTTTCCACAGGCTCCGCACCTAGTTTTTCCCCACCGTCTCCACCAGCCTGAAGATCAAGATCTACTTCATTCGGCGAAGCAACATCCCCGAACAGCTCCAACACTGTACTCTCCTATCAAACAAAAACCTGTTAACGTTAACGGTTCTGGGGCATTGCAATCACGCTTGACAAATTTTCGCTATCATGCATGCTAGGCAATACAAATTTGGGAATCATTTGTCGTGCGTTCCTGCATGCCAAATTCCGTTAACGTTAACACTTTTGCTCGTGATATTTCCTCCCGCCATTCTATGGCTCCGGACTTGCTCTTCCCGTGTTTCAAGAAATCATACGGCGCCGTGTAGACACGATTTATTTTCCCCTTATTCCTTGTCGAAGTTGTAGTAGACGATGGACCTACACGAGGAACTTCCTCCGTGAAGTACCGATATTATCAAATGTAAAAATGTGGTCTGGGTCTGGAAACTTGTGATGCTGAATTGCGCATGATTGAAGCGCTTCCAATGGCAGCCAAGCATGACAAGTTTTTGAGAGGTCTGCTGATGCCTGGCGCGCATTACAAATTGCGTTTTCGCATGACAAAGAAAGCCGCTGTTTTGCTGCTCATGCAACACAGATTTTCCAGGAATGCATGACACGCATTACAAGTTCCAATTTTCCAGACCCAGACATTTTTGCATTTGATAGATATCTGTTTTTCCTGATACTTCTCTGCACGTTTTTGCAACAGGACTCAATCCTTTCCAGTACTCTTTCGTAGTTCTTTGCGTATTTGTAAACGATTTTCCGGCACTCGGGATCGTCGTAGATGTAGGGTTTGATTGACAACACATGCGGGGGCTTTTGTCTTGCTGTTTCTCCATCGCTGTCGCTGTTGGTCATGCTGGTCTCTGATGTATCACCTCCTACTTCGTTGTGCGACTCAATCCACTCCATGCTGTCCAGCAATCTGGTCCAATCCTCTTCCCGCCAGTTCGCCAATCGTTCTTTCGTTGGCAATATGAGAGTCCACAACTCCCCCACCTCCCCCTCATTTGTATTGCATGAACAGCAATAGAAACGCCACCACACGCGGAGCCTGTGCATGGCAAATGTTTCATGCGCCTAGAGTAGTGCTCTTAGAGCTTTCGGAGTCTGTCATGCGAACAGTGCCACAGGGAAGCGCTTGCATTTGGGGTTTTGCATGACAAATGAGGGGGACGGGGGAGTTGTGCACTTTCATAGGCAAATACGGACAGCCCGCGTCTTCCCCCGTATCGCCCCCGATCATGACGGCTTTGAGAGCCTTTTCCGGCACCGGACAGGGCTATCCTAAGTAAAAACGTCCCCATCCCAGAGTTGTTGTAATGCAAATGCGCAATGACATCAGGAACAACTGTGACGCGCATCTCCATGAGAGGCATTCCCAGCCGTGTTTTGGTGGTTGTAATGCTGTAAACAGGATGAGAAAATGGCTCTCTCATGTGGCTTCCCTTGCTAACCACCACTACACTGCAAATGGAAAATTGTCATGCACACCTCCCAAAACGTGGGGATTTGTGTTGCGGATCTACCAACTTGACAATGGGGTGGGGACGTTTTTTCTTCAGATAAGGGAAGCGTCATGTTCCAAGCGAGGCAGAGTTCCGAGGGGTAAATCTCGTCCAGCGTGAGACTATTGTCCTGAAACACCAACTCATTTCGCACCTCGCAGTTCCGCGGGTGATCGGTGAACTGCGACGCGTTATCGGAAGAAAAAATCTCCCCTCCCCATATCGAAAAGCGCAATGCTGACTTGTGACCACAAATCGCGTCTGTCTTGCAAGAAAGCAACGCCACAGGTTCCGCCCCATTATGCGGGCGGTTTGTAATGCTGTTGGGCCTACAGCATTCATGTTTGCCATCCTAGGCGCCTAGGCCAAGACCTCTCTACTCAGGCTTGACAAGCGCCTGAAGTCCTCTACTGCAAGACAAATATGATTTGTGTACGCAAATTCAGCATCAGAAACTTCATCCCGATATGGGGAGGGGAGATTTTTAGTTTTGATACGCGTCTTCACACAACCTGTGCGCCACCGCGAGATTCCCGACCTTGAGATAGCTCCCGATATCCAGGAGCATCAGCACCGGTTCTTTTCGCATGCAGAACAACAGATCGTTTCGCCACGTAAAATTCGCGTCGTGCACGACGGATTTTCCGAAACAGTGGAAGGTGCCGAATGGCGACCGCTTTTATGCATTGCAAGAATACAACATCGCACTCGCAGGTACAAGTCGCAGCCTGGCATGACAAATCAAATCCTTGAGCAAAATCTGCATGACAGACTCCATTTCTGATCTTACAAAAACTTGTCTTCGTGCGACCCTACTTCTAGAACAACGACCATAGTACTTTTGCAATGCATAGCTTTAGCCTCTCGGTGATCTCCAGCATGATGTGCTGGCTGTGCGTCTCGGATTCCGCGCCAATGAATAAATCGATATCGTCGTTCTCCAAGTCAAAGTGGTCATCTTCCCCGTTGACGATTGTTTCCCCAAGACTGTTCACGGAATTCCTGACGTCAAAACTGTTTGCCGCGTACCGGAGGAACGCCATCAACGTGCCCCCCTTCGGCGCCCATTCGAGTTGCAGCTCGTTGGTGAAAAGTTCGTTGATTTCGTACAGGACAGATTTGTAGTTGTCCATCCGCTGTTGCTTCGTTAGATTCCCTTTCCGAAATTCCGCCGTGCGATTATGCGACATCTCTAAAGCGAACATCTCGTTCCCCGCGGATTGCGACTCATACATGGACTGAAACGCGGTTTTTGTCTTCTGCTTGATCCGTCGCAGGGTGTGCTCGGAGGCGAAACACTGATTCCGGATGGCATGGTCGTAGGGAGTGAGGCATGCATTGCAGATATGTCTGGGTCTGTAAGAGCGGAACTTGTAATGCTGTCTGCGGATTCTAGAAATATCTGTGTTGCATGAGCAGCAACAAGAGGAGTCAGTTCTTGGCACGCTTGTATGGCATTTCTCATGCGTGTTTAGCATCAACAAGCTCCCAAAAAAACTGTGATGCTAGCACCAGCATCACAGACCTCGCGGGCCATGCAAAATGTGCATGGCAAGCCCCGACTCTTCCAGACCCAAACATATTTGCAGTGAATATGAGGGCAGCTAGCGTGGTCGTCCTCTCCGCACCATCTTCTTCGCTATGTTCCCCGTCCAGTCGCAACTGCTATCCTGTGCACAAGTATCGCACTCGTAGTAATCGCAGTCACGCATTACAAATCTCTTTCCTGAGGCAACCCTGCATTACAAATTGTATATTCTAATGCTGAGAAAATTTGTCATGCGATTTATACTAGTACGATGCTTTTGCATTTCATAACTGCAGCACCTGCGCCAAAACGTCAAATTTCTGGATGTTCTGCTGAATCTCGACGAACTTCCGCTGCGCCTGGTAAATCGGCTGCCAGATGTCCCCGTTGTTCGCCAGAAATTGGTCGAAATTGTACAGATTTCCCAGAAGCAGGACAAATGGGAAGCAATCGGCCGCGATCCGTCGCTGCCAGGACTGGTTCTGCTTCTCGTCGTCCTGACTCGTGCCTTTCTTCTCCTTGTTTCCGAACAGAATTCCCTCGATCACTAGGAAATACGGGTGCATCGCGTCCATGGAAACGTACTTGTAGAGAGAATTGTCGCGCACCTTGTGCATCTCTAGTCGGTCTGTGAAGTCCCGAAAGGTGTGCCGTTGCCGGTCGTGGTAGGGGTAAAGGGTGTTACCGAGCACCAGGTCTGTTCCGGGGGTGGGTGCGGGTAGTAGAAGGGACGATGCTCGTCGTGGTTCTGACACTGTTGTACCTTCGTTGTCCCGCCCTTCTTCCATTCCTCTCCCCGAAGTCCTCTTCCCCAACGGGTTGATCTCGTAGCCCTGGGGAAACTTGTACTTCAAATTCGTTCTATGGATTGCAAATATGTCTGGGTCTGGAAGAATACAAACTTGTGATGCGTGTTTCGGATCCTACAAAGATCTGTGATGCAGAACGTGCAAAAGGTGCCCACACCTGGCCATGCTGAGAGGGCATTTGTCATGCAGGACACGCATCACCAAGGAGCTGCAGAACCTGTGATGCTAGGCCCTGCATTCCAGACGTGGCGGAGCTTGAAAAAACGGCATGACAAATCTCGGAATCTCCCAGACCCAGACATTTTTGCATTTGAAACGTTCTGATCTGTAGCAACGTGTTCTGCTCCGCGCGGTCTAAGGCGTTGAATATCCTGAGTAAAAACGTACCCACACCAGAGTTGTAATGCAGATTTGCAAAGACAGGAAGACTTGTAATGCGCATCCGCATGAGAGCCATTCCCAATCGTTTTTTGGAATTTGTGATGCTGTGAACAGGATGAGCAGATGAATCTGTGATGCGGCTGCACTTGCTTACCTGCACTACACTGCAGAGTGCAACTTGTCATGCGTGACTCACAAAACTCCTAGGTTTGTGTTGCAAAATCCCCATCCTGACTCTGGTGTGGGTACGTTTTTACTCAGGATATTGAAATACGGGTGGATAGCCTCCAAATGCCGGGCGAAGGCGCGGAAGGTGGAAGAACTCCTGTTTGGTGCATCTATTTTTCCGTCTTGCGCACGACCATTCGGTACGACCGGATGAAGCACTTCTTCCTCCAGTCGCTTCAATTCTGACAAAGCGTCTGATGTTTCTCCCACACCTCTGCTACCATTAGAAACTGCGTCCGCTTTTGCGATTAAGGTCAAAACAACCGCCTCCCAGGCCCATGCAAGCTCTTCTTTCTTACTATTCATCGTATGAACTGCAAAAGTATCGTACTACTAGTACTTGCAACACGAATTCGCTCAGCATGACAAATGGAATTTCTTATGCTGATTTGCGTTGGGAACGAGATTTGTAATGCATGGCTGCAATTACTACGAGTACGATACTTTTGCAGAGGATACATCGTCGTGAGCTGCAGTTCCAGCATCTGCATCTGAAACACCGAATTTGCCTTCGCGGAGGGGAAGGGGGAGGTCTGGTCGTCAAACCAGTGGTACCATTCGGTGGATTTATTCTTCTCATCTGTGGTCGGTTTTGTTTCCAAAACTATCATGTCCTGTGCGCTGGAATCGTGGTCAACAGCGCTGTCGATATAATCGCCAGAGAGGACCGTTGTAGTTCTCCTGTCGTCAACTTCTGCTAGTCGTTCCTCATTTTTCGTCAGAAACTCGATTTTCCCCTCGTCTTCCAGGACCGCTTTCTCAAACAATGCAAGCGCTAGATTGTCGTCCTTCGAAGTGGAAATTACACGACTTTGAAAACTATTTTCAGACCCTCCTGCTTGTTCATCTCCCGAAGAAGTAGATGCTACTCCAAAATGCTTCCCAAAATTTTTCGTTTTCGCTTCCGCCATGGCGGTGGCAAGAGATTTTCGAAGCAAAATTAGGTCGAAATGGAGAGAGGAGATCATAACCTGAGAATCTCCTATGATTCCATTCTGTTTTATATTATCGCTGCTCTTGCTCGTTTTCACCACCAGCAAACTCTTCTGCTTGTTCGCCTCTTTCGAGAACATCGCGTCCGTTATCGCCCTCAAATTCTTGAATCCCCTGTACCTCCGGAGGTAGGAAACTTTTTTTATCTTCTCATCCTCTTCCAGGAGCAATGCGTTTTGGTCCTGATCGCTCGTTTTTCTTGGTCCCTTCGTCCGGTCCCGGACATGGTCCTCGATTGTCGACATGACGTCCGCGAGGGAGACCGTGACATAGTCTGGATTTTTTGTCGCAGATGCACCTTGATGCTTTTCTTGCCCGGAGCTTGCGGTAGTGCTACTCTCATCCACCGGGTAGGGGACGCGGAACTTCACGCGTTCGCACTTTTCGGTACCCGGGTCTTCCGTCCAAGAGGTGAACTCCTCAATGGCGCTGTACAAATCGGAGTCGAAGCCCGGCTGCTCGGCAAGGACGGAGAAGTGGCTGAAAAATATCGCCGTCGCGGTAAACAGCACGCGAGAGAGCCGTGTCGTGAAGCAAACACCCCCAGACGGGGAGCAGAGACGCACGGAGTGGTGAAACGACGAGGTTGTTGAACAAACCATTATGAAGAATACAGTAGTACCGAAACAGGTCCTCACGCTGGACAAAAAGCGGTCAATACCGAAAAAGAAGAAGAAGTAGTTGCCAGGGATGCGAAAAAAAAGGCGTAAAAAGCACCAGCATCCTTTTAAATTCCTCGCTCGTGTGCTCGCTCACCATCTGGCCTGAGAAATAAGTGCATCGAAAACAATTAATCAAAAAGGTAAGTAAAAGTGGTATCTTCACATTTTCCAAAGAGATGACCTGGTGGCTCAAAAGTAGCATTCTTCCTGGACCTTGTTCTTCAACCAAAATGCTCTTCTGTTCCCAAAGAAAACATCCCCGAAACAGGCACGCAAGACACGAAGAACCGCTACCTGTAGATGGTTCTTCAGATAGAAGAATATTGGCAGAACCCTCGCCAAGGAGCCTGTATTGTTGGTTCTCTTGCCGTGCTCAACACCTGCTTTTACGGCTGTGGCTTCTGAAGAATGCGAATGCCATTAGCCTACCATGGTTCATGAAGTTGCTGGTGGACGTGATGCCATCCTGTTTCTCTTCACATAAGTGTTCGTGCTGGGAAAAGAAAATTGTTGTCTGTCGTGTTTTTCATTTTGTTTGTTTGAAATTCGCATGGCTTTGCAACAGAGCCCCCACAGGAGGACATCTAAACAATTAACCGTTGTCACTCACCTCCACCTGCACCCACTCCGCGTAGGCCTGATTCGCTCGCATCTTCTTGTAAAAATTAAAACCAGCTTGAGGCACGAAGGGACTTTACATGCATGGATGCAGTTTGTCATGCACGGCAAGGAAGTAGAACTACACGCATGGTAGAAGTTTCTTGCCGTTCTAGAAAGCAGTTCAAATGATGAAATGCCTACTTCTCCTTCAATGCTGATCCGTCGCCGACCCACCTCAAGATGTTGCCCATGCCATATTCCTCTACAAGAACAGAATCTTGATCGACGTGGCCGGAATGATTCCGGTTCTCCTTCTCCTCCGCCTGGATCTCTTCCAACACCCGCGCAACCAGACTGGCTTTCGTTTTGATCAGCATTTTGCTCACCGGCGCGGACGCGGTTTCTTTGTCCTCATTTTTGTCCGCGGCATCCACAACGATCTGCACGCACGCCGCCAGTCTCTTCAGTATGGAACGGCAGGACTTTTTCGTCGCGAATCAAATTTTTTACAACGGGTACAGAAATTCATGCTTATGAGTTGTAGTATATCAATCTGCAGGAGCCCTAGCCTGCTCCTCCTGTCCCATCATCATGCAAATCTCGACTCGTCCGCCCAGAGGCAATCGAACTTGATTCGCGCCCGAGTTCTTTTTCCGGCATAATCGCCACCAGATCTGCTGCTAGATCTGAAAAGTTTCGCCCATTGGCTGACCGCACCGTGATCTGGCTCACCGCGCGTTCGCTTTTCTTCCCGGCGCTAATAGCATCATCCTGCACCGCCGCGTCTGTCAGGATCATCGGCGTGTCATAGGGATGCAGTTCGGCGATCAGGGTTGCAAGTCGGTCTCGGTCCGCTAGAATCTTGTCGTTTTTAGCAGTAGTTGCTTTAGTACTCTGCTCATCGCGTTCACCAACTGGAAAAATCGTTGGTGCCGCTGATGTTGCCGCGGTAGTTCTATTGTTTTTTACAGCCAACGATTGCAGTGCCGGATCGTTTTCATTCATTGGAGTGCTACCTTCATTATCACTTTCGCCGAGAAACAAATCACGACACAACTGCGGTTCTTTTACTCCAGTGCTTGCGGTGGTAAGTTCCCACGTTACCCGAATCTCCGGCTCGTTCTTTTTCACAGCTGATTTCCACCGGTAGAAGCTCTTGATCCTTTGCAGGGTTGCTGTCACGCAACTCGTAGGCGAAATTGTTCCCGGATCATGGAGCACTGCTCCGGCCGTATTGTAGTCCTGCCCGACAGGAATGTTTTTTGTAAAAATTTTCCTTCTCACCTTGTCCACCAGTGCTCTCGCTTCCTCCTCCGTTTCCACCGTGGTCACGACTAAGGTTTTCTTGTTGTTTTGTGTTTGCTTCGGTTTTGAACCAAATGGAGAAAGCTGCAGCTCCGTTCTTTTCTCCCTCGATGCCCTTGTAGTTGTTGCATGAGCGCTACTAGTATTCACCCCCTTCGCGGCGTGATTGCTGTTCGGTGTAGACCCTGCAGAATGCTTAAAAGCCGAAGTTCCGGTCCTACTAGTTCGCTCTTCTGCGACGTCATGATGTAGCTGTGAACTACCCTGCTCCTTCCGTATCAGGTGCCAGTCGTGGTCTCTTTCCTGTGTAGAACCCGTGGCGCCCACCGTTTTTCTCGAAGAAACCGTTGCGACCGGTAGGTGGAAGGACAGGGAGAGGAAGAAACAGCGGAGGCAAGAAACGCAGAAGACGTTGTAAAGGACGCAGGGCTTCATCGTGGTTATCGATTTCTGAATGATTTACTTCTGGTTCCTCACCCTCCTCTTCACAGCCCGTACGTACAAGAAGACTCTTCCTGAGAGTAAGCAGGTCTCTTCACGTGTCAGGCCTTCCCTGAAACCATAGAGCTGGTGGATGCAATGCGGCCTCCTACCACAGCACAATAGACCTGGTGGATATAATGCGGCCTCCTACCACAGACTCAGTATCATAGAACGCTCAAGAAGGTGTGTACTGCTTGCCGCGTTTTTGCTCACTCCTCGCTCGACGAGACACATGAAACCTGATGTGGTCTTATATTTTTTTACTGAGCTTTTCAAGAAAGCCCCGAATCAGAAACCTGAAATACCGAGCAAAAACGTAGAAACTGACATCACGATCAACCGATCTACTTCTGCCGATGACCATGAGGAACGAGCCGAACGCGACGCTGGGATTTCGATACAGCACACGTGGGATTTTTATGTAAAGCGTGCATAACAAAAATAAAGCTCTTCTGCGCCGTACTAGTGGGTCTTAGTATCGTTTGTTTGTTTGTGCGAGTGGAGCCGTGGATTTCCGGTTGAAGGTTTTACGTTCTGCTCAAACAAAAATACGTGTGGTGGAATGACTTTGCACTTACGCCTGAAAAGAAAGGAAAAAAAGTGCTGTGAGAAGCATAAAAAAGAGTGTATGCGTAACGATAAAACTAAATCTTAAAAGTTTCCGTTGCCGACAAACCCCGCGGCGTGCAGCCGACTGCTTTTGGATGAAAAGTTGAATGCTACAAAAGACTCTGAGACATTTTTGTTTCGAAAGTTGTAGTACGAAAGCTTAAAGGTTTCTGAGGAAAGTCCGTTTACTACTAGGAATTGTTGTACTCACATTGGGACAAAAGTGCATTTACAGTAGATTTCTTGTTGGTGAGGCTAACATTCTTTTTCTCACACGACAAAACATTCACTTAGAATAAAAATCGGATTTCATTGAACTTTCTGACATTGATGTACCCAGCTGCATTGACAAGGAAATAAAACGCTTTAATGTACGTGAAACGAAGACGAATTTGATGAAGTGCTTGCAACTATGTGATAAAAAAAAGTACGTAAAAGTTGGTATTGTATTGTGTTTCAAGCTCGTTATTCATATTCTTGTTGTAATTGTGAAAAAAAAAGTCTTCTGCTGCGGGACCAGTGGCGCACCCCTTTCTACACGTGCACCACCAACTGTATTCGACCTACGACACTCATCCTCAGTATCGTCACTAGAAATCCCGAGGACCTCAGGAAGCCTAAATTCCCGCGAGTATCCAGGAAAAAAACTGTGTTAGTGTATCCATTTCCCATGTATACTTTCTTTGGCTGAAAGCATCACAAATCTGCTCTACATGACAGAGAGAATCTGTCATGCGTGAGTGTGGCTTGTCTGGGAAAACACACATGAAAAAAGGACTTCATACAAAAGTGATATATTAGAGATTGGCAAGTGGTGTGCTCTCAAAAAAGTACTTTGTTCATACCCGCCGCGCAGCTCCTCCTGCTGGTTCCGCCATCACAAATTCGCCAGATCAACCGGATGTGCCGGACCCCCCACTTGGGCTGGGATCCGGGAGCCCGGGCATCTCGTCCGGAAACAGCGCCTTGAAAGCGTTGCGGTTGTCGCGACCTAGTATAGCAAACACGATCACGAAGCCTTTTAGCTCATCTTTGTACTTGTCAATGGCCTCCTTAAAGAGTTGCGCCACAACCAGGCGAGGATTCCCGAACGCTCCGCAACCGAGCGCGCCCAATATGACAGCCTTGTGGTGGTTGTGCTCGGTCGTCAGCGTACGAAAGATCGCGTCGATGCGCGCTGTCATCTGCTGCAAGGCGATTGGATAGCTAGCCGCAAATTGTTCTTTGTTCATTCCGTTGTCCCAAGCCGGTACACGCTGAAAGAGGTTCACAGCTGCGACTTTCAGCTCCAGGAAGGGGAATACCTCGTCCTCGCGCAACCACGAGTAGTGCTCGTCTGGGTTCCGTAAGCAGATCCGATCGTCCGTGTACAGCAAGGCCTCGCCCGATTCGGCTTTGATGCTCCTGGAATAAGAAGGCGCGTACTTGTGCCCGTCCCACTTCGTGTGCAACATTTGTGGCGAATGTCGTCCCTTTCGAAAATCTTCCGAAATGTCTCCGTAATGGTCGTCCTCGTCCTCGTCCAGATCCGACAGACCCGGAAACGTGTCGGTCGGTTCGTCAACTAGCTTGTCTTTCTTGATGTGCAGCAGCGCGTCTGACGCGCGGTACAAGGTTTCCTCCTGGGCGCCCTGGCCCCGCTTCACACCACCGCCAACATTGTACGCGTTCGCCATGTTCAGCACCGCAAACTTCTTTCCGAGGTGCTTTGTAAATTTGAGTGCAGTGGCAAGCGTATCCGCGCCATGCACGAACACTTGAACCTCACCTGTAGGATCGATTCTATACCGGGGCGGTGCCGCCCAGGTCTGGAAGTTGTGTGCTGCAAGGTCCTTGAAGTGCTTGTATCTCGCCTCCCCCCCGTCCCCCACGAGCGTCTCAAGCGTCCCCACCAGAACGGCCATCCGCTCAGGGTTTCCCGGCCGAGATTTCCCCGCCCGGCCCTTCCCCCCGTTGTGTCAGATTGAAAACCGCGCCACCCGCAATTACAGCCTGCCTTCCCGCACAAATTACGGTGTGCTTTTTGTCGTGGAGCCAGAAAACAAAGACCCGTTTCCCGTTGCGGGCCGATGGGGCCGCCACGAGGGTTTCTTACATGGCTAAACGAAAGCAAAAGCGTCGCAAATAGCACTCTGTCACAACAAGAAAGCAGCCCTGGTTTACCTTTAACGCAAGGTCATAAGAATTTAGATTTCCATAGCGCATTCAGAAAAAATCAACACGTCACAATTCTGCCTCGCGCGAGGCTCGACGTACAACACCTCCGCAAAAACCTACGGAGCGGCAAGCTGTATTAATATGCGGTGAGCAGGAGTAGCAGTCGCTTCGATACGCTCTCCCCATTGGCCTGCCTCTCGATATCCCGCATTGCGGGAGGGCGAATTGCAGGGTACTCTTCTCAAGATGAAATCCGCCCCCCAGACCCCTGTTTGTCCTTCCAATGCAAAGTCGAGCTGCGCTCCTTCCTTCTGCCGGAAGACACTTAATGCGCGGCTCATCCAAAAAACACCCGCAGCCGGCTCGAACAGTCGAGCCGAGCATCAGACGAGCGGCTACAGCGCCAAAGAATATATAAGCACGGCAAAAAACGTGATCTAAATAGTGCCCTCGGTGGATTCCCCGGCGCGGTCAGTTGCCGACCTGAACTTTTTGGAAAAGGGGGATGGAAGGGCGGACTTCATCTGCGATACTGTCAACGCGTTGTGCTTGTAAAGCGCCTCCCACTCTTCGTAAAATTGTTTCGGATTGATCTTCTTGTTGCGGCTGCTAGGATCGTGCGGTTCAGTTACATATAACCTGTTCTCGGTGAAGCGGCCCTGGTCCGCAGCCGGAATGATCTCCAGAAAAGATTCATGCACTAAAGTCCCTTGGCCCTCCGGAACCACGAGCGGAAGGTCTATGACAGCGCCAAAAACCCCCAAAAGGCGCCAAGTGGCCGGCTCGCTGCTTTAAACCATGATCGCAGGCGCGGTGCGGGCTGCAGAAAAAATGCCTGAACTACAGTGCCATCATGAGTGCAGATCCCGAATCTCCTAAATGCATCTTTGTCTCCCTCTAGTTGATGCGCATAGAAATAGACCAAGCTCTGTCATACAAAATCGATTCACGAGTGGGCGCGTGTGTTCAGTTTTCGGCAAAGAACACCCGAATCACCATTCACATACATAGGGCCTTTTTGCCAATCTGCAACGGGTCTTCTCCCAGTGGCGCTTGATGCATTTGCTGCTCCGTGCAGATGCAGAATGCAGCTAAATATGAAGTAAACACGTTCTGTATCAGCCGTGCCACAGGTGCTCAAAGTGGGTAAGAAGTATCTTCTCGGCGTAAACGGCGCCAACGCGGAGTCCCGTGGTCTTGGTGGCGGCGGAAGCGCAAGCGGTCCTCCTGCTTGATCTGCCGCTGGTTGAGCTGCCGCTGGTTGAGCCGCGGCAAGGGGAACACCACCAGCATCATTTCATATGCAAGGAAGGAAAACTGCGCGCCGTCTCCACACGCTCCATACAAGAAGAAAGACCGAGACGCCGGCCCTATCCGACGAGGGATGTGGACTCGCTCTTTCCGCTCATCGTGAAATCTGTCATGCAAGAAGTACATGATCAACCGTAGTACCACAGGTTTCGCATGACAAGTTCTGGAATGCGAAACCGCACTCCAATTACTTATCAGGCGAAATATGTATTGCAGAAAGTGGAACGCTCTGCGAGTCTGTCATGCTCATCATGCAATAGCACAAAATCCAGCCTCTATCCTAACGATGGAGATTGTAAAGTTTGAGCAGGTCATAAACAAAAAAGTTGTTTTCTACAGTGAAGCGGAGACGACCACAGCACGCATTTTTCTCCCATGATACCGAAAAGTGTGCGTGTTGGAGGTCCACTGTGACTTTGGGCTGGTGGAGGCTTCGGGCGCGTTGTGCCAAGATTAAGACCGGGACCGCCCAATACCGCCGGGTACCCCTTCGCAACTGGCGGCGAAAGCGCAGGCGGTCCTGCTGCGGCCGGCGCCGCTTCTCTTCCTGCTTGAGCTCCCGCTGCTTCAGCTGCCGCTGCTTGAGCTGCCGCTGCTTGAGCTGCCGCTGCTTGAGCTGCCGCTGCTTGAGCTCCCTCTCCTTGAGCCGCCGCAGCGGGATCACCACCAGCACCAGATCATATGCAAGGAAGGAACACTGCGCGCCGTCTCCACACGCTCCATACAAGAAGAAAGAGCGATACGCCGGCCCTATCCGACGAGGGATGTGGACTCGCTTGTTCCGCTCATCGTCGTGTAGTCGAAACCATCTTAGTGGTCGAATTATAGATCCGTGAGGACAAGCATTGAAAGAACTAAACATCCCAGCCAAGTACACCCAGTGGCGCTGGCGCGTCTCTACATCGTCTCTCGAGTCGATTCATGCCCAATGTAGTGCCATGCCCTCGACCGTTGCCGTTCTTTGCATTTCGCACATGAACTCCTCGTCATAATACAGATTTTTCCCGGAGATGAATCATGCAGGAACAAAAAAGTACTTAGCTTTCTACGGTGAAGCGGACTCGACCACAGCACGCATTTTTCTCCCATGATACGCTGAAATGTGTCTGTTGGTACACGGTAGGCAGAGAAAGGTACCGGCGGTCCAGGATTATTGTACCCACCTGGTCGATATTCCACCGCTGGTCCCGCCACTGGCGCCCCTCCAACGTTCGGTCGCTGTCTCTCCGATGTGGCCGGAGCCTATCAAGCTGGAACAAACCCACCTACCCCAACCACCGCAGCTGAGTTCGCCAGAAGCTGAACCCGTGGCTTTCCACCCTACTCGACGTCTCGTCCGAGAACCAACTTTTTTTCCATGCAATAAAACAACTTCATCTAAATCGCGTACCTCGCCAGAGTTTGTAGTTCAAATATGCGCTTGATAAACTTTCAGTTTCGTGACTCCGACACACGTTTTGCAAATGTAAGTGCTTTTTTTTCCGCGCCGGCAACTGAGTTGCCAAATTATTGCATTCAGTGGTCAAAGTCCGACGAAAAAGCTTGCCATGGGTGGTGGTGGATCTGTTTTCACAGCGATAAGGGAACTTGTGGTGGTTGGGCGCCGAGTAACTCTGCGGCCAAGTCATCAAAATTAGGCACTTCTTCTATCAATGGGTCTTGTTTTCGGCTGGGGGCAGGAGGCTCCAATGGACCATCTGCGGGAGGTGGGGGACCCGACTGCGGTGGCGAGCCTGCTCCAGCGCCGCCTGCTGTTACTGAGGCTGCCGAAGCCTGCGGCGGCAGTACCGGCGAATCTTGTTGGGCCAGTAGGAGACCCGGAGCCGTGGCTACTGCACCCGCCGCACCAGCTGCTCCGCCTGCTCCTGCAGGACCGCCAGCGCCGTCCAAGCTCGCAACCATCGCCGGTTGCGGCCTTCTTGCAACGGAAGCCTGCGGCGGCAGGTCGACCAACGAGCCTGCGGCGGCAGGTCGACCTCCCTGCTGCGGTTGAAGCTGAGAAGCCGAATCGGTGCCAGGTGGTAGAACGCTTCCCGCTCCAGGTCCTGCACTCGCGAGAGAAGTCGCCGGGGTCGCGGGTTCTGCCTGACCGGGAACACCTCCACCTGCCGCGGATGCCATACTCGCCAAAGATGGTCCAAGGTCGTCGTCGCTATCTGGCATGAAGGGTCCAACGCCACCTCCAACATCGCCAATTCGTCCACCTTCACCAAAGTCACTACCACTTCCCGGCTGCCTGTGCTGCGGTAACAAGGAAGTCGGAAAAAGCTCGATTACAGGAGCTGAGACTGCTTCGACCTGTGGCGCGAGCGGTCGCTGACCGGAACCTATCCTGAGTAAAAACATCCCCATGCCAGAGTCAAGATGGGAAATCTGCTAGACAAATTAGCCAGCTTTGGTTGTTTCGCATGACAAGTTTGTCCTCGTAGTGTAATCCTGTTGAGGTAGTTCAGAAGCATCACAGATCCAGCATATCATGCTGACTACATCACAAATTTCAAAACACGACTAGAAATAAGTGCTTCTCATGGGGCTCCGCATGAGAAACTTTTTTGGCATGCAGATTTGCATGAGAACTCTGGGGTGGGCACGTTTTTACACAGGATAGAACCTCCTCCACCTCCCCTGGGTCCCGCACCCGGGCCCGCCGGCATCACCGGCGTCCTTTCTCCCACTCCCCCTCCCGCGTAACTGGCGGGAGGGCGAGAAAGTGACGACGCGGCGCTTCCCGCAGCGGCCTGTGCAGACCCTGCATCCGCAGCCGATGCAACAGGTGCCGTATCAGGCCCCGCCGGCACCACCGGCGTCCTTTCTCCCACTCCCCCTCCCGCGTAACTGGCGGCAGGGCGAGAAAGTGACGACGCGGTGCCTCTTGCAGCGGTACTTGCAGATCCTGCACCCGCAGCCATCGCATCGCCGGCCCCAGAATGTGCTGGAGGTTGAGCCGATGCAGAAGGGTCCGGCGGTCCCAGAAAAAGATCTCCTCCATCGTCAAACCCTCCCAAACCCGCCTGGCCCCCACCACCAGACACAGTTCCCGCATCGCTGCTCAAGGTAGAGCGCCCTGCTGATCCCGGAACACTCGCCGAACCGGATTTAGAAACACCAGAAGCGTGGTCAGAATCAGAATCGCTCTCCTCCGGAATGGTGTCGAGGCGTGTTGTCCGCAAGCGGTCCTCGTCAGTGGGTCGCCCCATGCTTCCCGCGTCTCCACCAACAAGTCCGACTTGCGGAACAGGACGTCCGACAAAGGTGGCAGCGCTTGGCGCTGCAACGGTTGGAAGCAGAGGGGAGTCCGCAAAAGGTCCAAGCGGAATGTCGTGGGCCCAAATGGCGGGTTGACCCCGTGGACCCAGCAAGCCCGGTGCCTGTAGATCAGACTGCTGCGCCAGCCCCGGTCGTTGCCGTGGTGCTTCGTCCGCGGGCCCCCCTCCCATGTCCGAGGAACTGGGACCTGCAATAATAGAACCAGAAGGTGGTGACGCGGAAGCGCGTCCTGTCGCGGTACCTGCCGCCTCTGCACCTGCAGTCCTCGCATCCCCGGCCGCGGGGTGTAGCTCCGTCGGTGCAAAAGGTGCCGCAGCAGGTTCCGGCGGTACATCAAGGCCACCTCCAACGCCAAATCCCCCACCCCCGCCACTAAATAAAGTGCGGGGCGGACGTACTGTCTGGAAAGGGTCGCGGGCCCCTTGCATTTCTCCCGCGCCTCCGCCTCCAATTCCGACTTGCGGAACAGCACCTCCAAGAGAAGTTGCATCGGTCGGCGCTGCTAGACTTAGTGGACGAAGGGGGTCCGCAAAAGGTTCAAACTGCGACCGCGCGTTATGCGGATCGCCGTCACTTGCTGCCACGGCAGGTCGTTGTGAATCCAGGACGCCCGCTTGTTGGGGGTTCAACGCATCGGTCGGTGCGAGACCCGGTTCGAATTTCATGCCAGGGTACTGGTGTAAGTTGTTCGGAATAGATGCAGCAAACGGGTCCGCAGCGGGAAGAGCCGAAGGTCCTCCGTCTACTTGTTCTCGCGAAAGCGGATGCTGCCTCGAGTCTGCTGGCCCAACATCGCTCGCCGAACCGAGATGATCAGAAAGAACACCAGAAAGAACAGAAGGGGTCCGGCTCCCTCCCCCCAACGCACCGGGATGCACTGGCTCGAATGGCGACGCACCGGGAGGCTGCAGCAGTCCTCCCCCACCTCCGCCAGTTCCCATCCCGCCTTGCAAAGAACCTCCCCCAAAAGAGGACGCGCCGGCGCTCAGCTGTGTTGAAACGGGTGTTGGAGGAACGGAGCTCCCAAGAGATTCGCCGTCACTTGCTGCCATGGCGGCTTGGCCTCGTGGATCCAGCAAGCCCGCTGGCGGTAGACCCGATGGCCCCGGCTGCGCCAGCCCCGGTTGCAATGCCGCTTCACGGTAGTCGTGCAAGCTGTCCAGAGTAAACGGCCCCGCAACGGGAAGCATTGCAGTTCCTCCGCTTTGTTCTCCCGAAGGCTGCTGCGGCTGTCCGAGTGGCGAGTACAGGCTCTGTGCTGGGTCCGCAAGAGAACCGGGAAAACGACGCTCTCCGCCGTCATAGAAGGGCTCTTCTTGGGGGAGAACAAAGGGGGCAGTGGCAGCACCACCGAAAGCCGGTTCGCCGATGGCAGGATACGTCGGAGCCGCCGCACTTGAAGAGTACGACGCAGCTGCGGCCGGGTAAAATGGCGTAGCAGCAGCAGCGGGCGGATATGATCCCGCCGAAGAAATAAACGCCGGTGCGCTGCCCCCGCCTGCCGCAGAATAAGGCTCCGCGGCGGTCGCACGGTACCCTCCTCCTCCTCCCCCCGGAGGATAACTCCCCGTCCCCACGGCGCCAACAGCGGGTCCTCCTCCCGCGAACGCATTAACACCGGAGTCTCCGCTCAACCTGCCACCTCCAACAAAGGGTAGTTGCGCCGGAACTGCGGCCATTGGAGCTCCAGCGTGGGCAGCTGCCGGTTGTCGTGCGCCCGCTTGGGCAGCAGCTCCCACTTGTCGTGCTGCGCCCGCTTGTCCGCCGACTTGCGCTCCCGCCCCGGCAAGTTGTTGGCGTTCGTCCGAAGGAGTTGTCGCCTCGTTGTAGTAGTGGGAAGGCTATCCATTGCAAATATGTCTGGGTCTGGATGTGTCATGCTAGGCTCGCAACACTCGTAAGTCTGTCATGCGCGTTACCTTTGAGCCCTGTTTTTCTGTGATGCAGAAACGCAGTTTGCCATGCAGAAGAGGCAACACTTAGAAGCTCCGAAACTTGTCATGCTGAGCCACTACTTGCGGACTCCACATGCTACGTCACTACAGCAATACAAGTTTCCAGAAGCAGACCTATTTGCATTTCGTAAGCGCGGCGGCAGTTGGTGCCCGTAGTGTTCAAAGTGTGCCGCGACTGCCGCCCGGTGCGCGTCATCTACGTGCCGCAGATGCTCCGGTAGATTGTGGCCGGACATCACGGCGCGAATCGCCGCCTCTTGCGCTTCCCGTTCCGGGCTGCCCGGGGGATAGTCGTGGTTTCCCCCGGCGGCCTCCACGAGCCAAGCTTTAGGCTGGTACTTGCTGCCCGGTAGAGGGTAATGGTCCAGCCGGGTCCTCGCGCCGCTCGGAAGCTGGTGCTTTTCCCGCATTTTTGTCCTCTTGGCCACGAAAGAGGAGGCGGACGCACGTCCAGGACGAGACCCTGCAGCCTCATCGGTAGCACCGAGGACAGCTTCTCGCTCCTGCCGCTTGTGGTTGTGCAATCCTGCAGCAGGAGCAAGCTCTCGTCCGCCTTCCCGCCGCTGGTTCCGGAGGTATTCGACCGTATTTTTGCGACTCAGCTGTAAGTACACCTCGGGCGGATGCAACACGTCGTCGGCGGATTCATCGTCTTCAAAAATGTCGAGGGTTGGACGATGGTTGTGGTGTTGGTGAATATTAAAACCGTAGTTTTTCTCATCGACATCGTCCTCCTCATCATGTTGATCGGCGTTCAGATTCTTGTTCGTGATTTTGATGTTCTTGTTGTGTTCTAAATCTGTATTCGCCTGCTCCTGCTTCCTGACCCCGGCTGCGAATTTCACAAAATTGTTCCCGGAAAAGAACACGACAAACAGCTTGGAAAAGGAGCCCACCGCGGCGCAAGACGGAAGAAACCCCACACGACGTGTCGCCCGGGGGGAAGACCGGCCGCAGGTGGGGAACAGGGCAGCCATGATGTAACTTCTTGGTAGAAGCAGGATGAGAATCCAGTACTACACTGGAGCTTTTTATTGATTGGCCTTGTATATTAGCTGCAATTGGGTTGCAATTGCACGTTTGCTTGTTTGCAGTGGTTTGTTGTTGTTCACCTTCAGGATCGGAAGAGAATGTTGAACTTGAAAATCAATCAGGTCGCAATAATGTACGGTGAAGCGGGGCGTGAAAAAGTTTTGTCGGTTAGCGAAGTGTTTACTATGCTGGGAGTGGGAGCAAAAACTTCCTGTTTTTTTTTTCAACAATTATACGAGAAAAGTCATTTACGGCATTCGCCTTTTACAATACGGAAAATCTAAATTGTCTTGGTAGACAGCGCACGTACGAAAAGCGGAGGAAAGAAGTACTAGAGCATCTTCTTCATTGAACGAATACGATGTACCGAACAATTGTTCTTATACGCTTTGCAACACAACAGGCCAACAGGCGCACGAAAGAGACCGAAAAGAAGAAGCTGAGGCCAAGTACAGATTGCTATTTTCGAAAAAGTAGACCGACGAGTTGTATCAAGATCAACTTCTAAAAATCGCTCTATCAACTGTACGAAGGACTAGAGCGTCGTAGTCGTACTGACCGAAAGAAGCATAGACCACGATTGTGCAGCAAAGGACGAAAATTCGAAACTAGGACATGGAGCAAGACCGAGCGGAGATGACAACGCTTGTATTCAAGAAATACAACCGAATAGGAGCATAAAAGTACACCTCTCAAAAGAGCACCGAAAAAGAGAAGTCGTAAAAAAAAAACAAACATCCTGAACCGGCGACATTTCAAAATACCGAGGGGAGCATCGGAAACTACGCCAAGCCGTGTGTAGAAACGGCACGGGAGAGTGCATATGCACTAGTGCTTTGCGTGCTTGTTCACAAAAAAATGTCTTTTTTGAAGTGAGATGCAGCAGCTGATTCTACTGCATCTCCGTAGTTTCATTCCTGCACAAAAAAGCCGATCACTTTTCCCAGTTTAATTTCTTTTTCACCTCCTCTTGAAAGTCCGTCGGTAGAAAACTAAAGCAGAAACTCAAATGGCTTCGGCTCGCTTCCGTTTCTCGCATGGTGGATTCGAATTCCTTGGAAATTTCAAACACCTGTAGCAGCGGTTCCACTTCCACTTCTACTTCCCCCTCTTTGCTCTCCTCCTGCCCGTTGCCAGCTGAGGTCGCTGTGGTTTCTTTTTCTGCCATTTCGTCCGCCATTGTCATCAGAATCTGCAGAATGTCTTCCAGCAAATCCGGTTCGAGCTTGTGAAAAATCTTGCGGCTTTCCGACACCTTTATTGTCGTGGCCAGTAGCCGTACTTTCGCCTCCGTTCCCTTCGCTCGGTGCCACGCGGTTACAAATTCGCTCAGGCGCGTCAGTATGGATTGCAAAAATGTCTGGGTCTCGAAGGTTGGAACTTGTGATCCTAACTTTGGACTCTAAAAAATTCTGTATTGCATAAACAGCAAGAGGAGTCCGGTTTGTGCTACGCGTGGAGGGGATTTGTCATGCGGAATAGGCAGCAGGAAGGCCTCTAAACATCTGTGATGCTAGGGCTTCCATGGCAGACATTCTGTGTCATGCAAAAACAGCATAAACAAATTTCGGATTCTTCCAGACCCAGACATTTTTGCATTTCATAGTCAGCTTTTTCGCCTTGCTGCTTGTTCCGGCTTGCTTGTTGCCATCGGCGCCGGAGGGTATGGAAGTGGAAAATGGTCGAGAGTCTACCAACTGTACTAGTTGCTGCTTCTCTTTTTGCAATCGGAACAAGTGACTTTTGCAGAAACACAGAAAGAATTATTGCAGCAATGAAGCAGAAGATCGAGCAAGAGAAACTGTGCAACTAACTACACTGAGCAAGAAGGTATCAAATGTAAAAATGTCTGGGTCTGGAAGATTGTCATGCTAGTCTGGCATGACTCTGCACTCTGTATTGCGCGGCCACCAACAGGTCCCCTTGCCTGTCATGCAAAAGCGCAGTTTCTCATGCGAAATACGCATCACAGAAGCACGAAAAAACTTGTCATGCTTGGCGGCGCATTACAGAGCACTTATTGTTCACGGACTTGCATCACAAGTTTCCAGACCCAGACATTTTTGCAGTTCATAGAAGGAACAAAACCACCGATTTCCACAGTCCCATACATGCGGAGCTGCTGGAGGAAGTCTGCTTCAGTGCGGGGTCTGCGATTTCATTTTATCCATTCGATTTTCCTATCTACTACTTCTTCCTGCATGACAAACAACAGCACGAATGCAGAACTATGCATGCCAATAGACTACAGTTCGAAACAAGAACTACGAACTCCTAATATACCGCCCCCCTGCCTCCCGTACTTGTTGTGGTCGAGACACTTCGGCGGGGCCTGAAAGTCCCTCTTGTTGATCGGCTTCAGCGTGCAGCCCGCGACCAGCTGCTCGAATTGGTGGTAGGTGGGCGCTATGAACTGCAAAAGTATCCGATACTTGTATAAATGCATTACAAATTTCCTCCGCGTGAGAAATAAAATTTGTAATGCGGATTCACCTTAAGAACAAGATTTGTAATGCATGATTACAATACGAGTATCAGATGCTATTGCACAGGATAGGCGCCTGGTAAACGGCGCGCTTTTTCGCTTCGTCGACGGTGTCCCGCTTCCAATCTTCGTAAACGCCGGCGGTGACCTCGTTTTTGAACTGGTCAAAATTACTGGGATCGAATATCGTAAGAAAAAATCCCCCCTCCCCATATCGAAAAGGCCCGCCTCAGAGCATTTGTGATGCTTATTTGTGGCCACAAATCGCATCTGTCTTGCTCTTGCAAGAAAGCAACCGCATAGGCTGCGCCCCATTATGCAGGCGATTTGTAATGCTGTTGGGCCTACAGCGTAGACGTTCCTCATGCTAAGTGCCTAGGTCGTAACCTCTCTAGATCGGCATGATATGGGCCTGCACTCCTCTAGTGCAAGACAAATCTGATTTGTGTACTTACGCAAATCCAGCATCAGAAATTTCGTTTTGATGTGGGGAGGGGGGATTTTTCATTTTGATATCGAAAACCCCCTGGTCCGGCCGGAACGTCAACTTTTCCTGCTTCAGGATCGGCATCTTGGTCAGTTTCGCGGTGGTACAATAGGGCTCTTTGATATCCTCGGAGTATCTTTTTAATACAACAAGGGTTGTTGCTATCACCAAAGAAAAGGTAGATATTTTTTCTCTAATATCAGTTTTTGTTCCGCTTGCGCTTTGTCGAACGTTGTCTTCGTTGGCAAGAACCTCAACCTCAACAGTAGAATCAAACTCCCAACTCTACTCCTCGTTCTCTAAGCCAAGTTCGACCTACTAACTTTTCATCAAACACCTTCAAGAACTTTACATCGATATTAACTTTTTCTCGTGCAAACAGAATTAAAACCTGCTGGTGAAATGAATACGAAATCAACGACCGGCTAGAAAAGTCAGTTGAAACAAACACGGCGGGCAAGTGATCATGATCTGATCACTTGCCAACACGAGACGCGCCTTCTGCGCAGCTCCGGTAGACACTACAAGCTGCGTCATGTTCGTATGCGTTGGCGTTCTTGCATAACAACCAATCTAAACCGCATCAAACTGCGTCTGCCGGCAAGTGCAGTGTCACGACAAAACCAAAGTGTAAAAACTTCTCCGGTGGAGGTGATAACAGTTTGGTCCTGCGCACAACAAGAACTTCTAAACAATAAACGAGGAAATAAACAAAATCGAATAGGCCAAACGCAAACCAATTCGCAATTATACCTGCTGATGAATTATCTAACGCAAGAACTTGTTAAGCTTTTGTTGTTCCGATCAACGGAAGATAGCGTATAATTTGTTTGTTGTTTATTCAAGACGTGGCTCTTGAAAGTCTCGCTTTCTGCTCACGTGTTGTTAGAGCTACTTTAAGAAATACAAAGCAAGGAACTATCTAAAGGTACTTTTGGATGCAAAACGGACAGCTTTTCGTCCGATAAAAACAGTTCGCGTAGATGAAGAAGATAATATCGTCGCAGCTTTCGCAGTAGCACTCACATCTCCCCATCTGACAGCAGCACCTCGCCCTCTATCATATGCAAATATGTCTAGGTCTGGAACTTGTCATGCAGATTTTACATGGCCCGCGACGTCTGTGATGTATTCCGTAGCATCATAGATTTTTAGAGGGCTTTCTGATGCCTACTCTGCATGACAAATGCCCTCCCCGCGTAGCACAAACTAGACTCCTCTTGCTGGTCATGCAATACAGATTTTTTTAGAGTCCAAAGTTACCATCACAAGTTCCAACCTTCCAGACCCAGACATTTTTGCATTTGATACCCTCGCTCAAAGCGCAACTCTCCAAAACCCGCCGCTCTTCCTGTTTGAGTTTCTGCATGACAGATTTGTCTTCATCCTCCTCGGCCACAGTGGAAAGTAGTACTTCCCCGAGGCTTTGGTTGTTCTGCCGGTTCGTCTTCAAGCCCCCTTCGTCGTCGTCCTCTGGTCGTGCGGTTACTGGCGGTTTCTGCGAAGGAGGATGAAAGCCAACTTTCGAAGCAGCCTCGCTTTCGACAGGACGAGCAGTGTCGTTTTTATTCTCGTTGTTCTGGTCAACATCTGCTGCATGGGAAGTCGAAGCGGAAACTGACATTTCGTCCTCCGCGTCAAAGGCCGCTCGGGCGGGGAAGAACGAGTTACTATTTAATATTCCGTATCTTGCTTTGTAGTGGTCAAAGACGAAACTTTGCGGATTCTGCTTTGCCTGCAGCTCCTTGTCACCGTACCTAGAGTTTTTTGTATAGGTGAAGTGAAGAATTTGCATTGCAGAAACACATTTTAAGTAGGTCATAATTGATGTTCCGTCTCGATTACAAAAAAAAAACCTTCAAGAATACATCAGAAAAGTACAGTAGCAACTCTGCAAATCGTCTCGTTTTCGCCTCGCTGTCCCGCTTGTCCCGCTGTTTCAGTTCCTGCTTGCTTTCCAAAAACTCGGTTTGTTTCTTCAGTTCTGAAGTTAGTGTTTCTTTTAACTCCTTTCTCAAATTCAGCACCACCGCGGTCAGTTCCTCCTTCATGGTGACCTTCAAATCCGTGGTTTTGTTCGAAAAATCCCGCTCCAATTTTTCGATCACAGAGTCAATTTTCAACTCGTAATTCTTCTGCTGCTCCAGCGTCTCATGGTACTGGGTCATGAGGACGTCTCGGTAAGGAGGAGGAGGGGGGTCTTCACTTTTGTCCTGTTGCGTCGCGAGTAGATGATCGCGTGTGGTGGAGGAAAAAAACGGAGGTGGCGGTAGAGTGACCTCTGCCTGCTGCTGCTTTTCTGAAACAGTGCGAGTTTCTGTACTAGTCCCGCCTGAGGCGACAGCTGCTGCTGGCGCATCAGAAATCTCTCCACCGCCCAGCTGCACAGGAGCCGGCGCAGCTCCCTCCACCTCCATGCTGGCAGAACCTGACTCTTGCGCCACAGAAACATTACCGGGCTTGTTGCTACTCTTGATGATGCTAGAGGGAAGATCACCAATGCTGTCGGTCCGGAACGTTTCTTCTGTCAGCACCTGTTGCAAAACTTCCCGGAACAAATCTCTTTGCTCCGCTGCTGAAAGAGACCGGGTCTGCCCTATTACAGTGAAAAATGCCCCCTCCCCATATCAAAACGTAAATCTGCGATGCAGATTTGTGGCCACAAATCAGCTTTGTGATGCTAGAGGGCAAAAGATGCGGACTGTAGCGCTGTCTAGCGTGGGAAAGCCTTGCAGCTCCAGGATGACAGGAGGCAGCTGGAAGTGGGAAACCGCATGACAGATCATCTGCAATTTAGGCCGCAGCTTCGTCTCTTGGCCTTCTAGCAATACAAGTCGATTTGTGTACTCAAATGCAGCATCACAAATTCGCGCATCTTCCGTTTCCGATATGGGGTGGGGGCTTTTTTCACTTTGATATGCCCGTCCTTTTCTTCCGGGGATTGTTGTGCAGTCTGCGCCTTGATACCCTGCTCCTGCTTCGCAACAGCATCGATTTCGTTCCAGATCTCCGCGGGCTGCGGCGCTTTTGTCATGATCCCTTTCCTTTTCGAATTCATCGGAGTTGTAGATTTATTCTCGTGGTTCAGACACTCTAACAGCTTCAACTCCGTCACGTAAACGCCGTGCGAGGTGTTCGAAATCACCGGCGGCGCGGAACCCGCTGCGGAGGTTGTCGTGGGGCGAGAATCTGTAGATCATGATTTATTTTTGAGCGATGTTTCTGCTTGTCGCAAATCATATTTCTTCAGAAGGTGCAACTGGTTGTATACGAACACAAAAAAACATCATAGCAGATTATTCAAAAGTGCATTTCAATACCTTGATAGTAGCCACCTGTAGCACCATTCCTGTCCACGAACTTCTGCACGAACGGTAGCACCGGCGCATGCTGCTGTGGCTGCTGCTGCTGTGGCAGAGCAAAGTTCGGTGAAGCAACCGCCCCGGCTTCTGCTGCAGAATCCATCCCGTAGAAATACCCGCCGTAAAAATCTGTCTGCACAGAATCCTGGGCACTATCCCGGCCCCGCGGGGGGGCCACGTCCGGCGATCGCCGCGCATCATTATTCAAGTTTCGCGCCACGCCCGGCCCTCGTCCCGCATATTGTCGCGACGGGCTAGCAGAACTACTACTCGTACCCACTGCGCGAGCTGCTCCTGCATCGCCTGCAAGCTGTGCTTGCTGCTGCCCCCGGAATAATGGTCCTCCTCTTCCGCCCGGACTGAAACTCCGGCTTTTCGTTTCCGAATACTGCGTCGCCGCGCGGAGCATCTCCCTGGTCTCCCCCACATCGGCGTCGGCGATGTTGTACTTTTTCTTCAATTTGGACGCAAAATTGTTGTATTCCTGTTCTTTATGCATTGCAAAAGTATCGTACTAGTATAGATTGCATCACAAATTTTTTCAAAAAGAAAAATAGAATTTGTAATGCTGATTCACCTAAAAATGGATATTTGTCATGCATGATAGCAATTACTACGAGTACGATACTTTTGCACAGGATATTCTTTGAACTGCAGCAAAAGCTCTTCCGGGGTGGAATACTCGGTGGCGACACTGCTTTGCTGCATCTTTTCCTGCTGCGGTAAGAACCCAGAAGGACTGGCGGGTGTAAAAGAAGTTCCGCTCACCCTGCTGCTCCTTGCGCTGCCTTTCGCCGCGGCATGCTGTTGACCCCCTATGTGTGCAGCCGAGGTCGGCGGTGACCAAGCGGTTATCGACGCGACGCTCTTGCTATCCGATTTCGCAGACTGTGGCGGGCTGGAGAAGTAGTAGTAATTGTTGCGTGTTTTGTTCTGCTCTTCATTCAATTTCTCTGGCGGACTACTGGACGCTGCGCTGGCGAACCCGGCGATGTTATCAAAAGGAAAAACTCCCCCTCCCCATATTAAAACGGAAATCTGTGATGCAGATTTGTTGTCACAAATCAGCTTTGTCATGCTACACGGGAAAAGATGCGGACTGTAGTGCTGGGTGGCGTGGGGAAGCCTTGCATCTTCAGCATGATAGGAGGCAGCTGAAAGTGGGAAACAGCATGACAAATTGCCTGCAAACGAGGCCACGACTGCGGCTCTTGGCCTTCTAGCATGACAAATCGATTTGTGACCTCAAATACAGCATCACAAATTTCGTTTTCGATATGGGGAGGGGGGATTTTTCCTTTCGATAGATGTCGTAATTCTCCTGGTCGTCGAGAAAGTTTTGGTTTTTGTTCAGAGGTATGAACTGCAAATATGTCTGGCTCTGGGAGATTCCGAGCCTTGTCATGCAGATTTTCCATGATCCATGTCGTCTGGAATTCAGCACCTAGCACGACAGATTCTCTGAGATCCCTACCATGCCTATCCTGCATGAGAAACTCCCTGTCAACTTGATCGAAAGTGGACGTCTTTTGGCACTCATGCAACACAGAATCTTGCATGCTTCAGACTTAGCATGACAAGTTGCAACCTTCCAGATCCAGACCCAGACATATTTGCAATCCATAAGAGACTGAAGCACCGTGGTCAAAGGTGACCGGGGCCGCTTGTTCGTGTTGTTATAGCCTTTGTTCAGCATTTCATGTCGTGGACTGCTGTTAAAACTGCTGTTAATTGCCGCGGTGCTCGCAGTATGCATTGCAAATGTGTCTGGGTCTGGAAGATTGCTATAGCAGACTTGTGACGGCGCAGGTCTTGCATGACCCATACCGTCTGGCAAACAGGACCTAGCATGACAGATTCTGTTTTTACATCTCTATCATACCTCTCCTGCATGACAAACTGCCTCTCAACTTGGGCAAAAATACACACCGTTTGGCAATCATGCAACACAGATTCTTGCACCATTCTAGACTTACCATGACAAGTTGCAGTGTTCAGGACCTTCTAGACATATTTGCACTTGATACGCATAGGCAGCTTGCTTCACTTTCCCAGAAGAAAACACTTCTTCCAGCTCCTGCATTCGTCTTCTCGCTTGTTCGATTTTCTTCACTTGCTCCTCTTTGGACAAAAGCTTGCTCGCGAAATCATTTTTAGCGGTCTTCTTGTTGCTTTTCCCAAATTTCAAATTGTTGTTACTCCTGCCCTTCTTGTTCGCATTCAGCACTTCCTGCAGCGCCTCCTGGGCTATTAAGAGGAAACATCCCCCCTCCCCATATCGAAAAGGTATGCTTGCGAAAATTTGTGTTGCTGATTTGAGACCACTAATCACGTCTGTCTTGCAAGAAGGCAACTCCACAAGCTCCGCAGCATTGTGCAGGCGGTTTGTGATGCTCATGGGCCTACATCACGGACTTTTCTCATGCTAGACCCCTAGGCCAAAACCTCTCTACTTAGGCTTAGTATGGGCCTGCATTCCTCTCCAGCAACACAAATCTGACTTGTGTACGCAAATCCTGCATCAGAAACTTCGTTTGGATATGGGGAGAGGGGATTTTTCCTTCTGATATGCGCTTTCTTCGCTTCGAGCCTCAGTTTTTCCAATTCCATTTCCCGTTTTTCGTTTTCAATCTTCTCCCGTTCCTCCACCAACTGCGCAAGCATGGTTTCCTCTTTCGCCTCTTCACAGATCAGCTCGCCCTATCAACTGCAAATATGTCTGGGTCATCTGGAAGATTTCTCATGCAAGTCTGGTATGACTCTGAGCTCTGTATTGCGTAGCCGCAAAGACGAGCTCCTCCTTTATGTCTTGCAAAAACGTAGTTTCTCATGCGGAGTACGCAACTCAGAACCACGGAAAAACTTGTCATGCTGTGCAACGCATTACAGTGTGCTCACTATTTTCCCCGTGCTTGCATCACAAGTTTCCAGACATCCACGGGAGATATTTGCATTTGATACGCCCTCGGTCGTGTTCAGCAGCAAGTCGTCATTGTCGTATTCGTCGGGCTCTTTTCTGTCAAAGCTGAAGGGTTATCCTGAGTAAAAACGTACCCACACCAGAGTCAGGATGGGGAATCTGCTAGACAAATCAGCCAGCTTTGGTTGTTTGGCATGACAAGTTTGTCCGCGTAGTGTAGTGCTGTTTGAGCTAGTTTAGCAGCATTACAGATCTAGTATCTCGTGCTGATTGGAGCATGACAAATTTCAAAACCACACTAGAAAATGCTTCTCATGGGGCTCCGCATGAGAAACATTTTAAGCATGCAGAGTTGCATGACAACTATGGTGTGGGTACGTATTTACTCAGGATAAGGGCTTCGGCTTAGTCACCGGGGCGGGTTGGATGTTTGGGTTGTCGGTGTTGGGCGGGACAAGATTTGGATGCAGCTTGTCCCGTATTCTCGTCGCCATGTTGTTTCGGCGGGCAGTGGAGCTGTTGTTATTCGAGCTGGATTGTAGTTTGCCAGCAGTCTGTCTTGCGGGTGCTGCTGGGGCAATTTTTCCACCACCAATATTCGCCATGTCCTCCCTCCGGATGATTTCCGTTCGCGTTTCCTGCTTCAGATGCGCGGGCTTGGTTGTGGACATCACGACATTGGTACTGTTTGATGTAGTTCCGACACCACCAACATTACCGCCGCCGCGTGGAGTTGTACGTGAGTTCGAATTTGTATTGGCACTACCAACTCCATGCGACGAGGACGATTTCAGCACCGTTTTGTTGTAATTCCGCTGCACGATTTCCGGATCATTTTGCACCGAATGTTGGAAGTTCGTCTCTGCGAAATTCGGTAAATCAACCCCGGTTGTAACAGCTCTACTCTGATGTCCGCCTCCTCGTTGTTCCCGTCTTGACGTCGAAGACGAGCTCCCGCCGATTTGTTCTTTCTGCGCGCCCAAAATTTTTTCCCTGTTCAATTCATACCGCATCCGCCGGTCTTCTACGCGTTCTAGGAGGTCGGGTGAGGTGGAGGTAGTCCCCGCGGCCGACGTGGAGGTTTTCGTGCGTTTTTTCATTGCACCACTAGCACCCTGCGTCGCTGTTCCAGAGCCGGAACCTACACCGCCGTTCTTATTCCCAGCGCTAGAAGCGGAGGACGATGATGTCCAGGTTAAACATTCCTTCGTGTATGAACTGCAAAAGTATCGTACTAGTTCTAGTATAAATTGCATTACAAATTCACTTAGCATTACAAATCAAATTTGTAATGCGGATTTGCATAAATGCAATTAGTACGAGTACGATACTTTTGCACAGGATATCGTGTTTAACTTCCCGATTTCCGATTTCAAATTCTGGTAAAACGTCAGCCTCTCCGGATTTGCGGAAGCGGTTGCGGTGGAAGCACTTTTGTCACTTGTCATGCCAACGCCAGCTGTGAAGTTCGTTGGGTCTTTATCGCATCTATCCTGTGCAAAAGTGGTACAGCACTCGTAGTATTGCAATACGAATTCGCTCAACACGACATAAGAAACTTGTCGTGCTGGTTTGCAAAATTGCGAATACTACGAGTACGATATTTTTGCACATGATAGCGTCCGCCGCTCGCCGTGCTTTCATACGACATCACGCTGGCTTTCGAGGATTTTGCGGAGTAAAAACTGAAAACATTCTGACCTGCAGCAGTTCCTGTTCCTTCGTCCCGCTGACCCCGCTCCTCGTCCTTCGTCTCCGCGTGGTCGGTGTCGAACAGATTCGTGGTGTTGAGATTGTTGTTGCGATAATTCTCATCTCCGTGACGATCCTGTTCCCTCGTCGTTGATTCCTTCGAACTTGGAAAAAGTCTGGACGCGAGGGACTCGAATACCGTGTTCTCTAGGAACGGCTTTTTCGAGTCAGAAGCGGATGCTGTTGTTGTGTCTAGTCCACCTTTATTCATTCCTGCGTGTTGTGACGAATTCTGATTTTTCTCCCTTTGCTTGTCGCTCACCTCCTTCCGAAACTGGCTGCTCCCATCGGCCATCTGCTTCTGAACGATTTTTTGGGATTCTTTACTCAAACCGGATTTTGGTGCGGGGATCAGGGACGGCTTGTTCGCAGACGCAGCGCTGTGCCCTCTCCCATGCGATCCGTGCGAAGATCCCGGTCTTGACGAAGAGGACGCATATTTGCCTTGCTTTATTCCGGACGACGGTCGTGAGCTTGCGGATGCACCTGAATTCACTTGTTTTTCGCTGACACAGCATATGGAATAATTCGTGCTGCACTTACTATGCAGAAAAACCTCCCCAATGATAGATTGTGACTTCGACGCCAAAATTTAGATTTTCCCACTTCCGAAACCCTAATGCAAAAATCCTTCCTACCTCGCCCATGTCTGCTGCCCTGCAGGTGCTCCCCACCGGTTCTGCCAGCACTACTCACAGCTGCGTCGAGGGTCGCCAAATTTTTCGGCTCGGAATTGGCTCCACCTCCATTCTATGAAATGCAAAAGCAGCGTACTAGTAGAAATCGCATTACAAATTTTCTCACCAATAGAAATGGAATTTGTAATGCGGAATTACCTTGATAAAAAAATTTGTAATGCATGAATGCAATCACTACGAGTACGATACTTTTGCACAGCATACATTCGCCCCCGCGATCTTCGACATGAGATGCCCGAGCTCCTCCTTCGAATTGGCGACTTGCTCGGCGAGTTCCCGTTTGGAATTTTCTAATTCCACCTTCACCTCCTCGTGCACTATGGAAGCGTCAGGTTTGAAATCGTCAAAGTTGAAATAATTTGTAATGCATAAAATGCGTGACCTGAGGCACGTGTGTTGCAGAGCAGGCAAGTGAGGCCGATTGTAAGCCTGTTTGGGGTTACATCTCGAGCTGCTAAAGTAGCATAAGAAAATCGCTCTTCTTTGCCTAAACAGCATGACAAAGTGGATTTAGGGACCACCGAAATTTGTCTTGCGCCGCTTACAAATTGGGTCACAATCTTTCATCCATTTTATGCATGACAAATTATTTCAACTTTGGCGATTTCAAACCTGACGCTTCCATATGCACTTGGCTGTTATTAAACGCGTTCATGATCAGCTCCTGGCGGTGAAAGTGACCTTTCTGCGGATCGTTCGCACCAGGACCCAAGCTTGTCAAATCAGTTTCTACTGCGCCATTATACCCCGCTGGTGCTGATGTCAACATCTGCGAATTACAACTATACGGGTTGTAGTTTGATGGACCACCAGAGGATGCAGCTCCTGCTCGTCCGCTCGCAGTACTATTCTTATTCGAATTACTGATCACCGCCCCCGCGGTGTATTGCATGGCCTGGGCAACTTGCTGCAGCGTCTCCGTCAATCTCCGCTGTTGCTCGTTCTGCAAGCTGATTTGCCCCTCCAGCAACCGCGCTTGCCGCTCCAGGTAGAGTCTTTGCCACATGCCTTCGAACACCTGAGGCTTATGGATCTGTCAGATTCGAAATCGACAAAGTTGAAATAATTTCTGATGCATAAATTGCAAGGCATGAAGTGCCTCTCTTGCAGGGATGGCAAGCGAAACCGACTGTAGGCCTGTTTGGGGTCTGCGATAGAGCTGCTAAAGTAGCATGACAAAAGACGCCCTCTGTCCCTCAACAGCATGACAGACTCGATTTAGACAGTGCCGAAATTTGTCATGCGCCGCTTGGAAATTGGGTTTCCAACTGGTATCGATTTCATGCATTACAAGTTCTTTCAACTTTGTCGATTTCGATCCTGACACATCCATAAGGGTTTTCCTTTGCGTACTGCTGCGCGTCGGAGGCGAAGGAACCTGCATTTTTGTATGCTGAGTACATGTTGTTCTACTCCCAAAGAACGCATGCGAAATGAGGTTTGCAATGTGAGATCATATCGCATGACAAAAAGCGCCCAGTAAGAAGATCTTCCCATTTATCTTCTATACCTTCCACATCTTCGTCGAAAAGGACCCGGGTCGTGTTATTTTTCAATTCGTCCTCGGGCGTTTTCGATACCATCACATCGTCGTCGTCCTTCGTGACGATCAAGGGGTCGCCCGCCTCGATGATCGGCACCTGCTCCGTGTCGAGCTCAATCATGGATTCTTTACTGATCTTCAACATTTTTGGTATTGTGCTTATGGCGGGTACAGGGCGGGACTGAGAACTTCTTCTACCGATGCGATGGGTTAATAATAGCGCGAATTCGACTATACATATGGAAGTTTCCAACTTCTTCCGTACGTGCGTGCTCCTTGCAAACAAGCAGCGCAGAAACGCGGTAGGTGAATAAGAGACACTACACAAACTGAAGCGCTTTCTGTTGCAAACTTCAGTCTTCACTCACGTCGAACAAATTTTGTCGGCTTCTTTGAGAGAAAGAGAGCAAGTCCTTCCGGTCACACAAGAAAACGGCAGCTTTGCTCATCTCACATCAAAACTTCTTTTGATGCTAGAACACAAACGACGAGTAGGACCACCACGGGAAAACTGTTTTGTACGAAGATTTCAGGGTGGTCGTGAATACAGGCACATAGTAATCATATTGACCACTGTGCCGACGAAATGAAAGCTGAGCGGGTGCAGAAACGCCAATAATGTAAAAAGAAGCTTTGCTTGTTTTGAATATAGACGTTGCAAAAGTTGTATCTTCGAGAACTTCCGTTCATTATTCGTCACCTTTTCGGCTGCTGTGGACTACTACTACTGCTATTTTTCGTGCTTCTATTGGAGGTTGCACTAGGTTTCTGGTACGGCCCCGCACTGGCAGCACTCGAACTACTTACTCCCGCAGCGGAGGTGCCCGCTGAGTTCCTGTTCTCAATGCACCCATCGAGCGATATCGCTTCCAGGATCCTTACCCTTGTGTCCTGCTGGTACGCAACAGCCGCGGTGTTCGTACTGAAATCCGGGGCAACCATCGTGTCCTGCATGGTTACATCGGCCGGAGGCTCATCGTTCTCGTTCAGATTTATCTCGTCCACCCGATTTGCCTTCTCCGCAGATGACGTCGTCGGAGAGGACGAACTCACAACAGACCGCTTCCCGTCGTCGCTGCCGAGCGCGAAGGAAGACAAAGTGGACAGCTGCGCGATGGAATTCTTATCCTCGTCTTCCGCGACAAGCGAAACCGAATCCGCGTTGGAGTTCGTTCTCGGCGGCTGACTCAGAGTGGTGACGGAGGAGGAGGAACTCGGAGAAGTTCTCGCGTTATTTGTACTGCTAATACCTTTAGTACCTGGGGAAGAACGACTCGGGCTTCCTCTCGGGTTCGAAGAGGTGGAAGCTTGTGCAGCAGCAGCGGTTCCGGGGACTACCAGCAATTCCGCAACGGATTCCGCGCCGGGCGGGGGCTGGTACCGCGGGACGTGTTCGGAGGTGGAGCATGTTGAACCTTCCGGGTTATCTGATGTCAGTCTCAAATCACCACTACTGCTACCATTGCTCTCGTCCCGGTCCGCCCCTCGGGTCACCTTGCAGTGAATAAAAACCACCCCGAACAGGCCGATCACGCACAAAACCGTGAAAAACAATTGGCTCATGAAGTAATTGTTTCCCGTCGCGTCCACCAAGTGTCCGTACACGATATTTCCGAAAAACAGCCACAGGGACTGCTGCATGTAGCACCCCCCCACGTGCAAAACTTCCAAATCCTTGTTTTTGCACACGTGGGGCACCAGGGTCCAGAGCGGCACGACGCAGCAGCCGAAACCAATGCCGAGAATCACGCAGCAGACCCACGGCGGAATTTGGAGAAGCGCGTTGTGGATGGAGGAGGTCGTGAGGGTTGAGTTTGTTTGGAAGGAACTCAACATTGTTGTCCCAAAAAAGCTGCTGCTGGTACTGCCACTGCTGTTTTCAACATTATCCTCGAAGAAGTTGTTATTTGTCCAGGAGACGTCGGCGCTATTGTACTGAAACGCAGCAGAATCGTTGTACTCTGTGTCGTAGGCCTTCAAAGTGATCAGGCCCTGACCGATGAAGAGCAGCACGAACGCGAAGCAAGCAAACCGGATCAAGCGTTGAAAAGTGTGGAGCAGCGGGGCCAGGAAGAGGGAGACAACGGAGATTCCGGGAATCAGCGCGATCGCGGAACCGGCGACGCTGTTTGGTTTTTCGTTTGGTGTTTTTGCATGACAGATTCTACTTTCGTGCTTGCTTTCTTGCATGACAAACTAGTTTTGGACAACTGACAACCAAAATAGTAGATTTTACCTCTCCGACACCCCCGCGACCCTTTGCAACGTCAGACAGCCGTTGTACTCGAAAACGAACACCACTGTGTATAGCAGCCCGATTAGCGCTTGGTGGATGAAACACAAGGCGGTCAAATCTTTCAGCCCCGGCTTGCCATTCCCGTCACTGCCATACTTCCCGCCGCCCCCGCTCGCGGCTAGCAGCGGCCGGATCTTTCGGGAAATCTCCGTCCCGCTATACAGGTACGCGAAGGACAGGTAGCAGCACCCGGACACGCAGACGAAGACGAAGGAAAATTTCATATCCTGAGTAAAAATGTCCCCACACCAGAGTCAAACTGGGAAATCCGCTAGACAAATCAACCAGCTTTGGTTGTTTCGCATGACAAATTTGTCCTCGTAGTGTAGTCCTGTTCTAGGTAGGTCAGCAGCATCACAGATCTAGCATGTAATGCTGATTGTAGCATCATAACTTCCGAAACACGACTAGAAAATGCTTCACATGGGGCTCCGCATGAGAAACTTTTTTGGTATGCAGATTTGCATGACAAATCTGGGGTGGGGGCATTTTTCCTCGCGATATTTCAGCGCCTTCAAAAACGCCGGGTTGTTGGTGTGTATGTCCGCATCTGGGTCGGCGAAGTACTGCTTCAAAGGGTCGGCCAAGATGTAGCCCATGGTCCCGCCGATCCGGCACGCCGCCAACACTCCCGCCTGCGCGATCGCGGCGTACTTTTTGCTGAAGAGCAGAAACACGACCACCACCTGCACCACCCCGGTGGTGCAAATCCCCGCCCAGAACAGGACCCGGCCGAGGATGGAGAGGAAGTACACCTCATACTGGATGGCGGCGATTAGTAGGAAGGACCCGAGACAGACCATGGACCCGAAGAGGAGACAGGATTTCGAAATGCCCCAGTTCCGCACGAGAAACCCCGCCGGGCCGGAGAGCACCGCGGAAAGCGAGCCCGTGGCGAGATATCAAAATGAAAAATCCCCCCTCCCCATATCAAAACGGAAATTTGTGATGCTGATTTTTTTTTTTTTTATGGCGGCAGTTTGTTTTGGCTACTAAACTTGCGATGAATCTCATTCCTAGTTTTCATTTTGACCTTAATGCTGCCGCGGTGCTCACGTCGACCGATATGCAAACAGGTGCCGAGGCCTGTTTGCATGCGATCTAGTGAAGGTATATTGGGCGTTCCCGTCTGCCTTACCACGTCGCCCGGGCTTGCAGGGTTGGGATTTTCCTGCCGGATGTTCAACGACATCTACGTGGCTAGTCATGATCCCTCTCCCTGTTGCGACCTGCTTTTTTGTTTGGTTGAAAAAATCCAAAAAATGCAAGGTTGAAAAAAAAACAAAGGCCGCGGTCTGTATTTGTTGAAAGATAGGAGGGAAACCCACCACGTAAGCAGGAGAAAATTTGGGCACGAGAGAAACAGAGCATGTACTAGGGCTGGGATTATGAAGCGGAGGCCATTAGACTACGAGGGCAAATATGTAATGGGCCAGACGATGAGAAAAGCGACAAACTTACTTAGGGGCTCACTAGCTAGCAAGGGCGCGAGGGGCTATCAATCGCAAGTAAAGCGGCCTAGGGAGAAAATGCTTAAGACTCGACAAAAGCCAAAGGAATCATCAACGATGCGAAAAAAGCGAAAAAACAACAGAGAATCAGAGGCGCAGGCTAGAGGAAGAAAAAACGCTTAACGGTCTCTCAGGAACAAGAGGAAAATCGTAGCCAAAAAACCAGAAGAGATTCTTTCAGTTAAGGGGAAAAAAAAAAGAGGATAGGACGCGAGTTGTCATGCAAATTTGCTGCAATGACAAGAACATCTGCGATGCGCATCCCCCGGATAGGCATTTGCAATCGTGTTTGGGGATTTGTGCTGCTGTAAACACGATCAGGACATGAATTTGTAATGCGGCTGGTGTTAATTTGTAGTTCTATCCGTGGATGAAACAACATACAAACCTGAAAGACATCACAACAATTTAGATGCTGATTGTGTGGTCACAAATCATCTTTGTCTTGTATATAGGATCATAGGAGCCATTTGACGCATTCCAGAGCAAGTCTGTCATGCGCTTTCGACTACTGCAAGCCTGTTTGTCATGCGCAATTGCTAGCCTTCTGCATACCCAAACAAGCTGAGAAAATGCCGCCAAGCACTTTCTGCAAGACAGATCTGATTTGTGTACGCAAATCCAGCATGAGAAACTTCGTTTCGATATGGGGAGGGGGGATTTTTCCTCTCAATACGAGGATGAGGGAGTACTTGGTGTTGTTGATGTTCATCGCGAGCTGCAAATCCTCCTTGTATGGGGGTGTCAGGATTGAAATCGACAAATTTGAAATGATTTGTCATGCATAAAATCGATACCAGTTGGAAGCACAATTTCGAAGCGGTGCATGAGAAATTTCGGCACCGTCTAAATCCAGTTTGTCATGCTGTTTAGGCACAGAAGGCGTCTTTTGTCATGCTACTTTAGCAGCTCTATCGCAGACCCCAAACAGGCTTACGATCCGCCTCACTTGCCATCCCGGCAAGACAGGCACTTCATGCCTTGCATTTTATTCATCGCAAACTCTTTCAACTTTGACGATTTCAAACCTGACACATCCATACCTTGTACGCACCAAATAAGCTGTCGAAGAAATACGGGCCGGGAATGAAGCAACAAACCAGCACGTGGACGATCAGCAAGTGGCAGGTTCTCCTCGGATCCACCAGGTACTTCATCCACCGGTCTAAACAGGTCCTACCGGGTCGCGACGAGGAGCTCGACGGGCTGGTGCTGGAGGAGTTCTGCTCTTCATGATTGCCCCGCGACCCCTGCTGGTCGTAGTTGTTGTCCGCTCCTCCTGCTCCTCTTGTTCCGATATTAAGGAGGTTGCTGGAAGAGGAATTCCTTGAACTGGCCGGCGAATTGTCTCTACTACTCGTTGCTGCGAAAGTATCGAACGCGTGGCCCGCATTTTCGTTCGTGCCGTCGAGGGCGGGCAAGGCGATGGAGAGCACGGGTTCGGACCCCGCGGTCCGGATCCACTCTTGCTTGGTCTTTTGCACGTAGAGTTCCGGATTATTACTTACTCGGCTGGGCGGTCGCTGCTGCTGTTGTTGTGAGGCAGCATGGTCAGATGGATTCAGCAGCGGGCGGTCGCGCCGATTGTTCCCGGCGGACGGCGAGGACGGCCTGCGCGGGCCCTGCTGTCTGCGCTGGTTCTGGCTCGGTTGCGAAGAACGCATGGGATAGAGAGTTTTGGTGGATCGAGTTTAGTCATAAGCTAAAGAAACACTACTAGCGCAGCGGTAGCGAATATAGACGGGGTGTGGGAAATTAGTTCATGAGGCTGCTGATCATTTTTCAGATTTTGTTGTGTTCACTTCGTCACTTCCAGTGCTGGCGTTGGGTTCTTGACATAGAAGCTCTCAACCTATCTACTACAAACTCTGTGGCAGAACAATCTCGACAGTGGGCCAGGAGTATGACACACAGCGGCGAATGCTTTTACGTCATCTGTGGAAGCCCGACCGACCTCAAGGCCGCGTAGCTGCGCTGCGACGGCCCGAGCGCCCCGCCGCGCGCCGCGGTGCTATTCGGGGGGCCCACTGCCTTGGCGCAACGGGAGCAAAAGCCGCGCCGAACCGGCTGGCGGGCGGCGCAGCTTCAAGCATTGGCGGCGGGGCCGTGGGGTTTGCTTGGAACCGCAACCGGGCGCCATTGCCGGCGGAGGTTTTCCGCCGGGCGGCGGGGGGCCATCGCGCAGGCGGGCGGCAGCGAAGCAGGCCGCGCCCTCCGAAGTAAAGCGGGCCGGGCCGGCTAGGGGCCGGCAGGCCCCCTGCGCGCGCCTGCCCCGGCTGGGAACTCCGAGACGCCCCCGCCCCCCTCGGCATTCCCGCAGGCGGTCTGCGCGCGAAAGCCTTCGGCCCGCCGCTGGCCCGCAATGACCGCGGGAAGCTTCTTAGCCGCGCGCACTGCACGCGCGGCCGGGCGTTTGCAATCGAGGCCCGCAGCGTGGCGCCTTCGTTCTCCTTATCCCGCAGCATTTTGGACGGCGAGCATCGCGCGGCTCGGTACTTTCGTGAACTGTCGCCCGGATGGCCTTCGAACCTGGGCCCGGGATCCAGGGAGGCCGCCAAACTGGAAACCAAGCGCCGGGAAAGGGGAAAGCGTAGGCAAAGCCCCGCCGATCTTTTCGAAGGCCCTCCGGGAGCCCTCCGCCGCGCGAGGCGTACCGCGGGAAATGCGAAGGCTGCGGCGCGCTAAGTCGCCAAGAACATCCGCGGGCCCGTATATATAAGGCGCCGGCCACCATTACTGCCACACGGCCGCCCAAGAAACAGGCGGCCTGGCCGGCCGGGCTTTGAAAGATTCGCGCCCTGAAACCCCCAGCGCGTCCCCGCGCGACGGGGCCGGCTGCCGAGCTTCCCCGGGCAGGCCGCTGCCCTTTTCCTCGCGCACCGGCCCCGCCGCTTTCTGTGCCTGCGGCGCCCCTGTTTGCGCGGCAAAAAGGAGAAGGGCAACGGGCGCCACGGCTTCTGTTCGGCGGGGACGCCCGGCAAGGGCGGCGCTGCCAAGATTGGCCGCCTGCGGTCTTGGGGTAGTTCTTCGCGCTTTCGTCGGGGTTGTACAAAATGCCGGAAATCTGCGGCCCCCCCCCCCGAATTGCGCCAGCTTATGCGCCCGCTGGGCCTGCGCCTTTTCTTCGGTCTGCGCTGCCTTTCCCTCGGTCTGCGTCAGGCCCTCAGTCTTCTGGGCCTGCGCCTCGCGGCCCGGCCGTCGCTTCTGCGACGGGCAACCCCCGCGGCGCCGGGCGCCGCCGCCTATGTTTCTTCGGCGTCTCAGCTTTGCGGCGGCCCTTCCCGCTTTGGCCCGGCGGGCCCCCGCCGCCAGCAGCCAAGCGCCCCTGGCCCGTTCCGTTTTGGCGACAGCCGCGCGATTCGAATAACGGCCCGAGCCTGCGCCACCGAGTCACGCGTGCGCGCGCTGTGGCGTCAGCATTGCTTTTCGCTCATCATCGTGGCGGCAAACACTAACCGCGCAGCGGCGCATCGCTCGACCTTCGGAACACTTCGCCAAAACCTCCTGCGCTCAAGGCCCTTTACTCCTGCGCTGCTCACCAAAGTACATACTTACTCGCCCGCGACCCGGGCAGCTGCCATTGAGAAACTAGCTTATTTAGTTGTGTCGTACTTGCTTTCTAGTTATCGTCGTGTTAAAAAAAATCATTTCAAGCTGTATCAAAATGTCTGTTGATCCAAGAATTCCCTTTACATCACAAAGTATTCAGCATAGACAACTCTAGTACATCAACTTCACCAGATGCAATCTCCATCAGACTGCATCGAATTTCTTTCGACCGAGCCCTTCAGCAACGGTTTTGACGCAGCGGACGACGGCGTTCGCGGGTCCTCAGAGGAAGTTATGGAAAGAGCAAAAAACTGAAGCTGCAGTCACAACAGTCTCGTATCATGCCAAATTCTTGTTCTTCTATCTATCTATGCCAACACCTGCTACTTCCGCTGTCTACAAGCATGACAAACTTGTTACTCCCGCTTTCTTTTGCATTTTCATACACTTCGACGCCGCGTTGGTCGTTGCCACGCGGAAATACTCGCCCTTCTTCTTCAGCACCCCGCTGCTCGGGGTGATTTGGTTCATGGGGCTCGGGAGGCGCACCACCTGGCCCCGGTTCAGCTCGATGTTTTCCGTGCTTAACCCCAATTCCACTTCCCGGTACTCCCGCGTGACCGAGTCTAGCGAAACCCCGCGCACGATGATTTTCGATTGTCGCGGACTCAGCGGACTGGTCCCCGTTTGCATCGGACTGGCGGGTAGGCTGTGCGGGCTGTCCGGGGCGAGCGTCAGGACCTCGTCGTCGTCGTAGTCCAAATCCCGCCCCAAACAGAAGCAAAAGATCATCGCTAGGTAGTACAAAATCGGGTTCCGATTACCGCAAATCACGTGGAACCCGCAGAGTTTTGTGTGCTGCGTCCAGATCGCGGTTACCACCCGGGCGATCAGGCTCATACCGGAGAGGAAGCCGAGCAGCAAACCTAACACGTCGAACACCGTGCGTTTCGGGCTGAGAATCAACTTATACGCAGTGTGGGACACGTCTAAGAGCATCTCCGAGTGGATCTCCGGCGGTTGCTCCGAGTAGAAATCGGAGTTCCCCGTGGCCGCCCTTTGTTCGATCGCGACAAAGCTCCCGGACTCTGTTTGCGCGACAAATTGCGCCACGAACCCGAAGAACTGCTTGTTCTGAATCAGATCGCGGTAGTCCGTGTATCATCTGTAAAAATGTCTGGGTCTGGAAACTTGTGATGCTACAATGTGCATGATGACAACACTTCCGAATGCAGTCCGGCATGACAACTTCCCAAAACGCTTCGTCATAGGAAATCCGCATGAGAAACTGCGTTTTTGCACGACAAAAGAGGCTGCAACTTTTGTTGGTTACGCAATACAGATTTTCTAGGTATGGAAAGCTAGCATTACAAGTTCCAACCTTCCAGACCCAGACATTTTTACAATCCATACCGTGGGCACTAGCGCAATCCGGATCTCCGACGCGTCCGGGCCGCGCAGGACGGCGTTCTCGGGGTTACTCGACATCCGCGCCTCGGAGGTAATGGTGGAGACCGTTGTTCCTGCTGACGCTTTCCCGCTCGCATCTACCCCGTTCTCCTGTAGTTGGTCGTGTGCAGAGGAACGACCAATACTACTCGTCGCTCCTGCGTCGAGCAACCGCAGCCCGGAGTGGGAGGAAGGGGGAGTTCTAGTTGAGCCGGTTCGTCGTGATGAGGATTTTTTATTTGAGATCGTATTTTCCTTCTGCTCTTCTTGGTCCCTACGCTCTTTATCCCTCATTCGCGAACGATTAGACGTCGCTGGCACAGCGCTGGGCGTTATCGACACATCCACGCGGGAGTATGCGTTGGTTTGTTTGGATTCTAGTAGTTGCAGGTCGGTGTTCCTCTCTTCGTCCTGGTTGTGTTGCTCTGCATTGTCATTCGCATTCGAACTAGTTGACAACCAGTCTACCGTCAGCGACCACCGAATCTGCCGTGCTGCGGTGTAGATGAAATCCGCTGAATTACTTTTATCTCCTTGTCCACCTGAAGTAGAAGAAGTCCTCGTCGGCTCCACGTCTATCCTGACCCGCGCCACCCGCCGGTCCCCTCGGTCTCGGTTCACCGTGCACTTGCCGCACTTGTACTTCACAACGCACTTTTGCAACCGCCGATCCGCGTAGCAGGACTGCAGCTGGCGTTTGGAATTTGGTGCTGAGGAAAACCGAAACCCGTCGACGGACAACTGGATGGAGTCGTCACAGGTATGTGGTTATCAAATGCAAAAATGTCTGGGTCTGGAAGAGTCGGGACTTCTCATGCACATTTGGCATGACCCGTGAGGTCTGTGATGCAGGTGCTAGCATCAAAGATTTTTTGAGAGCTTCTGATGCTAGTCACGCATGAGAAATGCCCTCTCCGCGTGCCAAGAACTGACTCGTCTTGCTGCTCATGCAACACAGATATTTTTAGAATCCGCAGACAGCAATACAAGTTGCATTCTTCCAGAGCCAGACATTTTTACATTTGATAGTGGTTCTACTTCTGCACCAGCGGACAATCTAGAAGGAGCACCCCGCGCCTCTCCCGCACCTGCCTTCACACACGGCCCCACGTACCCGTCTAGAACTGCTTGGACGAAAAAATCCGCTTTGATTTCCCCAACGCCGATTTCCTCCTCCTCGGGCAACGCCATCGACGTCAACACTTGATTTGCGTACAAGTGTCTCGCGATCGTGAAAAACATCACGCAAATCGCGACGATCGCATACATTAGAAAGATGATGCCCCCCTGCTCGGACGGAATGAAGGAACCCGTGATCGGCCGCATGTCCAATCGTCGCAAAATTCGCGCCGCCCGCCGAGGGATTTTCACGTGGATCAATAACAAGCACGTTGTGATGATCAGCGTAGTCGTCATCCCGACTTTGAGCGTGATGGACTGCCACCACGTATCAAATGCAAATATGTCTGGGTCCTCTGGAAACTTGTGATGCTGAATCATGAATGATGAGAGCACTTCATCTGAGTGCATCCAAGCATGACAAGTTTCGAAGACCCGCTGCCATGCGCAGTTCGCAGTCCAAACTGCGTTTTTGCATGCCAAATTAAGCTGCTATTTTGATGTCGGTCATGCAATACAGAGCTGGCAGGAGTGCCAGCCAAGCAATACAAGTTCACCTTTTCCAGACCCAGACGCATTTGCAGTGGATACCACGAGTGCTGCTTCAAAATCGTATCGTTGTGCGGCTTATCAAATGCAAATATGTCGGGGCCTGGAAACTTGTGATGCTGGTTGAGAAAGACGAGGACGCCTCAACTGGCTGGCAACCATGACAAGTTTTGGAGGTCCTACAGTCTTGGCCTTTCTGCATGATAAAGTGAGCTTCTGCATGACAGAAAAGTGGGGCTTCTGGGTAATGTGCATGACAGACTTGAGAGTCATGTCAGACAAGCATGACAAACTTCCATTCTTCCAGACCCAGACATGTTTGCATTTGATACGGCTCGTTCTTCTCGCGCACGTGCGATTTCGGCTGCTTTTGGTTCTTAAAAGTCGCCATGAGAGGACAAGTAGGGGCGTTGTTGTGGCTCAGTTGTTGAGATTCATCTTCGCTAGATGCAGTAGGTGCAGCCGGCGATGGGCTATTGCTAGGGATGAACTTCCTCTCCTGCTGTGCAGCTGCCTTCCCTGCCGTGAGGCCCGAGCTACTGCCCGTGGTCGTTTTCACCCGCGGTAGCAATGTTGATGTTGAAGCGGCGATGCTGTCGAAGTAACTCATGGTTTCTGAAGAAGATGACACCGTCGTCGAGCTACTTGCAGTCAAAACTCTCATTCTAGTTTCGTTCTTCCCCGGCACCGCCTCCACTATTTCCTCGCTCGAAGCAGACGAGAAATCGCAGGACAAACACTTCCCCGCGCCGGGGAGTGCACTGTACGTGTTGTCACTGCAGGGGAGACAGGCTCGGAGCTCCGTCATACCGGCAACTGGCTGGTAGAACCCCGCGGGGCAGGGTTCGCAGTGTAGACTCGATCTTGCTGTTCTCTCCCCCTGTTGTTGCGCAAACAACGAGCCAGCGGCTACAATGCTCCCGGGCGGGCAGGGCGCGCATTGATAGTTGTACTTCAGCTGGTGATGATGCCCTCGCGTGGTTGCTGCGTTCTCGTCGTGCGCCGTCCTTGCATCGGTTATCTTCTTTACCACGCTGCCACTGTCGCAGACGACATCAGCTCTCCTCCCTCCTCGCTCCTCCTCCCGCATCAGAAACGCTGTCCAGGGGTTTAGAAAGTGCAGCGCCACGTTGCCCCTTTCCCGACTGGAAACGGCACCGCTAGCGGCATCTCGGCCGACCTCGACACTGTTCGCCGTTCGTCTCATGCTAGAGATTGCCCTGCTGAGCAAATCTCCAGTGCTGCTGGTTCCAAACGAAGAAGATCCGGCTCCTGCGCTGCTTGGCAGAGCCTGCAATCCCCCGTCTATCAAAACCCTCCCTGTCGCAGGCCAGTACGCCGTAGCAGAAAAAACCGCAGCGCCGAGGGAAAGCGGGTTCTTCTTGAATAACGGTTCCAGGAAAAGGGATTCTTTACTCAAATCTGCAATCCCGGAGCCCCCGCTGGACGAACTACCGGTTGTTCCGAAGAGAGAGGAAAGCAGGCCGGCATCTTGTCTCGTTTTCTTCAGCCTCGGGTCAGGTAGTCTAGTTTCAATCGTTCCGGAGGACGAAGCGGTTTGTTTTGGAACTCTCCGCCACTGACCCGGGAGGAGTTTTGGACGAGGCGGAGACTGCGCTGCGGCATTACCATCGCCACCAGCGGAGTGATCTTCCTCATCGCTATCATCTGAGCCAGAACTGAGAAGGCGACTTTCGTCGTTTCTCGTGGAGCGTGTTTTCTGTTCCTCTTCCTCCTCGGTGCTGCCTTTGTCATCCGCCCGGTTCTGCGAAGGCTCATGATCGGTTTGGTTTTCCTCATCCTTTTTGTCAGCCGACTTCTCATCTTCCGAACGCGCTCTTCCCCTGCTCGTCCCCGCATCGGCTTTTTGGTTTTTCTGATTTTTAATTCGTGGCTTCTCTCCTCCACGCTGGCTCGGCTCGTGTTTCGCTTCGTCCTCCGGTAGCTCCTGCAACCGCAGCTGGTAAATCTCCTGTGACACCGCAAAGTCCTCCCCCACGCCGCCACTCACGATCAAACTGCTACACTCTACCTCATCTACCCGCCCGGTGTGAAACGCGAGTTTCGGCGGGGGTACTACTTCCTCCTCTCCTCCGGCTGCTTGTGAACTAGAAGTTCCTGCGGTATCGAGCCTGACCTCCAGCCAGATCTTGAAAAAGTAGTCGTAGAACCACACATCCCCCAGCACCTCGCTGCGGTCATTCACTCCGCCGAAAAGCAGCAAGCCGCCCTGGTCGTGCTGTTTTGATGTTTTCAGTTCCTCCGGCGTCGCGATGGCGAAACTACTCCGCAGCAGGGAAAACGCCGGTCTTCGTTTGCAGACGCTGAGACTGTGGCCGACCCTTGGGGACGGAACATCGACGCTGGATAGTTCTCTGGGAAGATTATTTGCATTGCCATCAGGCCCTGCACTGCTGTCATCCCGGCCGGTAACGGAAAGTTTTTGGAACGGTAGCGGTTTTTTCACCGAGTGGTGCTTGTCGACATCTACTTCTGCGTTCAGATTGTCCACCACCTTTCGCAAGTCCAGCTGCCACAAGTCGTTAGTGAATACTACCGGGGCAGCACTTGTCGCTGCCGCGTACGAGGAACTTCGTCCCGGGGCTTCTTGCCCCCCGAAGAGAACCCAGTTCTCCTTCCTTCCTAAATCAGTGTTAAACATCGCATATCCACTGCAAAAATATCGCACTCGTACTGATCGCAGTCCTAAATGACAGATCTATGATCTAAGGGAAAACAGCCTTACAAATTACATTTCCTTTCTTGGAAAAATTTGCAATGCAATTTCTAGTAGTACGATGCTTTTGCATTGCATACCGCACCCGTGACAAAGTGGCTCAGCCGCAGGCCGGACGGAACCCGGCCGCACCGGCGCCACATAGAACCGGAGGGGGATTTCTGGAAAGATTTAGTGGTGCTGTCCGAGCTGTGGGGTTTTAGTCCGGCTGCTTCGTCGGCTTCCGGCACAATGCTCGCCGCAATTCGAATGACCCAGACGTCCTGCAAGAGCCGATTGCTCCCGTCCCGCCCACCGAAGATGAAAAAGTACCCGCTATCCTGTGTAAAAACGTCGCCACCCCAGAGTTGTCATGCAAATGCGCAATGCCAGGCACGTTTGTAATGCGCAGCTCCATGAGAGGCATTTCCAATCGTGTTTTAGAATTTGTAATGCTGCAAACAGGATGACAAGCTGACTTTCTTACGCAGCTTCCTTTGCTAACCAGCACGACACTGCAGAGGCAAACTTGTCATGCGCAACGCTCAAAACTTGGACATTTGTCAAGCAGATTTCCCATCTTGAGTATGGGGTGGGAACGTTTTTACATATGATACCCGTCGCGCGTACTGGTCGCGACATGGCCGTAGCGGGGCTTCGGTTTTTTGTGCTCAAAATACATGTTCGGACCGAGAATTTGTCTTTCTAGATCGAGTTCCCGGAGCAGGTGGTTGTTTTGCTGTGTAGTTATTTTACCATTTCGTATTCCGGCAAGCGCAAAACCGGACAGCTTATTTGAGAGCGTGAGAAAGGCGCTGGATGACGTAGATGATGAATCTTGGCTGTTTGTTCCCCCATCTCCCTGTTTTACTCGAAACCCGCCGAACCTCACTGCGTACGTGCCCACGATGGTTAAAGTGTGGCCGATGTAAGAACTGCTCGGGGCGGCAGGTGAAGATTTTGTCATGCTACTAACAGCACCAGGCGAATAAACACTGCACGCTACCTGAAATGGTTTCGTGGAGGTGATTTGGCTTTGAATTGAAACCTCGATGGTGTGATTCCCAACGTTGCTGTGCCGCAAGTCGGTTTGTTCTATTTTCAGAGACAATTTATTGCTTTCGCCGGTTGAAGATGCGCTGCTTGTTGATTTTGCTGTGTCACAGGGGTCTATCGGAAGAATCAACAACTCCTGCATGTTCACGCCTTTGATAGTACTTGTGTGATCCGCTATTTCATCTTTTTCCTCCTCTCCTCCACTATCTGCGTCTGTCTCAGCCGAAAGACGACCCGCAGCGCCACCAATCTGCAGCTCCCCTTCCAGATACCGTGTGCAGGGGGCCAGGGCGTAGTCGACCTTGCGGTGGGACATCGAAAGGACTTTCAAATCCCGTTTTGGCTCTGTGACGATAAATTTGTTTTTCCCCGTGATCAAGTCGGAGAGCCAGGAGGTGCTGCTACTGGTAGTACCAGAAGACGTCGTCGACGCCTTTTCTTCGACCGAGTGGTGCTCCTCTGGGTTTTCTTTCACGACAGGGGCCGGGGATTCTTCGCCCCCTGTACTTGTTCCTGATGTTGGGGGCTGTGCTGCTTCTAGACTTCTTCTCGTTCCACCTTTTCCGAGACGAGAGCCTTCCGTTCCCGCATCGGCATCGCTTACGGAAGCAGACTTCCCGCCGCTGCTCGTTGCTTCATCGCTTGCGCCACTATTACCCGCTGACGAAGAAGCCGAGTGGGTGATATTTTTTCCACCTGTGGGAGCAGTGGGCTTTTTCTCTTCGACTTTTTCTACAATCTCCGTGTCGCTCAGAGTCGCTGTTAACTTCTCCAAATCGATCGTGTGAATTTGTTTTGCTGCCGCGGCCGTCAGCACCTTGCGACTGATGACGACGCGGAAGAGATTTTGAGGTTATGAAATCGAAAAGAGAACGGCCTGACATAAACCAAGAAGCGAGTTTAAATGCTTTGAATCTGTAGTTCTGGCATGGTGTACAAGAAAGTCTGCATCCGACTTTTACCGTGTTCAGTCCATCACAATACACACCTTTACCCACATGCTACACTACGTAAATTCCCATCACAAACCCGGCAAGTTGTTTTCCTTCTTTTCATACACTCTCTGCTGAACTGGCGTCTGCGCGTGAATCCCGCAACAGTTGCGAGTCTAGATTCTTGCGTGAATACTCCAAAAGCTCATGATTTGCCGTAGATGAACTGCTGCTTTCATCTTCCTGTGCTAGCGCTCTGGAATGCCCCGTTGATGAGGACGCTGTTCCGCTCGAAGTATCTGATCGCGCACCATGATCCGCCCTGTTACCTGCGTCCTGTACAGCAGGAGCTGCCCCGTGCGAACTTCCCCCTTGTTCCTGCGCATCGTTTGCACTTCTTTGTGACGAGCTGCTCCTACTTCTTGCCCCCGTCGACGAGGACAACAGTTTCGCCGTGACGGCGCGGGTTCTAGTCCCGTCTGCAAAACCCTCCTGCTCGTCATCACTGCTTGTAGTTTCTACCGCGATTCCAAGAAAATCCGCAATGCCCTTCTCCACGATTTTCCCCGTTGCGTTGCCCTCGATCAGCACCTGCAACGAAATTTTTTCCACGTACCGGCAGCTGACTGTGATGTTCACTGCTTGTAAGCCGCGTAGCTCCGTGTCAAAATCCACCGCTTGTTCAAATTCCAACTTTTTCCCGGCTTGCGAGTAGAGGGTGACGTCTAGCTGGTCGATTTTTGATGTCGGAGAGGGTGAAGATACGGCTGCAGTGCCGGTCGTAACGAACAAACTCGCCGCAGCTGCGAAGACCAAGATCCGCAATAGGAATGGTGCAACACGAGGGGGGAAAAACTTCTTCTTTCCCATCGTCATTGTCCACAGCGGTGCGGGAAGTTGCTTTTCTGAAAGGCGATTGTTACGTCGGAAGGTTTCCAAAATTTTTACCTCCGGTCGCTACTGCAACTTGTGCTTTACCTCTTTCATGCGAACCAGGTTACCGGGCTGCAGCCACGGGTACTTCTCCACGTCGGTTTTGGCGTGCCTCTTCTCTCCGCTCTGCCGCGCCTTCCGATTCTTCATGAACTTTTGCTGTTTCAAGTTTGCGAGAAGTGTTATAAAGAGTGAATAAATAATCTCCACCAGACAGAAATGATCTTGTTTCACTGGACCAATTACCCAGGGAAATTGAATTTTCCACCTGAAAGGAAAGCCGGTCGTGAAGACGTCTCCCTCAACTATCAGAGCATGCATGTTTTTTAATAATTTACCGCCACGCGGCGAAAGCGAAAGTCAAGGCACACTGTTCTTCTGGGGAAGATTTTCTTCTAGATAATCTTCAGTGCGTTCTTTGCCGAAGTGCCGAAAAAGCGCGGAGCAAATAGCGTCGGAGTTGTGGGCCTGCCCGCTGCTGCCTCTGCAAGTCGTCCGCTCGGCAGGGCCGTAACTGTGTGCGTGTAACAGCCGGTCGTAAAAAGGAAAACGGGGCCGAGTGAAGAAGAGCACCCGGCGGTTTTCAAATGCCGAACCGCTTGCGACCCGAGTTGTCCTGCCACTAAGCCGCGCGGAAACGCAAGGCGTTCGGTGGCGAGATGGGAACTTCTTCCGAGCGGGGCTCTTTGCGCTCGTGGACAAGTGCGGGAGAAAAAAACGCTCGCCGGGCCGATCGGTGTTCGTCGCAGGGAGAAAAAAAAATCTTGCCGCGCCAGGGATGACATGTCTGTTTCTCTCAAGATCGAAGGGAGAACGGATAAATAGATTGTTACATTCTCGCTCCACACGCAGCCGGTAAGGTTTTTAAACGCGCGGGGTTGAAAATAGCCCGTAGGCATCGACGTCGCGGGGCACCGGTGACCTACATGCATCTTCTCTCGGTAGAAAAAGCAAAGGTCCGGCATCTCCGACGCGCATGCCTCCTCTCTTGGTGGTTAGTGATGTCTACTCTCTAATACCCCGCAGCAGGATCTGCGTCACTCGGTGAGTGCGCGACGTAGACAGCCCACCCTGTATGCACGGAACGTTATTCGGGCCCCGATAGACCTAATCGCGGCGCCGCGCGTGCGGGCGCGTTTTTTATGAGCGCCCGCACGGGCCCTGCGTTCAACGCGACGGCCCGAGGCCGAGACCGGGACGCCGTGCACACTTGGCCCGGTGCGCGCAGAAGTGCATCCGAAGGCGGGACGAACCGCGCGGACCCCTTGAAGAATGACAAATGCAAAACCGCGGACCGGATCGGGTGCGGGCGCAAGAAAAGTTCGAGAACGCGAGTGCCGCGGCCATTAAAAAGCCAAAAGAGCCAGGCGGGCTGCCGCCCGGAGATTAACCGCCAAAGGATGGGACTCATGCGCGCCAATGTCCATCAGGCTCTGCACATCGGGGCAAGCGAAGCGCAATGGCGCCCGGCGCGCGCCTGTGGAGGCGCATTTCCGAATGGCGCAAAGAGCGCGCTCATGCCTGAGGGCCCGAAACGGCGGCAGGGGCGGGGGAAGGGGGGGAACGGAATCGGGGAAGGGGTGCGAAGTGGCGCCATTTTCGAAGGGGTTGCGGAATCTGACCATCTGGGCCTTCCTATGCGTTTTCGGATTTTTCGAAAATGATTAGGATCCCAGTGCGGGGGATTTCATCTGCCATACTTAATGGATAGGGGTCGGAGGCCCATAGGTAAGGCGACCAGACCCATAGGAGGTCACTTGAAAGCACAGACCTGACTTAGAGGATTTTTAGTGAATTTTTTGAAATTTACAATATGGAGTAGCAACTGCAAAAGTGGACGCAATCCAAGTAAGCATATGCCAACAATCCGCAAAATACTATTTACAGAGTCCATCGCTGGTAGTCCATAGCTCAAATATGGCCACGCTCCGATGCGATGACTTTTTTTGATTTTTTTCAGATTTTTTAAGATGGGAGTAAATGCCTTAGAGTACAGAGCCACGAGATTTCTTTGCATATTATAAGCATAGCAGGGCACTCTTGGAGCATTTTTCCACGCTTTGCGCTTATATTTTTCACGAAAAGCACCACAGTCACAATTTTTGCAATTTTTTCATATTTTATAAAATGCAAGGAATGTGGATACTTTATCAACAGAATTGGCAATGTACTAAGAAAATCCAAAAAATATAGACTAGACGCCTCCTAGGTGTCACATTTGGAGGCTTAGTCCGCAGAGTTGTGATTTTTGAATTTTTTTGAAAATTTTTGACAAGTTCAAAACACAGCCAATACTCACTAAATTTGGCCAGATTCTGAATGTAACCGAAGCGAAATTATAGGAATGTGCTTGGTCCCTTTAGAAAATGCTTTTTGTACTCATTTTCTCAGAGGGCTGCCAATGTTCTCAATTTTTTGCATTTTTAAAAATTTCGGAAATTTTTTAGAAAGTGTCTGACCTGCAGGTATTTCACTAGTGAAAACCGCGCAAAAGTGAAATAACAAGCATCACATGTATTCAGTGTCTTCCTTTTTGGCGTTCTTGCGGTTTTTGCCAGAGTGCAGCATTTTTGAAATTTTTGGATTTTTTTAAAAAATTCACAAAAACCGCAACAATGCACTTAGTCCGTCGACGGTGATGGAAAGAGGGTGAATAACTATGTGAGAAACGTCAGGCATTCTGTATTTCTGTCCAGCCGTACAGGCTTAACACCCAACATGTCGGAAATGGCCACGTGTCCACTTATGGACTTTTTTCAAAGGCTATTAGGAATGCCTCTCAGCATCGGATCAAGTGTAGACAAGGAAGAAAGGCTGCAGCCCCACAGGCAACGCGCTCCAGGCCTGTGCTTAGTACCGCACCCCCCCCCCCCCCCCCCCCCCCCCCCCCCCCCCCCCCCTCCCAAGCCGGGCCCCTCCCGCCGGGTGCGGGCGCCCGCTTCCTGAAGCCCCGTTTCCTGAAGCCCCGCCCGATTCTAGGAGTTTAGTGCGATCGCAATGCCGCCCGGTGCGATCGCAATGCCGCCCGGTGCGATCCCAATGCCGCCCGCCTAGGCGGCTGCGTTACGCCCCGGCGTCGGAAACGAAACGTAAGAAGCCGCATGCGCGGGCGCGCCGATCCTACGACGCTCCCATGCAGCAGGCCTTCGGGGTTCCGCGGCCTTTTTTTCATATGTAGTGACACTTTTCTTACTTGCCCCCTGTGCATCATGCGAGAAGGCTTTCAGCGTGCGTGCGGATGGGGCTTGCCACTGTCTAAATTTCACTTCGAGTGCTGGTCAGCGAAGATGAAAACTTGAGCAGGAAAAGGGTGAGGGACGACGAGCGAAAGGTTGAGTGGACTCTGTTTTCCACCGCGCGTCCGGCTTTTCGAGCGAGTGTGTACGGAATCACCAAGCGCAGCAGCTCCCGAGCGATCGCAGCTGTGATAAGTACAAGTACTGCCGGGGCCAGGGCCCCCCGCGGGTTTTCTATCTCCTCTCTCCTGCCCTCGTACGGGGGGGTAAGTAAGTAGCAGCTACGGCAGGACGCAGATTTATTTGCGGGCGGAGTCGCGGGGGTTCTTTCAAATTTCGTTGAACCATTCGCGTGTGGGAAAAAAAATGGACTTTGACCAGTTTGACACGGAAGAGCTGGACCAGCTCGACATCAACGCGCTGCGGGAGGGCATCCTTCAGCTGATCGGCGACCGGCACAAAAAGCGGGAGGCGCATATCAAATGCAAAAGTGTCTGGGTCTGGAAGAGTACAACTTGGCATGCTAAATCTGAACCATACAAAAATCTGTGTTGCATGATTACCAATTATAAAGCTGTTCACTTTTGAGAAGGCAGTGAGGTAGTTTCTCATGCGGAAAAGGCATGGTGAAGATCTTGCAGAATCTGTGCTGCTAGGGCATGCATCACAGACCTCACGCGTCATGCGAAACGTGCATGACTAACGTTGCACTTTTCCAGACCCCGACACTTTTACACTTGATAGCGCAGGAGCGGATACAGGAGAAGATCCGGGCCCTGAACAGCGAGCTCGCTATGAGAGTGCACAACTCCCCCTCCCCCTCATTTGTATAGCATGAACGGCAATAGAAGCGTCAGCAAGGCTGCCGGTTTTGCATGGCAAATTTGCACAGGAGAGCAGTACTATTTGTGCTGCCGGAATCTGTCATGCAAACAGTGCCACAAGGCAGCGCCTGAGTTTGGAGTTTTGCATGACAAATGAGGGGGAGGGGGGGTTGTGCATTGTCATACCTGCGGCCAGGCAGGTAGAAGGCGATGAACTCGCGGAGGAGTTGGAGGATGTGCGGGCCTATCAAATGCAAAAATGTCTGGGTCTGGAAGAGCCAAACTTGTGATGCTGCATTTGGATGCTAAAAAAATCTGTATTGCATGAGCAGCAAGAGGAGTCAAATTTGGCTACGCGGAGAGGGCATTGGTCATGCAGGATCCGCATCGATAGGCGCTCAAAAAATCTGTGATGCTATGGCATACATCACAGACATCATGGATCATGGAAAATGTGCATGACAAACTTCTCCTCTTCCAGACGCAGACATTTTTACATTTGATAGGGCCGAGAACACGAGGAAACTCAAGTCCATCAACATCAACACGGACTCGGGTGTATGATCCTGTGCAAAAGTTGTACCCTCGTTGTTGAAAACCATACGAATTGCAGTCTTGCATGACAGATCTGCTTTGCTTGCCTCAAGCAGCATGACAAATCAGTTTTGGAAGATCAAAACTTGTTGTCCCCGTTGCGCAGGCGTGGTGCTTTTGCAATGCATACCGTTCGGGAGACATCATGGCCATGGACTTTGACCAGCTGGAGGAGATTCGTCAGATCTTGTTCGGCGAATTGCAAAAGCTCGCGGGGTCGAAATTTGATCCGAGTGAGGACATCACGAAAATCGAACCAGATGAAACCGAGCTCATGGTGGAAAAGGACGATCCGTCCAAGGAGCAGTCCATAGTCGACACAGTGCTGGTCCTGTTCCACCCAACAGAAGATCCCGAGGGACAGGTATTCACGCAAACCTACCGAACTACCGAGTCGACCACGGTGAAGCAACTTTTGCGCGACGCCTGCAAATACTGGGCCGTCAGCACGGAGGAGTTTGTTCTGAAGACCGTCGGCTACAACGCCAAAGTGCAGGGGTCGATGCAGGTGACGCAGGTTTTCCGACCGGGGGAGCTTAGCCAGCTGGTGCTGATGAAGAAGAACCCGAAGAACGTCTTCGTTTCCGAAGCGGAAAAGCGGGCGTGCTTACCGAAGAAGGGGCGCGGCGCTGCGGGCGCTGCCGGGGCGGTGGAGAAGAAAGACAAGGACGAGGACGACGCCCCTGTGTACAAGAAAGAAAAGCCGTTTTTGGAGCAGCTGAACCAGATATGAGAGTGCACAACTCCCCCTCCCCCTCATTTGTCATGCAAAATACCGAATGCACTCTGTGCCCTTTTGGATTGTTAGCATGACAGATTCTGGCAGCCAAAAGACCACTACAATCCTGTGAAAATTTGTCATGCAAAAGCTGTTCATGCAATGCAAATGAGGGGGAGGGGAGGGCTGTGCACTCTCATACCAGTTTCCAGGGTTGCGGGAAACCTTACTGCAGAAAGACTTGTCGGTCTACCACGAACCCGAGAAGTGCCGGGACTGCTTCGGGTTTTTCCTCCTAGTGCTCTTTTCGTTTTTACTGATCTACCTCGGCTACGCATTGCAAATATGTCTGGGTCTGGAGGGTTGGAACTTGTAATGCTAAATCTGAATCATGCAAAAAATTTGTGTTGCGTGATTTCCAACAGCCGCCTCTTTTTACCAAGTTGAGAGGGAATTTCTCATGCAGGATAGGCATGATAGAGATCTCACAGAATTTGTCATGCTAGGCACTGCATTTCGGACCTCATGGGTTATAGAAAACCTGCATGACAAATCTGGCATCCTTCCAGACCCGAATATGTTTGCATTTGATATCGACCGGGATTTCCAGAAGGAATTTTTCCTCGCGGAGGACGTGCGCGCTATTTTGGTCGACAAGTTGCAGCTCTTATCCTGTGTAAAAACGTACCCACCCCAGAGTTGTCATGCAAATCTGCATGCTCAAAATGTTTGCCATGCGGAGCCCCATGCGAAGCATTTTCTGGTCGTGTTTTGGAATTTGCAATGCGCCAATGAGCATGATATACTAGCTCTGTGATGCTGCTGAAACAGCACTACACTGCAACTCCAAATTTGTCATGCAAAACAGCCAAAACTCGTGGATTTGTCTAGCCGATTCCCCATCTTGACTATGGGGTGGGGACGTTTCTACATAGGATAACTCTACCGCATCGCCACCAGCGACGACTACTTCAGCTATCTGAGAAGCCTCGAGCTCGAGTTATGCACTGCAACAGTGTCGTACTCGTACTAAAACTAATTGCGGCTATGCATGACAAGTCTTCTTCTTAAGGTAAAAGAGCAAGACAAGTTCCATTTGTCATGCCGAGCAAATTTGTAATTGCAATAGCTACAAGTGCGATACTGTTGCAATGCATAGGAACTCACCAACAACGACTTGTTCAACCACTTCTCCGTGCCCGTCGGCTATCTGCGCTTACGCCAGCATATGCGAGAGAAAAAAGCAGGTAAGACATATTTGCAATGCAAAAATACCTACGCAAAAAAAATCTGTATTGCATATCCTGAACAGCATACTATGGGGCCGCCCATGACAGATTTTTCTGTGTATTTATTTTTGCATTACTACCTTCTTTTTTCTGTGTGATACAGCAGCGCGTCCTGGACGCGATCCGCGGCGGGGAACTACTCGACGACGCAGCCGAGGTGTGTGTGTTAAAACGGGGCCGAATAGCAAGGCAGGGGGTCTGTCCCGCACGGTACGTGAACGAGGACAGCGCGGACAAGGGGAACATATGCATTGCAAATATGTTGTCTGGGTCTGGAAGCAGGATCCAAACTTGCCATGCTAAATCCGAATCGGACAAAAAACTGTGTTGCATGATCCGCAGAAGTTACAGACATCTTGCCACAGAGAAGGCAAACTTCTCATGCGGAACAAGCATTAAGAATAAGTTCAAGAAGCTCTGGTAAAATTTGTGATGCTTCTGGGTGCATTCCAGACCATCTTTGTGGTCCACGAGATGCATGACAAACGTTGCTCTCTTTCAGGAGACCCAGACGTAGTTGCACTGGATAAAACACGATTACCAACGAGTGGATTGCGTACGCGAACTTTGACAACGGGGTTACCGGGGTATGCATTGCAAATATGTCTGGGTCTGGAAGAATGCAATTTTGTCATGCTTGTCTCACACTACAGTTGCATCTGTAATGCATCAGCAGGAAAAAGACCACTTGCCTGTCATGCAGGAGTGCAGTTTGCCATGCGGAAAGCGAAACACAAAGGAGCCCAGAAACTTGTCATGCTTGGCTGCGTATTGCAGTGCGCCCATCATTCACAGATTTGCATCACAAATCTCCAGACCCAGACATGTTGGCAGTTGATACGGGGTCACCAATTACAACACCAGTCTGCTTCTGACAAGCAAAGCGGGCAACGAGTCGCTGATCACCACAGCGGATTACAACCGGTTTTTACAGTCGGAACCGGCATATGCATCGCAAATCTGTCTGGGTCTGGAAAGGTTGAGCCTGTATTGCGTGTCCAGGATTCCAGAAAATTCTGTATTGCATGAAAGCAACAGACGCACCACGATTTCCTCATGAAGAAGCAGAGTTTGTAATGCGCGCTCAGCATGAAAAAGCGATTAAAAAATTTGTCATGCTACAGTGCACTGAAAGGCGCACTCGCTCACGACCATTCAGCATTACAGGTTTCCAGACCCAGACATATTTGCATTCCATACCGCAGAGTACTTCCGCGACCTACTGTACCACGGGCATGCGGATTATCAACTGCAAATATCCACCCTGGATGTCCGGAAGAATCCAACTTGTGATGCTGTCTTTGGATTCCAAAAAAAGTCTGTGTTGCAACATGACCAGCAAGAGGAGTCCAGCTTGTGCTACGTGGCGAGGGCATTTCTCATGCGGAAGAGGCATCAACAAGGAAAAGGATTCTAAAAATCGGTGATGCTAGGGCATACATCACAGACAAGCATGGGTCATGTAGAATATGCATGAGAAACCTGGCAATCTTCCAGATCCAGACATATTTGCATTCCATACGGATTCCTTATCGACAACGAGTGCGAATACACACACCCTCGCCCTCCAGCAGTCGACGTCAGTGGTGGAAAATCTTCTGAACCTCAATCCGACTTTGAAAGCGCAGTGGGAACTCCGGGGGCGGAGAAGAAGGACGCAGACAACAGGAACTACAAGCGAGTACATCTACGTCGACCCGCCCTGGCTTTCCATGTTCCTCACGGGAGGTGCATCACCGACAGGGAGCTTGCCCACTACGACTTCCTTATCGAAAAGAAAAGAAGACCCCTTCACCTTTGTCTCCGCGGAGCAGGCCGTCGCGTCCTCTGCTGATGTAGATTACGAAGCGACCGACGGGCTCGTGCAATCCTCATACGACGCATCGGGGTACCGAATCGACTGGCACATGGATTTCCTCCACGAAACCATGCGGTACGACTTGACAGACCTGCAGCGGGTGCAGTGGATCGATACGTTTACGCGGTTATGAATTGCAAAAGTAAATCGCACTCGTACTAATTCTTGCAGATTTGCATCACAAATCCTCGCCTTCCTAATGTAAAACGGCATCACAAACTCCATCTGTCATGCTCAGGTGATGCAATTTCTGCTAGAAATGCGATATTTTTGCAATGCATAGCAGTTCTTGACCGTGAATTTCGTTTTGTACAACCCGTCGGACGATTATTTTATCAATGTCCAACTGAAAACAGAATTCCCCGCTACCAGCTCGGCAATAAACTCCGAATCCATCACGCCGATGCGACCCAACGTGATGGAGACGGAGGATGAATTGGGAACGATGTGGCCGCTGGAACTGACCAGACTGCTCGTGACCATTCTCTTCGTGTACCCTGATGAAAAAAAAAAACCACCCCATAGTCAAGATGGGTATCTCGCAACACAAATCGAGAAGTCTTGGGAGTCAAGCATGACAAGTTCCTCTCTGTCGTGTAGTGCAATTTAGCAAGTACAGCCGCAACACAAATCCATCTAGTCATCCTGTTTACAGCATTACAAAGTCCAAAACACGATGGGAAATGCCTCTCTAGGGGATGCGCATTACAAATCTTTCTGTAACTGCAAATCTGCATGACAAGTATGGGGTGCGGACGTTTTCACTCAGCATATCGTGGGCTGCTACATCATTCCCAAGCACATCGGGATTTTCTGGGCCCCCCCGGCCAACCGCGCAGTCGTGTGGGCGATCAAGGGCCCGGAGCTGAAGCTGCAACACAAGTATCAAATGCAAATATGTCTGGGTCTGGAAGAGTGCAAACTTCTCATGCATATTTTCCATGCCCCATGAGGTTTGGAATGCAGGCCCTAGCGTGACAGGTTCTGCGACGTCCCTATCATGCCTATCCTGCGTGACAAACTGCCTCTAAACTTGTTCAAAACTGGACAGCTTTTGGTAGTCATGCAACACAAATTTTTGCACGATCCAGACTTAGCATGACAAGTTCGCATCCTCCCAGACCCAGACATATTTGCAATGCATAACAAGTTCGCCGACTATATTTTTTCTTTTCGCGGGGCGCTGGACTTCGCCATTCTGATCGTGACATTTATTCTGTTCATCACCAAATACACGACGTTCGCGAATCTAAAAACCTACAACGACACAACCGCATCAACGGAAACGACCACCACGACAATAGCCGCGAGCGGATATGGCGAGGAAAATAAATCCCCCCTCCCCATATTGACACGGTACGTTTTCGAAAATTAGTGTTGCTGATTTGTGGCCACAGATCGCGTCTGTCTTGCAAGAAGGCAACTCCACAGACAGCCGCCGCATTTTGCAGGCGGTTTGTCATGCTGCCGGGCCCACAGCGCGGAGGTTCTTCATGCTAAGCGCCTAGGCCAAAGCCTCTCTGCTCCGGCTTGATACGGCTCCGCAGTCCTCTCCAGCAAGACAAATCTGATTCGTGTACGCAAATCCAGCATGAGAAGCGTCGTTCTTTTATGGGGAGGGGGGAGCTTTCCTGTTGATAGCGGAACCACAGCAGCCGCCACTTCCACTGATGCAATGACGGAACAGGTAGACAGCTCCATATTGAGAGGAAAAGTCCCCCCTCCCCATATCAAAAAGGCATGCTTCCGAAAATTTGTCTTGCTGATTTGAGACCACAAATCACGCCTGTCTTGCAAGAAGACAAACGCAGAGGCTTCCGCGCCATTATGGAAGCGATTTGGCATGCTGTTCGGCCTAGAGGGCAGCCGTTTGTAATGCTAAGCACCTAGACCCAAATGTCCCGTGGTAGGCTGCGGATCTAGCTGCGATGCCGTATTGCAAGACAGCGCGCATTTGTGTACACAAATCATGCATCACGGATTTCCCATTTGATATGGGGTGGGGTCTTTTTTCATTTTGATACTCCACGACGGTTCTTTACCACCTGTTAAAAGGGGACTACGTCCAGCTTCCCGCAGATAGCTACAAACAGCTCGCCGTCTACGAGGGTTTGTTTTTCGCGTTGGCACTGTTGCGGTTAACCGGGAACTTAACCTCGCTGACCCGGCACGGCTACATCGCGTTGGAAACGCTGAAAACTTCCCTGGCGTTTGTCACACCGTGGTTTCTTGCGTTGTTGCTACCAATGTTCTTCTATGCATTGCAAAAGTATCGTATTAGTACAGATTGCATCACAGATTTTCTCAGAAAGAAAAATGGAATCTGTGATGCTGAGGCAGCTATAAAAAGTAGAATTGTCATGCAAGGTTGCAATTAGTACGAGTGCCATACTTTTGCAGTGCATATCTTCATCATCGCGCTACTCTTCCACGTCGCGTTCGGCTCGACGTGGGTGAACTACCGCACGTATTTATCATTTGAAAAAACGTCCCCACCCCAGAGTTGTGATGCAGAATTGCATCTACAGAAACATTTGTAATCCGGGTCCCCATGAGAGGCATTTCTAGTCGTGATTGGAATTTGTAATGCTGGAACGAAACAGGATCAGCAGATGGATTTGTGATGCGGCTGTCCTTGCGAACCTGCACTACACTACGGACTGCAACTTGTCATGCGTGGCTCCCAAAAATTCTAGCTTTGTGTTGCTAAGTTCCCAACTTGACTATGGGGTGGGGACGTTTTTACTCAGGATAGTATTTTCAGTCGGTTTCCACCAGTTTCCGGCTGTTTAAAGGTCGGATGAGCAACGGGGAAGAGTTGAAGTTCTACAATACGGACCGGTTAATGACGGCGATCGTGATGCTGTTTTTGTTCACGTTTGTACAGCAGTTGATCACGTTTCTAACCCTAGCGGTCATCCTCCATTTCTACCAGTTCTACTACACAATTCTCGGTGGGTATCGTACGAAAAAAGTGTTTCACTGCAAGAGTTTTGCGAGTTTTGCATTACAAGTTCGGTACACATCATGACAAGGAAAACTTGCCATGCGAGGCTGCAAAAGGAAAACACAGCTAAAAACCACTTGTCTTGCATGTGTAGCAACACAAACACTTCTACAATGCATTGTCTGCATTACAAGTTTCCAGTGAAGCCGTTTTTTCTTGCGATAGTGGCTACAGTTACCCAAACGTGCTGGAAGTAGCGCAGGCGCACGGGCAGGACCCGAGACGGAATTTGGCGAACACGATCAAATATTCAGAAAAGTACCAGTGGAACATAATCCAGTGGGCGGAGTACGCCTGCGTGCCCCCCTTGGCCGAAAAGATAAGATTGATGGTGGAGAAGAAGCCAAAAACAGTAGAAGAGGAGCTACTGGAGGAATCCCAGGCGTTGAAGGACGGAGATGTAGAGAAAGAGTCGGACGAACAGAGTGCAAAATCCGGGGAAATAGAGATAAATAGTCCTGTGAAACCGGCGGTGGCGTGAGGGGCAAGACGTATAAGGAGGCGCGATGTTCTTCGGGTGTGGTTTGGAAGCGTTGCGGTGAACGACTTATTTTTTCCAGCGAGCACCGGTCTAATAATTATAATTTTCGGGCTTTGCTAGTACTATCGCTCGTGCTTTCATGATCCCACATGAAAAAGCAGAAAGAAACAGACTCTGAGTTGTTGTGCTGACAACTCTTGTACAGTTCAAAGAAACACGATTGTTTTAAGTACACATGCACGACTTTTCCTCTCATGCCACTTCAAAGCAATAGTACCACAACGCTTGCGAGATTCGATGATCTCGGTCTTCTGCTGAACTTCCACCAGCTCCTGTAAGGGGGTGCTTGTGTCGAGTTCGATTTGTGTTCGTCCATAGTGAAAAAAAATTTTTGTCTGTTGCAGCCTATCGGTAGTTCATGATCATAGGTTGATCTACCTAAAAGCATCCAAAAAGTACCAAGGTGCAACTAAATCGGTCTACAACTGTTTCCAAACGAATCCAGCTTGTCCCAGCCTCTGTCCAGACCAAGATGCCAACCTAGCGCAGATTCGACTGTTCCCCGGGAGGGCGGCGGGGACCAAAGCTGCACCCGGTTGGGACAAAATGCGGCTGCCGCGGAACAAGATCGCCTGGGTCTTAACCGCGCTGCTGGGTGGTAGCCACGTCAAAACATCAACCCTCGCACTCCGTGTGGTCCCCTACGACCCCTCCGACGGGGAGGACCGAAAGGAGCTCAACCCGCTGCTCCCCGATGCGAAGACGAACCGGATCCGCGAACCCAAGCAGTGGGTATCAAATGCAAATGTGTCTGGAAACTTGTGATGCTGGGTGGCGTATCATGAGGAGGCCACACGTGCTGGCTCTGCATGACAAGTCTCCGAGCTGTTCTAGGTGTTGCCTATTCCGCATGACGAAAATGCGCTTCTGCTGCATGACAGAAAAGTGGCGGTCTTGGGTAACTTGCGTGACAGGTTTGAGAGTCATGCCAGACAAGCATGACAAACATGCACTCTACTTCCAGACCCAGACGTATTTGCACTTGATAGTGGGGCCGCGGGTACTACATGGTGGTGACGCCGTATGCAAGAAAAAAACTGTGTAAGTGTAAATTTGTGTTGCAGAACATGCAACAGAGTTACACCTGTCATGCCAGACAGCCATGAAGTCCTCTACTCGTGTGTGTTTTCCCTTACTAAGCCACGCATGACAGGTTTTCTCTGTCATGTAGAGCAAATTTGTGATGCTGTCAACCAAAGAAAGTTACACGAACGCAGTTTTTTTCTTGGATACGCCGAAGGGAATTCCGCTCCTGAACCCGCGGTGGTTGCCGGACAAGTCCGAGATTCCGCCGTATATCAAATGTAAATATGTCTGGGTCTGGAAGAATGCAACTTGTCATGCTGCATTTGGATTCCAGAAAAATCTGTATTGCATGAGTACCAAAAGGAATGTAATTTTTGCTACGCGGAGAGGGCATTTGTCATGCGGAATAGGCATCAAGAAGCTCTGAGAAAATCTGTGATACTAGGGCATGCATCACAGACATCAGGGCTCATGCAAAACGTGCATGACAAGTGTCAGAATGTTCCAGACCCAGACACTTTTACAGTTGATACCGTACGAACAGAAAAAAATCCCGCCCAACAACAAAGTGGACGAGTTTAAGTTTGAGCAGGGGGATGTTTTCCAGGCGAAACTGGAGTCCATACGGAAGAACGGGGAGGACATCCAGCGGTACTTGCGGATCTCAGAACCCTTATGAGAGTGCACAACTCCCCTGTCTCCCTCATTTGTCATGCAAATCACCTAATTTACGCATGGGCTCGTGGCACTGTTTGCATGACAAGTTCTGGCAGCCCAAAGAGCACTACACGCCTGTCCATATGTGTCATGCAAAACCTGTATTCTTGCTGAGTCAGCAAGAATACAGCAATAACATGCATGAACAGCAATACAAGCGTCAGCAGCTGACGCTTGTATTGCTGTTCATGCAATTACACAAATGAGGGGGAGTTGTGCACTTTCATAACTCTGCAAGGCCTGGGTGCCGGTGTTTGAATCGATGGGCGGGGAGCCGATGATCAAGCGGATTGTGGAGCACGAATTTGTGGAAAGGGGGATTCCGGTGCATTTCCGCCTCCCGGCCAACGATCTCGTCGAGGGTGAAACGCTTTACGAGCGGAAACTCCAGGAAGAAGCAAAACCGGAGGAAGAGCACGTCACGCAGCCGAGGAAAATCACGACGGAAAAGGTGCCGACCGAATCCGACCCGGCGTCGGAAACGGAGAAAAAAGCAAATTCCATCGTCGTGGAAGAAGCGAAGGAAGTGGAGAAAAAAGCAACGGACAAGTGGAAGAAAATCATCATGGCGAAAAAGAAACTAATCGCCGATGCGAAAGAGTCGGGAAAGCCGATTTCCAAAGTCATTGAAGAAGCCAAGCCGAAGGTGGAAACGAAAAAGACTTTGACCACGGAAGAGAAGAAAAAGGACCTGATAGTCCCCCCTCTCGGGAAGCCGAAGGCGAATAACGCGGGTGGGGCGAAGGAGAAACCAGCAGAGGCGGCTGATGCCACGGGAAAAGCGAAAGCAGAAGCGAAACCGAATATTAAATCAGCCGCCGTTACATCAACAACTGAAGCAGTTGTTCCACCGCTTCCACCTACCACCCTCGTGCGGACGCAAACCCCCGTGCCGGTTATCCAGGACGTAAATTGTCTGAGTAAGAAATGCGAAAAGGGGTTTGAGTGCGTCAACGGATTTTGTGAAAAAGTGCCGAATATCAAATGCAGAAGTGTCTGGGTCTGGGAGATTGCGAGACTTGTCATGCTAGTCTGGCATGACTCTGAACTCTGTATTGCGTGGCCGCGAAGCGCTCCGCTTGCCTGTCATGCAAAAACGCAGTTTCCCATGCGGAGTACGCAACTCAGAACCACGGCAAAACTTGTCATGCTGGGCAGCGCATTACAGTGTTTCCGCTATTCCCTTCCTTACATCACAAGTTTCCAGACCCAGACATTTTTACATTTGATACCGAATCGGGAGCACAGTTTGTGCGTCGTTCACGAGTGCTACTGGATCCGGCAGCAGGGAAGGGCTTCTGCTCCGCCACCGCCTCCGAAAGTAGACGCAGCTTCTTTGTTCTTTCTGCAACACAAATACAAGTATCACGACAGACATCTGCAAGACCCTTCGTCGCAAAACAATACTGCGAAAAATAATGCAGTAAAAAATGAAACCGCATCTACTGCTCCCCCCTCAGAACCGCCGGAGCAGCCCACTTTGACCGCGCCGAGAACGCAGTTTCAGAACCACACCGAGGAGAAGTTTGTCGTGAACCACGCTCCTAACGCAACGACGATGACGACAGACCCGCACGCAGCGATTGGATTGACGAATGACACCACGAAACTGTCGCGGAAAGCGCTGATGAAGAAGAAAACCGCGGTGGACCACTGTTCGAAGATTTTCGAGAAAGCAGATTGCACCGCGGCAAAAACGGATGGGATGTGCAAGTGGAAGCAAACCGATGCGCCGGCCTGGTTCCGGATCGAGGAAAAGGAGACAGTCGAGCCGGATATAACCCGCTCAGTGTGTTACAATCCCAAACGTTACAATGGAATCTGGAATTTGTGTTGCAAGCAGTGCATTCTCTAACCAACTCGCATATGATTGCGCATGACAAGTTCTGGAGTCCCAATCCGCCCTACAGTCTGGAGAAATTTGTATTGCAAAAAGTGGAAGGCTGGCCGAGTTTGTCATGCTCATCATGCAATACAAAACCCAGACTCTATTGTAACGTTTGAGATTGTAACGCTTGAGCAGGTCATACCGGAGTTCGATTGTTTCGGGTATCCGAAGGTGCCGGATTTTTGATTTTGTAGATTCTAGTAAGCTATGCATTGCAAATGTGTCTGGGTCTGGAAAGGTTGAACCTGTGTTGCGTGTATCGCATTCCTAGAAAATCTGTATTGCATAAGCAGCAAAAGTAGCACCGCACTTTCGTCATGCGAAATCGCAGTTTGTAATGCGTGCTGCGCATGAGAAAGCGTTTGAAATATTTGTCATGCTGCACTGCGCTTCAAGGCGCGCCCAATCATGGCCATTCAGCATTGCGAGTTTCCAGACCCAGACATATTTGCATTTGATAGAAGCAGCTGGGAAGTTCGATTGTTTCGGGTATCCGAAGGTGCCGGATTTTTGATTTAGGATATTCTAGTAAGCAAGTGTGAGGCTGGTTTGCAAATAGAACTACAGATGGACTATGAGACAGTGATTTTTTTTTTCCAGCGCACTGTGTGCCACGTGAAGTAGAGCGTGACAGTGTGGGTCGCATATTTTTTTAAGAAAATTATCCACAGAACCGGCACGATAGGCCTTCTTGCCGCGTGCAGGCTTTTCTCGAGAACAAGTGTTGGATATTGAAGTTGGTCACCAGCGCGGCCGAGCTGAGAGGAACCACACGAGCGCGATGTGAGAAGAAAGCAAGATCACTGTATGCTGAAAAAAGAAATTTTATCGGTCGTGAAGATAATGTATGAATCAGATTCAGATGATAAGTAGCTTTTGGTATTAGTAAAGTAAGATGTCAACAATCATGCGTGCAGCTGCGAACGTGAAAATGTAGACCGGAGTCAAGATCAAAATGTCAATTTGCACGGCGGAAGATCTGCTAGTCGAGCATTTTTTTACGATGATCCAAATCCACTAATGTACAAATCTAGGTCGTAATCCTGACAAAGCTACAGCAGCACTGCGAGATCCTTCCAACCCTTAGAAAATTCCCCTTAACTACACCTACCGGTGCGGTTTACCGTAGCCAAGAGCGGACTTTTTAAATCTCGATCGCAAGGAAATTTTCAAAGAATATTGCTCTTGATCACCTTTCATCTATTCTCACATCCGGTTTCTGTCGCAACAGGTTTTCGCAAGTAGGATTCAACCTTGATTTAGAAGTACAGTGTTTACACTACGTCCGAACTAATTCTTTCCTCTACTTCTCAAACGTACTATACTTTACACCGCGACAACTTTTTTCCACCGTCTTTGTGACTTGTTTTATCATCAGTTTACTAGTTTTTCAGCCACACAAACAAATCCACCAAAATGGCCTCCACCGACGTCGCCGCCGCCGAAAAAGCCAGCAAGGCTTACCCGCTCGCCTCCCACACTCTGCAGACCAGCATTTTGGATTTGGTCCAGCAGGCAGCCAACTACAAGCAGCTGAAGAAAGGTATAGTTATCGCACAGACCACATATCGAAGAAAATATGTTTTTGTCCTGCACAACATCGCAAGAGTGCTGTTGTCTCTGATGGTGCTGTCAAAACATGAGGCATTATCATCCTCACGCTAGGAAAAAATCTATCACAGGTGCGAACGAGGCCACGAAGACGCTGAACCGTGGTACCTGCGAGATTATCATCCTCGCTGCGGATACCGAGCCGCTGGAAATCCTGTTGCACCTGCCGTTGGTGTGCGAGGACAAGAACGTGCCTTACGTTTTCGTCAAGTCTCGGGCTGCTCTGGGTATTATAGGGGTTTTTTTTATCATGCGGAATTTGCATTCTGCGTGAAAATTTTTTTCGCAAAAATGATTGTTTCAACTACGACCCCTCAGACGAATTGGACCTAACCTCACGGCCAAGTACCGCCGCAACGACTACCAAATGTAAAAATGTCTGGGTCTGGAAACTTGTGATGCTGGGTGGCATATCATGAGGAAGCCACAACTGCTGGCTCAGCATGAGAAGTTTCTGAGCTTCTAGGTGTTGCCTATTCTGCATGACAAACTCATAAAGAAAGAACTTCGTAAAGAAAGAACTTCGTAAAGAAAGAAAGAAGCAAGCACTTCGTATTTTGAAAGCGTCGCGCTTCGTAAAAGCACTTCGTTTGTTGGAGTCGCTACGTGATGAAGCAGATAGCTCATGTAGAAATAAGCAGCAGATACTTCAACGCGTGCGCAGCTTGCGGGGGGGTGACTCCTGTGGTCCCCCCCCACTCGTTGCGCCTTTTTCCAAAACTGCAGGGACTTGCTTCCTTTTTTTTCCAGCAGTGGCTGGCGGGGTAAGATCAAGGCCGGGGCTAGTGACATTGTTGCAAAGTCATAGGGCGCAGAGTCTGATAGCAGTAGCACACAGCACCAAAATACTTAGCCCATAGCGTTTTCCGAAGTTCCTCAGTGGCTGCACCTCGCCTCTCTGTCTTAGTCAAAAACATAAGCACAAAATGGACTGGCGTAGCCGCGCACATGCATGCACGCGGAGGGGAAGATGGAATAGAAGGGTGGCGGCAACGCGGGAGCCAGGACGCAGCCCGGATTTTATCAAAAAGGTACGGCCTAAGGCCTCGGGAACGCCGAGCACACCCGCGCACTTCTTCGTGAATCGCCCACCGCTTTTTGTGCGTCAGCTGTGTCGGAATAAAAAAAAAAAAGAAAAAAAGAAAAGGAAGAGGACGCAACAAAAAAAAAAAAGAAAAAATAAAAAGAAAAGAAAAAAGAAATCAGCGAAAACCGACCGGCGTGCGAATTGCCTAGCAAAAAAAAAAAAAAAAGTATGCATAACAAGTTGCATTTGTATTGCATGTAACCAAATTCAATTTCAACCATAAAACAGGTCGTGCTTGCGGTGTTAACCGGGCGGTGATTGCCTGCTCTATCACGAGCAAGGAGGGGTCTCAGCTGATATCCTATTTAAAAACGTCCCCACCCCATAGTTCTAGTTGTAATGCAAATCTGCAGGCTGAAAATGTTTCTCATGCGGAGCCCCATGAGAAGCATTTTACAGTCGTGCGTTGGAATTTGTCGTGCTCCAATCAGCATGATATACTAGATCTGAGATGCTACTGAGCTAGGTCAAACAGCACTACGCTACAAATCCAAATTTGTCATGCAAAACAGCCAAAACTTGCGGATTTGTCTAGCCGATTCCCGATCTTGACTACGGTGTGGGGACGTTTTTCCTTTTGATAGCTGAACTCGCAGATTCAGGACTTGAAGGACCAGGTGGAACAGATCCTGATCTAAGGAGGAGATTTGTCATGCTGTGACGACATGAGGAGTAGATTCAGGACTTGAGGAGATTTGTCATGCTGTGACGACATGGATATTAAACCGACGATGAAGATTTGTGATATGGAAAGAACCGACGATGAAAATTTTATCCGAGGAGATTTATTTCGGGAGTAGTTCTAGACTCAAGGAAGAAACTGTACTACAAAACAAAGAAGAAACTGTCGCCGAGCTCAGATATGGAAAGCAACAAAGTATGACGAGGAGATGGAGAACAACAACTAGACCGAGCAAGGCGGGATGCTATGATTTTTTTGGAGATGTTGAACAAGGAGCTTTTGCAACTATCGAAAACCACTATCTCTGCTGCAACCAAGATGAATTTGACCGGTGACGGAACAACGGAACCAGAAACCGCGCGCACTGATACAACAACTATCGAGAAGAAATTATAGCTGATCTTGCAATCGATTACGTTCGAATGGAAAAAAAAACGGAGAAGCGAGATGATGAAAAACAAAAGGGCAATGAAGCGGATTTTCTTTTATGAAAAGAACATTTTGGGATCTGGTTTGTTGTGCAGTATACAGCGCTGCATGACAAGCTCGATCAGTAAAATAGCATAATTTAGACATAAAGTTAATCAACGCTTCATAATTCTTTTTTGCGAGAACAGAAAACCAACCAGCCGCAGCACCAATGCTACCAAACGCACACACGCCGCAGCGGATAGATGACCATGCCAAATATCATACACCACAGTACAAGAAGCACAACACTGAGTTCTTATTTCTGCGAATTTTTTTTACTTAGAGATATATCATTTCATAAACCCACGTAGAAGCAGCTGCATAGCAATAGTTCTTTTAGCGTCGAGTTAGCCACCGCGTAAGATGATCGGAGGATTAAAATGACTAGATTCAGATCATGCACCAATCTCCTGCACTCGTTGCAGAAGAAGATCTGAAAATGAAATGATTATTCCAGTGAAGATTTGCAAGGCTAATTCTCAGTAGGAGTGCGGTGTGTCGTGTAGGTGCTGTTTCGAGACTTTGTCATACGCCACATGATAGTAGACGAAGGCTGTTGGTCAGATTGGATTTGGAAAAAAAAACATGTGCTGCAAAAATGATCCAAGATCGCGCGTTTCTCTCCATGAAAACTACAAAGTTTGTATTGCATAAAACACAACAACATCTGTTACAGTTAGCCGCGCTGCGCAGCATCGTGCTCAGGAAAAAGCTGATGCCGTAGCCGCGAATGAGGCATTTGATTTCTACAAGCTGTGACTGTATCAGTGTTCGCGAACTGTTGTATGCGAATAGGATATAGCAGTGCTAAGGAGCACCGTACTTGTGTCAAGTCTGTCGTAGGAAAAGCGGTAGCGAACAAAGCAAGCCAAAGAAATCGGTCGGATAGCAGGTCTACCACTGACAGAAAGGTTCGAACTCAACAATTTTGATTTCTAAGTAGCAAGATGTCTTGCCACTGTGCGCTCAACATGTGAAGATTTCAACCTCTGACAACTCTGAGTGTAGAAGTAGCCCTCTGTGTACTGTGCAGCTGTCACCGCACGTGAAAGAACAATGATCGGTCTGCAATCTGTGCTGCGAAGAAGTGTCTGTCATACTGCGACTCATACGCAGAAGTCTGAGTGCTGTTGTGAATTCATATCTACTGCATTGTGCTACTGGTATTCTATGTGATGTACTACTGTTGTCAATCCAACATCAATTCCGCACTCTTCGCTGATATTCCCCCTTCCAGGAGTTCCAAGAAAGTTCGAGGCGAACCTGCTTAAGATTGATAGTGAGGAAATCTATAGGTGCGTAGAATCCAACCCTCCTATTTACTCCGATACTCCTACCACTAAACTTTCATCCACGATTAACGATCAATAGTACAATCACAACACATCACAATTTGAGAGAAAACATTCGCACATCTGAGTAGAAAAAGCACATCTTTATTTACAACTTAAAACTTCACAAGACCTCGCAAAGACCTGGGAGCTGCGAAACAATTGCTCCCCGTGTAGCGCAATCTTTGCAACACATTTCTTCAGTTTGTTACTTTACTTTACAACTCTACAAGTACTAGAAGTATTTGTGCCACCTCATATTATTGTTCACGTCGAAAAACTAAAACTAAAAACACCATATCATTATATCACCACAAATCCCAAAATCACCAAAAAATAAACCAAAAAAAAATAGGGACGTCGAGGGCATTGTATCTTCGGTAGGAGTTTTTTTCGAAAAAGTATAGTCGAGTTTTCACTTGTCCCAAAGTTGAAACCCGTTTACTATAGAAAAGCGTGTGAAGAAACCTGTAGTCACTAATATTCTTCGAGCACAACTATTGATTATGCTACCATTCGCTTCACTCACTGAATTCTCGAGAGGACCATTTTTTTAAACACCATATCATTATTTCAAACTTTTTTAAGTACCCCTTAATTACAGTTTGCTTTTTTCATATGAAATAGAAATTGTATCTCAAAGCATATTACTTTTTCTAGCAGTTGTACCGTATCTATTATTTCCATTTACGTAGAGCATAATTTTGCACATAGTAAGCATCTTCTGCCGCCTTTTGCGGCTTGCATAGTTTCGTTTCTCGTTCTAGGTTTAGGATTCGTATTAGAAGTGATCAGAAAGTGTCGGTTGTTTCTACTACTGCGTAGGTACCATTGCATTTTCCAAGAAAAGTCGGTTGCCAGGAGCTCGTTGCTTGTTTCGGTTTCGTCGTTTTTGCTATCGCTGACTTTTACTCCTTATTGATACTGATACTGTACAAAATCTACGTATTGAATATTTCACCGATATGTTTCTCTACACTCTACTTTTACACTATTTTGGTTACGATCCTACCTAAACATATACTAGTAGTTCAAGATGGAGAAGAAATCCCAACGCGGCGGCGGGGGCCTTTTCTACTTCGGGGGCCCACGGGCATTGCTGGGTCAACGACCTCCCCATAGTCGCGGACCACGACAGGAGAAAGCAACTCCTTTCCCATTCAGCAGAATGGCGGGATCAACATCTTCGTTGTCCCTCCTCATCACGGTTGTATTCCTTTTCGCCGCAACAAGCTTCTCCACCACTGTAACAGCATCTTCCACCCCCTTGAAAACCCGCAGCACCGACAGTCTTGCCGTCGGCTATGACCTGCTCAAACGTTACAATCTCGAGCGTTCCAATAGCATCTGGATTTTGTCTTGCATGAAGAGCATGTGGAACGTATGCAGAGTTGCGCCTCTCGCAATACAAAACTCGCCGGATATTAGTGGGGTTTTGGGTGCCGAAACTTGTCATGCGAAAACCTATGGGACTACGGTAGATCATGCACTTCCTGTATCACAGATTTCCATATTCTATTGTAACGCTTGAGATTGTAACACCTGAGCAAGTTATATCGGCGCGTCGGTTTTTCTAGAAACCGTCATTGAGTTCTCGCTGGAGGACCAGAAAGCGGTTGAATTGATGTATGGTGCGTCTTCCAACACGAAGAACTACCAGCAATCGTTATCAGCCTACAAGGAAAAAACCGGCAAGAGAAACCTCGCGAAGTATTTGAGGAAAGCGGTGTTCAACTATCTCGACAATCACCCCAGGTTAGATATCACCAACACCGCGGGGAGTGAATTACTCAAGGAGGAGAACATCGCGGTCCGAATTCGGGACACGAAAGACTCGTTCACGAAGGCGAGATATGCATTGCAAATATGTCCTCTGGGTGTGGGAAGGTGGAACTTGTAGTGCGTGTCTGGCATTCCAGGAAAATCTGTGTTGCATGAGCAGCGAATGGACAGACTCCGGATTGCAAAAACGCAATTTGTAATGCGTGTTTAGGTAGTATCAGAAAGCGCCTCCAAAGCTTGTCATGCTTGGCTGCCATTGCAAGCGTTGCAATCGTGCGCAAATCAGCATCACAGTTTCCAGACCCAGACCTATTTGCAATTGATACGAGAACCGCGATAGAGGAAACCGATCCGGTTTTCAGCAACAGCGACCTCGCGGACAACTATCTCAATTAAAAACGATCCCATCCCAGAGTTGTCATGCAGATTTGCAGTGACATGAAGATTTGTAATGCAAATCTCCATGAAAGGAATTTCCAGGCGTGTTTTCGAATTTGTAATGCTTTGAACTGGATAAGCAGATGGTTTTGTGATGCGGCTGTAGTTGCTAAACAGCACTACAGTACAGGGAGGATCTTGTCATGCGTGAAAACTTCTTGATTTGTGTTGCGAGATCCCCATCTTGACTCTGGGGTCGTGGGGACGTTTTTACCCAGGATAACAACACAAACATCGTGAACAGCTTAAAGCAGAGCAAATTTGAGGCGGTCATAACCGTGCAACTCACCCCGCGAAAAGCGGCGTATGAAAAACAGTCCGGAAGCGACAACTACTCCGCAACCGCTCTCGCCCTGACCGGCGCGTACCGAATAGAACAGACCGGAAACGCAGGGTCAGCTACCACCTTCGCGGGCGACGCGGGGGTTGGGGTCGCGGCCTCGGTGATATCGCAACTGTTCGATGCGGATTTTGCCGTATGCATTGCAAAAATGTCTGGGCTTGGATGAAAGTTGTAATGCTACGTGGCGATTGTTGAGCGTACTCCTGACTGCAGACAAGCATGACAAACAATTCCGAGGACGCTTCCTGATGCGTAGCGCTAGCGCGCATGGCAACCTGCGCTTTTGCATGAGAAGGCAGAGTTCGTTTTATTTGTTGGTCATGATGCAATACAGATTTTGCAGGAATCCAAGACGCGCAATACAGGTTCCACTTTTATTCCAGACCCAGACATGTTTGCAATGCATATGCCGCGGCAACCGGTGATTTCCAGCCGGGGATCCACCACTACTTGGGGCCGGTGCTCGTCGCGGAATCCGCGGTTTATGCATTGCAAATACGTCTGGGACTGGAAGTATGCAAACTTGTGATGCGCACTTCACAAGACACAAAAATCTCTCATGCATAGGCAGCAAAAGTTGCTAGCTATCTGTCACCAAAATGGGGCATTTGTCATGCGGATTCGGCATTGCGGAAGCTTCTCGAAACCTGTGATGCTACAGCTTCTATGCCAGACCTTCTGTGTCATGCAAAAGCAGCATGACTCTTGCAGACCCAGACAACACATTTGCATTTGATACAGTTGCATCGGGGACAACGTCGCAAACCCTCTTCGCGTCCACTTCCTTCAAGGTGGTGAAAAATAAAGTCCGCCCCTTGCCCCAAATCCGCGCCGCCTTCAACTTGAACAGCGGGACTTCCACTGCAATAGCGGGCGTTGGAAGTGGGGTCAGCAGAGCGCTGCAGCAAGAAGTGGTGGGAAAATACACGAATTTGGTGTTAGACCCAACGGTCCACATTTCTGCTTACGCGGTGGACAAGGATTCTCAGAAGGTGGACGAGGAGGGTCAGAAGACGCCCTGTGCCTACGAGCCGGGGTCGGCGGTGCCGGGGAAGTGGGAATTGTACATGTACAAGCACGGGCAGGCACCCGAGAACAACGGGTGGCGCGACATGCGGTACGGGCAAAACCCGAACGGTTTGAATTCCCTCTGCCCCCACCCTACATCCGGTAATGCGAAGATGGCGGAGGCGACGTTTGACCAGAAGTGCTACGAGGAGGTCCTGGCGGTGGGCGGGACCGGGGCCTGGGTGCGGCTCAAGCGGAAGGACGATGGGTGCATACCTGCTTCTCACGCTTTCGGCCCGGGGGAGCACTCTATCAACGGCCAGTACTCCATCGTGGCGACCTCGAGTGGGTTTTCGGGCGACGCGAAAATCGGCCCGGTAAACCACGGTCCGCTCTTTTCTGACGCGCTGGGGGGTGGCCAGTGGATGTGGCGCTGCAATACAAATCCGCCGGACAATTGCCAGACCTACGATACCGGGGGCGTTTTGGGTAATTCTTTCTCGGATCCCAACACGTGGGGCAATCTGATCACCATGCCCGGCATGTACGACGCGGGGAAAGGGGAGGCCAACTGCTGCAACAAAGGGTACAGCTGGGCCTGGTACGGAAAAACTGTCCGTGGTACCGGCCCGGTGATGAAGCTTATCAAATGTAAAAATGTCTGGGTCTGGAAGAATGCAAGTTTGTCATGCTTGTCTGGGATGACTCTTAAATCTGTCATGCACATTACCAAAGAGCCCCACTTTTCTGTCATGCAGAAACGCAGTTTGTCATGCAGAATAGACAAGAACACCTAGAAGCTCAGAAACTTGTCATGCTGAGCCAGCAAATGTGGCCTCCTCATGATACGCCACACCGCATCACAAGTTTGCAGACCCAGACATTTTTACATTTGATGAAGCTGTCCGTGGTATCAAACGCGGATAAGGAGCTGGACTTCTTGACGAATTATTTGTTACTGCAGAAACAAGGCAGGGAGTACTTTCGGGACTTCATTTTAGATAAGAACAAGAACAGCTACAGTCTGTCCACCTGGTTCGACAGCACGGGATTAACAGCCGCGTCGTTGCCACTCGCGCCAGCGGGGAAGCGAAGGAGGTACGTGGAAACGGAGATCACTCTGACGGTTACCGACAAGCCGTCCGCCGCCTCGGCCTACACAGAGGTGTTGACCGCAAGCGGCCAAAAGGGGTTGTGCGCCCAGAGCACAATAACGAACGGGAATCCGACCCACCTTCCGGACGTGCGGGGCTGGATCGACAACGACCCGTCCCCCCACGCGCGTTTGACGTGTCAGGCGTTGTGCGACAAGATACCGCAGTGCGTCGGAACCGGGTCGTCCATCTTCAACCAAAATCCCGACGGAAAGGACGCTAATGATCGAACCTTTTGCGAGCTGGATCTTGGCAGTTTCGTCGGGTTGGATATCAGCGTGTTGCCTTCCCAGTTTTACATGAACTGGAGCGGCTACCCCCAGGACAGCACGGACACTTGGGAGCTCGGCACGGTGCACACCGGGTACCCAAACGGAGAGTGCTGGAGGAAGGAGGCGGGCGTTCAGAGCTCCTTCACTTTCGACAGTACTGTTGCTGGTGGTAGTATGAAAAGGTCGATCGTGCCCGGGTTGCAGGCGACATTCGCAACGGCGTTTGGCGCGAAGATCCCCGTCTTACCCGAGGACGTGATTGTCATCCCCCAAGAGGCGGAGAAAAACTACCTGACCGCGGGAGCGCACAAGGTCACCGTGGTGTTGCCCATCGACCTGGACGCGGACGATGCAACCCTGCAGAAAAAGATCAAGGAAGAGTACGCGGGGTCGGAGGAGAAGTACATTGAGCAGGAGATTTTGGGGCTTTTCAAAGTCGACGACGACGACGCATTACCCACCGCGCCTGGCTACACCGAAGTGTTCAGCAGCGACGGCAAAAAGGGGTTGTGCGCCCAGAGCACAATAACGAACGGGAATCCGACCCACCTTCCGGACGTGCGGGGCTGGATCGACAACGACCCGTCCCCCCACGCGCGCGACACGTGCCAGGCGTTGTGCAACAAGATACCGCAGTGCGTCGGAACCGGGTCGTACATCTTCAACCAAAATCCCGATGGGAAGGATAACAATGATCGCACGTTTTGCGAGCTGGACCTTGGCAGTTTCGTCGGGTTGGATATCAGCGTGTTGCCTTCCCAGTTTTACATGAACTGGAGCGGCTACCCTCAGGACAGCACGGACACTTGGGAGCTCGGCACGGTGCACACCGGGTACACAACTGGAGAGTGCTGGAGGAAGGTGATGGGATACCAATATACAGCGTCGTTTACGGCGCTCGGTATCTCTGGCATGAAGCTCTCCAAGAGGCTCACACTGGTGGAGGGAAGGTACGGAGACAGTGCAAGTGGGTCATCTATTTCCTCAGTCGACTACGACGCCGAAGCAAAATTGGGATCCATCGTGTCATATGAAATGCAAAAGCATCGTACTAGTATAAATCGCATGACAAATTTCTTCAGCATGAGACATAAAATTTGTCATGCGGATTTCGCTTGAGAAAGAAATTTGTAATGCATCGATTACTACGAGTGCGATACTTTTGCACAGGATGCGTCCAAATCCGATTTCACCACAGCTAGCTACGTCGTGCCGGCGTTTCCCCTATCAAATGTAAAAATGTCTGGGTCTGGAAGAATGCGCGATTTGTCATGCAGCTTTTTCATGACCCTTGAGGTCTGTAATGCAGGACCTAACATGACAGATTCTGTGCACTCTCTCTCATGCCTATCCTGCATGAGAAACTCCCTCCCGACTTGGCCAAAACTGGACGACTTTTGGTAATCATGCAACACAGATTTTTGTATGCTTCAGATTTAGCATCACAAGTT